GTAACCCTGACTGCTTAATTACAGGGATGCTCTTTACTGAAGACGTAAAGCGAAAGCTTCATAAACAAAGTGACTCGATTCGCGCATTGCTGTATAAATGGCAGACTGTTTCTTCTTTTAACGGTTTTGTGTAAAACATGTCCCTCTCGTTTCTTTAACAAGTGAATTCAATTGATGTCAGAACAACAATGTACAACAAGATTGTTTCAAAGTGCAGTTCCATTTGGATTTTTATTGGACTAACTGGAATGTTGCATAATATTGTCCGCAGCAGGGCTACAGATTTTACCGCAGCACAGCAAGCGCGTAAACTATTAAACAAGTGATTTCTGGAGTTAATTCCATTACTTTGTATCCAAATTCCGGAATATGCTCAATCAGAAACACTCTTAATTAGTCTTTCGTAATTTACAGAATTAACAAGATAAGCGACAACAAGATTTAACAGCCTAGGCTACGAGCTTTTCCTCTTTCTTTACTGGGAGTATCGGAACAAAACGCCCGCGCGCCACTCGAGGCGGGAGTGGGAGTTGCGTGGGCTGAATCAGTCTCTCCTCGCATGCAGTGTCTAGGTTGCTTTATTCGTAATTGCTAGAACGGTCATTAGACTGCGCGCTCCCGCCGAGCAGCACTGCAGCTTCGTCGAAAAAATACTAAGCTCTTGAGACCAGGCCCTAAGCCAACCGTGCGAGACCGGGATGCTTAGAACTCTTGTGACGTCATCACTTAAACCTTTGATCCTTAACTTTTAAAGAAGAAAGAAGTATTCCAAATTGATTGCAGCTTCCGGGGGGTACTCCCGGGAATTCTCGGTGGGGGTGTCCCGCCCGGTTCCCCAAATCCTGAGGCTGTTTCAGACCAAAAAATGTCATTTTGCAATTGTATCCCCGTTTTCAGACCTGGCCTTTTGTCATCATTACTTAGATTAGAGCGCAAACAAAAAAATTCTTCAAATCCATTTCCAATTTGCTTATTTCTCTTTCTTCCTTGCTCATTTTGAATTGAGACGATAAATACGTTCATACACTCCGGGTAGTTCCCTTGAAAACCATACCTGATTCCAGGCCAAAATGAGCAAAGTCTATATCCGTTTTCAGACCAAAAAGGCCCAAGAACCCTACCGAGTAACCCCCACCGGGCATTTTTTGCACATCGTCCAAAGTATTCAATATAAATGTGCATGCCAAAAGCCAAAAAGCTGAGAATTTAAACCAAAACTGAAAATGCACTCAAGCAAGGTTTGGGATACTTTTGTCTAGACAGTGACCCAAAACGGCTTATTAAGAAGCTTCAAACTGTCGTTTTTGCGAAAAGCTAGACGAAAAAGAAAAAAAAAAAGGACTTAGGCTGTAAGAGGATTTTAAGTTTACGTGTTTAGTTTAGTGTTCTGCGAGTTGTCGAAAACTTGAGTACTCTACAAATCTATGAGTTTATCATGGTGGTATTGGGTCTCCGTGGTCACAGATTAATATGTTTTCCGAAACTTAAGACGATGTGTGATGATAATGGAGATAGACAGAGTCGCATAAATGTTCGTATTGGCTGTCTCTCGCAGATCGTTTAATCTTAAAGCAGGAAATAAATAAAGAAAGATAGCTACAAGTAGCTGCCCAAGCTCAAAATTTCTTGGTATTCAGTTGAAGCTGTGTACGTGCACAGACTCAATGGAAAATAGCACAGCTCTCAGCAAAAATTAATTTTTAAGACTCAAGTCGCGCATTTTAGTATGCAGATGTATTTAGGACATTAGTGACGCTCGCCCTAAGTAGCGTTAGTTTTAGAAGAAAGCCGGCTCGTAAATTTTACATCCAGCGGGTCGGAAAGTTTCGGTACTTTAGCTCACTTATCGCGCATAGATTAATGAAACCAAATTGGCCGACACATTTTCCTGATTTTCGCAAATGCTTGTCACCTTGTACTGTAATTTTTTTGGGCAACCACCCCAATTTAGTTTGTCTTAAACCTTTCGACTAATGGTGGCCAGAGGAAAAAAATTAGTCACAAAGAGGTCATATTTCTTTTTCTAAAATCCTACGAAATAAATAGTTCTATGAAAAAGTTATGTCAAAAAGGTTTCATCTGAATTTTAACACCAAAGGACTCTGTCCACAGATTTAAAGGAGCTGTGTCACGAAATTCAACCAAATTAGGAAATTACTTTAAATTAAGAGAAACATAAAAATAACTGCTTAAAACTTTAAAGGAAGGTTAAAACAACATAACAGAAACAACAGATGCCACGGATGGGCAAAACTGAAGAAGACTGAAACGGATTGAGATTAGGGTTTTGGAAAACTGTTCAGCCTAACAATTTTTCAAAGTTGGTCCCTGCTGCTTGCAACTTCAAAAATAATGTTCTGGAGACATATTTGTTTGTCTCGGATCTCTGATTTTGTCATTTGCATGTAATTTCTTTGCTTACTTTAAGTTCCATAGCGATTGAGGGCGAGTTAAATTGGCAAAATTTAACAAGATGAACTTGACTGCCGTGACACAGCCTCTTAAAGGCTTAGAGTGACAAATCGTCTGGTCATAGCGAGGTCTAGAAATAAACCCGATTTGGAGCAAATGGGTTCTTCCAGCAAACGTGGCAGATTTTTCGATAGCCTGATTTCAAACAATAAACCAATTTGCTAAATTTACGCATCATAAAACAGAACATAAACTTGATTAACTGCTACATGGTTTCGTGCGCGCCTAGCGGTCCTTTTCACGGAAATTAAGTTATTTGGACTATTCTTTTATTCAAGGTACCCATAGTATATTGTCTCGTTGTTACGCGTTCGAATACGTTACTATCACCAGATCACGTCTCAGCCTAAAATGTCCCTTCAACCGAAAAAAACGCGACATTTTCTTAAGTTTATTTTTTGGGGGGTCGATTAAGTCTAAAACCTAGAATTATAAGTCACTTTTTCAACCAAAAGTCGTGTACTGACGATGAGGCGTTCGAGTTTAGAGGCCTTTTGAAGATAAGGGTTGGCGGCAAAGCGAAAATAACAGTTACTCTCCGCCCTCTGCTTTGTCGCTTAAATTAGCTTAATTTTCCTCAAGTAATGGCTTTTAAATTCCAGTGACGTTACGAATTGTTCTTGCGATATTTTCTCAGTTTTCAAAACTGCGGCACCTAAGTTTGGCACAAAAGCTTAGACGTTGTTCTCAGTGATTTACAGCTTGTTTCCTTGTTGTTTTTCACCTCTTTTTGTTTTAGACGTGGGTTGGTTGTAACAATAGACAGAAAGTCATGTTCAGTTTATTATGTATTGAAAAATACTCCATGACCGTTACGCTTAAAGACTGAACATTCCAACAGTCAACACGAGAGTTGGTTATGGGATAACAGCGTGAATGATTGACAATCAGTGATGTTACTTTTTTGATTACGCATTATCAAATTTGTTCAATTGTTCCCGTAAAGGAAAAATTGAATGTCGCCAACGGCGACGTGATCGTGATTCGAGATACGTCGGCCCACGCGACTCCATGAGCACATGACCAGTGACGTATTTATTGTCAATAGTACGCGTTTTTTGCCCACGTGTATCCTGTTATCTTTCAACTTTCGATTACTAGATTGTTACAAAAGTCTAAATTGATAAAGGCGGCATGTTGCTACTTTTTCAACGGCTTTAACTCCACAAGAGGTTAATCACGCTCACATGCAGAGGACCGAAAATTGCTGTTTTCCGAAATAACGGACCAACATAGCGGTTTTAGCGACACAAACTACTCCACCCCCGACTGTCTCATAGCTGTGATTTACGCGAGACATTTGTCGTACTTTCCACTTGAGGATACACTTGAAGCATGCGGTTTTCCGTGTTTGAAGTACTTTACGCGCCTTGAAAAAATTCAACTATTTCGATACGCCTCAACGGTGTTTAACGCAATAGCGACTCCTTAAACTTAAATGAATTTCAACGACGAGTCGCGCAGCACCCTTGAAACGTGCGTGAATTCGAATAACTAATCCCGTGTAAATATTCAATCTTCAATTCAAAGAGTAGCCCATCTGCAAAATAAATATCGCTAGTTTGCCGTCTATTGTTTACATTTTCGGCAACTTAAGAATGTCATATTATTAACAGCCCGTAGTATCATTGCCTCAATTAGTTAGATCATTTTTCGCGCGGCTTTTTCAGACAACTTGCAGAAATGCCGCTCCTTCACCGAACAAAGACAATACCCCAGCATCACGCCTTCATAAAAGAAGCTTTGCGGGAGAAGTGTTAACGATTCTTTTCCAAACACAAACATTCTAAACAACTTAAAATATTTCGTTGATGACCTTTAGAGAGATTTTTTATCTTCCTTTTCGGAAAGTGTCTTGTAATCCTCCGATTTTGTAAACCGTGGGCGCACGCCGCTTACTGTTTGGCTTTTCAACACTATTTTTTGCCAATGCTTTTCACAGGGGGCGTGATAAATCCCAGAAATTATACTACGTTTGAATTTCCGGGGCAAAGTTTGAGCTATTTTGCTGAACATGCGGGAATCTTCTCTCTTTCCCTTTAGCGCGCAGCAAGTTTAAGAGAAGTAAAGGACAATAAAAACCGCATCTGCCTTGTGTCGGCGTTCTTTCTTCCTTTAGTAACAAATTATCTATGTATCACTTAATTCTAGTCCATTATTTGGATCCAGTTTGTCCAAATTTCTGTGAAAAAGAAAAACGATTAAGTGCCACTCCGACCCAACATGACCGCGTATTGCCTAAATAATTAGCACGGTGTTAGAAGACGCCGCGGACCAATCACGTCTTGCGTTTTTTAATTTTGTAATAGGAAAGTTTTAAAATGCACGATGCGCCCTGGAAAACACTCAGTGGAATCAAGTAATCGATCGGTAGAGAGAAAAGTTGCGCTTTCGTCAAAAGCACAGTGGGAAATTTAAATTGTTTATTGTTATTGCTGAGTATAAAGAAGAACTGACTGACTCACCGCATTTGTCAAATACTGTTAGGGTTGAAAGGGAGCGGAACCTGCACCACAAGATAGAGAAACATGGATCATGTGGTAAAGATCCTCTGGACACTGGCTGTCTACAGCGCAAGTTTACAAGACATGTCTGTTCACGGAATGGTGGACTTTTCTAGCCCTTGGGATACTCGCGTCAGCTCTACGTTGGACTTCCTTCAAAGGGATCCTTGTTGGGGTCTTTCAAGAGGGCCCAAGTGCAATCGTTCCATTTTCAGCAATCTCAATACCAGGAACATTATGCTTTACACTGCTGAAACGCAAAGAAAACTTCGCGTCATTCTACCGGAGAGAAAAGAGCGTCGCCTCACTTCCGACTCAAAAAACAACTCTTATGACGCTGTTTTTGTGCTAGATCCCTTCCCCGACGCAAACTTGGGCCACACCGTTTTTATTTTTCTCCTCAACTTCAACGTGAGTCGAACTGTCTGCAATAAAAGCATGAACGGTTTGCACGTATTTACTGGTAAGTGTAGGTTTTTCACTAATCTTGGATACGCACTTGATTACATTTATCTCTTGCTCCGATCTATATGCGATACAATATATGCGTGACCTGGTGTAGGCATTCCAGCCCCAATATCGTTCCGGAATTACTTTTATTCAGAAGAGTTTTTAATCTTTCTCTTTCTCTCTCCCTCAGTTAAGTATCTCGTTAGACTCGGAGAGTGGGTTGAATGGAAAACTCAAAAACTGATACATCTGTGAAACTGAACCATAAACTGAAGTGGAAAGTGATATTGTACTTCAACTTGCAGTGATATTTTAAAAGCCGCATAAGTTTATTTAGTGTAGAAAAATTTGATAAATAGTTTAAAACTCGCGGTCTGATATTCCAAGTACATTCTCTTAATATAGGCTTGAGACATGCTATTTTTCATGTAAATTGATTCTTCACTCGACTTCTAAACTGAAACGATGAAATCCTACTACAGTATACCATTCTCTTAGCTCTTTAACTCCAGGGGATGCGAAATACGTTTATAAAAAAATAAAACAAATTTAGTGTAGTAAAATATTGAAAAGCAGGTTATCGTTCAAAAGTTCTGCTGGAGAGGTTTCATTTGAAATGGTCACACTATTTTGTCCACAGCCTAAAAAGTTAGAATAACTCTACATGTTGTTCCATAATATGACTCTGAGTTAAAAGTTTCATCAGTAGTCCTGCTACGTTTCCAGTGTATTTCGCAGAAAGCGAGTAAATTGATCAATTGGCAACTCTAAGCAGTGAATGTCGTGTATATCGGTGTGCTTAGTATATTTTTTTCTCTACAGGCCGTGACGAGTGTATCAGAAGAGCAGAAAGGCGCCACTGTAGAAACCGTTCGCCAAGGAAAATCAATTGCGAGGTAAACTTCCTGCCGCTGGTTTATGAAAAGGGTGACCAATTACATAAACAGCGTTTAGACTGCCGCCCTCAGCTCGACACTCTCACGTTTGCAAACTGCAGAGCACGGGAGTCCTTCCGACATCCTTGCAACCCCAATTCCGCGCGATGTTTATCCCCGACTCCTCCTTCGAGGTGCACGCACAAACGCTGTAATCATGCTGTGTTGGTAACTGGAGGCTGGAGCCGCGACACGAGCCGTCCACGGTACCGAAACAACCTGCGCAATGTTTGGAAATTACTGCATCACACCATGGGTTACAAAAAGGAATTCATCGTAACCTTTTTCGGGCAGGGCCGCAAAGAAGATCGTAAGTAACAAGATTCTCTTTTCTGTTTGTCTTTGTCATTTATTTTGCGAAAGAAAATTACTCGGGCGGCATGCCTAATTTGGAGAACAGGCTGAAGCTTTTAATTCACTTTGCAGTCGGTGAAACTTCGTCAAAGTCATTAATAAGTGCAGCTACAATCCTTTTATTGTCAAAGATTTTTCGCTTGTTCGCCGTTCTTAATGACATTTGCTATTTCTTAAAGATAACCGAACTTTTCCATATCCCATATGTAATTCTTAGGGACAGCTTCACCGGTAGAATGATTTGTTGCGTTGGTCATGAGTTATTTTTCTCCTCTTTCATGCAGCATGCACCTATATGCGGTTTCGCTCGGTATTCCTTAACAATTTGTCGCAACGGGTCGTAGTTATAAGCGGCTCGATTTAAATCCCTAATGTGCTAAATTGTAAATAGGCGAAGTGCTGCGGTAATTAATTTTGAAACCGATACCTTTCACTGTAATATTCACATTTCAACGAGCGGTTTGTTCGCTAGACGAAATAAAAACAACTTCGCTTATTAGAATAAGAAAACACTTTATTTAATTGGTTTTTAATTGCCAAAAAAATCTACGAAACATTCACATTTCATCTTTACCGCTTAAAGACACAAGCGCTTATCTGTTGTTAAAAACGTTTTGTGACTTCGTCCTTTCGCATCTTCTTTTTAACACACCGGCGAAGAATTGCGAAACTAAATAACTTAACACATCTTTACAATCACTTCATTAAACCTTAAACTGTTCTCTTTGTGTGAATTGATCCATCTTTCTTTAACCGTAGTTTTTGAGTTTCATGCATAAATTGTATTGAAAAAGTATCGAAAAGCAGGTCGATTCAGCAAACCGAATCACCGCTTCTTCCGACAAAAGCTAGAAGAACTTAATAACAGTTTTGAAACTTTCCAGACTTAAAACAAAGAATCACGAAAATTGTAACTGGGTTCGAAAACAAAACAGTAGGCAATGGGTGGTATTTTTAATAACGTTCTTAAAACAATGAGGTGGAATTAGCAAATCATGAAACTTTCGATATTGTAATGAAAAAAGAAATTAAACTCCATGTTCTTAAGGAGAGCTCAGAGGTGGGGTAAGTTGGAGTCTTTCTTATTTTGATGAAGAAAAAAAAATCATGTGGAGATTGTTAACAATAAAAAAGTCTTTACACTTTGCCGCCGTGTAATGAAGCCGCATTTTTTTTGCATTCATCTGTTAAAAAGCTTTTGACTTTTGGAGCTCTCGTAGATTCCTGTAAGGTTGTAGACTTGCAGATATGTTTGGAACTTTCCAGTAAGAGTGTCAAGTAAGAAATGTATGGGAAATTGTTTTTAATACGCATTCTTCTCACGTGGAACTCCCTCTTTTTCTCTTCGACGGCAGCTAACAGGCTGAAAACGTGCTATGTTATTTTAAGATTTTAATCGACCCCAAGAATAAACAAAATGGATGAAATATAACGTTTAAAAATACCGCGGCCTTAATCCTTGGTTTATTCCAAAGTAACTACTCTAATTTCGGCAGAATCGTCCGTGAGCTGTATTTGGAGAAGCCGAAAGATGGATTATTCATTAATTATAGTTTCACGTACGCCTATCCTGGCAAGTTTGTGGCCTTCTTACGTATTTAACGGAAGCCTTTATTTTATTATTCAATTAGAATTTGTTATTTTTGCTCCAAGGTCAGGCTTTTTATACTGAAAGGTTTAATTAAGTAAATTGAGATCATCTTTGACCGCCTCGGCCTGCAAGCACGTACTGAGTTGCATATCATTGCAGCCTCTTTGCACTCTTTTGTAGCTACAGGATTTGGCCGTAAACTTAGAAAAAAAGATTAACTTACGGTATTACTCACACAATAGGTTATTCCACCACGCAGCAAAAATTTTTCCATATCGCTATTCAGAGCACGCACCACAGTTATAAAGGCTCGTGCTGCTGTAATTTCGGTGGAACCAAAACGGACCACAAAGCTACATTCTTCTTGAACACACTGAACAAAATCGGAGTTTATTTTAGAATTTAGAAGGTTGTAAACCATGGCCTCTGTTCAAAGTTTCAGTTCAGGTCACTTGGAGATAGTTTTTTCCCATTACGGTAGCGCTTATTCTCACCTCATTCTCGGCGAGTGTGAAGCTGACTTAACACATGTTTGGTTTCTCAAAAACCTCTCTTGCACTCACGTAAGAATTCAAAGACTAACCACTAATGATTGAGCAAAGGTTGAAGAGTAACTCGCTGAAGTATGAGTCGAGATCTTCAAATAGGGTCCTGAATCAAATTTCCTGTTAGCAGAAGCCTGTTTCGCAATCGCATCCTTAGAGAAAAAGCCTTCAAATATTATTGAAAAATACTGAAGATGATTTCTCCAGAAGTATCAATAACAAAAAAAACGGAAGTCATATTGGGGAGAAAATGGCCGCGAGAATGAAGGCAATTTCAACGATCCCGCAGTAGGCATGATTCAGTGATGACGCAAACAGTTACAGTTTTTCGAAGGGTGAAGTTATCGTCCCTGCATTGATTGTGTGAAAAAGTCTTATTATCACTTTTAGGGTCTCGAACTGTTGAATTTCCTGCTGTTCTAATGTTGCGTGTGTCCTTAGTCTTGGAGGTATTGACTTGACATTATAGAGTCATGCTGTATAAAAAAGCTACAACATGCCTTAACAACCATGCTTCATGTATGCGAGCCAGAATCATCGAGTCTTCTTCAGCCGTTACAATGAATGCTACTGAGCAGTACTTTCTTGTAGGGCTATGCATTATCTTTACAAGGTGGTTTAACCCTTTAAGCCCCAGTATCCACATACAAATTCTCCAAACTGATCTCTATACATTTCCTTAAGGAATTAGTTGAGAGAATTTGATGATAGATCAGGGCATTTTCTCTCAGGTGATCATTTTATTAATTCTCATAACTTATCTCTTGACAGTGTATCGTGGATATTGTTAGGAGAAAATTGATCTTGGTCACTATTGGGACTTAAAGGGTTAAAGGTTTACTTTAGCTATGCTGAAAAAATTCTGTGTCCTTTATAAATATTTAAAAAAGTGTTACATGTGGCCCTTGTTGTGAAAACGGAATGGAGTAATTGTAGATTAACGAATTTCGTTTATTCACCAACTGATCAAGCGTTCTCTTATCCTAGTTGCCGTTCATCAAAGGCTCAAATCCTTTCCAGTGAAAAGCTCAACAGTTGTAAGTGAATACATCAGGAAAATATGTCGATCAGGGCCTTGTGTGGACACGTTAACTCTTTACTTAACGGGGCCATCAACTGGCGACGGCTCTCTCTTGTTCTGGGACAATGGAGACGGAATCACGCACGATTCTGAGCTCTACTCACCCAGGAAGCTTTTGGATGATATCAAGAACTGCTCAGCAAAACGCGTCTTTCTCGTGGCCGATTACAGCTATTCTGGAGCTTTGATCGACAGGCTGAAGAAGAAACGTCATCCAAAACAATTTTCTAATCTCATGGCTATTTTGTCCTCATCGTCGAAGGAACCTGCCTGGCGAAGTGATTTCACCAACGCGTTTATCAAGCACAACAAACAAGGAAATACCACTACATGCGTTGCAGATGTTTTCCAGGTAGGATCTTTCTCTGTTCAAAGGAAACCCTTACAGTAACTTCTGATTACATTACTGAGAATCAACAGACAATTATTAGTTCATTACAACAAGCCCTTCTCTGTTGTCAGGCTTTGCTTCCCAGCCAGTGGCTGTACAGAAAAGTTGTACCGTTCGATTTGACCATTCTAAATAATAATTAAAATGGCATTTTTGGGTTGTTTCTGCTTCATTTACGCTCTTTTCTTTTTATAAGAATGTTGTTTTTCCGGCCCAGGCTGAATATTCTTATTTTTTCTGCCGACTCGAGGCTGAAATATTCATATATTCTTGTATTATTCTGCGGACTTTTCCCCTTTAAGAATATACTTGGGGTATACATTGCAGTTAATGGCAATGGCACGTTTGTTTTCAGTTTCTTTTTGGTGGCTAGTTTTGCCGTTAATAGAAAGGAATAGTTTCACGGTTAATTTAGGCATATAATTGTATTGTATCCACAGATTTTCAACACACAAAATTATATTCCCTTCAGCCTTGGGCTTTATTCTTATCATATTCTTAAGATTTTGCAAATTTCAGTCAGGCTCGAGATTGTTATAAAATATATTCTTTTAAATCATTATTTTCCTTTTAACATGGTATTCAATTCTGCTCTCATCGGCTTACTCCTTCCGTGATCTGTGATGATAATTCAACTGTACTTTTCGTGCAGTACGTTTCAGCGGAACTGCCCTTTTAATTTTCAAGTATTTGGTAGATTTTTGGCAAATTTTACTTCAAACGGACCCCTCTAATATTTACCACTAATGAACTCATTTCCGTAAAACATGCGGAGCTTTGCCTTTCAACAAGCTCGCGTCGCGCGAATTACATAAGACGGCACGTGCCGTTTTTTCAGTGGTTAACCAGGTCAATCAGGTCTTCCGCCGGTTTAAGGAGGAAATTACGCTGGGCATCAGTTCCATTTTTCCTTTCAGAAAAACATGTTTCAAAGTATATTAGACGATAAAAAAATTTCTTAACTCGATCGTTTTGCAAAATGAGAAAAGCAAACTATATTACAGGAAGAAATCGATCACAAAGTGGTGTGGTCAAAAACCTGAAGGAAAAAAAGTCTTTTATGATGCTTTCTTTTATCTTCACTTTATTACTGACATCGTCTCTGTTATTGCGTTCAGTTAAAACTTCACTTTGAGATTGTTTAGAAAATTGAGGACCTTGCTTAATTCGAGTTCAATTTTTTACGTTGTATATAGATCATTTTCATGTTCGTAACTTTTTTACAACTCCTATTGCGCATTGATCACTTGACCTTTAGAAATCAATATTCAACGGTGAAAGGTATACGTTTTTCCTCACATCTTTTCAATGAGAGTCGAACTGTCCGTGCAACAAAAGTCGAGAGAATGTTGAAAACGGCTGCAATTTTGACGTTAAAACAAACGTTCAATTGGAGATAAGTACGCAGAAAATGTATGGAGAACAGCAGAAAATATTTATCGATACTGATTAGAGAGTATTGGGTTAAAATATTCAAGAGAAGGTCATAGAAAAATTCAAGTGACTTTCAAGTACTTCTACGTGTAGGAAACCTCACTCTTTTAACGTGTGAAGAAGCTTCTTTTAATTACAGGATACTCTCAGTGTTTTTCCTGTTTAACATTTCCTTGTTGTTCTTTATTCAGAGGGGAATTCAACCCGATTTTTATGCAAGGGGCGCGAAGTCAACCCCGCAGATTGTCCGAAGCAACTCCTCTTCTACCAACACAACTCTTAGTGGACACCCATGTAACGAACCATGGAGAAACGCCACTGCCAGGTGGCCGTGTAAGTTACTTACGTTACGCGAATGGCTTAAGCAGGATGGCTGAACGCGATCGCTTGGATCATAAATTAAGTGTAAATATGTTAACTATAAAAGACAAAATAGAGTGGGCAAAACTGGATTTAGTTTTATATATTTATTGTTTAATGTTCAACAAAAGGTTTGTGAAGAATGATCAGGTTCGAGGTAATTTTTGACATTTTAGAATGAGACAAAAATAGAGCATCATATCATTTTGTACTACAGCTAATCTTTGGATTGGTCATCAAAGAAATCACTCAGGCCAACCATAAGAAGCGAGAAAACTGCAATAAGCCAATCGCAAATACGTGCAGCGAGGGAAAAATACTGATGGCGAGTCACGTGGCTTTGGGCTTTTTCCTGATGGGTCGAGAAAGTGGCAACAGTTTTGTCGTTGTTGTTGTTTCCAGGGTCTCTCTTCTTCTAGAACATAAGGTGAAAGACCCTGGGAACAAGGTTTTCTTTCCTTAGTTTTCATCAATTTTGCCAAAAAAAAAAAAAAAAAAAAAAGAAAGAAAAATATTAGAATTTACCACGAACCAACGGGAATCGTTTTTATTTTTTGCATAATGCTTTTATCGGATAGTTGCATGAAATGCTTACCTTTTAGAAACAGGCACATATGTATGATTACTTTTTTTTTTTCACGAAATATTTTATAGGCTTAAGGATATTGTAAAAGTCGTGAATTGATGAAAATCACTTAAGCCATGTTCAGGTGTAAAAGTGTAGGTAACACTATAATTTGTAATGTATAAAGTAGAAAGAGTTTAATTTTTAAGAATGATCAAATAGAAAAGAGTAGAATAGAGACTTGCATCGCTTAGACGCTAAGAAAAACTAGTGCACAACGTTTGTAGGTGATTAGATTTACACAAAGGCCTTAACATACTGCACTAGATAAAAGTATTTTTAACAAATTAAGTACTCGTATTTAACTTGAGCTTTCTACTTGATCTAGATGGTGAGGAGTGTAGTCGTTTTTCTTAAGCCTTGGGAAAGGGAGAGAGGGGGGTAAAGATCCTACATCCCAATGTCATTTCGCTACAAAAATCAAGTAAATTCAGGCGCTGTTTGCTAGTGACGGATTCACAAAAAAGCGCAAGCATTAGGTCCAAAGCTTTCTGATGGCTCAGCCTTGCTTGCTGAGCTTACCTCGCTAGTAAAAGAAAACGACGTTTCAGTAACCTTCATCAGTCTTGCATGATAATTGCCACAGTGTCATAGTTGTTTGATTTGCGCGACATAACGGTCAGTTAGTTGTACGATTGAAATTATTTTATCTGTTTTGTGGCACCAGTAGAATCAAATGAGTTGTAGATTACTTTTTCAGCCTAAAAGTGAATGATATGTTTGTCTTGGTGTCTTGGTTAAAGCTTCTTTCTTTAGCTTCGTGACAATGTACATTTTTATGAAGAGAACAGATATTTTTGTGATTAACTGTCGAGTTAAGTAAAAAATATTGCACATGTCGTGTATATATTGCAGTTGTATCTCTTGCATTGTTTGACATTAAAAGTAACAAGGATATTGAGAAGGTATTTAATGGCTAAGCCCTGGCGTACTTATTACGCATCATTTTTAACAATTTGGGGGAATATGAAAGATTTTTCCATAAAAAGCAGGTTAAATCCTCCCAGTCTCTGTTGAACAGTTTCGTCAACTGTGGAATTTAAACCAATAGTGTCCGTTCAAATTAAAAATACTGGAAATGAGAGTTAGCCTCGATTATTTTTGCACAGTTGTTATGGCTATTTCACGCGCGAATTGTTTTCTAAACTGTGAAAATAAGACCGGAAAAACTCCGTGAAACACTTGTACCCCCCATCACTCAATCAAATATTATTTGACATGTGCGTAATTGATGTTTCAGTGTTTTAAAGCCGTCAAAGTGACGACGCCCAGACTAAAATAACTCTCAGTGCAGAATTTTGCGCCAAGAATTGATACTTTATAAATAGAAAGAGCTCTAAATAGCAAGAATTTATGATACCTACTCACCGTATTTACGTATAGAGGCCACTCATCCTTAATGACTCATTAAATATCATTTAGGAACAACGGTCCTTGCTATGTTATGTTTAGTAAGATGCAAATACCCTGGAACACGATAAACAAGTAGTATCGAGCAACTTACTTCGCTCACAAACAAAATATCATTGCAAGTTATATTACCTTACTAGAACTCTTTAACCGTTAAGGTTGTGGACTGAAGTCCTGCGTATGCTCTGTGCTTATTCAGTTCACTTATCCTTAATGACTCATGAAATATCACTTAGGAACAACGGCCTTTGTTGTGTTATGTTCAGGAAGATACAAATACCCTGGAGTAGTATCGAGCAACTTGCCTCGCTCACAATGACAATATCATTGCAAGTTACCTTATTAGAACTCTATAAGCGTTAAGGTTGTGGACTGAACTCCTGCGCATGCTCTGTGATTATTCAGTTTAAATCTTTATATGTTCTGTATAATTACTCGATTTTTCACTTTGCGATTTGCCTTAACAAGTAGAATGTACTTCATTTTGAAGTTCGGATAGTTACGTTTGTAAAACGATAGCAAGTTACTGTCTAGCATGAAGATATAAGAAACTAGGTGTAAAATAAAATTGTAAATATATAACAGGAATAAACGTTTGTTTTGATAAATTCTGGGACTTTATTTCTGTTGTACAGAGAGGAGAAGTGTGACGTAACGTCACCATGGTTGCAAAATTTCTGGATCTCAACATTCTTTCTCGATAGAAACGACCATCTGCATTGTCGAGCCATTGAAGAGAAGTACGGGCTACCGTTTTGTTTCCGAGTGCAATCATGCACAAGAAAGTTATACATGTCAATTTTTTCGTTTTGTTTCTGCCATATTTGCATGACCAAGGGGATCAGTTTAAGTTTCTGGAAAACTTTCCACCTACCACTCCCCTAAGCTAACATTAACACTTACCTCTCACTTAGGGCAAAATAATGACTTAGGGGAGGAGTAGGTGGGCAGTTTCTTACAAACCTACATTGATCCGACCAAGGTTTGTTGAGATCCAGAAATTTTGCTACCATGGTAACTACTTCTGCTCTCTTTTGCTGCTAACGTCGTTGACTGTGAAAAAAAGTTGTTTTTTCTCTGGCGAGGTTCTCCAGTATTCCCTTCCCCGCAAGTGCCAAAGTTAACAATTCCAATTTTCATACTAGATCTGGAAAGCATGGACACATAGATACCTTCAAACGAACTGTTTCCTTGATAAAGAACTAGGGAAAGTTTTTGCGATGTACCTGCCTCCTAGTAATTAGTCACCAACGCAACCGCAAGATTTTAGCCTGCGTAGCAGGCGCTTGGAAGTAGTGGGCGCAAGAAAGAACGGGCGCGCGAGAGGGAGACACGCGTGTCTCCCTCTCGCGCGCCAGTTCTTTCTCGCGCCCACTAATTCCAAGCGCCTGCTACACAGTCTACTGCAATTTCTTTTTAAAGGAACATAGGAGACAACCTCTTAGCCGTGTTCCAGGCGTTGTGATAGTGGTGCCTCCCCTTTTTTCCTTACTTTCTTCGATTCAGTTTTTCTTCACACCTCTCTCTATTTTGTCCTGTTCCCCGTTAACTTTTAGCCTGGAAAAGACTGACTCCTTGCCCATACTACCGCTTGTCTATCCCTGAGGAAAAAGCGAGGTGAATATTTGTTCGGGTAGCCTGTTCCAGGGGTTCAGATAGTGGGGAAGGCATGAAGATGCGGGGAGCGGAATAGACGGAAAGGGAAGCGGGGGAACTTCCTCCGGTTCCGTGGCTTTTTCCGTTCCGCTCTCTACTTCGCGTTGCTTCCCTCTATCTAAAAAGCTTGTGCACGGTTAGTCAGGTTAAATACGCGTAAAAATAGACGGTTTTTTAGAGCTATCTCTCTCCCAGTCCTGATGGAGGGGGCGAAAGTTTACCTCAGGGGACCTGCTTGTACTCGTCGGGCGACACTAGAGAGCCTATGATTTGACTAAGAGTGTCAGATCGTGTAGAACGTCTGAGTTTCGTGCTAGTTGTATCTTCCAAACTATCACTCTTTCTAGTTGTTGACTAGACCATTGAGAGACTGATAAGATGGTGTGATAATTAATTATTTGAGGCATACAAACTTAGTTTGAAGTCCTGCATGCATTGAATTTCCTACTTGTATTCCAATCTAAAGGTTCCTTCTCCCCCCGGGCAGGTACTCAGCAAATTCTTATACGGGCATGATCGGGAGGCTCCGCCCCGAGGTCCAACCATTTACCCCTTTCGTATATCTTCTATTGACAGATAGTTACCCCTTGACACATGTTGACATACCTTGATTTAGAACTTTCCATCACAACAGCAGAACGTTTTCTCGACTATTTCACAGCCATGAAATTCATCTGTTAGCCCTTTTGGGTCCTTTTACAGACCCAAATGACAGATTTCCCTAACCTTTCATATACTTCAACTAAAGGAATCCCAACCCTTTCATATACCTGAAGCCTGAAAAAGGTACCCCATTCGGGAGGAGCCTCCCAGTATAGGGAGTACTCCACCTGGCTCGAGGGCCTTTGTCCTTCTAATAGGTATAGTAGTCTGTGTGTTTAACCCAATATAAAAGATTGTAATAAAACCTTGTATGAAACGACTGGTCAGTCGCTATTAGACCGCATATAGTACTCTGTTCTATTTTTATACCGACCATGGCCATATGATTGTCGCGTCGGACTAAAATACAAAAATTCCTAAAAAGGAAAAACTCTTTGAATGCAGAGGTCCACGCAACGCGTAAATATAACTGACTGGTTCTTCTTGCCGGATCTCTCATCAAAGAGATGCTGTGGCCAGACGTCACTTAAAGTGTGAAATAAAACAAAACTGAATACAGGGCTGGCACTGCGGTAAAGGGCTGATTCATTATAGGCCAATATTTCTGCTAACAAAATTAGCCCTCCTCAGGGCCAGAGCCATACCGAGAGCAAAAATTTCTGATGATTACCCGTTTCTGTTTGGTTACATAACAACTATCTCACGCAATCAAACCAGATAATAAAAATTGCAAATTTATAAGAAAAAGGGTGTTTACACGAAGCTAAACTAAAGGTTAGATAAAGCCGCCAGTTGTTGATTTATCATATTACGATTATATTCAGATCAAGAAACCTTTTCACGAAATGCCTTTCAACTAAAGTACTTTACACCTTTTTTTTATCTGAACAACTTTGTACATGTTCAAGCTCCTGAATCAAATTGGAGTTTTTTTTCCTCGGTAAATTATAATAAAGAAAATTCCTCTTCGTTAAATATACTTTTTTGCCTTGGGAGGAAAAAATGTCTTTTGAGCACTGATAAACTCAGCTGTAATTTACGATCGGTTGACACCAGCATGTTAATTCGGAGTCTCTTACATCATTTATGCGATTGAAAAACCATTCTTAAAGATGAGCACGTCTTCTAGTCAATCGCCGGGCAATTTGTCACGTTTCTTATATTAGTTGCCTTAAGGCGACGGACTTGGTAAAAAAAAAGCTTTTCTCTTGCTTGACTGAAAAGGGACGCAATTTTTGCTCTGTGTTTAAATTGTTCACTTAAAAACCACATCGTCATTACTGCGGTTTTTGGGGTTGGCGGACGCGTTGCTGATTTGAAACCACTTCCGTCAGGTGGTAACGGTGCGTTGACTTCATATTTTTAACTTTCTTGTTGGAATTAATTGTCGCGTTCCCGTAGATTTATTTGGCAAGAAGCTAAAAATATACTTGGCTGGTAAAGCATGATACATTTCTTTCATTTAAGGAAGTGTTAAATTGACCTTCTTCCTGTTCTTCCGATTTAAGACGAATTAACAGAATAATTCAATTTTTAAATAAAAAATATCCAGTTTTCAGATGCAGATCATTTCAATTGTTACAGAATACCAAAGGAAGTGATTAAAACATTGTCAATATGCTAACACATTCCAGAATGTGATCACTAACTTACGTTGCAGTTACAATGTACTATGTTTACCTAGCGACCCTGACTATGCAAATGGCGTAACTGGGCTTCTCTGTAGTGTACGTACGCAGTCTATTTGCTGTTGTTCGCTGGCTATGGGCAGTTTTTTTCCTTATATTTTGTATCCTTATGCACAAATCTCAACCCACAAGCGAGGCTCGCTGTATATTTTCTATTGCTCATTGCCTCTTTTTAAATTGTATCCTTATGCACAACTCTCAAACCCACAAAAGGTCGAAGCAAATTAGACAGAGAGCGAGGCGTGGCACTATAAACTGAAGTACGCAGCACGTGCTGTTAAAAACAATAACATTACGGTTTTATGGTAATAATTCTACACTTAAAACTGCCTTAAACTCGATCGATCAGACGGACCGCTATAAAAAGATGCGGTTTCTATCAAGGAGTAATATAAATATAGTCGATGTTTTAAATGCCGCCCCCTTAGTTCAAGGTTAATTCTATTGTCAAGAAATACAATCTCGTCTACTCAGTTTTCACAATTAGTTAAGCCACAGGAAAGCCGTGGTTTGATTAGCTTCCAACGAACGTGCTAAATGTTAGCCAGCTATAATGCGCTGGTGGAAATGACAGACTGCTTAGGCCAGTTTGTTTATATCCGGTATCACTCAATCTGCATCATTGCAATCTAAACATACCGCAGGTTATTTTAAGCTCTTTTTAATTTGGGGATGATTGATCCTTTTTACCTTGTTATAATATTTTGTTTCACGAGAACGTGCAAAAATGTTTCCGAGTCCATGCATGTAACTTAGTATCAAAGATATTTGCAACCAACAGTTTGAAGTACGTACAGATTAGACTTTATTGCGGCGGGCAAGTTCCACTTGGTTCCCGTTCTCCATAATTTCTCATAAAATTCACTGTGTCATGAAAACATAATCAAACGATTACGATCAGAGCGAGAAACTCTAAAATACACCATTAATGAACTGCTTCAAAAGGTATATCTTGCCAAATTTCAGTTACAATACCTTGTGCTTCCTGTTGTGAATGCGATACCTTGGTCCCTACTGCTTTGCTTGCAGGAAAAGCCTTCGTTTCAAGAAAACCTTAGCTGCTTGCCTTGCTAACTAGTGAGAATTAAATTTACGATGCAAAGGTTGTTACCAGGCTTGCATTTTGCATCGATCGTGTTTTAGTTTTTAAGGGGGCTAATGCTTCACAGTTTTATTGTTCAAAAAAACACAACTAAGTATAATTCAATTATAGCTAGCGGCTGCTTCCCTTAATGATTCTGTTACGCCCAAAATACAGTGCTGTTCCAATTCATCTGAGCTGATCCACCTTTTACTTAATTCTGTTTAAGTGAGGAACGTCTGTTGCTAATTCTTCCATAAGGAGACTACACTGGTTACTTTGAGGAATCTGAAACTGGGAAACTGGGCCTGTCCTAAGAGTACATGTGTTGTTATTTTACGCTTTTTTGATGCCTTCCATTCCTGTAAAAGACTGCCAGTCATAGCTTAAATCATAACGCTAATTAATGACTTCTAATGACTGCAATGTAATACCTATAGAATTCATTTTTCGATTTTTCACAACTCATTTGAACTTAGCAAAATTAAAACTACAAAATCATTCAGAGATCAACCAGCAATCTGTCAAAATAATAGTGAGCGTCGGGGTGGGGGTGGGGATTCACGTCTTAGCCAATAAATCTCAGTGCGTGTGCCCTCTTCATTTGTAGTCAGTGGTTCGCGAGCAAACGCATATCTCTCCCTCTCCTTTCACAGAGCTGCTGTCCAGTCAGAAGAGCTTGCTCGCAGGCTCTTATTTTTCTTTATGCTTCATGTTCCTTTATTTCCTGCCAGCTGAAGCCTGTTTTCCCTGGTATTGGGCAGGCGCATTGGGGAGACAAAGCGCCATCTCCAGTGGCGGATCCAGACCTTTATGTAAGGGTGGAGGGTGGAGGGGCGGTCATCCAGATCCCTTGGGCCCCTCCTGATCTCCACTAACGTTTTGGGGAGCATCGCCGCTCCATCCTCAACCATGACCACTTGCCTAATACTACTCCTGTCTCTGAACATTTTAATTAAGCCGATCACTCCATCAACGATGTCCTTCTTTATATTCCCCTAGAACTAATCCGTAGCAGCCGTGACTCTGTCAGGAAGCAGGCGAGGCTCACCTCCTCGACAAAGCTATGACATTAGAACCCCGTGGTATAAATAGACGGTGAACTCAATTAGTGACATTTATCTTTTTAGTAGCCTATCATTTTCTGTTTGCTATTTATTCAAATCTCGCATATGTAACGTTCATCTTGTTTCTATATTCATTTTGCTTTTATAGCCCCCGTTGAAGGTTTGTGTTGCAAACTGAAATATCAGGCAAATATTATTCACCGCTTTATTTTTGTTTTCTTTCTTTATTTTTCCTACCACTCTTCCAGCAGTAAGGATCAGTCTACTGACCCTGACTCGTTTCTTTTTACTTACAGAATTAAGTAATTTTAAACTAGCATCATGAACTTAGATTTTTTTTAAAATAATTGTTAGTACCACAAATAACAATTCAAAGTCTTCGGATCCAAAAATATGCCCTGTTCAAGTCTTCTACACGTCGGTTATCTGGCTGATAACGTGGCGCGTTCAGACAGCAGAGGGCAAGCGAAACATTAACGAGGAAAAAAAATGAGAGGAAAAGTATCACCTCGTTGTTTCAACTCATTTACCCCGCGTATGATTGAACACGCCTCCCACCATCTGAACGCCTGGAACAGGATGGGTGGTGCAAAAAGAGACCGTCTACACTGGACTGTGTCTCACTTTGCACGCCAGACTAAATAGCCACTTTTATGCAGTATTTTTTGCAAATAAACCATAAAAGGAATAAAGTGCAGTTTCTGTTACAACTTGGTAAAAAGAAAAATAAATCTTTGCAATATTTTTTTACGTTGAAAGAGGGAAATCAAGCTGGCTGTCCTGTGGTTAAGATAGTTTATTACATGACATATCTACCTCTCACATGCAAAACCGCTGAATATTGAGCCCAACACGTGCAGAATCCAAAATGGTGCTGGATGAAGGAGAAATATCGCAAAATTTTGGTTTGGTTCGCCTTGTTGGTGGAGAATCTCTCGTATCTCAACGAACATTGTTCAGTAGTGATTCAAAGTGAGTAGTTATTTTAGTTCTTTTTTTGCCAAAACGGCGGTAAACATCATTGTTCTCTGTTGAATCGAATAGAGGGATAACTTGTTTGCATGTGCATTTGCAGGATTTTGTTTTGTTGTTGTGATCGAAGAATTCGCGTCTACAGCACTACAACTGGAGATTTAGTACGGGAACTCAGAGGACACGTTGGCAAAGTTGCAGATTTTAAAATAAACCCTAAAAATCATCTTCAGGTATGGGGAAACAATCGATAAGAGATTGTTGTAGCTAACAACTAATAAACAATAATTGTTACTGGATGAGGGCATGAACTGTTCACATTTTGCTACATATATATTTTTTTGGTCTGAAGTGGCTTCAGTTGATATCCCAGGCCCAGGGGGTGGGGGGTACTTCGTTATAAGAGGCTAATGGGGATGTGCCGCTGGATGGGGTCGCATTTTCACGACTGGTTTGACTCTAATGGGGTCGCATTTTCAACAGTGTTACTAGAATGGGGTCACACATTTCAGATTTTTTGGGGTAAGACAGTTCTTCATATTTACGGTTAGCAAATGTACCAAAATGTTTGTATTGCCAATGAAAAGTTTAGTGTTCTTCATTCAATCTAAAAAATGGGTCAGTTCATAAAAATAGATGGTGACTAAGTTGGGATCGCAAAAATTACACATTTACCCAAAACTGACTAAGGTGGGGTCTATAATTGGCCACTGAATAAACTATAATGGGGTAGGGGCTCTGAGAGGCAAGCAGCACATACCCAGCAAAAATTTACCCAAGTAACCCCCCACCCCCACCCCCCGGGATCCCAGGAGGGGTGCTGTGGATTTCAAGTGACAGGGATGATTGAATGGGGGAAAAAAATCAAAGCCCAAAAAATCCCTAGAGCTTCAAACAAAACCCAAAAAATCCCTGGACCAAAATTTAACCCCCAAAAACTCCCATGCCGATTTTCCCAGTCATAAAAATTCCCAGAAAGCATTAAATGATATAACCATCATGAATATTTAGATTGTTTTGAATACCCCCAAAACTCTCTTGTTAAATGAAGCTGCCCAAAAAATACTTCCCGAAATTTTCCTACCCAAACAAATCCCAAAACTGAAAATTTCAAACCCAAAGACATCCTTCGATCATCCCTGTCACTTCAAATCTGGAGTACCCCCTCAGGGACTACAACAACCATGCTAATCAAATACCCAATCAACAAGGTGTGAAACAATGATTTTTTTTTCTTTCAATAAGTCAAAAAGCATGCAGTGGTAAACAACATTCATCTATTGCATTTTTTTTATTTTCAGCTAGTTTCATGTTCATCAGAGGGAGAAGTTATTTATTGGGATTACACAGATGGACGCATACTGAAGGTACAAATGAGAAAAATCTTAAAAGCCTTGCATAATGTGTAAAATCTTCCATTATTTTCTCGAGCTCTGCACTTCCAGACGGCTAATGAGTCACTGCTTTTTTGTATAACATTTGTATTTCTGTGCCTCCCTTTTTCAATTGAGAGAAAAAATGGTAGCTAGAGTGTAGTTTAATATTACCTGTATATTGAATAATGTATTATAATGAACTTCAACGAGAAAGTCTAACTTCAGGTAAGATATTCTTTGAAATTAATTTTTTGGTCTTCAGAATGAGGTAGTAAACTGATTTTTAGTTTTAATAACAGTCAAGCCAGGTCAAGCGTAGCGCCCAAAATTCCAGTGAATTTATTGTGAAAGGTTTGAACCCAGGAGTCATTTCATAATGAGGTCGCGTATGATCGTCCGGGTGGACAGACAGGAAGCAGTATGCAAGATGAAATGCTGCGACTGCTAGGCTACTTACATTTGTAAAACCTTAGCATGCGACTGACCGAACACAAACGAACAACAAGAAATGGTGATGTCATCAATCACATTGCTGAGCACCATTTACAGATGAAACATCAAATCGACTGCAACTCTGCAAAATATATTACGTATTCTACAGACTACTATCAGTGACTCACTTTAGAAAGCTGGTTTACTAACTTAGAACAAACGCCACTGACTGGTAGTCAACAGTTGCCAGCACTGTACAGATGACTTATTGACAGAATCAAGCAAAACTACAGTAACTACGAGAGAACTACTGGTCAACTGACAATTTGACTAACAATAAATGACCGTTTAACTGAGACAATAGACGGATCGAAATGCACCAATGACATTACGAGTCTTCATATCCAATAACATCACAGCTTAAATGACAGATAACCAATAACATCAAGACTTAATTGACCAATCAGGTTGATAACCAGAGTTTAATAACATCAATTGGCGTGATACAACTCACTTCGACTCTGAAGATGACTATTGCAGAGGTTGTTGAAACGTCAGTCACTGTCAATGACAACAGTGCTATTCAGGACTACGTTCACCTGGACAATCATACTTAACCTAGGTATGGAATGAATTTATCATTTGAAAGTTGAATCTTTTATTGTTGCTGCAATCAGTATCAAATTCATAATAAGCAGTGAAATTTTTCCAATAACTTCTCCGCATTTGGTCAGATTGAACTATCTTAGAATGGACATATTATTTTGCTTTGAAGACATTACATAAAACTCAACAAAACTGTACTGGTAAAAATTTTGTAACTACATGCGCATACCTCACTTGTGAATTTATGCTCATAACACTTGCAGGAATGCAGAGACAACTACCAATGGATTCAATTTTCGAATAATTAAGTCAATAATGGAATCTTGGAGGGTACCCTTGATCTTGCTTCATTGTAAATTAGTCACCATTTTTTGGATTAGGCCAAGAATTTGCTTTGACTGGTGCAAGGCAAACACCAGTTGGCTGTTCACAAGCATGTTGCATCAAAATTAATACAGCTACATGTAGCAGTGTGGGCAGCAATCCAATGGTCAAAAGTGTGGCTTAAATCTTTTCTTTTTATGTTCATAGAGGTACAAGTTTTCTGGTTTTACTTTGGGTGGTTTGTTTCTTCATCCTGCACACAATGAAAGTGTCTTTTTAATTATCATAAAGAAGGATCCTACAAAAGGTAAGTTTATTGTTAAACTAAAAGGCACTGGTTACCAGCAAAAGGGTTAACCCTTTAAGCACCAATAGTGACCAAGATCAATTTTCTCCTTACAATATCCATACATTGTTAAGAGATAAGGTTATGAGAATTAATAAAATGATCACCAAAGAGAAAATGCCTTGATCTTTTATTAAATTCTCTCAACTTATTCTTAAAGGAAATGTATGGATATCAGTGTGGAGAATTTGTATTTTGATATTGGGACTTAAAGGGTTAAATCTAAATACTATATGATTCTCTACTGTAAAACTGTATAAAGATGACAGCATGGGCACCAGTTTATTTGGAAGTACTAAACTAAAAAGAAATTCAATAAAAAAAATTTTTTGGCTCTCTGTTAATGTTACTTTGATATATTTTTCTCAAATATGTAACTCTGCAGGAGTGTTGTGTGAATGGATAATGCCACTAGATAATGACTTTAGCATAGAAGTGACCTAAAACAGCAGTGCCCTCGTGAGAGCCCCTTTATGAAAATTTAATCTTAAAATCTGAAAGGTGTGATTTTACATTGGTACTCAGTGTTCATCAACTCAAAGAGGACCCTTGTTTTTTAAAGGCATTAACCCTATTTATTTGATGAAATCTCTCATTTGATTTTATTTTTCAAATCCAAAGATAAAAGACCAACAACTAAAGAAGAGAAGAAAGAACAGAAGAGAAAGTTAAAAAACCCTGACCCTGAAGAATGCAGCGTGGGTGTCTTTGATCCTAGAAGTTGTAAAAAAGCTGCACATGCAAAACTGAGTATTTTTCTTGAAACATCAGGGAACTCAAAACAGACTACAATAAATGGCGAAGTAAGTTTTGTAGACCTGTTTTTGTGGCTTCCACTTTTAATAAGGTCTAATTTTCTCATCTGACATAATCACACAACAGGCAGTGTGCAAAAAAAATCATTTTTACAGCTTGCCATTTGGGCAGGCTGAAGCTAGCATTTACTAGCCCAGACATCATTTCAACTAGCCCCAAAAGCTTTTTGATGAGTAGAATTGATTTCACAGTTCTTGTTATTTGAATTCCAGCAAAATCCACTAGCCCCAGGCTATCGGGCACTACTTTCTTTGCACGCTGACAGGGTTCGTACAGGTCATGGAAAACCTGGAAAGTCATGGAATTTAAGAATTTTATTTTCCAGGCCTGGAAAGTCATAGAATTTAATTGTTGGTCCTGGAAAGTCATGGATAATTTAAGTTATGTTTAAAAGATTAGTTTCTGCAGATGTCAAAGTAAGGACTATGTAAGAAAGCAGAAGATAGAGACAAGTAATTAAACAGCAAACAAAACGCATTTAGGTGGATAATGGTATTTTTTGTGTCTGTTGAACAGAGTTAAAAAAACATGAAACAAGGATAGTTTTGAAAATTCAAACATGACAGCTATAAAGCGTAGGGTAATGGAGAGCTTGAAACAGTCATAGAAAAGTCATTAAAAGTCATTTAAATTTATTTGTTTAATTAATTTTTTACACAGGGAAACTTACTTGCATCTGCCCTTGGTAGATCATTGCACTTGTGGAGTTTCACTTCTGAAAGATTAAATTCGTAAGTTTTTCATTGTGTGCAGTTTAAGAGTAGCAAACTTTCTGAGTTTCGTTTTTCATTTACTGATCAATGTGTCAAGATGAAATCGATCAGGAACTTGAGTAATTTTAATTTTCAGTGGCCAAACCCCTTGTACCAGAATAATAATTTAAACCGTATTGGATTCTTTTTTTTACAGTTTTTCAAGGGCTATAGATGTAATTAGTTACCCGTTACAACACCAAAGACATTTCTTATGGCAGCCAAGAAAATGAATTTAAGATTTCACAGGAATTGTGAAAACACAGGTAAAATTTCATGTGTGCATGTAAGGCTTCATTTTGTTAAATTATATGAAATTTATTTCCTCTGGCTCCCATCAGAATGAAATTTATTTTCTCTGGCTCCCATCAGAAATTTTCTTTCAATTTTATTGATGTTATTACAATAATAACCAATTACTTCTATAGCCCTTGAAAACTGTAAAAAACAGTGTAATCAATTTTGCTTTATATTATTCTGGTACAAGGCTGAAAATTAATATTACTCAATTTTCTTTTGTTATGTGTAACTTGCATGTTTGCTATTTTCTTACTTTTTAGCTTTACATACAAGTTTGCTCGATTTACTTGTGCATCATTTCACCCTTCAGAAGCATGTGTAGCTGCCGGGGAAGGAATAGGAAAGATTATTTTATGGTGAGAGTTTCGTACTTGTTGTAGATGTGGTATTTATAGTAGTGATAGTGGAGCTCCATGTGTGCTCTTCGCATGCACGAGCAGAGCATTGATAGAATTTTTCAATTATTTTCTCTCAGTTTTTATTGGCATTACACTGGGTAGCTAAAATGCAGGGGTGTATTAGCGTGGTTTTGAAAGCCACATGCACCTTCAGGTTACCCAATAGCTATAGTGCAGGGATTCATGTGTAAGTAGGGGTCAAGAGTTTATGACTGAATGCTAATTAAAAGCTTCCACAAAATTTCAAGTAAATTTTTGTTCCACCTCAATACACTATTTAAAGGTCCAAAATTAAAAGCTCTTGTAATGAAACAGCTTTTACATGTAGACGTGGGTTTGTCTTAAGTAGACTACTGCTTAAACACTATGGTGATTGTATGAAAATCTATTTAATACCACGACAGTATTAGCTCAGTCGGTAGAGTGCTTGACTGCGGAGCAGGAGGTCACAGGTTCAATTCCAGGGACCTGACCCATACTCAGGGTCTTAAAATAACTGAGAAATGAAGGTACTTCCTTTGCCTTGCAAATGGCTAGACCTTCGTGTAGCTTGGATGACCACGTAAAATGGTGGTCTTGTCTCCAGTAGGAGACGTCAATATAGTGTCCCCAATTAGAACTTTCATGCTAAATACGTTGACACTTTAAGTAAAGTGCAATTTTTTCAATACCAGGCAAGGTCTGGATCAGTTGGAGTCACCAGCCACTATGGTTTTACACTGGCATCCACATCCTGTGAGTGATGTGGTTTTCACAAATGATGGTATGCTATTTTTAACACTTTTATGTGCACTGATCGTAGGACTTTCTGGCCACTATTTAATAATTAACAATTAATGAATGAGGAAGAGTATCTTTATATGAAGAATTATGGAGATCAAGGAGGGTGTTATTACTCTTGAAACAAGTGAAATGACCACTGTTTTTGTTTCCACAACCAAAACAACTCAACCTCGTCCCCAGGTCTTCTCGGTTAACGGTGCCTTAACCTGGACGAACGCTGCATTTTCGACGTCTTTTCCTCGTTAAACACAAAATTCTTCCAAATTTGGTCATCAGTAACTGGTTTTGGTGAATTAAACGTGTGCTTTTAGCCAATCAGAATCGGGGAACTATTTTGAATGAATAATAATAGCATTTAAATGGTTAACCACATTCCCTGGAAGCATGATATACATCATTGTAGATAGTGTTGTGAGACAACACATTCACAGATTCCATTTTCCTACTAGCAGGAGTAATATAAAAAAAATTCCATTTCACTCAGCATAGCCCGGTTCTTTTGCAAGTGGCTTTTGCTAGCTCTGAAAGGGACAAGTTCACCAAAGAGAATGATCCACCCTCAGATCTGCATAGCTGAGATTGAAATCTAAGTTTGTTGCTTGCTACATGTACATGTAGGAATACTTTTTAGTAGATCTAGATTTAGATTTGTATGTAGGATTGCTGCCATGGATTAGTGTTCCTCTTCACTGTACATTATTAATCTTGCAGAAATCTCATTACTCTGGTAGTTTATCTCTTATTTAGTTTTCCCATTTGAGCAACTCCTAATCTTGGGAATCCTGTAGTACTTGGTTCTCCTGTGGTTTTCAGGGATGACCTTTCTTTGTTCATGTGCATTTTTGGCGCCATTTTGAATTATGTGCATGCGCATATCCCTCTTGATTACGTCAACAACCAACAACCAGATGATGAAACTGATGTCGAAAGCACAGAGGTATTTGAGTTCAGTGAGGGAATGAAATTTGGAGTTGTTTTCAAAGCAGGTTTTATCACTAGGGATGCAGTTTTGTCCTATGGTACTTTTCTTATTGTTACAACACTGTTAGGTCAAGTACACATGTCATTTTTTCGTTTTTAAAGGTTCTAACCTGCTTTCTGTTGGAGAGGAGGGGGTGTTAGTTCGCTGGCAATGGAAAACACATGAGCAACAGTTTCTTCCCCGATTAGGTGCTCCAATTCATCACGTCGCAGTTAGTCCAGATGATTCATTGACTGCTATCAGTCAAAAAGATAACAGTAAGTTCTTATTAACTATTGTTTTTACTTTTAAGTGTATCTGCCAGTTATGGCTGGATATGTTACCTTTCTAGAAAATACATGTAGGCCATTTAGATGACCATTTAATATTTAAAAATGGCCAAGATTTAAATTGATGGACAGCCCTTTGCATCTCATGGCCGCCGAGATGCTCATTAAGAGTCTGCAGACACTTTTTCATTTCTCAGAAATAATAATGTAAAACTCATTAGACCCAAATTTAAATACCAGTCTTTGGTGAGATGATTGTCTTAGTAAATTTCCATACTGCCCTCAGGTCATTTTTTTCTGATGGAAATGAAACATTAATACATAGTCCTCCTACTCAGAAAGCAGCCCTAACAATTGAGTAAACTAATATTCTACCATATTTATGTCTTAAATTCCAGTTATCAGAGTAATTTGTAACACAGAGAACAAGGTAAAGCGCACTATCCAGGGTTTAAGACAAAGTAAGTGGAGATGTACTGTAAAAAGTCATAATGCAGTAAATAAACATGTAAAAAGTGACGAGGGAATGATCCAACGTTTCGGCGACATCATGACATCGTTATCAAGGAATAGAAAAATAAAAATGCATCATGATGTCACCGAAATGTCGAAACATTATCTCCTTACTTTTTACAAGCATATGTTTCTCAAAATCACCATTAGAATACAGTTAATGCTCAAATTATTGTCCCACTTCAAATCAGTGTACCCCCTTGAATTAGCACTCCCTTGAGGCTGAATATATCAAATAAGCATCCCCCTTTGAATAAGAGCACCCCCCCTCACTTAACACCCTGCCCCTCTTTTCTGCATAAATTATACAGTAAACAGTATGTTTATGTTCAATAAAAATAAATGTAGTGATCTCCCAATCTCAGCCTGCTCTGGAAACTCCTTGGTGACTTAAAAAGTCCTTGAATACTCTTTGAATTGTTATAACCCAACACAGACATTAGTTTTTTGTACTTATATGTACAACATTAATTTTTTTGTTGGTAATGTTTGAAGATAATACACATGGTAATGATTTTTTTCCTTGGTAGTTGACAATCTTCACATGGGTATTGTGTTTGATCCTCGGTCGAAAGCTTTGGTGACAGGAAACATGCCTGGCATTTTACAGTTTTACATGCCCACAACTGACCACCATGCTCTCTCTGTAAGTTTACTCGAGTTTTTACAGTTTTAGTGTTTTCATAAAGCTTACTACAAAGTAAATTATAGTAAAACTTCCATTTAAATTTAATGTCATTTCTCTGGTTACCAATGTGGTGCTACCCAGTGGTCCCTGTCATTTACAAGGGGAAATTATCAAATTGACAAGAATTTTCCATGGTCTGTACTGTTATTGACCACAGAAATGATGTCAGAGTGTTTAAAACTCAAGTGGAACCATTAGCTGCAGAAGTGTGTTTTCACTGCAAAGTTTTAATGTCAGTTTTGTGGTTGATAAGAGTATCGACCATGGAAAAATGTTGATTTTTTTTTAATAACATTGACAGGTCTTTACGTCCATTTCCAGCAAAGTTTCTCAGTCATTCTTGCAGGAGAAAAAAAAAAAAAAAAAATTATGCCATCACCAAATCATTTCCATAATCTGTATAATTCTTATTGACCATAACTCTTGACCAATCAGTAGGGAGAAATCACTCGATCAGTTATTGTAAAGACGTAGATTTCTGGCTGCTGGTTTTCTTTTGCCGCCATCACTGTCCTTGCATCCTATGGTCTCTATTGATGACTGATGGACAAAACAACTCATTGATTGATTGTGTGGCTCTCTTTTCCCTTTCCAGCTTGATGTTGTACAGCAGAACTATGTGCCAGGCAAGCAAGGCAAAAGAGGTGCTCTGGTCTATACCAAAATTGATCATGTTGCATTTAATGATGATGGACAGTGGTTGGCAACTGTGAGTGTGTGAGCTTATAAAATAATGATATTATTGGATTAGGTTTTTGTGATATCAAGAATGATCAAGGCCTCAAACAGCCACCTGCTTTAGCAGAAAATTTTATCTTTTTTGTTTTGGCTTTTTTTTTTCTTTCTAATCAGGGATGTAGTTTTAATTAAATTTATAACAGATGGGAAATGGCATTTGATGGGTGGGTAATATGAGAAGAATGCAATGTTTTTCAGCTGCAAAAATCTCGTTGACAGCCAGGTATTTTTCCTGGCTCCTGGTTATTATCTACATATCTGCATCCCTGTTGCTTGTTTCTTTCTTTCTCTTTTTTTTGCCATACAATGTAGAAAACATCATTTTAATGATTACTGGAAAAAACTGCTAATCTCTTTGGGCTAAAAATGTTTCTGATAATTCTTTAACCAGGTTGAGAGAAGAGATGATCACAAGACAGCTAGGGAACTGAGGCTTAAGTTCTGGGAATACAATAAACATGGTCAAAAGTAAGCTGAGTCTGACCTACAAGACTCGCGTTCAGAGCATGTGTTGAATATTTATCTAATTATATTATCTGTTAGTAGTATGTACCTGTGTTGTTAGTAGTATGTACCAGTATTGTCACTATGGTCCCCAAACATGTAAACACCATGTTGATAAGTGTGCAAGTGTATAGCCTGCATAGCAAGCATTTCTGTGCGGTTTCGAGCAAAGAATGAGGAACGAGAGTCAAAGACTGTGCGAAAAATGGGGCGGGTAAAAGAGCGGGGAAGGGGTGGAAGAGTCCTTCCTCCCCCCCCCCTTTTTTTTTGGCTCTCATTCTATTTTTCACGCGGCCAAAACCGAAAATCCGGTTCCTCATCGTTCCTTGGTCGTTCTTTGCTCAGAACCCACACGGAAATGCTTGCTACATAGGCTAGCAAGTGTATTTACTAGTGTATTGATCCAAAGTGTAAATAGTGACAAAAACAATGGGCATAAACGACCATTAAAGCTGCCTTTCTACTTCAAAACACCCTTTGACAAATTACTTCAAAAATGCCCATCTCTCCAAAGTGGCGCTCCTGAGTTTAAGTCAAGAAGTAGTAATTCTTTATCGTGAACGTACTCAAAAGAATAGCAGAGGAAAAAAGACGGCAAACCTTGAGTGACAATTTTGACAATAATTCTGTTTAACACAATTTTCCGCCGAATTCACCTTCCTTTAAGAAGATCTTTCTGTAAAAGACCAGAACACAGTTATGCTAAGTGAAATGACGACAAAACACGCAAGTAATAGCCCTGGTACACACAAAAACACCACCATCCTGTTGCGTAAGCTCAAAACTAGACTACAAGCAGTCTCTAGAGCTTTTTTCTTTGTCCGTCGATTTTAACGCCAGAAAAAGAGAGAGCTCGCAGTCTAGCTTACAACTGAAGACAGGCACAGTTCTCAGCACTGAAAGGATACATGTACATTATGGGTGAAAAACAAACAGGCCATTTTCTAGTTCAAAAACTGTCATTTATCATTTCCATTTCAATGGCTTCACACCTAGTCCCACTTTGAAACAGAGGCTTGTAGCAACTCGGAAATGGCCCATTGGTTTTCATGTCTTCCTTTCCTGAATTTTCGATTATCCACATACAAATTCTCCAAACTGATCTCTATATATTTCCTTAAAGAATAAGTTGAGAGAATTTGATAAAAGATCAAAGTATTTTTTCGTCGGCGATCATTCTATCAATTCTCACACCTTTCCCCCTGATTGTCTTTTGACATTGTTAAGAGAAAATTGATGTAGGTCACCATGGGGACTTAAACAGTTAATTGAAGCCACATGCACTCCTTGAGTGCCTATTTTATGTTTTTTGATCCTGATGTTGTCCTTGTTCTTCATGCTTTCAGTTATGAAGTCAACACTTGTGTCGACCCACCACACGAACAGAAAATTGTAGCTTTGCAGTTCCAGCCACAGAAGAGAAAAGACCCTGATGTAACTCAACTAGCAGTGACAGCTGGTGCGGATGGGAAATTTAAAATCTGGGTCCTTGGTGAAGAAAGACTTGGAAGAAGTAAGAATAAAGAAAAAAATTATAACGACGGGTACCAAGGGAAACAGGTCTAAACTATTGTTTTGTTTTTAGCCTCGATGTTTCCCAAGGTTCTGTTATTGAGATTTGAGGTAATTGCGGGTGACGAGAGGAGCCCGCAATCCTAATCTTCAGGTTGTTATTACGCATGCGTCACGTGTGTGTAGCCAGCATTTGTTTTGACTTCCACAAAGAATGAATGCAATGCACACAACGCAATCTGATGACGCGAGTTTGGATCTTCTATCACACGTAATCTGATCACGCGTGTTTTGACCATCTGTCACGTGAAACTTCCGCAAAGCACAACGTTGGAGCAAAAGCGTATTGCTTATTTCTTTATGGAACTGGTGATTTGTAATAGTGTAGCAAAAAAAAGATGATCGATACCAAGTAGCAGTCAACATTGAATAATTTGTAAAATAGAATTGATCTCATAGATTTTGAAATGTTGCCTGCTCAGAGATGAATTACAAATGAAGCCTTGGCCTTTATTATTGCTGTTCTTTAGGCAATAGACATTCTTGGTCCTGTCAATCAGTTGGTTTCTATGACAACACACCATGTCAAGATGCAGCGTTCTCTCAAGATGGCTCACTTCTTGCCGTGGCTTACTCTCAGGTCTGTAACGTACTACATAACGCACGTTATACAGAATTCTCTCTTAAATGGCCTGTTTAATAATGTTTTTTAAAGTGTTGTGGGTAAAATCTGATCTCTGGTTGAACTTTCCTGCGACGAAACCTTCCATTTTGTGGCAAGCCAGTGGAGAATGGGCGATCCACGAGGGGTAAACGCTCTCGCTTCTCCTTTTGCGTGTTGCACGCGCGTGACTTCTCACGATATATCCCACATGGACAGCTTTTCGCAGGTGAAGGTTAAACCGGAATTAAAACCAGTTTAATTCAGAACTTTCTTTGTTTTCTAGACCTAATAATTCATACAAGGAAAAGGAAATTCTGCTTTAACCTTAGAACGGAATTCACCCGCAATAAAAGTTTCAATTATTGACCCCCTTCTTATAGATTGCACCAGTATTAATTTAAATACACCTATTATACATCTCAAGGCTCGCATTCAGACTTTCATATCTTGTCCTCAGTGCAGCAGCCTTGTAAACCTCGTACGTAGGCCACCGTTAAAGACGTTTACCCTCGGAAAGTGTATTAAAGGTAAAGTTCTTCCTTTTTGTTGTAATATTGCAGACAATCACATTATGGACGCCTGAAACAAATGAAATGAGAAAAACCCTGGCTTTACCTTATCCGGAAGAAGAGATCAAGTAAGACTCGATAATTTTATCACATAACTGAAGTTACGATAGGTGTACTCTGACGTATTCATTCTGTGAAACCAACTCATCATCCAAGTATAGTGTGCATTCTTATTGCCAAACTTGAGTTAAAACTAATGGCATAAACTGCACTGCACTGCGGTGCTCTTGAAGAAAATCATTCGGCTAAGAAAGGTCAAATATATGTGGAGTGGAAACAATCATCAATATTTTTCTGTGCTTTATCATTCTCGTCCCCAGAGCCTCCTGTTCCCTTAGCCGGCGAGGCCTGAGCACGAGCACAGGTCCTTCTGCTCAGGCCTTGCCGGTTAAGGAAACAGGAGACGCTGGGAACGAGAATGGAGCTTTATTGGCTTGGACTTATGACTGTGATGTTGGCCCATTGTACTGGGTCTAGTTAACTTTCGCAAAGACTTCTGGGACTGTTATTAGGGACAAGGAAAAAATTGGCCAATAGCTGACCGGCGCGTCCCCAGTAACGATCCCAGAATGAATTGCGGGACACATTTAGGCTTCAGTCCCCTCTTCGTTTCTAAAGTGGCGACCATGTTGCACTCACAGGTGGTAAGGAGCTAAAATGATGTGGTTTTTCGGTGTGGCCCTATCGAAGCTCACAGCAGTGTTTTGTACCGTTGTGAGTCAAACAGGTGCCTAGAAAAATATTTTCCATCAGGTCGCTAATTTGGTCTGTTTCTGTGCCATCTTAGCATCACCCAGGAAAATAACAAGCTCTGTGAAGCTTTCCATCGTTGCAACGTTTTTTTAGCTGTCTCCTGATTAGGAGAAGTCTTCACGTTTGTTGGGAGGTTGTGAACTGAAACTGGGGTCAATTATGACATGTTTACTCATCGTTCACTCATGTTTTCTCGTACTTTTCAGGTAAAAAGGATAGATAAAAGGTCGCTGCCGACAATGCTCTGGCCATGCGCAATTTCCCCAATAAGTTGCACGGGCATACCGATTAAACGATAAATTAATTATTGAGCTGGTTTCGCAAAATATATTGTTTTTGCTCACCCTCGTTCAATATTAGGGAGCTTAGGCAACAACGACGGCGACGGCAACGAGAATGGCAACAAAGCAATCGGTTTATATTGGCAAAACAACAACTTTGCACGTGCATCACGTTTTTTTGTACATTTCTTAGCCGTCGTTGCACGACTACGACGTGAACCTTCCTAATTTCACGTTTTGTGGAGGACGTGATAACAAGACAACAACTTCCTTTTTCTTTTCCTGAACTTCGATACAGTCTTTTAGAATTCTACTCCAAAAAAATATGCCAAAATTTGACAAACTGAACGAGATGGAATCAGCGCGATAAAGTTTGAGGCAGGGCGAATTCGCTTTTTAAGTGACGTTTTTGCTGCCTTCGCCTTCGTTGTTTCTTAAGCTCCCTATTGCTTATCGGTGCGCGGCTAAAAGTAGGTATAATAATTTTTTTTTTCTTGGTTATTTTCAGGAGTATTAAGTTCGGTAACAACAGTTCTTCTCAGTACTTAATCTCTATTACTAATCAGTATCTCACGGTCTGGAATCTTCTTTCCTGTTCAGGTAAGTTATAGTCGTGACATCCTTGTAGCAACAGGGCAGGGAAAACTGTCGTTAACTCGCGCTTAAAGCGTACGATAGCCTTCATATGTGGGTGTTATACGTTTTAAGTAAACGGTGCCAACTTTCCTCACTTGCAGCCAGTGGCTGAATAATGCGGAGAAACCAGAGAGGTGAGATCGGACGTCAGCATGTAAAGGCGCACTATGTAGCCGCTCCAGTCCATGTTTGGTCTCACCTCACCCACCCAGGTCAATGACGGCGCAAAACGCGAAACCGTGGCCTTCATCCTTTTTTTTTTCGAGCAATGTCAATGGTTCCTTAACGGCCCCTTCCAACTGTTATGTAAGGATGAAGGAGACAAGGCTAACACCTTAACGTCACCGCCAATGACGCCATCATCTGAGCAGGGAAAAGGTTTTAATCACCGCTAGTTATCTAACCAGTTTTAAAGACCTTGATTGGTGTTTGAAACCTGGCCGGGGTTTGAACTCGCTGCCTCCCGCTCAGCAGACTTCCCCGCAAACATTTTGTTGCTCAATTGTTATATCGTTTGGTTTATCCTTTATCCTCTATGATTCGTTTCTCTTTCAGTTTGGTGGAGTGTGGAAGCTCCAGTAACAAGCCTGGCAACTGATCCACAGTCACACCTTATGTGTACTTTTGTTGCCTTTAACAAGAACAAGTCACATCGTGAGTTAGTTTTATGGTGTAGATTGTTAGCTGATAATGCATGTTGCTTTAATCAGCTTTATTGGCAATTGTAAATAAATGTTATTAAATAAATAACGATTTAGCACGTCCACAAGGTGGTGAAGCGAAGCGATAGCGATAGGCCTAACGATAGCGTCCTTCAAAACATTCCCGTGGTGCAATCTGACACAACGCCGACCCAGTCTCTGATCCAATCTCAAAAGAGCTAATGTGAGCAGCCATACTTGGCGTAGTCTACCTCGCAGCCGGTTTTGTCTAGTAGTGAGCTTACGCAAGAGGACGGGAGAGGAAAGGAGTCCGCAAACCTTGTGTGACAAGCGTGACAATAATTTTGTTTGAAAAAATTTTCCGCCGAACTGCACCCTTCTTTAAACAGATCTTTTTGTAAAAGACCAGAAAACATTAACTTAAGTGAAGATCACGACAAAACACATGAGTAATAGCCCTGTCACTTTTGTCACACATAAGCGTTTTGCCGTCCTCTTCTTTCTGCCGCTCTGTTTCGTAAACTCACTAGTATCATATTGCACGCTATCCTTCATTTTAAATTTAAACGTCTTAGCTGGTTTACCTAGTCATCTGTATGACCCTGAAGAAGAAAGGCCGTGCCTTTCGAAATAATGGCAACGATTAAATTATATTCCTAACTGTAAAATCAGCCTTGCTTCTTTTCGGTATTTTCTCAGTGTACATTTTCGACCCAGCCTCCCCTCGTCCCGTGGCAGTGCAGGCGGCTGTATCTAGGAAAACAGACATCATTGCTGCAGCGTTTTATCCCACAAGTTTGGTACGCGGCAGCACGGAAGGACACAGTGCTAAAATGTCCAAACTTTACTTTTTGACGGCGAAACAGGTGAATTCTTTATTCTGTGAGTTTTTGTTCGGATCATTATACCTCGCAGAGAAACTGCCCACCTACCCCTCCCCTAAGCCAACCTTTACACTTACTTCTCATTTGGGGCAAAATGTTGGCTTAGGGGAGGGGTAGGTGGGAAGTTTCAAGAAAAGTATAATGATCCGTTTTTTCTTAGGTTACAATCACACGGCACCGGATGAATTTTCCACCAGCTGAAAAACTTGACCAGACACTTCGTTCACACGGGACCGTTTAATATTTTCGCTCTGTTCACACGGAACTTTGAACGGCTAGGCGTCTAAATTTTCGTGCGATTAGTGTGGTTCCGTTTGATAGAAACACCTAAACGCGCGAGTTTTCAATAGGTCGAAAATTCGTTTGGTATCTTAGATGTACTTAAAATGTGTGCTTTTGAGCGTGTACGATTTATCAGTTTCTGATACACTCTTTCATATTTCTTGCGTTTGAGTGCTCTATTTTGACAACTTTTTCTTTCATTTGCCATCCGAGGAGCCTTTTAGTCGCGTCAGTTATCTCGCGGCAAGTCCCTTTTTTCCAGTGAACTAGCCAATAGCGAAACCAGTCGCCTCTTGGCTTTTTGCAGCAATTTCAGTGTTCTTCCAACGCCTGTTTCTGAATGTAGGATTTGTGTACTTTTACAAGTCAAATGTTTTCAGTTACCTACCGCTGGATTTTTTTCCCGCGCCTTTCGCCATCTAAAATCAGTTTTTCAGAGTGCTTTTTGCCTCCCATAATACACCGGCCTTGTTTGCCCTCTAAAATGTGTCGTCAATATCTCTTTGGACGACTGTTATACCCAGGAGAAGTTAAAAACAAAGGTTCTGTAACATTTGGGGGGCAAACAAGTTGTGTCCTCTCCGATTTTATTTTGCGAGAAGGGAGCGGCTGTACACAGGCTAACAAGTTGGGAGACGCGCAAATGGCGAATTGTATCTCTACTCGCCTATGCGCCGTAAATTTTGATGACTCAACCTGGCTGGCAATCTGGTTCCCAGGGCCTCTCCTCTTCTACAGCCGTTTAGATCCCGCCTCAGGGTTTATGTGTAAGCTTCATAAGAGCAATGGTTAATGGCTGTTTCTTTGTGTCCAATTAGCCAAGGAGTTTGTGATACAATAATGTCACCACTGGTGTTTTTAATTGAATTTCAGGAGCTCTTCACTCTAGACTGCGAGGAAACTACGAGCGAGGAAAACAACGCAACAACATCACAGGTAAAAACGAGATGACATCATCCATTGGTTAGCTGGTTACACCGAAACAAATGTGGCTTCCCATCTATATGATACACCTTGACCTTACTTTCAACATTTCACACCCGCCGGCGAAGAAAAGCATTTTTTGTTTGTTTGTTTGTTTTTCAAAACGTTATTTATATACCTCCATGGCTTTCCTCATAAGCACAGAAACAAAAGAACAAGGCCCTTTGCAGCTAGCCATTTATGTCGTACAAAACCATCATGCTGGAGAGCAAAAGTCGCACTGGGACAAGACAAACAGAGGAAATTAATTTTTGAAATTAATTATGTGTTCCTTTTGTTTGTTCAACCTCGTCCCCAGGGCGCTGTTCCCTGGCATTGGAGGTGGGTCCCCACCTCCAAAGCCAGGGAAAAGCGCCCTGGGGACGAGGTTGCTGTTTGACTTGTCCCAGTGCGACGTTTGCTCTCCAGCGTGGTAGTTTTGTACCACGTGAATGGCTAGCTGCTAAGGGCCTATTTGCCAATAGCTGACCGGCGCGTCCCAAATAACGAGCCCAGAAGCCACTGCGGGACAAATTTCGGCTCCAGTTCCCTTCTCGTTTTTATAAAGTAACGAATGACCCCCCTTCTCTTGTAAGGTTTAAGTGGATCATTTTACGTTTAAATTTGGTCTTCTTTAATCTCAGTGGCCCTATCGAAGCTCAAAGCAGTAATTTGTACTTCTCTGAGTCAAACAGGTGCCTAGAGAGAAACATTTTCCATCAGGTCGCCAAGTTGGTTTGTTATTCTACCATCTTAGCATCACCCAGGAAAATAACATACTTCACAATCGTTAATTCAATTAATATCCTGTAGATACAATCCTGGACAAAACTACTAGCCCCATCACCCCTTCCTACGAAAAAAACTAAAACAATGACTTTGCAAAGAATCCCTTCCATTTTAATTAAAACGCGCAGGGATCCTTTCTTTTGAATACACAACAACATTGCTTCTAGGGGAAGGGGAGAGGAAGAATAAAGAATATTTAGAAAATACACCACCATTCAGTTTTTCTCAACAGTTTTTTTGCAGTAGATGCACCACCATTCAGTTATTTTGCAGTAGTTAGTGAACTCGATAGGCGCAAGTTATCTTTTTGACGATATTTCGTCTACAGAAACAAACAAATCTCAGCAAGGTTTCGTTGGTACTATTGTTAAGCAAAAACAAATATTAGATTCTGACCCCTTTCTTGAAGTCAAATAAATACCCAACGATTGCATCATGCTCCTCGGGAACCCCCCCGACCACCACTCCAGCGATGCGATGTAGTTGTTCTCTCTAATTTTATTTTATTTTTCCGTTATTTATCGTAGACGTTGAAGGCAGGCCCGTCTGTACAACAATCAGAATTCGTAAAGATATTTGGACAACCTTCGAAGAGTAGTAAGCTAAACAGAATATGACCCTTTGTTAAAACTAACTATTTCGGACTTTTTCCCATAAAATGGCTTTAACAGTCGCCTAGGTTCGACTTCCAGCGTTTTAGTAAATTGAGTTTTATCTGTCTCGTGAAGGTACGCATGTCTGAAAGGGCTGAAAACGTCGCTGTAAATAAACTAGGAAAAAAAAAACTGAACTGGCGCTAGTTTTCTGGTTATCGATATGGCTTACGTGATGGATTAAAAAGGGAGAGCCCTTTGCGGTTTATTTCTTGAAGTTGTCGAGTTCTTTGAATCTGTGTAGTGTTTGTCCCCTGTTAAGTCTGTTGCATAGTGCTGATGTCGATAACGATAATGGTAATGATGATGATGATGATGATGATGATGATGATGATGATGATGATGATGACAAAGATGTTAATGATAGGGACGATGATGGTGATAGTGATATGATCATGATGACGATCTTAAAATGATGATTAGGTTTGCTTTACTAGCTTTGTATAGTTAGCCATATCTAACTTTGGTTGTTTCAGAGGGTGAAGGCACGTCGGCGAATCGCTCAGCAAAACCCGTCAGAGGGACTCCTTCAAGCGTTGTTGTGAAACAGGTGAGATCTCCAAATAGATTTTGGTATTCTTTAGAGTGTTCAGGACAGAACGCCAATGTTTTGACCCCTTGAGGTATCGCTTACAACTGCCCGTGAAAAAATTAAGAAAGGAGGGGAAAGCAACGGTAACAACAACAACAAGAAAGCAGTTATTAATGCAACCTGCGGGAGCATGCCTCCTGTTGTCTTCTTGAGTGAGGAGGAGAAAAGCAGGCTTTGCCTGAATCGCGTCAAACCTTTGAAGTTGCCGCAGCCTGAACTTCTGGCAGCATGCAAAGAAAGTAGTGTCCGATAGCCCGGGGCTAGTGAATTTTGTTACCGGGCTAGTGACTTCTATTCTTAACTTGCCTTATGGCAGAAGAACTGTAACCAATGCTCATCATCACGGCAACATGGAATCTATTTTTCAGAGGTAAATACAGCTTTAGCTACGTTCAAACTGGTCTCCAGGAGGGGTTCAGCTCCATCGTTCTGATGAGCATCCTCTCCCGTCCCACGTGAGAAGTCCCTCCGGTTATAAGAACACGTGATTAACATGAGGCTCCTGATCACGTGACCCACGATGATGGTTCGAAAACAACCTCGTCCCCAGGGCTTTTCCATTAGAAAATGGCAGGGGTGGGTAAAGCCCTGGGGGCGAGGTTGGGCTCGGAACTTGAATACTGACCTCGTAATGTTGACACTCTTTTCTCAGATGATGCAGACTCCTTCACATGTCTTACCCTCTGTTACGTCACTGTGTTCTTCATTTCTACAATCATTGCTGGTCAGTAAACACACCTCACAAAGGTATGTACGGACATGGTCATTTACTGCCAGATTCGTTGTGCCGCGCTGCGCGTTTTGAAGACTTCCAAGGAATTTTGGGTTTTTCTGTTCCATCAATCATCTTAGCGGAGCTCTTAGGTAACACATGTTTACCTTAACGAGTTCAAAGGTCATGGTTTGTGATTTGTGATTGGTGGATTTCGATCCGTTTGGTTTGTTTCTGTGTGATCGTTTCTGGGTGATCGTCTTGTCTCGGGGTATAATCAACTAGTTTGATTCGAAGACTTTTCTTATCTTTCTTATTCTTGTCACTTGCAAGAATAAAGCAATGTCTGCCTCCTTCCCTCGACCAAAATTCCACTCACCATTGCGATTTCCTTCGCCATTGTCAGTTTTGTTTTTGCGGGCCAAGCTGGGCGAGCGCGTTCAAAAACTGTGATTTGAATTAAACCCGCCTCCACTCAAATGATTGAGGTAACAGAAAAGCCCAAACTCCCTTCGAAGTTTGCAAAACGCGCAGCGCGATACAACGAATTTGGCAGTGACAGTCTTCAGGAACTAATTAGTCAAGGTATCAGCGAGTGTTAATTCTTGTGTGCGTGTTTATTTACTTCAGGGAAGGTCAAAGTGATGTTGATAACGATATAAGTGAGGATGAAGGTAAGAAAGCATAAAATTTTGTGAATGGTTTTGTAAACAAAGTAACAACAGACATATTCCTTCGCCTAGGCGCAGAAGTTCGTGTTAATAGGCCATTATCACGGTGACGAAATTTGACTACAACTACCAGAATTCATTTCGTTTTTGCTTTCTTACTTAAATAAGTCAATCCCGCTGAGGTTTAAACAACAACAGCGCGGATTTGCACAAGAAAACAACAAACTGAAGGATTGTGGTAGTTGTCGTAAAACGACGTCATCGTGCAATTGTCCTCTATTGGAGCTATTGGAAAATTTGAGCTCATCGATTGCCTGGCATTGTAGGAATCGAGTTACAAAGCGCACTTAATGGTATCTTTGAACTCGGTTATCACATATGTTTTTCCATCTTTAGATAAAAGTCTCGTAAGGGTCGGTTTGGTTGTTTCTTTTCGTGTTAAGTTTTCACAATGACATGAAGTTGCGTTGTTTTTACATTTCCAATGTTTTCGTGATTGGTTAAACAGTGTGTTGCCACTTTTAATCCAGTCTAAACCAAAACTAGTCATGACTTGCTTCCCGCTTCATGTGTTTGTTTCGAAATCTGATTGGTCCATTTTGCTGTTCGCGCATGCTCGGATTGGCGCGAGTAACTGACTTACTTCCCGTTACGGGTTTTCTTGCCCTTGACACTGGTTTCATGTATTTTTCTCGAAATCTGATTGGTCCATTTTGCTGTTCGGGCATGCTCTGATTTGCGCGAGTAACTGACCTGCCTCCAGTCACGGCAGTGGCTTTATGTGTTTTTCGCGAAATCTGATTGGTCCACTTTAGTGTCTGTGCATACTCCGAATTGCGCGAGTAATGCGAACCGTTCGATTTCTCTTTGTTTACAGACGAAGCTATGGAGGTGGATGAGTATGACAGTGATTTGGAAACACCCCGGAACACTGAAGGAGCTTCAGAAACACTAGACAATGCTACCAACCAAAGACATCAAATTAGTACTACAGACAATTCTAACTTGGACAATGTAAATTTCAGTTGGCTTGAAGACTATTTTACGTGATGGTATTCAGTCAAGATGGGGTTGGCTTGTACTTCGGCCAAGAAAATAGGGTCCGGGTCCTGTGAGGAAGGTTTTTTAAGAGGAATTTCTCTGGCTTCTCTCTGCTTCTGCATTTCATCTGGCTTTGTGATCTTGCCTCTATTCCAGGCAACACCCTAAAAAGGTCACTTCAACCAATCAGAGCAACAAACAAGTTCTGACGAAGGCGGAATGTTGTTTTGCCAGAGCAAATGATACATAGAGATGGTGCAGGCATCAAAATGAGTGATTAACACTAAGACATTATCAATAGTGCCGGACACTGTTAGGAAGTGTGAATTCTACTCACTTATGGATGTTGTCACTGAATACGCTTAAAGTGAATTAATAGTTGACTGCACGACCTCTGGCCGCGTGGAGCGCCCAAATTGTGCGTTTACGCGCACGATACGCACGAACCTCACGTGCACACATGTTAGGCGAACGGTTATCAGTTTCGTTTTGTGATGCAGATCTTTCGAGGACTCAGTGAGGATATCTCGAAATATATCGTCTTTCGCCAGGGTATCTTGAGAGATACCGTTCGTCTTTACGTGGGAGGTTGTTGTCTGTAAAATGGTTAAAAGTCTATCTACTTACAGGCGTATTTTGAACCGCGGAATCGACAACTTGCTTGGTTGAGTTTGTTAATATTTCTCCTCCTTTTAGCGGGCTGCTATAAGGGATCTTTTTATCTTTAGCAGCATGGCTCACTCCCCTCTCTCCCCTCTCTCCCCACCGTCATAAAAAAAGAAAAGAAATAAAGAAGGAAAAACAGCATTGCGATTTGGAATTATGTTTTCATCATTTTCAGACAGACTATAATGCACCTTGTTTACCCCGCACAATTTTGCATAACCATTGCCTTGGGACGATTCTAATACCCAGAGGAAATTGGAAATAATGGTTATGCACAATTTTAGCCGGGGGGGAGGGGAAGGTGCATTATGGTCTGCGTAAAAAAAATGAGGGGAAAGTCACTGTGGAGTGAGTTGCGATTGACACTGGGACCTGACTCGTCTCCAGTCGTCTCTAAGTTTTCTCTACTCCCTTCTTCCTTCCCGTCATCCCCTTCGTTAAAGAGCCCGTTCTAGTCTTCCATGCCGAATACTAATAATGAGAGACGACTGGGGACGAGTCAGCACCGAGACAACTTTGTCTATAATTGCACTGTGGGGGTGTTTAGGGGTACAAATTTTGTCCCAGTTTCCTGTTCAACTTTGTTGTAGCCAATGAAAGAAAGGATGACGTTTCCAAAACAGTCCCATAGTGCAGTTAGAAATTCCGAATTTGGAGTCGGTTTCCTGTAATGCTTTGGAAATCAGTTTGGTCTTTCACTTTCCCTGGTCCTCCGCAGCTGGCCCTAGTAACGCTTTTGTACTGGGGCTGTTTTACGGCTTCCTAGTTTATCAGGGTGGGGGGGAGGTACTTATCACGCATCACGCCAGTTTTTTTTAAGCTATCACACATCACGGAAAAGTAGAATATTTACTACCAGACGTAGTATAAGTACCTGAAGTAGAATATTTACTATCTGACGAAATCATAGGTCGAGGAACGAGAAAAAAGGGCACAACACGATTAGCCAATCGAACAATGCCTTCTCCATATTAGGGTTTTCTTTGGCACGAAAACGAAGAGTCCATGTTTTGATCTTTTCATCCATTGGGTGATAAAACTGACAAATAACTAACACTTACCGAAACCATTTTTCAAGGTCATGCGAAAATCGCTCTAAATTCGTGACACAGCTCCTTTAATTGAAACCTTTTAAACAAAGGTTTTGGCCACACTTTTCTAGTCGTATTAACATGAGAAAGGATTTTAAAAAGATGTTTTTCTCACGTCTTTCCACCTCGTTATTTTTAAATTTAATTTCCGCCCTGTGTTTAGCATAAGGCTTCTAATATTTAACCTTTATTTTATTTCTGACCATCATGACTTCCTTGATGTTTGAATGATCAGATTCACTGTCAGATTCAAATCACCAACACGGGGGGCTTTTTTATTGACGCCATTATTTCATATTTCTTTTTTTCCTTAATATTGAATATGTTGGGGTTTTTTCTCTGTATTAAAGAAGACCCACAGCTGGACGTAGACGTACTATGGCAAAGTCCTTGTGTTAATAAGACGCGAGAAGACGCAGTTTTTTGTTTTTTTAAGAGAAACCCATAAATAGCCATGAAATAGATTTTGCGTTATATTGTTTACACAAAACAAATGAGCAAAGCATTTTAGCATCCCCAGTTTTTGAATAGTGTCAAAGCAAGATAATGCCGTCAAATATAACCCCGAAATTAATATGTACATTCTGATTAAAACTTGAATTTGTTTTCAGTAGGAGAAGAAAAAGAATCTGAATGGTAGCCTCGCTTCTTTTTTTTCCCACTTTTTAAAATTAAGTGATCTTTATTTACCAAGAGCCCAGTCAAATTCCAAGTGATCAGCAAATTTCACTCTGAAATTTGCCTTCTTATCGATCAAAAATAAAAAGGTTTTATCTCTCGCGTGAAAAAGATTTCATTTCTTAAAACTGCGGATGAGAGATCACCCAAACTGTTTAAATTATAAAACCACATCAAAACGAGTTTTAATTCCTTCCTCAATTTAACTTCGAATTTAAATTTATAGTGATCTGCAAAGTTACCTTCGTGTCGACAGAAAAAAAGATTTACGTTTCGCGCAAAAAAGGTTTCGTCTCTGAAAACTGCGAATGAGGGATCACGTGAACTGTTTAAACAACCACATGAAAAAGAGCCCAAATCCGTTCCACATTAATCGGCTTACTAGTAACCTGTTCATTGTGGCGGTCAATGTGTAGCGATCTGTAGCTCCGCCACTGCCGTCAGTTAGAAGGGAGTTTTGACAACGACGGCGACGGTTCAAAACCACTTAAACATAGAAAACGTCATTTTTTATCCCCTAAAAATTTTTAATCTGTTCGCTGCCTTATAGGGATCAAAACTTAATCGCGCTTATTACATCTCGTTTTTAAGTTTTAAAATGTCGTCTTCCGAACAATTTTTTTAGTTTTCGTTCCCCTAAAACGGACTGTATCAAAAAGTTCAGGAAAAGTTGGCAAAAATTGTAAAGGACTGTAAAAGTTCAGTTGTTGCCTAGGCAGTTTCACGTTGCGGTCGTGCAACGACGGCAGAGAAATACTCGAAAAAGCGTGATGCACGTGCAAAGGTGTTGTTTTGCTTATCAACATCTATTGCTTTTTTGCCGCCCTCGTTGCCGTCATTACGTAAGCTAGAATCAGGACCGCAGGCGGCGAATTTTCGCAATCGGGCTGTTCAGTATTATAAGATCTTTCTAGTATCCATTAACTCGGTCGTTTGACGTGTCTAATCACTTTAGGTTGTTTTTCATCCGCGACATGGGTGAAACCCGTTTCCCTCTCCTACGGAAAGGGACAAGTTTGTTCAGGAGATCAACAAGTCCAGCCCGAAACTGTTTCTTCATGTAAAAATAAATGAGAGGTTTTAGAGCGCAGGGTAAAAAAACAGAGTAGGTGGATATTAAAGAAACTTGCCTTGGCAGCTCAACGCCTAAAGTCGTGAGAAGAAACAATAGACATACGGGAAACCAACAGAGTAATACTATGACGACGACGGAGAAGAGTGTCTTCGCGGAGTCTATCTCTTCCGATGCGATAGATGTTACGGGTGATAAAAACTTGATGCGTTTGCTTGCTTTGCTGATCTGCCGTACTCTCACAAAACAAGCAATGATAATCGCCACGGGAAGACCGATAACTAGAAGGGTGAAAACCGCCGCGTAGGATAAGCTTGAACCGAAGTACATGAAACACATAGCGTTTCCGGGCAGGAAGATGAAATCCCCCCATCCTACGAGAGGCGGGAAGGCACACAAGATGGCGTAAACCCAAATCGCTAGCAACATCCACGCGATATTTTTCTTCTTGAAAATGGTCATGTACTTTAGAAGGTCCGTGATCAAATAATAACGACTGATGCTTATCGTAGCTAAAGTTATTATGGAAACAATGAGAAGCAAACAAGACATGTAGGCAACAGCAGAGCAGAGTGATTCCCCGCCCGACCATTTTCCCGTGAGTAGAACCACAAAAGCAAAAGGTACGCAGAGAATCGTCGCTAGCAAGTCCACAAAAATCACATTTAGAAGCAGTAGGTTGTGCCAGGTTCGCAGTCGAGGGCTTCTGTACATAATGACACAGGACAAAATATTTCCAGTCGTGGAGGTAACAAAAATGAGTCCCAAAGCGATCGTTTCAACCACAACGAGATAACTTGGTCTTTGCTGTAAATCTCTCGCCGCTTTCCACTCACTCAAGTTCACATACATTGCGAAAAAATATACAGAGAGAAGCTGTCTTCTAGCTTTGTTGTTTTCAGAATGCTTGTTTTGTCACTGCCAGTAGTATAGTATTTGTATAACCTGTTTAACTCTGTGAGTGTGAGAAGTGTGATCCAAAACCGATGGCTTACCGTTAATATCTCCGTAGCTCTAGGGTTTATCCGGTCGGACGTCCATTTACTCTCATTTTGAACAGCTTCATGAAATTTCATTGGTTAAACGTTTATCTCCGAACTTCCCTTTTAAATTGCCGTGAGTATATTAGTACAAGAGTTGTCGAAAGCGCTGCAAATAGCTTCTATCGATTAACAACTATCTTTTTCCTGCGAGTCTTTTTTCAGCCTGTCAGTATTAATGACGGCGAATCTCAACTTAATAAGCAAACTAAAAGCAATTTGCGATGTAGAGGAAAGTGCCCCTTTCCTCATTTGCAAACATTTGCTATCGATATTGCGATTTCTGAGGATATTTGGGAGTAATATCTTGACAAAAATGAATAGAGAGACCTTTTAATTAAACCGGTATTTGGTCACCTGTCTTTGCCTCGAGGCAGCTGTTCTACTAAACTTTACTCATGGATGTTTACTTAGAACCTTCTTGAATGACATCTCCAAGAACAATTATTCTCCATGACAAAAGCAATACCCCGACCCTCGACCTTCTAGTTTAGTAAGCCTTTAAAATTCTACTTTGGCTATGTATCATTTGTTCGTTTTTCGTCAGGGGAAAATGTCGAAATGGCTGAACATGCTAAGATGACCTTGTTGGCCTTGTTCTCTCAACAAGGGTTTCCATGGCAGTATTGAAGATAAATTACAATTAATAAAACAGATAAATATTGTCCTTTAATCTCGTATTTTTCCAGTTGTTGAATCATTTATTCAAGTGAACCTATCTTAGTGGCGAAAAAATTATTTTTTTAATGTAAATGTCACTTGTATGTAGCGTCCTGACACCACACTGCGTGCCTCGAATAGCTTTCGCTAGACATGGTGAATTTCAGAAATTCAGTTATAAAGTTGTTGTTGTTGTTGTTGCTGTTGTTTGCTACCTTTAGAGAGTAACTCCAGCACAAAAAAGGCCACTAGTCCTCCCGAAAAAGTCAGAAACAAATAGTTGCTGAGCTTCAGGGTAAGGAAAAGTAAAAAGTTTTGATTCTGAATTGTTTTCACAGACTTTTTTTTCCAAAGACGGCGTGATTGTTGGCGTAATTTGAAATTAAAGCATATTTGCCCCGTGTTATCTTAGAGTGCTAAGCAGTCGCTACTAAAAATAAATGTTGTTTGATAAATCAATAGCAGAGTTCAATACTTTAGAAAGTAACTCATCCAACCGGATGTGTGTGATAGGTTTTTAAAAGTCCTCTTCTTTGGATGTAAGATTGGTTTGGCTGTTTGCCATAAAAAAGAGTGGATAGTCCTGGTCATCCTGTGCAATTATTTTAGAGGACTGGGCACCAGTCAGCCGGGAAGGTGTTGTTGTCCGCCATATTGGATCCGTCAAGTTTCATGTCCCCTAAGTTGGTTTATATGGGCTTGAAACATGTCTGATCGAAAAGCTGAGCTAGAGAGAAAACGGAAACGTTTGGAAGAGATCAAGAAAGCTCGAGAAGAGAAGAAAAAGGTAATTGTAAATTGATTTAGAGATCAATTTTTTGCGGAATATGGAAGCTCAGCTTGCATGTAGTTTACCCTCATTTTAACATTAACAGGTTTTAATACTCATTTAGCTTGTTGACATTAACTAACTTAACTCAGTCACCCTTCTGGGGGTACTTTTTCTTTTCTATTTGTTGGTCATTGATACAGTTTTAGAACATAACTTTTTTGCGTACGACGAATATTAAATAATTTTAAAGTAAGCTTTCTACTTCATTCGTTTCACTATCGCCTTTTCCAAGTGATGTGGCAAATTTGTTTTCTTAATCTTGAATTCGTCATTATTTCCACATTCTCTCCCGTGAATGGTAGTGATCTAAGTATCAGAAATAGAACTGTAGTGTTCAAATTTATCTTCATATTATTATTATGCCCTACTGGCTTAGGACCTCTTCACATGAACCCGGTTACCGAGATCTCGCCTTACCTCTAAATCCTTTGTGAAATTTTCGATGTGTTCATATGAGAGGCGGAGCTGGCTCAGTTCCCAAGATGTCGGTAAGCGGGCTGGAAATTTTGCCATATGAACACTTCATCTCGGTTACTGGGATAAAAGCGGGATGAATTCTGGCGGTCTGGATGACATTGTCTTGCATTGCCTGTTGTATTCTTCACATCATAAGCATCCCACTTAACGGCAGCTTTAGGAGTTGCCGAAGCTATGATAGGCGTGAAAGTTAAATTTTTTGTGTTTCGCCATGTTTGCTTTGTTTCTTGTATTTGGTGTCAGATCTCGTCCCCAGGATCTTTGGCCTTTTCTCATCTCGGAAACTGAGCTGAAATTTCTCATATGAACCCAAGGTGAAATTCCTCCCGGTAACAGTGCCAGCCCGGTTAATCGGGCTCATGTGAAGAGGCTCTTAACCCTTTAAGTCCCAATAGTGACCAACATCAATTTTCTCCTAACAATATCCATACAATGTCAAGAGATTAGGTTATGAGAATTAATTAAATGATCACCAAAGAGAAAATGCTTTGATCTTTTATCAAACTCTCTCAACTTATTCTTTAAAGAAATGTATAGAGATCAGTTTGGAAGATTTGCTTGTGGATATTGGGGCTTAAAGGGTTACATGTTGAATTCCCTACTACAGTGGATGCCCGCCTTACATCCACCTCGGTAATACCGTCACCTCGTTATTATGGCCTCTTCTTTTGGCCGTCCGGCAAAACGGCCATACATTTTCTTGTAAAAGAACCCTCGTTAATACGGTTACCTGTTAATACAGCCAATTTTTTTTGGCCCATTGGTGACTGGGGTTCCACTGTACAATGATTTATGTCACCACAGCACAGAGATGCCAACCTTCGGAGATCTAAAATCTGGAGACTCTCTATTTTGCACACCCCCGTCCCCCCAAATATCAACAGCCCAATTAAAGTCCTTTAAAAGGATTATTGTGACAGTGACAATCCTTTCTTTTAATTAGGGAAAGCAACATATGTTCACTTTTGTTTTTTGGCTGTTTCTGCAGCAAAGTAACAAACTCTCTTTTGTTATTTCCAAACAATAAAATATTTTCTGTTATTTTCTTTGGAACATTTTCTAATGTTATGGTATCATTCAAGAACTGTCCCCCGAGAGAGAAAGTTTTATAACAATTCTTTTGTGGCTCTATATCTGCTGTAAATTTCAAATTGACTATCACAAAAATTTATGCCAAACAGACACCAACATTTTAGTCTGAGCTAAAATGTGACAGCAACATTTTTTCCTAACCTACCTGGCAACAGGCAGCCTCAGAAATGATGGACCACCCCCACCCCCATCAGATTAGAGAGTTATTTGTTATAGTTATGATTATGTGTATTATAATCATAATGTTGTGTGATGTACACGATTGTATACACAGCAGGATCAAGAGCAAGGTAAAACAGCTGCCGCACAAAAGGCTGCTACAACATCAGCAGCAGAATCTAAGGAGACTGACATCGAAAGAAAGAAGAGAGAAGCAGATGAGCTACTCAAGGGGATCATACCTGATGATGTGATTGATGGCACAGCAGGTTTGTTTGCAATTTGCTTTTACAGTGGAACCCAGTTAATGCGACCACGGTTGTGCTGACACCTGCAGATTGTTAGACTTTCTAGTCTTCTCGGATAAGGACAAAAAACCGTGCATGTAGGTCCTGTCTCACAGCACTTTCACTTAGCTGGTTCTCGTGGGACATAAAAGAACCCACACCAGAGTAGGGGATGTAGACCCTGGAGGTGTGGCCAACCTCTCCTGGGCTGGGTGGGTTATCTGCAAGGACACACTTATATTGGAGCCCCGCTCTGTTGTGTGTTCCGCACCATATTATGGTGGAAGGGATTAAATGAAGAGATAAATAAATAAACATGTACTATAATATTATAGATGATATTTCTTATGGAGCTGCAAACTGTAAACTGCTGCTCATAGACCACAGGACTCTAAGCACCCCCCCCCCCGACTAGTTATAGGCCCATCTGCCTGTAAACAAAAAAATACATCCAATTATAAGCCCTACCGAATACAAGCCCTCCCCCAGCTCTGACTATATGCCCCCCTCTTATTTGGATTTATTTTGACATTTTGAAGCTTAATTCAAGACTGGTATATGCAAAAAAACGTGTTTTGTTCAGCACTGGTATAGCTTGTTTGGAAGTGCTTTATCTGTTCTGGTTATATGCCCCCCTTTGGATATAAGCCCTTCCGTTTTTAAGCCTTCCTACAACCTCCTTTGAAGATGTAGTAAATAAGCCCAGGGGAGCAGTTCATGTTAGTTTTTCTAAAGGTGAATACAACTTACATGTTATTGAAATTACTATTTTTACCTTTGACAGTCTCACCACTGTTACAGAAGCCTGGGAAAACTGAATCAGCTAGCCCAGGCAAAGATATAGCAAGACCTTTTGTACAGTAAGTAAGAAGCTTCATAACTGTTTGCAAAGATGAAGAACATTTCAGGTTTTAAATTAGTGAAAGGTACAGAGAGATACTGTCATTTACAGTAACACAAGTTATTGAAGGTTCAACTAGAGAGGTACTGGTTAGAGAGATGAAAATACATTTTTTATGGAACAGATGTTGGGATCTTGTATTTTGTCAGCTATTTATGATATTTTTTAATCCTGTAAAATAAGTGGTGGCAGGAGTAGGGGATTAGTTAGCATGTTAAGCGTGCTGAAAGTCAGTGGGACTACTGTAACTTCATTATCCTTTTTTTCCTGAACAATTTTCAGAGAGAAGAGAAAAGCACCAAAATTGGGAGTGTCCCAGCTTACACAGACAAACATACCACCAAAGGTTGGTTTCACTACACTGCAAGTACAACTTCTTTAATATCTTAAAGATGTTATAATATTGTCATTTAGATTGCTGAGAACCTCTTTTCATCAAACAAAAACTCATTATTCTTTCTGAGGTTAATTTTTTGTGCAAATTGAATTTCACTAGGAACCTGTGCTTTATAACAAAGAAACACAAACTCAGAATGCTGAACCTGAGGAGCCTGGTAAGTTATTGCTGATAAATGTCTCCCACACACAGTATACCTGCAATTTATCAAAAATTTACACCTGGCCACATCAACTTTTAAACCTCATGAAACCCATGAAATATTGCAGCATTAATTCATGCTATATTGCAAAAGTAATTTACGATAATTTGCTCTGGGAGCTTGATCTAGTGACACAAATTTCTAAAGAAAATTGTTTGAAAGTGTGTTAACTGGTCTTGTGACTGATCTTTTGGTAGATGAGTTTGAAGTTGCTCCTGCTCCTAAACCAAAAGAAACAGAAACACAACCTGAGCCTGAAGTTAGTGGAGAGGAAAACAGAGAAGAAGGTAAAACCACTTGTTTAGCCTTGTGCTGTTTGTTCTCTTTAAACCTGTCACTTCCACAGTGTCAGAAATCGTATGATTTAAAGAAAACAAATACTTTGTAATATTGAAAAACAAATACATGTACAGTAGTAAAATATGATGCATGCACATCTAGTCCTGCTGAAGAGGAAAGTACTGCACAGTAGCCTTCATTATTTCGAATGGTTACTCTTTTGGATTTTATCCCCAGACTCAGAATTAGAGCTACCTTTTACAGCTTAGTAAGAGTAAGTACAGTAAGAGTACCACAGGGAAAGCGACTTTAGGATGTCATCTACAGATTCAAAAGTTAGAACCACCTTGTACAGCCTGTCAAACAGTATCACTGGAAAGTACTGCTCAGGAGATTTCATTTGAATGGTCACACTATAGGATTTTATTCACAGAGTCAAAAGTTAGAACCACCTTGTGTAGCATAAGAAACAGTGCCATGGGAAAGTACTGCTAGAATTGACAGCCAAACCTATGTTCCTTATTCTCACTTAATTTTGCAAGTATTAAATTTCATGATTTTTGTAGTTTGGGAAACATGATGATATTTACGGTTTGACTTCTATAACCGGGCCACTAAGACAAAGTTAACTAATTGGATTACAGCAAAATAACAATACTTTCCAGGAAAATTGATTGTGGGCTAATCAGGGGATCGTAAACTTTCGATATAACACCCAGGAGACATATTTGATCGCCACAAGCTGTTATTTTGTCATCTACCAGCAATTTCTTCTCTACCATTGCCGCGCTTTGCAATAACATGTAACCTCAAGTCAAAAATATAACTAACATTTACATTTTTGCCTCTGTCAACACTCCAACAGACCTCTTTTGAGACATAGGCTTTCTTCAGTGGGTTCAAAAGGTCACATTATAGTTTGTAATGGTGGTTGAGTTTGATCCATGTTGTTGATTTCATTTCGTGGTTATATAAAGATTGACAACTAACTTTCTCAGAATGTATTGTTATTTTCCTGTCATCCAACTGGTCAACTTTGTGGCTGCGGTTATAGAGGTCACACTGTTATACTTACGAAATCTAATGCTTACGAAGATTAAAATTAATTAATTTATTGCGGGACATAGAAGTGTACGTGACGTACATTGTAGAAGTATAATATGGACAGAATAAGGACCTCTATATCATGTCCGACAGAACGATATAAGAGCAAAGTTTATCGGCGTGTAAACATTTGCTATGTAACTATTTGCGGGTACCTATTTAGACTGTTGAAAACCTTATGCTTTGCTATCTTTAAGCCTTGTTTGTTATCATTAATTCTGTTGTTACTGTCTTGAGATCAAAGTTACCTTTACATACATGTGTTAAAGAATAGAAAAATCACAAAATTTAATACACTTCAATTCAACCTTTTCCTTAAAATTGGGAAATATGACTAACGAAATTTAATACTTGCAAAATAAAGTGAGTATAAGGGAAGAAATCTGCAGTCTACAGTCTTGACTAAAGAAATGTCAGAAAATTGAAGTGTTCATCTTTTACAAACATAAACTTGCCTCCATTTTATCAGTTCCAGTTATTGAGCTCAGCGAAGAACAGAAGCAACACATACTGAACTCTGGAGAATTCAGCAGGTTCTTTGATAAGGCTACCAGGTTGATGGAGAGAGCTTTGTGCGAAACAGTCGATATCACTTTTGATTACTCTGGTGCTGAAGCAGAGGATACTGAGGGGTGAGTATGTTTGATAAGCAGCATCAGCCAAGAGGTTACATTGCTGGACTTGTAATGTAGTGGCCCAGGGTTCAAGTCCTGCCCTAACCGCAGGGCTCGAAGTTAACTTTTCAGTGCACTTGCAAAGTTTTGCTCATAAGAATTTTTTTTCACTAGCAAACTGGTGAGACCACTAGCAAATTTGTTCTCTTTGTTTGGGAGACATGGATGACTCTAACTTGTAAACGCTTGCTAGTGGATATTTTTCTCACTTGCAGATTATCAAAATCACTCACATTTTGTGAGTTTGTGAGCATGAATTTCGAACCCTGTAACCACTAGCTGGATTTGTTTGGATTGACCCACCAGATTGATCATCAGTTGTTATTGACAAAATCTGTTGATAAGAAAAAATTATTCCATTTAGGGTGGCCACTGCAAGTGTGTTTTAGAACACAACAAATACATTCAAAAAATGTATCAGAAAAGGGACATTGGCGGATTTGACGCTGCTCGCCATAGGAACTCAGTAGAACTAGATTCTCAATTGGAGCTCAGAATTCTTCTGTGCTTGTGGTTGATCATATTCTCTTTCTCCTTTAATTATAAAATGAGACCATTAAAAAGACAACACACAATTTTCTGATTTGTTTTTTGGCAACAAAATATTTTGTTGGTCTTCCTGCAATAATCGATTGAACATTTTCCATAATCAACTGTCACATCACTTAAAGATTTTGATTGATGATTGATTATATATTGATGATAAGCACAAAACTAGTCAAGGAGATGGAGGTCTCTTGTGATCTAGTGCCGTGAGAATATACCCTGAGGAACAGAAATGTTTTGAAACACCCTGCACACTAGGGGTAAAGATTTCTTAACTCTTTAAGCTCCAAGATCCACATACAAATTTTCCAGGCTGATCTCCATACATTTCTTTTGAGAATAGTTGAGAGAATTTGATTTAAGATCAAAGCATTCTTCCGTTGGTAATCAATTTAGTAATTCTTATAACCTTTACTCTTGATGATCTGCTGATGTTGTTAAGAGAAAATTGATGTTGGTCGCTCAGTCTCATTCCCCTTTTCTCTTCAGGCAGAATTAGCTCGGTTGGTAGAGTGCTTGACTGCAGAGCGGGAGGTCGAGGGTTCAATTCCCGAGACCAGACCAACACTCAGGTTCTTAAAATGACTGAGAAATGAAGGTACTGCCTTTTCCCTGCAAATGGCTAGACCTTTGAGTGGCTCAGATGACCACCTAAAATGGCAGTTCCATCTTCAGTAGGAGATGTAAAAATAGTTTTCCTAATTAGTACTTCCCTACTAAATACATTGACATTCAATTTTTTTTCCTTTCAAAGTGATGCTCAAGCAGCTGGTAAAATGTCATTTAATCGAGAGTTTTTCGATGAGAGATGGTCAAGGCACAGAACAGTGACCTGCTTGGACTGGTCTACACAGGTACTTGTAACAGATGCAGTAATGTTGACCTTTTAATCCCCAAGATCCACAAACAAATTCTCCAGACTGATCTACAAACATTTCCTTACAGAATCAACTGAGAGAATTTGATAAAAGATCAAAGCAATTTCATTTTTGGGATCATAACTCATAACTTTTTTGCTGGATAATGTATTGATGTTACATGTAGAATAAAGTTGGTGTAAGACTGGTTAGTGGGTTGAGATTTGTGATTTACCATCAACCAACACCCCTGCTGATTGCAGAATGAGCAAGTGAAGAATCATGTGTATCTATTTGCCAGTAAATCATACACAAGTAGTTGCTAACTCTATAGATTTGCAAACTGGGTGATTTGAATCACAATGGTGACATTGTAAAATGCTGAGAAGCAAATAGTACCATAGCACAATGTCAAAAAGCTGCCAAAAATGTTTCATTCACAGACCCAAAGGTTAGAACCACCTTACAAGACACTGTCTCTCATTTTGGGGGTAAAACGGGTATTGAGGTCTTAAGGCATGATCTTACTGGATCTTTTTATGAAATGTTGGGCATATTGTTTTAAGTCCTTTTTTTCCTCTGTGGTTTTTTTCAGTACCCAGAATTGCTAGTAGCTTCATATAACAACAATGAAGATGCCCCCCATGAACCAGATGGTGTAGCACTGATATGGAACATGAAATATCAGAAAGAATCCCCTGAGTACATTTTTCACTGTCAGGTAAGCAAAATCACTTCTTCTGATCCACTGCCTTTCTCATCCCAGCGGGCAAAGAAAGTAGTGTCCAATTGCCTGGGGCTAGTGGATTTTGCTATCGGGCTGGTGAATTCTGTTCTTAACTTGCTGAATGGGCAAGTGAATTTTTTTGAGGAATTCAAATTACAGAAGAACTGTGAAATCAATTGTGCTCATCAAAACGTTTTTGGGGCTAGCTGAAATGACATTTGGGCTAGTATATGCTAGCCTAAGCTTGCCCAAATGGCAAGCTGTAAAAATGACTTTCTTTGCACCCTGCATCCACAGGGCTATGGTTGAATCCTTGTACATGTACATGTAAAACTAACCATTCTGGGAAATCGTAAAAAGGTTAGGGTTTGGTGGGGATGGTAAAAAAAAATTACCGGTAAGCTAAAAAGAAGTTAGGAAAAGTATAACCTAAGATTTCATGATCCCACCAATGGTTTCCCTGCCGAATGATGTCTGAGAAGCAATATAGAAATTCCATACTGATGACGTCACTACCCAGGTCTGGGTAGGAAAAGTAAGGCAGTGTATTAGTGGTGAGAGCATCCAATCTAGAACTAGGAGGGTCATGAGTTTGATTCTTGCCTGGAGCTCAGAATATTTAATGTGCTTTTGGGTGATCAAATTTTTCTTTCTTTGTTAATTACAGGACCATTAAAAAGACAACACACAAGTTTTAAATGTTTATTTGCTAACAAGAAATTTTATTGATTCAACATTTTCCATCAATTATCACATCACTTAGAGATTTTGATTGATCATCGATTATAATAGATGATTGGCGCACCACTGACTCTTTTTACAGTACTGTTATTACTTATCACAACTCACTAAATTGAGTGTCTTTTTTTACTTCAGTCAGGTGTGATGTCCGTAACATTTGCCAAGTTTCATCCTAATCTGATCGTTGGTGGAACATACTCTGGTCAGATAGTGTTGTGGGACAATCGAAGCAGTAAAAAGACACCTGTTCAGCGGACTCCTCTGTCTGCAACTGCACACACAGTAAGTTAATACTTGGCTGGGTTGTTCAAAGCTGGGTTAAAGTAACCCGGGGTTAGTGCGAAATTTGAATTCAGCTATGATGAAAGCTTAAAAAGTAATTCAGCTTAATTCTCTTGTCTACAATTTGATGATTGGATGCTCTAAAGAGAATGGGGAAAATTATCAGAGAAAATGCGTTTGAGCAAAAGAAAAAGAAACTTGGTTTTTAATTTTAGTTTTAAAAATTTTCGAGTTATCACTATTCTGCCTTCGAACAACTGGGCCCTTGTGTTAACAGTAGCTGTAGGCCCTTTGCTGCTCGGGTTTACGTGACCTATTTCATACCAATATTCTGGAATACAACCCTAAAATTAACAGAGATTGAAGGAGCATAAGATAATTATAGGAAATTACAAGGCCAACTTGGTCAAGGCGAGTCAATCGGAGCATGCGCGAGCACTGTCGGCTCAGGTAAAGGGGCCTACATTTTCCTGACAGTAACGCTTGCTAAAGTTGACTTGGCTAGACATAACCCGTGTGGTAACCGATCAAGTCGCCCGAAAGTCAACTTGCCCGTAAACCGTAAACTGTGATTACAGGGTTTGCAGTCTTGAAAAGTCCTTGAAAAGTCCTTGAATTCCATTTTTCCTTGAAAAGTCCTTAAATTTCTGTGCAAGTTCTTGAAAAGTCCTTGAATTTTCTTGAACTTTGAATGTAGTGGCCTGGAAAGAATTTTTTTGATGCTTTTTGGTTGTCCAAGCAGAATATAAATCATAGCCCAGAGAATTTAAAGGTTATTTACATAAAGTGCTCTATGTTTTATGCAATAATTAACTATCAGTTTAAGACAAGTGAACTGAAAAATGTAGAGAAGTTGGTGAAACAAACCGTTCAAGCCTTAAAGTCGTATTAAAATAAACTGGAAATGTGCATTTTCTGTACAATCCGTGAAATTATATTCCTAGTAGGTGGTCCTTTGTGTTCCTTGAAAAGTCCTTGAAAAATGGTTGCAATATTTTGTATGAACCCTGTTATTATTCCTTAGCATTATAAGGAGTAACTTGAATATGATCACCATGCACGTGCCCATGTTATTTCCACAGCATCCAGTGTATTGTGTGAACGTGGTTGGAACACAGAATGCTCACAATCTGATCAGTGTTTCTACTGATGGCAAGATGTGCTCCTGGAGTCTTGACATGCTGTCTCAGCCCCAGGTAAAAAGCTGATGATCGCTCACCTCGTTTCAATTAGTTAGAAGTGTAATATTTACCCAGGGGGGTACTCCGGATTTCAAGTGACGGGGATGATCGAATGGGGACAAAAATTAAAACCCAAAAACATCCCCAGGGCTACCAACAAAACCCCAAAAAATCCCTGGACCAAAAATTAACCCCCAAAAAATTCCATGCCGAATTTCCGAGCCTTAAAGATTTCCAGAAAGCATTAAATGATACTTGTACTTTATTCGCAGAACTACGCGGCTGGGATACTCGGGCACTACCAGGAATCTTCAGATTGTTTTAAATGCCCAAAAAATCCGTACTTAAAGCAAGCCACCAAAAAAATACTTGCCAAATTTTCGCACCCAAAAAATCCCTGAATCGAAAATTTCAAACCCATAAAAATCCTTCGATCATCCCCGTCACTTGAAATCCGGAGTACCCCCCACCCCGGGAATATTTTAAAATGATTCCTGTAAGACTAGAATTCCGAAGAAATAATTACGTCTGTTGTTTTCAAACTGGAAATTAGAATGATAGTTCACATCCTAATCGGGCCCTAAAGTCGCTAAAGTAGTGCTTGATCAAAAAAACGAAATTATTGAAAAAGGTTCGTTGGGCCTGTGAGCGCCTTCCCCCAACTCCTATCCTTTTTATAGACGTTTTTTCTTTTCTTTTTCCGACGCGTATGTGAGCAAAACAAACGCGTGAGAGCGAGCGTAGAGTGAGAGAACGAGCGTGAAACTCCACAAAAAAACGACTTTGTTTTCCTTTCCTCACCCCAGCCCGTTGCGTTGGCGGTTCTCGCTAAAACCCTTTGTAGAATGACAATAGACTCTGGTTCACGCGCTACTCGAAGTCGTACTCGTCTTAGAATCTAAAGGTCTCTTAATATATAGATTTAGCCAGGGCTAAAAGCGAAGCTCTGGTTAATAATACTTATAAACAAAAAATAAATCGTGCAATGCTAAACGGAGACGACAATGAAAATGGCTTCAAGACTAATAGATCTAATTAGCAAAAAAACAAATTGCACGTGCAGCACACTTTTTCTTCTAATTAGCAAAAAGCAAATGTGCACGTGCAGCATGCTTTTTGGTCTTTCCTTTGCCGTTGTTTTGCGCGACTACAACGCTGTTTTGTACGACTAAAACGTCAAACTTCCTAGTTACACATTATTTTTATGGAGGAATTGTCATATGTGTTTACCCAATATTTTGTTTCCTGTGTTCATGTTCGCTTTTATTTTTCATCGCCGCTCATTTTCACCTTTCTGGCCGCTAGCATTTCTCATTTTCTCACCGCCGCTTTGAATTTCCATGTTTTTCTCCCTACGAAATTCGTCTCCTTTGTTTTCAATAACTCGCTCTAGCTCTTTCTCTGTTATCCACGTTAGTGTAAACATTAAAAATAACACCGAAAAAGACACGACTTTGTTGTTTTTATTTGTTGTTTTTTCTTTCTAAAAGTCCGGGCGGCCATGTGATTTCCTTCCAAATAATACCTCGAGTTGCATTTGGGTTGCCATACCTGTTGATTGAGTTATTTTACATTGGTATGCCTGTGGTGCGGACGGTCGCTCGCTCGCTCGGTGTACGGTCACGTGATTACCAAATTTTCTCGGATGGGTAGATTACCACATTTCCTTAGCTATGGGGCTCCGCTATAAATCCCTCGCTCCCGCTCGTCGATCTCTAAAGAGAAGATAGAGGGTCTGTGAACAGGCTACCTAACTCCACCTTCGCCCATCTACTCCTACTAATGCTTATGTGATTTAATTGGTTAAGTATTTATGCAGGGTAAAAATTCGTCAGTAATAAAAAAAACCCTGAAAATCACAAACCGTAGCACCGCAAAGTAACGTGGCTCTTATGCAACGACATCAGGCATATGAGATGGTCACGATACGAAGTGGGATTAAGACTGCGACAACAAATAAGACAGTCTTAAAAACGTTAGTAACATGCTGCCAGGGGCCATCTATGGCTTACCCCACTATATGTACAACAAATAGTTTAAAATTCGGGTTAGAAATATACGCACCCTGGGGGTATTAGGCCTGGTTCAGACGCCGTACTTTTCATGTGCCGAACCTAACTGAATAATTTCAACTTTGGAGCGACACTGGCGGGACATCTGATTCAGACGGCGTACCGTGTGTCGAACCTAAGTTAAGTTCGACAAAAGTTCGACAGACTCTGTCGAACTTAACGCTTTTGCCGCACCAAACTAAAACTGCCGTACCAAATTGATTTAGACGCCGCTCTTTTGCCGTACTTAATTCAACAGTTAGGTTCGGCACATGAGTGGAGCGGCGTCTGAACCGGCCCTTAGTAGTGTTCAACTAATGGTTTGCTTTTCAATGGTTTCAGGACAGCATGGAGCTTCAGTACAAGCAATCCAAGGCAGTAGCTGTGACAAGCTTGTCCTTCTTAGCGGGCGATGTGAATAACTTTGTAGTCGGTAGTGAAGAGGGCTCTGTCTACACAGCCTGTCGACATGGAAGGTAAGTAACGCAGTGGCTTGATTTGTAACCTGCAGAAGCGGCGCTGTTTTTCTGGCGTTTGGGAGAGCGAAGCACGAAGCAGGCGTAGAGCGCGCGACACACGCGATGAGGAAAGGCGTGGAAAAATAACTTTTAATAATTTTTTCTGTGCTTCCCTGTCGCGCGCGTGTCGCGCCTTTTGTTCTTTTCGCGCTTGCCTTCACAAGCCTACAAAACAAGGAAAAATAACGTCTGTTCTGCAGACTTCATCTTTTGCTTCTACAGTGGAACCCCGTTAATACGGTCACCAATAGGCCAAAAAATTTTGGCCGTATTAACGGGTGACCGTATTAATGAGGGTTTTTTTTTTTTCAAGAAAATGGATGGCCGTTTTGCCAGGCGGCCAAAAAAAGTGGCCGTAATAACGAGGTGGCTGTAAGGCGGGGTTTCACTGTACTTGCTTCCGCACGCGTTTAAGGACGCTTTTATTTCAGAAAATCTCAATTAAGATTCCAAAATCCAAACCTGGATTTTGAGTTTCTTTACTGATCCAAGAATGGATTTTGCGTTTCTGTACTAAAATCAAAAAAAGGATTTTGCGCTTTCCGAAATGCGCATGTTTTACGCTCTGATCAGCGGTACCTATAAACGTTAACAGGAATCGAATCAAATTTATTTCCCCCTGCATCGCTACAATTTGAGAACTTAAGCCATTTTTCTGGTTAAAAAGGCCAAACGATTTGTATCATTGTAGTTTTAATGTTATAGAAGGTTGCTTCGCTTCTCAACGTAGCAAGCTTATACCTTAAAGTTTAGGATATCATGCAGTATGATTTGAGGCCGTGTTTTAATTGAACAATATAAAAATTATTTCTCCACTTTTCTCATTTTATAGTAAAGCTGGCATCAGTGATATATTTGAGGGTCATTATGGTCCAGCGACAGGTATTGATACGCACTCCGCGGCTGGACCTATCGACTTCTCCTATCTCTTCTTAACATCCTCATTTGATTGGACCATCAAACTCTGGAGTCACAAGGTAATCAGCGGCTGATGCTATAAAAGCATGCGCACTGCGCCGATTTGCGCGTCAGACCGAGTCGCTGTGGTGACGAATTGCATTATGGGACTGTGTTGAGGACGCCATCGCTTCTTCTATTAGAGACCTTTACTTTCTAAGACGAGGGCGACTGCGAGATCGAGATTTTCTCAATACTAAGGGTGCGTTGGACTGGGAAATCTGGATTTAGATTTTAAAATTCGGATTTCGAATATGCAATCGAACGCGAAATCCGACGCTGAGATATCTGTTTTTGGATTCCCTTTTTGCCGTTCGATTGGGAAATCCGGAAAAGGATTTGAAATACTGTCCTTAAGAACAGCGGTCTTGCATGCGCACGCATAATTAGCAAAAAGAAGACCTCTGTTCACGAGAATAGTTTGGCAAATCCTTTTTCGGATTTCCCAATCGAACGGTAAAAAAGAAATCCATGAAATGCGGATTTGGATGTCTTAATTGAAATCTACCCTGAGGACGGATTTCTCGGAGGTGAAATCCGTTTTCGGATTTCGCGTTGGACTGCAAAATCCGAAATCCGGATTTCAAAATCTAAATCCGGATTTTCATTTACACGTGTGAACCAGCTTCATTTTGGCGGGAAAGCGCGATTGCCGTCGTCATTCTACTGTGGGTGTTAGCGAAAATGTCGTAGTGACGGAAACAAGTTATGAAGGATGAAGCGTTAAAAGTTTAATCATTTTGCGATTGGGAGAGGGCCAACCTCCTTCATTAGAAAATTCTGTTCTTGGGTATTTTACGACATTAAATCTGCGACGTTTCTTGACTCTATGCTTGCGTTATTCAGAACCCTCGGCCACTGTATTCGTTTGAAGACAATGGCGATTACGTGTATGACATACAGTGGTCACCAATCCACCCTGCCTTATTCGCGGCTGTGGACGGCACTGGAAGACTGGACCTGTGGAACCTTAACAACGATACTGAGGTACAAATTTTGAGCTACATTATTTCGTTTGAATGCACGTGAAACACATGTATTACTCCCACCCAATCTCCATCACTTTGCTCCCTTGCAGGTACCGACAGCAAGTACACATTCCGAATCAATGACGTCACTGAACCGTTTGCGGTGGACGCATTCAGGGCACCAGATTGCCGTGGGTGACGATGATGGTCACGTGTTTATTTATGACGTTGGCGAGGTGAGAGAACTCAAACGAAAAATGTTAAGATATTGAGAGTCGAATATAAGACAGTTCCCGCTCTTACAGTGTTTATTGCCAGAGGGAACTGTCACGAAATTTGTCTGGGAAACTACCCACCTACCCCTCCCCTAAGCCAACATCAACACTTACTTCTCACTTAGGGTAAAATGTTGGCCTAAGGGAGGGGTGGGTGGGCAAAACTTATAATGATCCCAGACAGGGGAAACTGTCACTAAACTAAGTGAAACATAAAAATAACTACTCAGAACATGAAGACAAGGTATAAATAACGCAGCAAATACAAAAGAAGGTGGAAGAAGAAGAAGAAGATTGAAACGGATTGGAATGGTGGCTTTTGCGTAGAAAACTTGTTGGCCTGACAGATGTTCAAAGTTCATTTTTGTTGGCTGTAACAGTTGGTAATTATAATACTTGGGAGACATATTCGTTTGACACGAAGCTGTGGTTACGATCCGACGACGCGATGGCAACGAGGACGTCAAGAGACCCAATAGTTTTAGATTTGAAGGCAAAACAACAACTTTGCAGATGCATCACACTTTTTGTACTTTTCTTAAGCGTTTTTGCACGACTACGAAGTGCATTTGCCTAATTTCGTGTTTTATGGAGACCGTAAACAAGCAACGACGAAATTTTATTTCGCTTTCTGAACTTGAATATGGTGCCTTGGAATTCAAGTTCAGGAGGGTTCGCGTACATTTGACAAAGTACGTAAGTACAAATAATCGCGATAAAGACTGAAAGAAAGCAAGTTAACTCTTTAAGCGACGTTCTTGTTGCCGTCGCGTCGTTGGATCTTAAAGTCCATTGTAGCGAATATGGACGCCTATTTGGCATTATTCACAAAATAAACTAGACCACCGTGATACTGCAGCCCCTGTATCTCTACTGTCCATGTTTTACTCGTGTTGACGAAATAATGATCTCTTGCTTTTTGTTTTCCTTTCAGCAACTTGCGGTGCCGAGACCTGATGAGTGGTCCAGATTCCAAAACACTGTTCACGAAATTCAGGCTAATGCCTCGTCTAACATTGGTGAAATCGGTTCACCAAAGATGTCTCCTTCGAAAATGCCATTCAGTTAATTAACCTTGTACTCTTCGGAGCCGTATTCAGTTTTGTCGTTTTGTCCCCCAACACTGCGGTTTTCCTGAAGCTGATTCAAAATCCGAATTTTAATTCAAATAGTTGTCAAACCTTACTCTAAGCAATCAAACTAAACAAGTTTCGGAGCCAATCAGGAACCTTATCCAGCGGATGCTATCTTTCCCGCCTTTCGTGGAATCGCCGTTTTCCCGCGGCGCTTTGCAGTTTTTGTAAGTTTGCCTTCTTGGTTTCTGATCGGTCCAATGCAGACCTTGTTTATCTCATTAGTTTGGATGTAGCAGTGCAAAAACCGCTCTAAGACTATGAACTAATGTATTATACCCAGGCTGTCGTTGAATTTTGAACGGGGGAGAGGGGTGGGCAGATGGGAGATGATTTGACATTTTGGACATTTTCACTGTGCTTTCAACCAACCTTGCTCCCAGGGCTCTCTCGTACCCGTCCCTACGGAGCGCCCTGGGAATGAGGTTGGCTTTCAAGATGACCGAAAGTAGCCGAAGGTCACCTTTGTAATAGCCCGTCCAAATGCCTGCCCCAAATGACAGCCTCAGTAGTAGACAAATATATTAATACCAGTGTTATATTTGCACTCGACGTGGAAAGAGAAAAATTGTAGAACTGTTTTTACCATGGGGTATGAGGATGTTGGGTTAGCTTTGGATAGTAAAACGGTTACAACGGCTGGACTCTCGATAACTGACGAACACTGTCTTATGTAAACAATTGATCTTTCTAACCCCTTAGGGTTCAGAATTTCCAAACGAAACCAATTTAGCATTCAAAATTGAATTCTTTTTTTTTTCGTTAGATGAACTGAGTAGTTTGTCGACAAAACCGTATTTTGCAGTACTGTGATACCAAGCAATTACTTAGTAAGGAAGTTGAAGTAGAAATTAGCCAGATTTCTGTCTTAATTGGATACATCTTTACCGTTTATACTTTAGATGTGTCCGCAAAGAAAGAGGTTTCGCAGTGTCAGTAGTTCCAATATGGTATATGGAATAGTAATGGCTTAAATTAGTTAGAAATACTGTGTACGGTACTAAATAAAGTTAGGTATTTATTATTCTTACAAAGGATACAGCGCACTGCCAATAGTGAAATAAAAGTGTTGATGGCCGATATTATTGTTTTGTCTGTGAGAAAAAAGCGGTGATAAAAGAGACTTGGAATCACGTTTACAGAAAGGCAAACGTAATTTTCAAGTTGAGAATTTATAAAAATAAAATGAGCAAATAAAAACTGCCCAAACAGTTCCTGTGGCTAGAACTGGCGTGAGACTTCTATTTTTTGAGTAGAAGTAACACAACAGTAAATGACAATTTAAGGGAAAACTTGATCACTTGGTGCAAATTTACGTTTGCCCTAAGCGTGATTATGCATCTCTCTAATCGTGATTCCACAAAGCGTAGACTGCTAAAGTGCTTTCCATCTTGCCTAGTCCTTAGGGCTCATTATTACGCGCGGTCGATGCGTTTCGGGTCACGTGGTGGGAGCGAGTTTTTGTCTCCTGGCCGTTCGTCTCTGATACGTCACCGAAATGCCTTGACCGAGAAGGCCTGGAAAGACGCCGTACAGCAGAGTCCACGTATCAAACGTTACTTTGGAAGGTTTTAAGAGGGGAAAAGCGCTCTCAAACATAATAGCATATGGTTAGTTGTTTTTACTGGAACTCGTTGTTTTCAGTGGTTGGTCAAATGATCTAGCAATGGTCCCCCTGGTCAAAGTATTTTGAAGTAGAATTTTACACACAAAGTTAGCACTGTTTGAGGTCCTTTATTCAGCTTCCCAAAAATTATTTCTTTTTGGTTTTGTTTTTTTTTTTCTTTGTAGTCGCCTCAAATCAGCAACGGCAAACGAAAAGTTTTCATTCTGTTGATAGGAAAGTGCCCAATACGTAGGCAAGCAAACAACTTGAAAGAAATATCACTAGCAAAATGGTTTTATTCTGACCGTCATGTTTATACTATAGCACACTGAATACTCAGAGCGTGTTCGATTGATCGTATTCCGGAATATGAATAAATGGAATGAACTCCAAAAATCGTCTGTGTTAGCGTTTAATGCATTACAATAGCAAGAAATATGCTTGAAATAAAATATTTCCATGTATGCAGCGTTAAAGTGGTCCAATACTAGAAGAGACTTGTAACAAAACTTTGGTGTGTTCTTATTCCGGAATACAGTCAATCGAACACACCCTTAATGTAGCACCTAGGTCTCCCACGGTTAGGAGGAACTATGGACAACAGCTGTGAGATCTAGACATGAGATTATGGAATTACATTGTCATTGAAACTTCGTTTCATGCTCAGTGTGACTAAATTCAATTTAACGTGTCCGTGATTTTCCCCAGCGAGTTCAAATTTGCACAACAAATTTGCTTTAAAATAACTCGCACATTCATTAACACATCCGTATTACGAAAAACAAACAGGTCCAATTTCGAGGCCAAACTCTTCCCCAGTGTCCCCGATATCGTAAACGGCCACGTCGTGTATTGGAAGGCGATGCGTCTTGGGAGTGTTCACTTCTATGATTGTTTTTCGCCAAGTACCGTCTTTGATCTAAAAAGAGTAAGAGTCAAAATCTTAAATTAGTGAAAACACACCAAAAAGGAGAAAAAAAATCATACACACACCTTCCTCAAGAAAATTTTATCTGGCATTCCCTTTTATTGTGTTCTGACCAATCAAAACTTAGCCTGGTCGCAACCTCTCTGGGGAACTAGTGAGGGTGGGAGCGTCCCCAGCCCCTAGACCCCCTCCCCCCCCCCACCCCACCCCTAGTCCCACGGGGATTTTGCTCGCTGGCTAATTAAAAAAATCATAATAATCGAGGGAGCTAAAAAACAAAATTTAATTAACGCTGTTGCTTGCGGTTTACTTTTCTCATGCTCCATTGGTTTCCTCCTTGAAACGCAACATTACTTATTCATATGGCTGATTCCCCTAGCGGGCAAGATAAAACAAATCCTGTCTTCTTATTGGCTACCCGAGCGGGCACGATGGTCGCTCGGGATATCCTGCGTTGGTCCCGCCAGGAAAAGTTATCTTTTTGGCCAGATATGAAAACGTTTATTGACCAAGCGTATTCAGTCAAGATGGCTTGATATCGGCCTCACTCTTTTTTGCGTTTTTATTGACCTCGACAACGCAAAAAAGAACTCGTGGCCAATATCCAGCCATGTTGACCTAATACTCTTGGTCAATGATGCATATAGAAATACTGATGGTTTTCACGTTTTTTTTTTTTTGAGTTGCAAAGAAATTGTGTTGCGTGGTTGCGTAGTTTTCTCCCAAACTTGGATGAGTTCTAATTATCTCCTCTCCCCCTACCCACCCCTCCCTGATATTCTTTCCCTACCTTACATTCGTCCAGTACTATCGTAGGTGCATATTTCTTGGTGCCACTAGCGTGTATTTCTATTCCATTATCAGCTTTAAGCTTGATAGAGTGTTGATAACTGCCAGAACTCTGTTTAAACCAGGCGGTGGAGTTTAAGCAGTGATAAGTGATGCTCTGTTTGGCATGGTCACTTAAAAGTCGAAGGAATGTCAGTTGTGTGGGATCACAGTCGTAAATAAACTGTTGGAAAGAAAGATGTGATTACAAGTTCGTCTTCCAAATACTCGAGTCCTGCCTTAAAAGTTTCTTTTATTATTTTCCCTCTTAGGCCAGATTATTTCAACACTTAATTCTAATTAAAATTAAAAGTGTTTGCGTCAATAGAATTTTTTTAAGTAATGGCCTGATCTTGCTTTCAGTAACTACACTAGCTCATACAAGTTACTAAAAGCTTGAAAAATTTATTTTGCTACCACACCGGAGGGAAAATTTTGAGCTTTCGTCTCCTTCAGAACCTTGTTCACACTGGATTGATAATGTCACGTGACTTTTGACCTGATCAGTCTGGTCCAGGTCGTTGGAAGGTTGTATCTCCCCCGTCTCTATTCAGGGATGAACTGTGGGCTCTGATATAAATTGCCTTCCCTACTCCCCTGGTGAGCCAATCTGGATCTCTGTCCCCTGAAAAGTTCGTGCATCGTCGATGTCAACATCATGCTCTGGTTTGTATCGATGAATGTATCGAGACACTTCTAATGAGTTGCGGGTATTTTCTCTTCAGTGTTGGCAAAATGCATAATTTTACAAGCTTATTATATTTACCACACAGTTAACTACCTCGCGAGAATAACTATTAAAACGTGTTTTTGGCTAATTAATGGTAAGAAAGAACTGGAGAGGTGCTTAAAATTCAATTGACTGTGTCATCTGCAAAATATACCGTGAAGGTAATTGGTGTATTTCTTCTTGTCAATCAAGGGGCATTTTGTGTACCAGTGAGTTCTTAAAGAAATGGCCTCTTTTGCTATCACCCTCGACTCGTTAGAGCATTCCAGGGCGACCCCTGCCTCGTACTCAAGCGTTTCTTGGGGCTTCCGACAATAGTCGCGGCGTCAGGGATCATGGAAATTCTTGTTGTGCGGCGGAAAGGATCATGGGAAAGCTACAAAAACGCAAGGGCACTTGGGAAGGCAAAGAGGCGCTTCTAGCTTTTCGCTCCTCTCGTGACCCCTTGTGCCGCCAAAAATGCGGCCAAGAAGCGGCTGGTTACAAAGGGGGTGTTATTTGTGAATACTTGGCTTTTTGGTGTCTTTGTTTATCAGTATACTATATATACGGTGTGGTTATCTTCATAGCTTTCGCTGTGAATTAGAAAAAATTAATATCCCAACAATTTGTTGGCCATCATCGGAGCTTAATAACATATTTTCACACGTAACAAACTTACCTGAGGGCGCAACTCAAATTCTCTTGCAAACCATTTGTAACCATCAGATCCTGAGAACCATTTTTTATTTCCAGTCTGCTCAAAAATGAAAATGAATTTTAGAAGATCATTAGCGAGAGACGATAGCTTCTTTTCACCGCGCTGTTCCATCGGGCGTCGGTTTGCAGGTTTTTACGCAATTTTTGTCGTGTTTTTTATCGCATTCTTTTTTACATTTTTCAAGTACTATTGATGTAATTAGTTTTCTGTAATAACACCAAAAAAATTTATCATGAGAGCCCGAGAAAATAAAAAGTCAAATTTCACAAAATTACATCTTACACGTGAAATTTTCAGGATTTTACCTGTGTTTTCACAATTCTTGTGAAATTTGACATTTATTTTCTCGGGCTCCCATGAGAAATAGGCTTTGGTGTTATTACAGATAACTTATTATATCTATAGCCCTTGAAAAATGTATAAAAGAATGCGATGTTTTGTCCACTGAAACTTGAAATTACTCAATTTTCTGATGGATTCCGTCTTTATTAAATTCTGCACATAATTCACGAGGAACCGACAGTGCATGTATTTTTCTTTCAAATTAATTCACCGAGGCAACAGCAGTGTTCAAGATTTAGCACAAAGAAAAGGTGAGAAAAACCAAGAGTTCGTCCACAAAGGGGCTGATACAATCATAGCATACGATAAACAGAGGCTCGGCGCATCATAATGAATGCTGTAAGGGAGTTGGAAAGCCTGACTTACGCCTTCTACAAACTAAGGATGCAGAAACGAAAATGGAAGATGACAAGAACAGACTCGAGGGAGGGATGTAAAGGTACCGTTTAGTGATTATATTTCTTGTTAAGATGATGTTTTTCGGGAAACCGTCACCAACAAACTGAAAGAACTTAAACAATCTTCAGAGTATTCTTGATGACCAAGAATAGTTTGAAGAGATTGTTTAAGGGTCGAAATAGCAATGTTTCCTCGAACTTTGAGAAGAAATATGAGTGTTCGGAGACACTCTAAGAGCCCCAAGCCATGTTTAACATTTTCAGCGCCGAGAACGCGCAAAAGTTGAAACTTGAACCCAATTCTTCACAATGTGTCAATTTGAAAAGAGCCGAGCGAGGGTTGCAAAGCTTTCCGAGATTTACGGAATCTGCCTGCAAACTCGTTGAAGTTTGACGAAGATCTCCGAAAGTTACCGATCGTTACCGAAGATCTTTGAAAGTGTCCGAGTCAATCCGAGTCTTACCTTGCTTCTGTCGGGATAAACACAAGTTGCATTGAAGGCGAAATCACAATAAACCTTCACAGCGTCGTCGGCTGGGCCTTCATTTGGGTCGATCCAGTAATAACCTGACATAATAAAATATTTCAATAAAATCGGTCATTTATTTAATTAATAGTAGTGTTAGCTAACGGTAAACACGCTTCGCCTAGGATTTGGCTAAAACACTGGGAGACAAACATTGTTTTCCCCGTGTCGGTTAACAAGGAAATGTGTGTTTCCAAAGCAACGTTTGTGTCTAGGTAGCGACAATAACAATTCCTTGAGTCCAGGAAGCAAAGTTTCCAATCATAACATTCGATTCTTCGCCACATGTAAAGGAATCCAAGTCCCTCTTGGATTCTGGATTCCACGCCGTGGATTCCGGATTCCAAGTACTGGATTCTGGATTCTTCGTCAGTGGAACCTGGATCCCAGATTCCAATTGTTAATAGGATTCTGGATTCCTTCAGCTGGATTCCGCATTCCAGAGCCCAGGATTCCTTATTTTACAATCAAAAGTCCCCAGATTCCGGATTCCTCGAGCAAAAAGTTTCCCGATTCCCTTCGTACACGGTGCAAAATGCTAGTAAGAATGATCGTAAAACAGATAAAGCCTGCGAGGCCGGGTCCTGGTTATCTCTGCTTAATTCATTACTACCAATCAAATGTGTCATCATAAGAACTTTTTTCTTAACTCGCATTTTACAAGACATGGTTGTGACTAGAACGTATTCTATTAAATTATTTAACTCTTAGTTCACCGTTTGTCTTATTGTTTTGAAACGTTCTGAGGTCACGGCAGGTTCTGGCCGGGCGTCGCCTGGTACCCAAAAACCTTTTGCATGCTTTGTAGGATTGCACTTGGGAACTGAGGGCCTCAAACATCTCGGTAGTGCTCTGTAAAAAGACAATACAGGTTCACTAACATGACGTCCAAGCTGTGGCAATTGGCCATCTTGAGGTTGAGAGTGAGACTGGGTCGAGGTTGTATCGAACTGCACTGTGGCACTGTGTCTCTTCTCTTATTGGCCATTAAGTGGTTGCACGGGGAACTGGGTCAAGATTCGTGACCCAAAACAGTCTCATAGTCAAGTTCATACGCATTAATAGTGAACTTACGCAACAGGACGGGAGAGGAAGGAAGACCACAAACCTTGTGTGACAAGCGTGAAAATAATTTTGTTTGAAAGACCCTTCCGCCAAAGGCCACTCTCCTTTGAACAGATCTTTTTGTAAAAGACCAAAAAGCATTAATGTCAAGTGAAGATCACGACATAACACGCAAGTAATAGCCCTGTCACGTTCGTCACGCACAAGCGTTTTGCCGTCCTCTTCTTCCTGCCGTCCTGTTTGGTAAGCTCAATAATAGGACCATTTATACGAGGAAAAATAAGACGCAAACTTTTCGTATAAACGGCACATTTCGTCTAAAATAAGACGCGACTTAGCTAAGACGCGTCTTATTTTAGAACAGCCCTTAACACCTGTTCTTAGATAAGACGCATCTTATCTAAGACGAGAAAAACTTCGTATATATGACCTTCGCGTCTTACATAAGACGCGAACGCATAGTACGCATGCGTTAATTTTTGGCGGGAAAATTATCGCTTGCCCCGCGGCGGACGGGCAGGCTACTGGCGGGGAAAAGTTGTTTACAAATACAACGCGTTTTCGTTTTCTTGTCTATTTTGCCTTATTTTTGTCTTCGCTCAATTACAATGAGCTCGCCGTTAAAGGCAGAAAGAAACACTTGGTCCATCGTGGAGGAAAAGGATTTCTTGTTATTATGTAAGGAGAAGGCGATAGCAGGCCTCCTGGACAAATGCGTGACATCTGCTGGCGTAAGTAGACCCTTTAACTTTTAACTATCACAACAAGTTTATATTTTATACTAATCAAATTGCTACCTTCGTATTATAAACTTACACTGAAAAAGTAAGTTCAGTTCATTCACATGAAAACGAGTCAAGAACAGAAATAAGACGCGAACCATTTATACGAGCTGTTTTCTTCTTAGATAAGACATGCTCGTATAAATGAACTTAGTTCACTAGCTAGTTGAAGGAAGCCTATTAATATAAGCTTCAAGCTTCGTTAGGCTTCCTTGTCACATTAATTTTATAATTTAATTAACACCTTTTGTTCATGTTGTGTAAGGTTTTGTGAGTGACTAAATAAATAAATAAATAATGGTCCAGTTCGCGTCTTATTTAAGACGCGTCTTCCTCGTATAAATGGCCCTAATGCCTGGAGACATCAGTGCGCGTCTTGTTCTTGTCGCAATCCAAAAAGAACTCAATGTACATACCTCGGAACTGCTTGGTGAATCGCTGCTTTCTTGGGGTTTTGTCTGAAATCGAAAAGATAAACAACAAAGCAAAGAAATAAATGGATAACTAATATCTTTTTTTTAAAACTTATTCTTTCACAAAAAATGCTTCTGACATACCCTTCTAAAAGCCACGATTTTGCCTACACCACCCAGAAAGACACCCACACAAGAATACATACAGGGACCTGTCGGTCAGCAAGGACCTCAAAGCCAGTTTATTGCAAAATTACCGTAAGATTTCAAGATCACACTTAATTGCAAAACACCCTATGACGAAAACAAACCTCTAAAGAAACTAAATATGAAACCGCCGGATACGAAAACCCAAAACCACTTTGTGGAAAAAAAGGAACGTACACCCCCGCCTGCTGAAATCTGCTGCGGTGCCGACAACTCGGGGGCAAAGGTACGCAAAAACTAGCTGCCAAATGCCTATTGACAAACAAAACAAAATTGCAAATAAGATAAAAGTTAGGAGCTCGAATGAATGCTGACCTAGACTCATTCAAATTTGCAACTTTAAACTAAACATTTCTCAAAAAGCTACCCACAATTCCTTCTAGCCGGCCCAGTCCTCTGGTCCAGGCAGGCAAAATAGCTATTTCTGTCTGTTCCGTTGTACCACACTGTCAGAAATACCATTTTTTAAGAGTTGCTGTATTTTCTTAGTATTTGTAAGAGGGAACTCACAAGCGCGACTTTGTCGCCCCAAACATTACTTACCCCAGTGCCTCTATAAAGCGAGGATTTAGTGTTGCTCTGAGATGGAGTTCGATATAAAGGATCACGCTGAGGGTAACCATGGAAACCGTACCGCTGGTAGATCTAAATTGGAGAAGTTGTTTCAATGTGAAGATTTTTGACACAAAAATTTCACGAGAGGTTTTGGTGTACAATTTTCAACAATTGATCATACACGGCAAACTTCTCATAACATTACTTACCAATCCGGCAATATCTGCCTGTAAAGAAAGACAAATAAAGTTTAAGAAAAATTTTGTTTGTCCTTTCGACCAAACAACTTGCCATAAGACAAAATCATCAGCACCGAATCGCAGAGGAATTGACAGAAAATGTGAAATAAAGGCAGTAGAGGAATGAGTTATGCCCGGGGGGGTCCAACCTCTTACCCTTTTATCTACCATTTTTGACAGACAAGGGACCCCTTTTGTATACCTTCCATTGACAAATGGTACCCCTTACCCCTTACATACTAGTTTAGAACTTTTTATTCCTTCAAGAGCCATGGCTCCTGATTACTTTTAACTGCTGTAAATGCACTTTCATTAAAAGTATGAATACATCAGAAAACCAGGAATTTTCCCGACCTTTTCACTGCTATAAAATCCTTCTGTTAGCCCTTTTAGGTCTTTTTACAGACCGAAATGACAGAATCCCTTGCGCTTTTATTTACTTTAACTAATGAAATTCCTACCCTTTCATATACCTACCCCGGGTGGAGCCTCCCCGTATAGGCCATTATGGGGAGTACCCCTCCAGGGAATTATGTCCTTTTTGTACAAAATGGTTTGTTTCAACTTACCGGTGGTCCAGGCTGACCGGAAGGGCCTTGGCTACCCTGTATAATAATAAGAAGAACAGTGATGAATTGCCGGGATTACTTTTAAATAGAGATACAAATGGAAGTATTAAGCTTTGCACAAGCAACCGAGCTGTGAACCAGACAGTATGCTCATTACTGTGGGCTTAAATATAACATTGTGATTGATAACAAGTGAGAAACTCTATAAATCCTTCTGAGCTGTAAGTTCTAGATTGAAATTCTGGATTCTGGATCTGGATTGAATGACTGGACATGACCTACGAGGCCAGTCGCGGTCAGGTCTTGTCCATCTTCTCTATTGTGAGTTCAGTGTGGACACCAAAGCCGTGAGACGAACAGGTTTGCTCTTTGTGCTCCTGCGCAAAAGATCCTAGGCTTCGCCAGCATCATGTTATCCTCCAAAAATGTGCAGAGAACTCGAACCCTCTAGACTTAAATAGTTAATGGGTCTTAAATTTTGACTGCATATCCCACTAAAAAATTTAGCGCAACTTGAACAACTATGTAAAATTTTACCTGAGGCCCCTCGTCTCCTTGTGGTCCTCTTTCGCCCTGCAAATCGAACAAAGTGATATTAGGGATGAAATCCAGTCCAGGAAAGTAAGCCATGACATCAAAAGCTTATGAATTGAAGACGTTTATATCGAAGTCATAATTTTTTGTTAGTAATGGATGGTCTTTTAGCCGTGTCTCGCAACATAATAATTCAAGACCTTTTGACCATCAAAGTTACGATACGTTGATGCGCGTGCCTAAAGTTGCTAGGCTGTTCCAGCCACCAAGATAGTAGTGCAATGCAATCCAGCGGTAAGAACTGACGCGAAAACGGGAAGTAGCTGGGGAGAGACAAAGCGATCACGCGCGTCTACACCTTAAGTCTCAACGTGCTTCTTATTTTCGCTTGGCTTGCAACATCCTTACTGAGAGCCTGGCACAGGCCAAAAGTTGCCATCTAACAAATAAACTTACTGTACCTTGTTTCCAATGTCACCCAGAGGACCAAAGGGACCCTGAAAAACAGATGAATGTAGTGAATAAAAATGACTTGAACCGGCTGAAATTTCAATCCGAAGGTAGCTGTTGTTTTGCTGTCAAATGTGATTTGAAATTGGACCCCTCGGTACGTAACTCTTAACTAGCGCGTTCGCTGTATATCGCAAATTGCAACAAACCGAGCAGTGTCGATTCACCAGAGTTAAGCTTTAACAGACGCACGCGGAAAAAACATGCGGACAAATAAGACTCTTATTTGTCCGCCTGTTTCCGCATGTTTCCGCACGTTTCCGCATGAAAATGTAAACTACTTACGCTGATTCCCTGTGGCCCAGATGGACCCTGGGCTCCACGAAGACCATTTGTTCCCTGAAAATATAAAGCAACATAAAGTAAATTTCAAATAAGTAAGCAGATCTTTTAATACTCCATAACCGTAGAAAAATACCTGTTCTCCCTGATTTCCTATTGGTCCTCTTACACCTTGATCACCTATGGCACCCTGAACAAGAGAAATAAAAAATAACGATAGAGATGTTGCTTGGTCTTCTCAGAAGAACGTGGGAGGAGACTTGCTCGGTTTTTCCTCACCTTTGGACCTCCATATCCCAAGGGACCTCGCGCACCAATGTCACCACTGTCGCCCTAAGATACGAAAAGCGAGATTTATTGATTCAACGGCCTGATTATATTATTGAATCACATTTGCTACAAGAGGGCAATGTAAATTTAAAAGAGTATCGTAGAATGAGTGATTTGTTTTATTAATTTCGTAAACAATACTGCTGGTAGGAGTTAAAAAAAACTTGTAAATTGCACCCGTTAAAAATTTAAAGGTCGTTTGACTGAATTTCTCTCTCAGACCTTTTCTCCGTCTGGTCCTTTTTCTCCAGGAACTCCGGTCTCTCCAGTATCTCCCTGTGAACAGAAGCACGTTATCATTGTCAAATACGTTTTATCTTATGATGTACTGTATTCGTAGATACCAGCTATCATAGTAAGAAATTTATATGTTTCATAGAGCACGAATTATTACCTTGTGACCTTGTTTTCCAAGCAACCCGGGGTCACCTGTAACTCCAATACGTCCCTGGTTAAAAAATGACACAATTAGTGTTTAATTTTTAATAAGAAGTATTAGGATGCATCGAGTGATTTCGAAGCGTTGTAGTTGGGTGGTCAATTTTTTTTGTCGATGCATTGAACACTTGCCATTATGAATTTCGTGCGCGCTTTCCTTTGTTCAGTGTTAGCAGATGTGTCGAAGGAAAGTAAAGCCTACTAACTGCCGGCTTCATGGCTTGGCACTCGCGATCGTACACTGTTTATCTTCACTTCGAGAAAACTTAAGTTGATGAATATTAAGGGTAGTTTGTAGTTGCCCGATCAACTGGGGAGTCAGGCTCGAGATATAAGACCTTCAGCTTCTGGTCTTTTTTGAGACTTATTATAATAGTCTCACGAAGGTGCAAATACCGAAACTAGAAAAAACCAATTACATGGAGAAGAAAACCCTAATAAATGAACGGGAATTTATCCGAATGGTGCTTATTATATTTGCAAAAATGGATGGGCAACCCTCTTCAACAAAGTCTTTTTTAATTCTTCTTTCCATGAAAGAAGTATAATTTTCAGTACTTTGCATCTTTTAAAGCATTACTGATTGTTGGAAAAGCTCGGTTCTTGTGGTCTGAATATCGAGATGAAAAACTTTTTCTCGTTTTTGATGTCTTTCCTTTAAGACTCCAGAACATTTACTTACATCTTTTCCAAACTGTCCATGGGTCCCTTGATATCCCTTAGCTCCCACAATCCCATTCTCTCCTTGGAGGCCAGGAGCACCAGTTGGACCTGTCGTTCCCTGCATGCCCTGAAATCACAGATGACGTCATCTAAATGTTCACTTTTCGGGGGATAGGAACGCGGGAAAAGTCAATGTCTGGCGTCAACCGAAGGTGCCTTTAGGCATGATATTACGTCATTTCAACATCGGTACATAGAAAAACCGAACGTTTTTGTGCGTCTTGTTGAGAGATCAGTTTTAAGCGAGAGCGTTGACTCAGAGTTACAAATCATAAAACTTTCAGCCTGGTGTTAAACCGGATACACAGATGTACACCTTCTTTGAGAATCAAGTAGCATCACCTCTTAAAGCGTTTAACACTGTGTTCGCCAACACGGGGTTTCATTAAATCCACCTTTTTTACTATTATTATACTATTACTAGTAGAGAAAAAATTGTTCAGTATACCGAGGTATTCGTTCTATAGATCAAGCCTCGTCAAATGGACGTTCTACAGTATGAAGGCTGAATGGTTTACAAATATTTTCGTCTGTTAGTAAACAAACCTTTTCCCCAGGTCTTCCTGATCCTCCTTGAGGCCCCTTCGTTCCCGGCGGACCCTGAAAAACACAAAAAAATCAAGCACTTACTCCTGTTAAAAATGATGACTGGAACTTGCTGAATTAAAAATCAGACACGACCACCGACAAAAAATTATAAAACAGAAATGAAAGTGCGTCAAACAAGACCTTTCTAACGTAAGTTATACAACACTGACCGCTGAGCATAGGGGCCGGGTGGGCTATAGTCCCACCAATAATTTCGCCTGCAAACTCCTCCACATCAACCCAGCCGCTGCAGCTACGAGCAAAGATGACCCAGCAGAGATTTAACAATGTTCCAGTCTTGTATAGTCACAAGACAAGAACTCGCGAAATGATAACCGCAAGCGTAACTTTGGACGATTTACTGACGTTGACCTCCTTCATAGCCAACTAACTGGACTAGCATATGATGATCCCGAAAAAAGTTCAACCTCCCTAGATAAGCTAGTCTCTTCGGCGCTCGTTGACCTCGCTGGTGTCACCAATCTAATGTGCTCCGCGGTCCCCATACAATAAAGTTCACAGTTATCAAAGCGGGAAAAAATGCTCAGTAAAGGTCTTTGTTTGTCTTACATCTTCTGCCTTATCTCCACGCCGACCAAGCTTGCCTGGAAGTCCAACGCTGCCCTAACAAAAATAGTTGCAGAAGAAATGATGAGATCAGACCGTGATCGAAAAAGCAAGAAGGCGTTTTAATGCAACGTCACCCAACCTTTATTCCAGTAACTCCATCCTTGCCCTCTCCGCCTGGATCTCCTCTTTCTCCCTTTGAAAATGATGAAAAAGAAAAAGTGTAACGAGTTACGAGCTAACATGAACTTTAACCGCCACTAAAAATTGTGTTTGCTTAAAGCAGGTATTTGTGATTGTGTTTCCAAAACGGAGGTATTGTATTGTCCGTCTTTTACTTATGCTTCGAATTCGCAACTATTGGAAGAGCTGAAAACACCACCTTTGATCCTTGAATTCCTCTTTTGCCAGTGGAGCCACGACCGCCAATACTTCCCTGAAAAAAAATACATAGTAAAGCGCTTTTAAATCGTCTGCAATTCGCGCCCAAGGATTAATTAACATGTACAGTTACTCAGTTCTCGATTCTAATAAGTAGTAAGGATTAGTAATTGTAAGCTCACCATTGGCCCTTTATTTCCGGGGGGGGCGACTGCACCCGGCCTTCCTCTGGGTCCCTGTTAAAGAAAATAATGCAAATGTCAAATATTTGCCGCGCTATAATGTCAACAACAAACTCTACAGCGTTCTTCTTACCTGATTACCACTATGTCCAGCCTCGCCAGAAATGCCAGCGGAACCTTCTAGACCCTGAAAAGAGGAAAATCCCGATTGAACAGATCAATACTTTTCTTATTTAATTCTAGGCAGACTATACGTAAGTCGGTTTTCTATTGAGTTTGTCGGAAGGTGAAAAACAAGGTAACCAGTTTCCGGAACCAGCTTCAAAATGCTTCAACCAATCAAAAACATGACTGACGTCAGCGTCAAGCGTGAAAAATGCGCAAGCCCAGATTCACTTTCGCGTTTGTTTGATTGTGGTAAGTTAAGAAATCAACGTCAGCCTTTTTAAAAGAGTTACAAAGTATAACGGTGAAAACAAAAGCAAACTTGATTTGCTTTAGATATGAGATATTTGTGGTGTAACTTACGGGAAATCCCGGCTCGCCTCGAGAGCCCGGAGCGCCAACGTTACCTTTGGCTCCCTGTGAGAAACAAATCGATGAATATCAACTGAGAAAAAAAATGTGTCAACACCGCCGTAGCCAGTATGAGGCGAACCGAGGCACTCGCCTCGGTAAAATTTTACCAAATACTGTCGATTTTTATTTTTTTTATCAGACTGATAATATTAGAAGATTTCATACGGCTGATTTCGTACAACGGACCGTGTGTTCGCCTCGGTTGTAGTTTCTTCCTGGCTACGGCCCTGGTCAAGCCGCTTTTTCCCATTTATAGCCGTACCCCGAATAAATCCTGGGTCTAAAAGGCGGAGTCGAAGATAAGGGGCGTTTATTTCGACTGAACAAGTTAGGGATATGATTCCAGCTGAATTTCAAACCCTTCCTTTAAGAAAACCGGAACCAAACAAATTTTGTGTCCACCTATATAAAGATTTCACTTGTGTAAGTGGTAACGTTATCAAGGCTGCTTTGATCACCTTAGCACCATTTTGCCCTTGGGCACCGCTAACTCCTTCCTCGCCAGGTTCCCCCTGCAATCAAAACAAAACAGGAACAAAAGCAAAGGATTCTTTATGAATGAAAATAGAAATGCTGCCTCTTTGGCTGACATTGAAAACAATAATTACGAATAAAAACTGCATAGTATAAAAGTGAACACTACAGCAGATCCTCTGCTTCAGTTAGTGTCACTAGCTACTCGGACAAATCTTCGGAGATCTCCGCACAGGAGTCGAATTTATGACGTTTTTGTAATTCCAACGAGCTTCAGTAAACCCTTGGGAGCTAAAGCCATCAACTAGAATAACTCTTTTAAGCCCCAAGATCCACATACAAAATCTCCAGACTGATCTCCATACATTTCTTTAAAGAATAGTTGAGAGAATTTGCTTTAAGATCCGCAAAGTGTTCCCCCCTTTGGTAATCAATTTAGCAATTCTCATAACCTTAACTTTTGATGATCTGCTGATGTTGTTAGGAGAAACTTGATGTTGGTCACTCTTGAGGCCTAAAGGGTTAAGCCAGCCGAATATATTAGACCGATGTTAGTGACACAGGCAACAAACACAGTTAAGTATTTGTTACCGGCGTATAAGGTAGCCTTGGTATATTTAGTACAGAAGGAAGAACGACCTTACCGATACTCCACGATCTCCTTGCATTCCACTGGGTCCTAACTGTCCCATAACTCCCTATCAAACAAAAAAGATATTCAAACGATCAAATAAAGATCAGGTTGTCCATTTTTGAATAGATGCGGATCACGGAAGACTTTCTGAACTTTTGTCAATGTTTAAATGGTTTTTATCAGCGGGACCATGAGTTAAGATACAAACAACTAAACGAAGACAGAATCAAACGTCTGTATCATGCACAGTTTAGGCGTGCTGACTGTCAATATTGCACTCTCCGTGAAAGAGTAAAGAACCTTTGGTAACTAAAGAAAAATGGAACCAAACAAATGCAGAGTCCACGAGTCTAAGTTTAAAAAAATGTCACAGGCTAGGAACGTTGCATGCACAATCAAATGTTAGGATTGTTAGGTTAGGATTGCTGACTGTCAATATTGCACTGTGCTCTCTGTGAAGGAATAAGGAACCTTCGACAAACTCAAAAGTAAAGAAAAGTGGAACCAAAGAAATGTAGAGTAAAAGTAAAGAACCTTCAATAAGTAAGGATGTTGGTGTCCCACTTCAAAATCACTTGTCCGTAGTTAGGATGGTTCCGTTCATCGAATGTATTGAAAACGTGACGTTTAATAGTAACAGAAGATTTATAGAGCGTTTTCACTCACGTGGAAATCAGCTAAGCAATTTTATTGGAACAAAAGAAAGTCTTTACATATGAAAAAGGTGACTAGTTTAGGACACCAACATGGCCGCCGGTTCATTGTTTTGTGATAAAAACAGGGCGAACGTGACGTCACGAGACGTCGGGCTCTTTTTAAGTGGAGTTTCGCATGGAAAGAGTAACTACAGTTAAATCAAGCCTCTGCTGACCCTTTCTCCTCTGCTACCGACTGCTCCTTTAGCACCAGCTGATCCTCGAACCCCCTGAGACGACGAGAGAAAATATTAAGTGCAACTCAATAATAGCCCCAAACGCTCACTGCCATAAAAATTCCTAACATAAACAATAAAACCAATATACTAACTCTCCTCCCACCCATCGAAAATTAAATAAATTGGGGCCATGATTTATCAGATTGAAAAACCCTCATTAAATTTTATTATTATTACTATTATTATTATTATTATTATTATCTTTTTTTGCATTCCTTATGAATTATTAATGTGATATTTTAAGATAAATTAAACAACTTAAAAATAAATTGTAGCACCTGTTGTCCAGGCTCTCCTTTTAATCCAGCGATCCCTTCTTCTCCACTCGGACCCTGAATGTTTAAACCATAACGTTAATCTTTTATGAAAACATCAGGTATTTGCTTCGCATTTACTTCCGTGTTCCTCCAAAACTGATTTCTAAACGTCAACCATTTCTGAATTGCCACATACAAACCTTAACACTGACTTACTGTTATTCCTGGAGGCCCAACCGTCCCTTTCGTTCCAGCGTCTCCAACAGGGCCCTGCGTTGACAGAAGAATAAGTACTATAAGTATAACTGCAGAATAATAAGTAGAATAAGTAGGATAAGTACTATTGCTATGACGAGCAAAGGTGGGAATGAAAACAAAATCATGCTCCCTTACCGTTTTGCCTGGGTACCCCACGCGGCCTTTGACCCCAGCATCTCCTTTCTCCCCCTAAAATAAAAGTCATTCACGGAAAAGTTAGAATCGCTTTAAAACTAATGTATATGTGGTGAAAAGTACAATAACAGTCTCCAGTTATTAGTATCCAGGTTGATAGTGCTATCCTGTGAAAAAAAAAGTCCCAATCCAGTGGGTGGCACAATACTTATCCAATGGAGAGCGATATATCTGGACTGCTCTATCCAACTTGGGTAAGTTGTTTATTTGGCAGTAATGGAAAGCATTATCTCCTTACCGCCTCTCCTTGATCACCATGGGAACCTGCTAGGCCATTGTCTCCGGGCACGCCCTGAAATGAAGAGATTATCGAACATTAAAAAAACTCGAAAATCCCATTTGAGCGCTCCAAACTTGAAGGTCTTCACTAATCCCTTGACGTTGGCCAAAGTTTTGCATCAGCTCAATAGAGAAAAGCATTTTAATTTTACAATTACCCACAGTTGAACTAACATGCCTACCCATATGCGCGCGGGCAAATTTCCGTGAAATAAATCAAGCCGCTGGACTCGAAAAGAAAAAAATTTTAAAACGTGTTGACAAATTGTGGAAATACCCACTCACTATGTAGCTATAAGCCAGTCTTCAATCATACCCTAATTCCTTGATCTCCTGACTGTCCTTGCTTTCCGTTTTCTCCGTCTGATCCCTAGTAATAAAGAATAATACTATGCAGCGTTGTTTCACTAACATTATAGGGACTTTAAGATCCAAAGACGCGGACGACAACGAGAACGCCAAAAAAACAATTGGTTTAATTAGCCAAACAACAACTTCGCACGTGCATCACACTTTTTTGTACATTTCTTTCCCGTTTTTGCACGACTACGACGTGAAAATGCCTAATTTCGCGTTTTATGGAGGACGTAAACAAGCAACGACGAAATTTTATTTCTCTTTCTGACCTTGAATTTGGTCCTTTGAAATTCATCTTCAGGAGGGTTCGCCTACAATTGACAAAGTAAGTGGGTAGGAATAATCGCTATAAAGACTGAAAGAACGCAAATTCACTTTTTAAGCGACGTTCTCGTCGCTGTCGCGTCGTTGGATCTTAAAGTCCCTTATGTCTTTTCTCATCACCACACTTAAAAAATAACTCACGCACGGTGTTGTTAAGTACGTTTAGTTCGACATTCTTTTTTTGTTGTGTAAACGCTATGAGTACAAGACTATCGCTACTGAAGAAGCTATAGTGAATTGCAAAGGTGTTACTGCTTTATGATTTACAGCCATGGCAACAAAACATCAGCTAAATGTTGGGCCCTAACCTTCTGTCCTCTAGCACCACGAGGGCCTGACCGTCCTGGATTTCCTGCAGCGCCCTACCGCCAAACAGACAAACATAAATAAATTAACTTTATGTATAGGGGTAACACGATTACTGTAAAACCAGTAGTTTTCATTTTGGCCCAGAGGGTTAAGAATCCTAGCTGGCCGGAGGCAAATCAGTTGGCTATTTACAAGAGAGGCCGAGGTTTTGAACGTGGGACTACCGTGAACAAATCCAGCTAGGCGGTTTGGGCAGTGATTAAACCCGGGACCTCCGAATTACAATTCAAACGCTCTAACCGCTCGGCGACGCTGCCTCCCTTTGAGCAAAATGAACAAAAAGAACAGAAAAAGTAATTCTAAACAAAAAGAAAACAAAAGAAAAACGTGCAGAAGCTAATGTAGTCATAGCTTTATCAGTAAAACAATTAACAACCCCACTTGCTACTTGAATGAAACACGAACAAAATGAGAGATAATTAGAGTCTATTGCTCATTAACCTGGGATCCCAGGATACTTAGGAACGTACCGTTTCTCCCTTGACACCAGTTCCTCCTGTCGGTCCCATGGGTCCTACACCTCCCTGTAAAAAAGGCAAATGAATAAGATAGAATGAACAGGAGGGCATTTTGCATGCGCATGCGTGAATCCGCCGAACGACAATAGCGTGGGCGCAGCAAATCTGATGGCGGGAAATCGAAAACTCGCGCGTAAAGTTACAGTCCTTTTAAAAGCCATTTCGTTGGTACTTTGAATACCGTACTTTCCTAAAAATATATTCTCCATGACAAAAGTCAGACGTTTTCTACCCGGGTTTTCACTTGTAGATCTTTCAGCAGCAGGTTTTCTTGGCCTTTTAAAGACTTTCAAGACTCAACGCGAAAAAGTCATGTTCCTGTATAAGTCTGATTTTCACTGGCAAAGCAATGCATTTCTATGGTTTGATTTCCGAACTCGTGGTTTTACATATCAGGGAGGAAATGCATCGTAGCAATGTTCCGCTGCTTTAAGACAAAAAGCGAAAAAAAAATTACCACGCGAGGCGCGATGTCTCATGTTAAACTGATCGCGAAGACAAGCGTTTATATGTGCCACGAAAACGTGGAATCTATGGGGGTTTTACAGTTTTTCGAAAGTTTTCGCGGAAAAGTTTATAAAAGATATTCTGTAGGAAATGGAGAATGGACTGAGTTTGAGACAGAAACAATTACAAGTGATTAGTGAGCATTTTATAAGCTCAGTTGCAGACAAAACGAATGCACATACTCCGAAAAAACGAACAGTACTTTTATTTTTCTTTAACTCTAAAAGATACAGAGATTTCCTAAGCTACTATTTTGAAGCGACTTTTGAGTAACAGCTCCTGTGTTCCAAAATCGATTTCTTGTTATTAATTTATATTTGATAACAGTAATGATCCATTCAAAACGGAGAATCGGGCCATCACTCCATAAATCTAACCTGACCATGTTGTTCACCTTCAAAGCCTGTTTAAACATAAGATAGGAAGTTCGTTAAAGGGGTGCATATAATGCTGTTTCCTCAAAAAATAAATACTTCTGCTAAAAGACCCAAATGAGCTGGGATGCGACAACAAACATGACACAAATGGATGAATTTGTCTGTTATTGCTTCTGTTGAGAGCTTTTTACTGTATCCATATGAAGCCCTTATGTAAGTTGTACATCATGGAAGAATTATAAAGCAGAAACTGATGCATTAAACAAGAATGTGGTTCAATACAGAGGAGAAGCTGGTCTCAGTCAACGTCCTTCGTGAATGAAATGTCTCACAAATTAGCATATCAACAAATGTAGTATCCACAAAATGGTATCATTTAGGAATAAATGCGATTTTTTTGCAACAGGAGCCAGGATTTATTTAAAAGGTGTATTGATAACGTTTCATTTCGAGCTATTTTGGGGTTGGGGAGTTAGGCTAGATTTTCTTTAAAACGCCAAACTGTTATATTTATTTGCATAATAAAATGTAAACAAACAGTGTACCATCAAAATAAGGTGGAAAAAATCAGAATTCAAACCGATTGCTCTAATTTTTTTCCTTTGTACAACTAAATGATAGAATATTCTTATTTTCAAAACAGAATCTTACTGGCATCATTATATTGATTTAAATTTATTGTTGAAGTGCATGTATTTTATTTCTCAACGAAGACGCACCGGAGAAGAAAGCTAAAATTACTGCAGAAGGCGATTTTTCACAGCCTTCATCAAAGCGCCATTCATTCGCGGAAGTATTGTTAGTTTCATTAATCATTAACTTAATCTGGGGAGAAAGGCAAGATTTCGAGATAAACAAGCCAGAGAAAGGGTGAAAAACAGTTTCACGGCAGAATGGACATTTAATTAACCACCGTATTCCTGAAACGATTAAGTTCGATTTTAGAATTATACTATTGAGAAGAATTAAGTATCTATACGATAATTGTTTAACGAAAAACTATCATACTGACCTTTTCCTCCTGCTCAAAAAATGCGCGCGAAATGTTATAGGTGGTAAGAACATTCAGCCGCCATCTTGTCCTCGATGTACTGTTTTACGAAAGGAAATACTGTTCTCTCAAGGGCGACAGCGAGGCTACAATAAACTCACTTTCATCGTAGAAATACCTCGGTACCTTAAAGAACACGTTTGTGGAACGTAGCACCCAATACATGTCATTCAGCTCCAGAAAACAGCCTGGAAATGCTGGTACTAAACGTAAACAATTCACAGAAAATGCCTCTGTGGCACTTCAACAGCCCATATTGACGCATGCGCATACAAAATGCCCTCCTGTTAGATAGAATGAAGAAGTAAAAACCAGTAACAAAAGCTTCACTTCTTTCATAATGTGTTATAAAGTACTGAAGCTTGAGTGGCTTGGGGCTAAATTCACGAACACTTCCAACCCTCGTTCTTAGGATCCTCTCCAACTCGAGGGACGAGTAGGAGACAGACCCTGAGAACGAGGTTGGGACCCTCAAGTCTAAGTTAGTCTATTCAATTTTGTAAAAGGATTTTTTTCAGACCTCCAATCGTGCAATGAGCTAAACCATAAAGAAAGCTTCAAGTTTTGTCAACACTTGATTTTATAGCGCTTTTAAGTAACATTTTTCACGAAAAAAAAATTGCCAAGAAACCAATAGCGAGCAGCGAAAAAGCATTGGAAAAAAATTGTTGACATTTGTTCGCGTTGATGTAGCTGCTGTTGTTTTGAACAGTGTTAACAGAAGAGGATTTTACCCTTGCTCCTCGTCCGCCATCCTCTCCCATCAGACCTAACGAGCCGGGTGGTCCCTACAAATACCGAGACAAGAAAAAAAAACTGTTATCTGAGTTCCTTGAATTAAAATAACCGTGTATGAAATAAGACAGAGATCACTTGGTACAACGTGCAAAATGATAGTGACTAATAGCATGTTACTAATCCAGTGATAGCCTAACAGCCTGCCTCAGCTGCCTCCCCGAAGACTGACAGATTACAGACTGACCGACAGGCTGGGTGACTGACTACCCGTATGCTTGGAGTGGAAACATACAGGAAAACTGCAGACCATCACCAGAATAATGCACAATTCAAACATGTGAAAGACTGCATTCCCGTTTTTTGGGATTATTCTTGAGGGGAAGAAACGCTCTTTATTCGAAGCGCTTTAGTTGCCTTAGCTATTTTCCCTGTTCATGTGGCATGTGCCAATTTAATTTGTACGTCTCTGGTATAAGAGCTTTAATCATGATTTTTACCACATATCCAGGTCTTCCAAAGTCTCCTTGCTCGCCTTGAGAACCAACTGCACCCTATGTTTAAAAGGATATATACAACTTGAATCAGCATAAATTTGTTTAACGTTTAGAACAGATAATAACAAACAAAATGTCTTACCATTTCGCCTTCAACTCCTTTTTTTCCAGGAAAGCCAGAATTTCCCTGAGAGATTAAGTAATATTGTAAGTTCTTCCGCTACATGAACCAAGCAGTCGAGCGCTAGTCGACTTTTCAAATTTTAACCCAACAAAAGGGGAAATTTATCCCCTTCTTATGACTATGTAAGACTAAAAGGAAATCGTTCTAGTAGAATTCCGTTTTGGGGTTTTTCATTTTCAGTTACCTGTAACACAAAAGGGAGAGGCGATTTCCTTGGTATGACTGGCAGTCAGATGTAATATACCGAACACTAGAATGAGTGTTTCATTTGATACTCAAACACCTAGATGGAAACATTTTTAATGACAATGTCCTCCTCTTAAAAGTAATTACTTTACCTCTTTTCCTGGGAATCCGCCTTCACCTTGCTCGCCTTTCAGCCCCTGTAAATAGAAAATAAAACAGTAAGAATTTTGACAGATATTTAGATAACGTCGTAACAACGATTTAACCTCGTTCCGGAAGTTGTTCTCTACTCACCATACTACCTTGACCTCCGCTTACTCCTCGATTTCCTCGGGGGCCAGTTTGACCCTTAAAGAAGAATAGGGTATAATTTAGAGCAGCACTACAGTAATCAGATGAAACCACGTTGTCTTGGTTTTGTAGAGCTATGAAATCACTAGATGACGTAAAATAAGGGTAAAGAAAACAGACAATACTGACACTTCGAAACCTGCAACAACCAGCTGATTTGTTGCAAGACAGGTTTGATTAGTGGCTGGTAAAAGCGCAACATTGCTTTTGAACTCAATTTGCAGCAGTGTTGGGAAACAAGTTGCACGTTTTTGTTGCCCGTTTTTCCGTACCTTATATACAAAGAAGTCACCAATCAGTGACTTGTGCAACAATAATATTAACGTAAAAGATCGATTTAAAGCGCTTTAAACACGGAGCGCTTACCATTGGTACGGAAATTTCGGTCAAAAATTTCCGTCAAATGGTACTAGTATTTTTTCTGGCACCGAAAACAGGAACGGGATTGAGTTGTCCATTTACAAAATACCGGTAAATTTTTTGCTTTCTCTCGACATGAAGCCTGGCACAGGTAATCCAAACAAATGGTACAGAAAATTTCGGTCGTTTTGGTAACAACGGGAAAAGGTAATACCTCGAAAGGTATTACTTTTTTGCCGGAAAATTTCCACCGGGATGAACCGTTCCATTTGAATTCTTCCCGGAATTTCCGGGTTTTCCAAACAAATGGTAAGCGCTCACGTTTTTTATAAAGTAAGGAGAACAACCTCAAAGGGGCAAGGAACACTTTTTTTGTTACTAACCATTTCACCTGTTAATCCAAACTCTCCATTCTCTCCACGAGGTCCTATTTGACCCTGCAAAAGAATTATACACCGGTTAATTGAAAGCAATACCCGACCTAATCAAAAATGGCCAATCCGGCGTGTTAGGTAGAAATCTGAATCCTGTCTAACCTGTGCACCAGGCTCTCCTGATAAACCTTGCTTCCCCACTGCTCCCCTGTTTCCCTGTCAAGAATAATCGTTAAACGTAGTTTCCATATAATTCTTGATGGTCAGGATTTGTGGCCGTCTGCTACGCGATTGGAGAATCGTCTGACGTATTTCATTCAGACGATCCCAGAAACCACAAACAAATGTGCCCGTTTACCCCATTTTAGGTAATCCTGTTTCTCGAATTTCCGGGCAATTGAGGAATCTGGAATTCAGCTCAAGGAATCCCGAATCCCGAATCCAAGTTCCACTGACGAGAAATCCGGAAACCAGTACATGTACCTGAAATTTGGAATCCACCGCGCGGAATCCAGAATCCAAGACTGTCTTGGATTATCTTGCATGGGGCGATTTATTCTAGTGATTGCAAATATGCCATGTTTCTTTGACTCGATTCTGGTGCAAAAAGAGGCAAAAGCGTATGTCTGCAACGTAACGTCACGTACCGCGTAGACCAGTCGCCGATGGTGTCTCTGATGGCATGAACACCGGGCTATTATTGTAGTTCTACTTTGTCACTTAAGCTAAAGACAACTCGAAATGATTCCTCAATTAAGGAATGATTTCAACTTACTTTCGGTCCATTTAGGCCGGTTATACCAAGAGATCCACGTTTGCCTATAGGACCCTAAAAAAAAAGAAGCATACCGATAAAAAAATTTGTAGGAAGTGGGAAAATACTACAAAATTTAGTCAGATTTCAGAGTGATATCCTGTATTCCACTTCCGGTCCAGATTTTATTTATTGATGCGTAAAGAATTTTGTCTTATAGTCGTGCACTTTTCTTCATGTGTTAACAGAAATCTCACGCACAAATCCCTTGCCACATCTTTTTCAAGAGCGGTTTTTTCCCACTTTTCAGTCTCATGTATTTATGCACTTACCATTTTTCCCTTTTTTCCCATGGGTCCCACAAGTCCAGTCTCTCCCACTGGTCCCTAAATACAAAAAATCATCCAAAAGTCTGGCAACAAAAGCGCTAAGGCATCATTTGTGGTAAACAATATTTAGTATTTAAAACCGGTAAGGGCGTTAGTGTGATCGCGTACGACAGTATAAAGCTCAGGACGTACTAAAGAAGTAAAATCACGAGAAGCTTTCTACCTAATTCATTGTACTTACGGCTTCGCCTTGTTTTCCAGTCTCTCCGTCGTACCCACGATCCCCCTGCCAAGAAAAATATGTATTCATACTTAGAGTTGTTGCAACGAAAAAATAAGTTAACAATAGTGTGCAGGAAGAACCGCTAACAATGTTCAAAACTTAAGCGGAACGAGCCAGAGGAACGTTATTAAAATGCAAATGTCACAGGTGTACATGATCAACGGCACCCTTCAACGGTCATTAAAACTTTCATGCTCTCATGCAGTAAAATTTGGGAAATTGGTGCTAAAACGGGCGATCATATCACCTGAATTCTCACGTCTTATTCCTGTTGAATAGGCACTGATTATGAGAGGAAAGGTTTAATAGTATCTGTAAGGGTATTTTCGGTAGCCAGAAATTTACCGAAATACAGTGCGGGATTCGGAAAAATGCAAAACTTCTTGAAGGGATACGGGATTTGACCCCTACTCTAGTCCAGTTCTGGGAGGGGCCAGAACTGTACTACCCCTACTTGGGAAGCGTGTTGCGCCAAAATCTTGGCATGGGATGCGGTATTGGGAAAGAATATTCGGGATAGCGATGGCATAAGTTCGGGATGCCGGATTGTCGTGAAAAAGGAGTGGGAATGCTGGATCGGGACACCCCCTCCCCACCCCCTTGCCTCGTTCTAGACCCTGGTTTGACACGGATCACCCAACCGCGTTAAAACGTTAACGTGTTACAAACATAAATGACCAATTAAGATTTAATAGATACGACTTACTGGCTTTCCGGGGCTACCTCCTCTACCTGGCCGACCTCCACGTCCGCGAGATCCCTGAGATAAGAAAAAATCTCAATGCGTACTGATGAGATTACAGTGCCGGATTTTTTTTAATTAGAAGCCTTTTCGCGAAGACTATTTTTAAAATGCGGCTTTCCCCTTGCCTTAAAGTTATCCAACACTCATCATTGCACTACATGCTTACATGTTAAAATTGGCAGTTTTGTTGTCCTTATGATAGTATTGTCAGGTTCTGATCCAATTTTCACTGATTTAATTGTTGACGTTCACACAATTCAAACGTTAGCTATATCCTCCCTGGGCGTACAAAGCGTTAAAATGCCTAGACTACTAGTTCTATGGTCAAGCAGCTAATCGCGAAAGCGAGCATCAGTCATCTACGAAAGGCGCTGCTGTAACTACTTTGTACCCAGGCGCCACTTTTGCGCGTGGACCAGAGATCTTAGGACATCATGGGAAGAATGCAAAAGGCATAGCAACGTCCTTGGATGACGAAACATCCTTGCACAGAGCGTGCAGAAGCTGCTGTGGGGTGCAGAGCGTGGCAAGCCTTAGTGACCATTGGCCCGATCTCTTTTAGAAACAAAAAACTTGTCGTGGTTCAAGAACGGCCTTGTGTAATCTCAGTAAACTTATGACTAATTACTTCTGTATGATCTATCAAGACACTTCCATGCAAATAAGTGATTCTTACGACAGGTCCGGAGGATCCCTTTGCCCCTGAAACTCCTTCTTCGCCCTACAGAAATAGAAAAGCGCGTGAGTTCAGCTAACAAGTGTAGCTGTTGACAGAGTGACGAGTACAGAATCACCAAAATCGTTAACTGATTCCATATTCCAAGTGTCATTGAAAAGTGAGTGCGATGCAAAACTACCATCAACGCAATCAGATTTGAAATGTTGCACCTTATTATTTCGTCCGCGGACTAAAAAGCTAAAACTGCATTAGATGTTTCCATAAAAGAGCTTTTTTACCAATACGCCAGCCATATTGAATTAATTAGATTTAAGGAGTATTATTGGATGCCCAGGGGCATGAGCACGAGTCGATGTACTCGCATCAATATTTACGCGCGCTTTTCGGGCCAATTTTTCTTTAAGAATTCCTAGAAAAAGATTGTAATGGGGAAAAAGATCGTTGTGCCGTGTTTGGACGTAATATTGATCGCCTTTTTCCCGAGAAATGTACATTGAAGTTCTCTTTTTGCTCTAGGCATCCATTATACTCCTTAAATCTAATAAATTCAATATGGCCGCCGTATCGGTAAAAAGGTCTATTTTAAGTGTTAAAAGAGACAGATTAGGTTAACTACAGTCGAACCTCCCGTGAAAGACCACCCAAAACGCAAAGAATTAGTGGTCGTTTACGGGAGGCGATCGCTTACGAGAATCGAACCAATGGGAATCTCTTCCGAGAATGAGTCCCGACACATCTACTTTTTGGCACAGAATTTATTGCCCGCATTTATTGTGAGTTACGTGTACGTGTAGTTCCATGTTGTCACTAAAAGTTGTTAGTATACTCGGAGTGGAGAAGAACATACAACGAGCAAAGAAACAATACCATGCGTCAAGTGTTCGCTTGCAAGAGGTTAAAAACAGTGGAATACTGTAAAACCATCAGGCCCCAGTCGTTCAACGTTGGATAGCACTATCCACCAGATAAATCTCTATCAAGCGGATGGCGTAATTGATTTCCGCAATACGTATCCACTGGACAGTGATTTACCCGGCGGATAGCGCTATCCAACGTTTGAGCAAGCGGGGCCAGGCCGCCAAAAGGTGGTCGCGGTTGCTTAAGAGTAGTAGAAGTTTACGATAGGTTTTATTAAAGGGTTATAACGAGAAAAATTTGGGGGGTTTTGGATAAGCGGTCGCTTATAGAAGGTGGTTGCTAACGAGAGATGGTCGCACATGGAGGTTTGACTCTATGATATTACTCACAGTGGCACCCTTGTATCCACGGGGACCTCTTCTCCCCCGATGCCCTGTGGGACCCTGCAAGAGAATGTTAATCGCAAAACTTGAATCGGTGTAGCAAAATATGTGAAACTTCGGGTGGCACTTGGGTAGGTTTTGAGCAAGTATGATCCACCAAAGCCCCCAAATTCAGACCCCGCCCTAGAAGCTAGGATACTGCATTCCAAATGTACCTCCTTCTTTAATTTGGCTGCCGATAATGTGAGACGTTCGTGCGACAACGCGACGACAGTGACGACGGCGCGCACAGATCTAAAACCGAATTGACCTATGACAGAACGGCAAATTCGCCTTCTCATTTGATTTTGCGTTGTCTATGGCAACGCCATTAGGTGGCACGTTTCTATACAGGTATCTTGGGGAAGTACCCCCTTAGCGAGTGTAGTTAGGAAAGCGTTGTTACCATGGTCCCTGCGCTACCATCTCTTCCATTTAAACCACGCCCTCCTGGTGGCCCCTGTAATTTAAGAAGAAATCTCAATTAGCTGCATGTTACATCTGATTAGTTATAAAAGAATCACCGTTAGAATTACAGTTTACCCACCTGGTCTCCTTCTCGACCCGGAAGACCTTGAGATCCTGGGTTACCTTGGGATCCCTGTTTTAAAAAGGACCAAGTATTAAAAGGCTGAAGGTGGGCTCCAGAAATTTGGTAGTGTTTGAGATGGATAAAAACCTAAGTTCTCACCGTTCAACTTTTTACCAGCACTTTCTGGTGTTCCGTGTATTGAGCTGTACAATCTGGTTCAAGCTTTTTAGTCTGTGGATGAAATCCTCGACTGTGATCAGAAAATGAGCGCTTTCGAAAAGTCAGAACCGACTCCTCGGGTCGGTAATTTTGAAAAAAAAAATGTATATTTTTATCTCGAAATTTTCCCTAAAACTCACCACCGCCGACGATACCATTAATAGACTAATCTGGTTGAATAATCGTGCTTAATAGTGGATTTCGCTTTACAATTAGACAGATCTGGACGGCTAGTTCTAACAATTAGAAAGTCTTCAAGTCTTCTAAGTCTATCCTGTAGGTGAAATCCTAAGGTAAAATAAATACCTTTGTTCCTGTTCCTCCCGGGAGACCCCGGAGTCCTGGAGCCCCCTGCCAACCCTATTGGAAGGAGAGGAAACAATTTCTAAACAACGAAAACATAAGTAAAACTTCTAAGCGCTGAACGTCAGTAAAGTCATCAACCTACAGGGTTCCCCTTCTGTCCGGGTCCCCCGCGTTCTCCAGGTGCTCCGTATGTCCCCTGTGAAAAGATAAGAACCAATAATCTTGTAGACTAACAAGTAACATGCTATGTTGCATACGCTTGGGTAGCTAGAACACATTCACTCGACAAAGATCTTGCTGTTTATTACGCAGCACAAAATATTTCTATCGTCCCGGTTCTTGGCGTTATGGAAGTACAGGACAAACGTCCTTAATACGGACTCCAAAGAAACTCAGTGACCCAGGATTACGAATGACACGTCCAGGATTTTGAGGTAGAAATGGAAGTTTAGTATCAGTGGGATAAAGCGAACTATCTGTGAGGCCCTTGGAAAGGCAAGTGCTAGGAAAGGTTAACTCTTTGAATTTCTGGTCATTCCTAGCGGCTGGTAAAATTATGCACGTTTTATTTAGTTTAAGTTTGAATTAAAGGTAAAAATTTTCTTACCGCTGCTCCCGAACCTCCCCTTGGTCCCGTAGCACCAGGGTATCCCTAGGAATAAATTGATGTAACAAGATGAGTTTAAACGGTAGTTGGATAAGACAGCTGAGAAGATGAACTTGGCACGGAATGATTCTGGCTGTCGAAATAAGAGACCAATTATTTTATTCGATTGTCATTTAATTATTTATTGATACTTTTTTTTCCGGTCTCCCCGCTTCTCTCGTCGCCAATTGCCACCCTCAATTCATGATTCAAATAATCCCAGATGAGTGATCGCAAGTGCCAAAAATGACAAGGAAGGTATGTGGTGGAAGAGTAAACAAGATATCAATACCCTTTCACCAGGATCTCCCTGAACGCCTTCCGGTCCTGTGTTTCCTCTATCTCCCTAAAAACGAAAAAGAAACAGAAACAGTTAAGACTGATTGAAGTTCGCTCTTAATTTCCTTTCAAATTAAACCGCTGTATAAAACACCTTATAAACCAGAGACGTTTTTCTTGTAAATCTTGGGAATTAAATCTCGACAAAAGCGCAACGTGACGCAAACCGCGGCTTATTTGAGAACTGATCTCTCGAGTCAGGGTACCTTCAGAAAATAGCCTGGTCAGCATTCAATGCTTATGTGTGTTAAATTGACCTAAAAGTCCACGGGCCGCCTGAATAAGGCTTATCCAGCACTGTATAACTTATTCAAGGCTTTAACTACTAACAAAAGTCAAGTTGGTAACTTGTTTTTATGGGGTTAAAGCTTGATGAGACTCATTATCGATTAACCTTTTCAATTCATTTGAAAGAATAGTTGCGCCGAATTACATGGATCCGCGAATATCGGGAAAATGAAATGTGATGTGTTTATAATTATTCAGATTCGTCCATGGGATAAGGTTGAACAAGACCGTAGGGTGTAAATGAGTTTTTTGTCACTCCCTCTCCTTGAGGAGAATAGAAACGTCTAGGTAAGCAGAATAAGTTACTATTGGTTGATGGTTTCCACTGGCAACCGAAAAAAGCCAATCAAAGCTTGGTTAATATTAGCCTGTGCTTGGGCTTTCAGACAGTAGGGACGACTAAAAAATAAAGCAAGCCAAGCGAAAATAAGACGCGCGCGATATGGGGAAGGAGGCGTTGTCGGGAAAAATGGTTGGTAGAGAGACACCACCGCCACCTCCCTCTCTCTCCTCAGCCCCCGCGCGGCAGGGGGTATTATCAGGGATCAGGGTTCTTCCGACTTTCAATTCCTCATCCATTTTGTTTACGCCAACTCTTGCTTACCTCTCTTCCGTTAAAGCCGGGGCCACCTTGAAAGCCATCTTCCCCCGTTTTTCCATCAGGGCCTTGTTCCCCAGGGGAACCACGTGAACCTCTTTCTCCCGGGTATCCTGGAGGGCCTTTTTTACCCGAGTGTCCTGTAACACCTGGCTCGCCAGGTGGGCCGGGAAAACCCGGGGGTCCGCCTATTCCTTTCGATCCCTGAAAATGTAAATTTAACGACTCAGAAACACATGAGAAACTGGATTTTGAAAAAAAATAGTAGAATGGCAAACAAATTATAGCGTTATAGACCATCGGAATTACACCGGTTAAGCATTCCAGGGCGGAGCAAAACTTACTTCAGGCCCACTGACACCTTCTACACCAGTTTTCCCTTGAACTCCCTGAGAGAGAATATGTCGGAGTAAATAGTTTGAAGTAAGAAGTATTAAAACTTTTCATTTAGGTAAGATTACCATCTCCATCACTGTGTTAATAACTGGAGCGCAAGTCATGCCGGAAAAGACCTCGTAACTCGCCTTCACGTGAGCTGATGTTGTTATTTTATCTGCCAGTATCGCTTATGAGGAATTTATTATTCCATGGCAAATTTTCTTGTTATGCCACCGTCTATATCTTAATGACTGAGGCATTCAGATTCTGCAAATTTAACAAAAACATTTTTTTAAGTTGTTTTAACAGAGGTTTGGTCACTGAGATGACGCCAAGGAATTTCGTTTCACGTATTGCCCCTTTCTTGTGAGGCAGGTCGCGAGTGGTATACGTAAACCATATTTCACGTGTTCGCATTTCTAACGCAAATGACATCACAGTCGTATAATCATCTCCCGCGAATCTAAGCGCGTTCATTTTCCATACGTGGTACTAACTGAGGCAGAATGTGGATGGTCCTGACTTGTTCCGTTTTAATCTGTGTGATCGGTAGAATGATTTGTACACCTTCAGCCATGTACTACCAAAAAACATAAGAGGGGAAAACAAACAGATAATAACTAACCCGGTCACCAGCAAATCCTACTGGGCCGTATTTTCCAATAGCTCCTGGATCGCCCTGAGGAAAAAAAAAAGAAATCTGATCATGCAAAATGTAATTTTTGAATCATCTTTCTTATTCAATTTCGCCACTTTAGAAACGAGAAATGAACTGGACCGAGTGAACTTCCGAAAAGACATCTGGGTGGAGTGAACTTTCGCAACGACATCTGGGACGGTTACTGAGGACAGGGAAGAAAATAGGGATCATGTTATATACGTTTCTGGGAAACTGCCCACCTACCCCTTCCTTAAGCCAACATTTTGCCCTAAGCGAGAAGTAAGTGTTAATGTTGGCTTAGGTGAGGGGTTGATGGACACTGCTCGAGATCCCTTCTAGTCTTTAACTCACGAATCATCACAAGTAAATGTACGTGCAATCAAGGGCGGATAGTAAAGTAAGACTGCATTTCTGACCTGTTCCCCGTCCTTTCCTGCGATCCCGTCCGGTCCAGCTGGTCCCTGATAGAAGGCAGACGTCACTGTTAAAGGAATATCAGAACACAAATAAACTGAAGGGGTCTGGTGCCTAAATTTTCAGACCAACTGCGAGCCACTAATCAAAGTTTAAAATATAATTGGAAAAACTGTATGTTTAAGAACTAATAATAACCAAAGGTTATGGAGTGCAGGCGACAACAATTTAAGGTCAAAGCGCTTTTGCTCCAACGCTGTGCTCTTCGTAAGTTTCGCGTGACTTATGGTCAAAACACGCGTGATCAGATCACGAATAATGGAAGGTCCAAACGGATGTGATCAAAGTGCGTTCTGTGCATTCCATACATTCTTAGTGCAAGTCCTAACGAATGCTGGCTACTTACATGCGACGCATGCGTAATAACAACCTAGAGATTAGGATTGAGGGCTCCTCTTGTCGCCCGCAAAAAGAAAGTCTCGTAAGACACGTTATAGACTAATACAAAGAAATGAAAAAATTATATAAAATTGATGACGTAGACATTCTATTTACCACTGTTTCCGTTATTAAAGTGGCGGAAAGTGAAGGTTTGAGAACGTGGAAAGAGACCAAATGTCCAGTTCAAGTGCGAGAAACGAAAATTCCGCGAAGTTGCAAGCGCCCGGAATATCGCCTCCCGCGGGTTTACGCGACCCAGCGGGGGAAGGGGAGTTTAGTGATGAAGGGAGTAATATCTAAACCTGTACGTCACGGTATTTTACACGTTCGCGTAATGCAATCGCTCTTCTTTGTATGAGAAATGTAAGGGACCATTCGTACTCTAGGATCAAAGCGGTTTTCTTTTCACATCCGATCGTTAAGGAACGAAGTGGATCAGTGGGCTGGAAATCGAGGCGAGAAACATGTCTTTAAAGCCGTAGTTAGCCTGCACGCCTAGCTTTTTAAAAGGGGGGAGTCGGTTGCACGAGAGCTTGAGGGGCACACAGGCTAAAGACATTTAACAAGGAGAAGCTAGCAGTTTCCAACTAAAGAAAAGGCTTATGGTGATTTTGTGTGTAATGGTAACTTCTGGGGAACCACCCACCTACCCAAATGTTACATTTACCTCCTCAAACACAACAAAACAGAAGTTAATTACATGGATCTCAAGCGACGAAAAAAGGAAAGAGCGTCGACATGCATTATATAGGGATAAGTCAACGAACTATTTCACTCTCAGTAGCTGAAGAACATTCCAGTTATTACATTCTGACTTTATGAAGACATTTAGCTCATCCACGTATCCATTAGTACTTTAGCCACGACATACTCAAAATCATGAGAAATAAAGTAATCACCTAGCGAATTTTAGCAACGACTACGGCGACGGCAACGAGAACGTCATAAAAGCAATATGTTTACTGAGCAAAACAACAAATTTGTATCATGCTTTTTTGTACATTTCTTTGCCGTTATTGCACGACTACGACGTGAAAATGCCTAATTTCACGTTTTATGGAGGTAAACAAGTGACCACGAAATTTTCTTTCTCTTTCTAAACTTGAGTGCGGTTCCAAGAACTCAACTCTAGGGAAATTTGCCTACATTAGACATTTTCAGTGAACTGGAATAAGCGCGACAAAGTTTGCAAAACGCTAATTCATTTCAAAAATGACGTTTTCGCTGCCGTCGCCGTTGTCGATGCTAAAACTCCCTCTCATGTCACGAGCACGGGACAAAGAAAAAATCTGAGTACCAGACAGGAATTGAACCTAAGACCTTTCGTACACCGGTCGGATACTCTAACCTCCGAGCCACGAAGGACTCATGGCGAGCTGGGCCATATACAAGGTTCATTTAGGCCTTCTTCTAGTTATTCTTACCTCGTCACCATCGTTACCACGAAAGCCTTTTTCTCCTTGGACGCCGCGCCTTCCTCGATGACCGTTTCGGCCTGGGGCACCATCATTACCTCCATCACCAGGAGGCCCCTGAATACAAAAATAAACATCAAGGACCAGGAAATGCTCAGTAAAAGAAGTAAAGCGCTCCTGCCATTTAAACCACGAATGTTTTGAACAAAACCATTAGCGTCTTACTAACAGTGATTAATGGAGAAAGAAAGTCGTCTCAAAGCTCCTAAGTTTTAAGACTTGGTTACCGCGTTAGTTGAATCGTATAATAAACGAGATAACAGTCAGGTCAAGTCAATTTAGCTTATTTTATAGGCAGGATGGTCCTATCATTACTTGGCTGGAATCATGTTTAGTGCCCCTTAAAGTCTACTTGTATGTCTATAAACTAACGCCATGCTTCTGGAAAGTGTATACTTTTCAGATACGAGGACTATTTGCTGGCAGTTGTGTCAGGAACTGTTTAGTAAGGTCTCGAAGGCCACCAGAAAACAGGAAAGAAGTGTGCAATGCATTTTACCTGATATCCTTTCAATCCGGGCGTTCCTGGTTGGCCGGCTTTTCCCCTTTCACCCTTGAAAAGGAACCACATAACATGAGTGGTCATGTTTATAAAACAACAAAATTTGAGTACATAAAACAATACAAACGATTAATGCAAAGCGTTGTCAGAATGTAACTTTGCAGCCCTTTTCACATTTACATTTAGGATCATTTAGGTAAAACCCTTGATTGAATCTTCCAGCAATGTTTAAAATTTTGCGTCAGTTTTTATGAGTGAAATTTTAAAAAGTATAATCTATTGGCGTGATCTGCTTAAACGTACTTGAGAATTCCACAACTGTATGTCATCCGTCATTCATTGTTGAAACACTTACCCGAGTCCCGTCAGCACCAGGTAGGCCTGGAATACCGGGCAAACCGGCCTCTCCCTAAAAAGGAAAGTATACATGTTTTAACAATTATATTCCATATTTGGATAGCTGTTGCGAAGTATGCATAAAATATTCATGGAATTCAATCAGTATATTCGTACATTATTTATATCCATGTAACATTGCTTTAACATCATTCAAAACTAAAATATATCTCAGTCCTCAACAGTCGAATTACACACAATACTCGTTCGAGCCGGTTGTAGTTACCTGTTTAGTAGCAAACCTTTGATTGAGGTTCTCATGGAGCGAAAAAATAAATATGAAATCAATACGTTTTAAGGCCTTTCGTAAAGTTGGATTGTTGGACGTACCAGACAAAACAAGGTTTTAATGTATAGTAGTGTCTCGCAAATACATATAAAGAATAAAATGTAACGTACTTACAGCTAAACCGATTTCACCTTCATTGCCAGGGTCGCCAGGCTGTCCAGTCGCCCCCTGTAAAACACAACACGTGATGCCAAAAACAACGTTGTAGAGCTTGTTAATAACTCGCTTAATTAACTGGTTACCAAATTGAGTATTGTTACACTTACTCTTTCACCAGGAAGTCCAGCAATTCCCTGGTCTCCTTTCACATCCTAAAGAATTTAAAGTCGAAGAAGTTAATTTTTTCGGCATTTAAACCAACATGGAGCGAACTAGGAGAGCAATCAGTGGTTTAACTGTTTGCGGGTTAATGCGTTTCCCATATTTACCCGCAATCAGCCTCATTTCCAGTGGGGTTCAGAATGTAGTAAATGTTCCAAGGGAACCCGCACTTTGCACCCGGTTTTCTTGCGTCTTAAGTTCACTGTTCCTTGTATCTAAACATTCGAAATTAATCGGTGGTTTATGGGGCTCTGCACGAGTTGCATCGGCATATTTCCCTCCTTTGACAAGAATTCTGTTTTACCGCTCTTCGCAAAAACGGCATATTTTGCACTCTAAGAACCAGCTGCCTGTACTTTGTACACATTAAGTCAGTTGCAGGATTTTTCTTCGATGGGTCATAGCAAGAGGGTGACATCTATAATAAACGCTTTTCTTTTTTTCTTTTTGTCGACTTTTTAGCGTTCTTGTATCCGAGTTGTTACCCTTGCTTTTCCCTATTCTCCAACGAGGTCATTGAATGTTTTTTTCTGATCTTGGTAAGGGATCCTGGTTGTTGAATTGAACACGGAATGTCCGAGAACTCCGATACGAAATGGATGAGGAATTAAACCTATAAACTGACTGACTGACTGACTAAAAGGAGATCTTAGACTTAAGCTCTAGTTAACCATACAAAAATTAATAACCATAAGAAAAGAGTTAAACTCCGACAGGACTGGTTTGGGACACCAACATGGCCACCGTTTGTTGTTTTGGCGAACGGCAAACGTTTCTCCTCGCTTATCGCTGCTGAGGGACGTTTCGCGAAACGTCCCTCAGCAGCGATAAGCGAGAGGAAACGTCTGCCGTTCGCAGGCTACAATATGGCCGCTGTGACGTCATGTGAAAACCCTCTATACGGAAAGAAAAAAGTGGCAACGAGGATTTGAGGTCACACTTGGGGTTTCGAACTCGGAACCTTCCGTACTGAAGGCCGCACACACTAACCGACTGTTTTAATCCTTGCTTTTAATGTATTGAAATCATCGATTGCTGTCGTAAACACAGCATGATGTAATTTCACGGTTTTTTTTATGCATAGACATTTCTTTTCACACAACTGCACAGGACACCCAACAGAAACTCGTACCTCAAACTGCCTCAGGCTTCATAATGACAAACGCATTCCCTGGGATGTCTGTGGCAGACTACGGTGAAAGTGCACGGAAAATTGGAAAACGGACCCGCATTATTACATGATATATAAGTCCTCAGTATAAGGAATGATTTTCTTTACCCCAGCAATTGTGTAATATATGAATAACGAAACCTCGTCAAAAAAGCGAACGCAATTCCTTGGCTCTTGGTTTTTTCGAGGTTCCACTGTACTCCTGTATACGTTGATTACCCGCGTACCCGTAGCCGTCTTAGAACGGCGCCAATGCCATCTTCGTAAAAGGACTTTAGGTCTGAGGACGGCGAGTTCAGCGATTTCGCCGTCTTTTAATCTTCCTTTCGATTTTATATTTCAACTCACTTTGTCAGAAACTGGGTAGTATATGCGTGACGCGTGTAAGCTTAGTGCGTGACAACAAACCTGATTGACAACGATATATGCGCTTGACGCGATTATGTAACAAATCACGTTTTCTAAAAATATCATTGTTGTTAGGTCGCGCCTGTTCCGGTTTAAGATCTTTCCTGTCACAATCTGTCATATTTTAGCCAATCAGTTTGTTCAAGTTCATTTGTTTTACGTAACAGTGAAGTCAGGGAGAAATCGCACTTTTTTTTATGGAGCAAGAATCGGTTGAGCTATTGAAGGGTCTATTCCGCAAACTAAAAACTGTGAGAGTGTGGGCATCTTTAACTCATTCCCCACAGAAAAGCACTCCGGTTTGCTATTCATTCAAAACACTTTTGAATTTCAAAGGAACACTGAAAACAAACATTTGAGCTAAACTGATTTTATTACATTGCAAGTTATTGCGTATAAATGATTTCTAGGCTACACCTGGTTCGCGTTGCAGAGCTGAACTGTCATGTAAAAACCTTTTTCCAGTTCTTTAACACAATCAAATCGTACCTTATACTACAATTTCTGAATAAGTCCAAGTCAACTGAATTCACTTTTTTCCAGCCATGCTACTCTAGTCACCTGTCTAGTGCACTCGATTGACAGGCCTCGGCACGCCAGCGTCAGGGTCGACCAATTCCAAGTCGCTCTTTTTGAGAACATTCAATAAGTTTCTCAGTGCGTTCTTGTCTCTCTGTTCAGTTACTCCGTAATTGCGGCAAAATTCAACCATCCTTTCGTCGCCAAAAGTATGCAATCCCGCGCAGAGATCTCTAATTTCTTCCACCAAATCGGCTCCTCTTCCACCAGCTGCTTTTAAAACCACGAACGGATTCACCAACGCTTGGTCTGCTATCCTTTCCTGGGGTGTATAAGGTATAGGCGCGTTTGGGTTGCGGAGAGTGTAATTCACAGCCATCTCGAAAGACTAGTAGATACAGTGCATGTAGTTTTAAAAGGTCTGTAACAGCGCAGTACTTATACTCATGTGGTTGCATAATTCCGTGGAAAGTACCTGGCACACCACGTGGTTTGTTCTCCTTTGCGATCCAATAGGATTACATGAAATTATCCTCGATGTCTTAATACTTCGACAAAGCAAGGGCAAATGTGTTTGGATAGGTGTTTGACCTGTCATCGCTAGCCTCAGACAAGCACGATCCTTATGTCGCGCTTAGCGACATACGAGCTTCGCAGGACATAAGATCAAAGGATCCGATGTCCTGCCTCGGAGCGGGTCATATCGGGCAAAAGAGGTAAAAAAAAATGGAGAGCTGTCAATAATATGTCGACACCAGAAGACAGACAGATTTCCTGGTATCTGCAGGGTTTCGCAATATAGAGACTCGACTGCACTTTCAGCTCACCATCATGGCGAACAGATATCCAAACGATCCTTTCAACCAGTAAGTGCGCGACCACAAGCCTGGCCATTATCATTGGATTATGTTATGTCGGAGATTGGCCGCGATCATTTTTTGGTAGCGACATATGAACACATGTCTTTAAACGCGACCCCTACCACGAGTAGTCCCCCATTTGTCCTCAGGGATAGTAGAACGAGCGAAACGCGAGCGCGCGTGAAAATCACCCCACGCGAGAAAAGGCGACACGCGGCGGGGAGAGAGAAAAATCATTTTCTCTCTCCCCAAAAAACAGCTCTGCAGGTCCATCACGCTTTTTAGTACATTTCTTTGACGTCCACTGCACGACTACGACTTGAAACCTCCTAATTTGACGTTTTATGAAGGACGTGGACATACGACGTCTAATTTTCCTTCCTCTATTTGAACCTGAATAAAATCCTCAAGACTTTAACTCCAGGAAAAGTCGCCTGCATTTGACATATTGAGTGGGTCCAAATAGACGCGATTAAGTTTGAAAGAACGCAAATTCCTTTTTTTACCGACGTTTTCATAGCCTGCGAACTGCAGACGCATTTCCGGTCGAGAGAGAAGCGACGACAGGAAATGCGTCTGCTGTTCGCAGGCTAACGTTTTCCCTGCCGTCGTCGTCGTCCTTACTTAAGGTCCCTATTGTTATTTGCTGCGGTTCTAAGAATAGCAGCAAATTATTGCTTTCACGGTTCCAGCTTATTGACAGCTGTCAGGGAGACTCAAGTATAAAAGGGCGGGATTTTACTGAGGTGATTATTCTAAGCTGACATCGCTGCCTGAGTTTCGTTTGTCAATGCTTTTTTTCGTTTTGTGTCATTTGAATTGATTGTCGTTGGTCTTTAATATACTCATAATTTTGTATTCTAGTTCAACTTCTCCCTCGAGGTTCCTTTTAAGTGACTGGCTCTGCTTTCGGGAGGGCTCAGGTTTCCTCCTCAGTTAAGGGGGTTTTTCCTGACGGGCAGCAGAAACGATAACATCTTGTTACATTATCGATCAAAGAACTTTACTTGGAACTTTTTACATTTTTTCTGCTTCACCACCTTTGCAGTACCTAAGTGTTTGTATGTTCACATTACGCTGGGCTTCTATCCAGTGCAGCAGTCAGTTTTCCTATTTAACACGGAATGATTTCATTGTTTTTCACTGTTCACCGTTTCAACAATAGGGAATAGGGAAAACCCGGAAGTCCGATTTCTCGCTTGATGGAACGCTTCTGTTCTGTCTCACATAAAGGGTCTGAATGTTTTTGTTTTAACTCCCGCTGTACGAGTTTGTCGAGTCAGAGCAGTGAAGAGAGAAAATAACAACTTCCGGTTGCCATTTTTGACGTCCCGATGTCAACAATGCTTAAGGTCCCTATTCTCCAACGAGGTAATTGAATGTTTTTTTCTGAGCTTGGTAAGGGTTTCTGGTTGTTGAATTGAACACGGAATGTCCGAGAACGCTGATATGAAATGGATGAGGAATTAAACTTGTAAACTGACTGAATCACTAAAAGGAGATCTTAGACTTAGGCTTTAGTTAACCATACAAAAATTGATAACCATAAGAAAAGAGTTAAACTCCGACAGGACTGGTTTGGGACAGCCACATGGCCGCCGTTTTATTGTTTTAAAACACCAATATGGCCGCCGTGACGTCATGTGAAAAAAGTGGCAACAAGGATTTGAGGTCACACTTGGCCATGGGGATTCGAACTCGGAACCTTCCGCACCGAAGGCCGCACACACTAACCGACTGTTTTAATCGTTGATTTAAATGTATTGAAATCATCGACTGCTGTCGTAAACACAGAATGATGCAATTTCAAGGGTTTTTTTATGAATAGACATTTCTTTTCACACAACTGCACAGGACACCCAACAGAAACTCGTACTCTAACTGCCTAAGGCTTCTTAATGACAAACGCATTCCCTGGGATGTCTGTGGCAGACTACGTGGAAAATCTGGCGAAACATGTTTTTCTTTGAAAAATTGGAAAACGGACCCGTATTATTACATGATATATAACGAAGTCCTCAGTATAAGGAATGATTTTCGTTAACCCAGCAATTGTGAAATATATGAAAAAGAACCTCGATATAACGAAACCTCGTCAATATAGCGAACACAGTTCCTTGGCTCTTCGTTTTCTCGAGGTTCCACTGCATACGTTGATTATCCGCGTAACCGTAGCCGTCTTAGAACGGTGCCAATGCCATTTTTGTAAAAGGACTTTAGGTCTGAGGGCGGCGACTTGAGCGCTTTCGCTTTCTTTTAATCTTCCTTTCGATTTTATATTTCAACTCACTTAGAACAAAGAGCTCAGAAAAGCCCTCCGGTTTGTTATACATTCAATACACCTTGAGTTTAAAACGACAAGTGAAAACAAACATTTGAGCTAAACTAATTTTATTCTATTGCATTCTTGACAAGTCATTGTTTAATGATTTCTAGTCTACACTGGTTCGCGTTGCAGAGCTAAACTGTCATGTAAAACCTTTTTCCAGTTCTTTAATACAATCAAATATATCGTACCTTATGCTACAATTTCAAAATAAGTCTAAGTCAAATTAACTTCTTTCCAACCATACTACTCAGGTGGATTGACATTCAACGTCACGTTAAAGTCCAATACCAAACTGCGCTCCCTGAGAACAATCAATAAGTCTCTCAGTGCTCTCATGTCATTTTCTTCAGTTACTTCGTAATCTTCGCAAAACTGAACAATCCTTGGGTGGTCAAAAGTTTGCAAGCCCGCGAGATCTCTAATTTGTTGCACCAGCTGGGGTCCTCTTCCGCGATCTGCTCTTAAAACCACGAACGGATTCACCAACGCTTGGTCTGCTATCCTTTCCTCGGGTGTATTAGCCATGGCAGGGTTTGGGTCGCGGAGAGTGAAATTTACAGCCATCTCGAAAGACTAGTAAATACACTGTTTGCTGTTTTAAAAGGTCTAAGAGCGTAGTACGTATACACATGTGAATGCATAATTAAGTGGAAAGCACCTGGCAGACCACCAGGTTTGTTTTACTTTATACGGACGAATTGCAAAGCGGATTACATGAAATTATCCTCGCATTAGCATTTGTCACGCTGCTTCGATTCAGCTCGCGTTTCGGCATGTTTAATTTTCTAGTGTTCCTTCTTTAAAATCATTCTATTGAAAGGTGTTGGAAACTTTGTTGAAATTTTGTATCAAAGTCTTCCACGATATTCAGAGCCATTCTGCATGACGGCCGGACAGAGTCAATCATGGCAGGGTTTGGGTCGCGGAGAGTGAAATTTACAGCCATCTCGAAAGACTAGTAAATACACTGTTTGCTGTTTTAAAAGGTCTAAGAGCGTAGTACGTATACACATGTGAATGCATAATTAAGTGGAAAGCACCTGGCAGACCACCAGGTTTGTTTTGCTTTGAACGGACGAATTGCAAAGCGGATTACATGAAATTATCCTCGCAATAGCATTTGTCACGCTGCTTCGATTCAGCTCGCGTTTCGGCATGTTTAATTTTCTAGTGTTCCTTCTTTAAAATCATTCTATTGAAAGGTGTTGGAAACTTTGTTGAAATTTTGTATCAAAGTCTTCCACGATATTCAGAGCCATTCTGCATGACGGCCGAACAGAGTCAATCACAGGGAAAATTATACAAGCGCGGCAGCCGATAAACGATATAACACTGAAAGCCATCAGGACAGACACTATCCAGACAAAAACTCTTTTTTATTTCCCCCCGAGGGCCTGTTTGAAAGGAAATATGCAAATATCCAGGATAATTTGTTTTTCTAGTTTCTACCAGTTGTGTTTCGAAAGCCTGTATAATGTAATATCATAAATTTTTAAACTTTTTTTTTTTTTACCAGTGAACAGATTAGACCTGTTATCCCAGAGAACAGTTTCTTCAGATGGCCCGACCTAGTATTAATAGTATCTTATCTACTAAATTTGGGGGAAGGGGGCGGGGGGGAGTCATTATGATTTATGTAAACTATTTTGGAGGGCCAACATTTATTCAGCAACTTTAAAGGGAAATAAAATACACCACCTTTTCCCCCAAAGTACAATCTCAATGCGGCTGCAGGGAAGCCGGTCAGTTTACTTGCCATCAATTTGCAGTCGCTAGCTACCGCTAATTTCTCCCCGACAATGACATACAATGGAAATTGAATACAATCGCATGCTCCAAGATCCACCAAACTTTTGCAATGGGCCTCCAAAGTAAAAAACTCAAATATAAACCGAACGCATCCCAAGTAAACCACCTTAGGCGTTTTGTTCATAGTGTGATAAATCAGACAATGAAACTAAGGGAAACGCGAGATCTGATGATCATCCGCGCAATAACAGATGCCGTTTCTTCAGTCCAATTTGATGGGATCATATCGTGACCAGGTGACTTGCGTACATTGATCTCTTTCAGTAATAGCTCAACCTGGGTTTCACTTGCGCGATGACAACTGAAGCAAGCTGGAGCACTAGCTAGCGCCCCTGTATTTACGGATTGTTTTGAGACTGGGATGATAAGCATAATCCTCACCGTAATCCTCTACTCTTATTTCAGGCATGCTATATCAAAGTAGTCATTAAGCAGATTGGCAATATCCTTTTTGTCACTAATAATCCTGTCATTTTTAAAGATAATGTAATTGGCTTGCTTACTTTGTGTACGCAAAAAGGGGCGGAAAGTAGACCAGAACTCTCGCGGGTTTTCGGTGTCTGTTGTTTCCTTTGCGAAGTGTTGAAAACGTCACTTAAAAAGTAACGGGCTTTGCGTTCTTTGAAACCTCAGTGAGATTATCCCAACTCGCTTACTTTGTCCAGTACAGGCAAACTTTCCTAGAGCTGAATTCTTAAGAAAGAAATTCAAGTTTAGAGAGAGAAAGAGAAATTCGTCGCCTTATGTTCACGTTATCGATAAAACGTGAAATTAGGCAATTTACATCGTAGTTGTGCAGTGACGGCAAAGAAATGTACCAAAAGAGCATGATGCACGTGCCAAGTTGTTTTTTTGCCTTATTCAACCTACGGATTTTTTTACCTTCTCGTTGTCGTCGCCGTCGTAGCATCTTAGGGCCTGTTTACATGGAGGTGGAGAAACCTAAGTAGGTGAGGTAACTCGCTCTGGTGGGGTATCCCGCCTGTCCATATAATCTCTCATTTTAATTTGATCATGGTTACTTAATAGGTGGGGTGACCCGCCGCATGTTACCTCACCTATCTGGGGTCCCCCACCTTCATGTAAACAGGCCTTTAAACTCCCTACCTCCTACCCCAGAGGCTACGGGGTAGACCCCTAGGGTAGAACGGTGATGCCCGAATTAAGGACCTTAGGTCTGAGGATGGCGACTTGAGCGATTTCGCCTCCTTTTATCTTCATTTTGATTTTATATTTCAACTCACTTAGAACAAAGAGACACCTTTGAATTTCAACGGATGAGTGAAAACAAACAATTGAACTAAACTGGTTTTATTACATTGCATTCTTGACAAGTTATTGCAAAATGATCTCTAGGTTACACTGGTTAACGTTACAGAGCTGAACTGTCATGTGAAAACCTTTTTCCAGTTCTTTAATACAATCAAATCGTACCCTATACTACAATTTCTAAATAAGTCCAAGTCAAATTCACTTCTTTACAGCCATACTACTGAGGTGGGTTGACACGATTGACATCCAACGTCTCCTGAAAGTCCAATACCAAACTGCGCTCTCTGAGAACATTGAATAAGTTTCTCAGTGCTTTCTTGTCATTTTCTTTAGTTACTTTGTACCGGTCGCAAAACGTAACAATACTTGGGTGGTCAAAAGTTTGCAAGCGCGCGAGATTTCTAATTTGGTCCACCAGCTCGCCTCCACTTCCACGATCTGCTTTTAAAACCACGAACGAGCTCACCAACGGTTGCTGTCCTATCCTTTCATCGGCTGCAATAGGTATAGGCGCGTTTGGGTCGCGGAGAGTGTAATGTACAGCCATCTCGAAAGACTAGTAGATACAGTGTATGTTGTTTTAAAAGTTCTGTAACAGCGCAGTACTTATAGTCATGTGGTTGCATAATTCCGTGGGAAGCACCTGGCAGATCACGAGGCTTCTTTTCCTTTGAGCGGACAAATTGCAAAGCGAACCAATAGGATTACATGAAATTATCCTCAATGTCTTGATTACCTCGACAACGCGCAACGTGTTGCATATACGTCATTAGCATTTAGCACGCTGCTTCGATTCAGCTGGTGTCTCGGCATGTTTAATTCGTAGTGTTCCTTCTTTAAAATCATTCTATTGAAAGATGTTCGATAATTTGTCGAAATTTTGTATCAAAGTCTTCCACGATATTCAGCGCCATTCCGCATGACAGCCGAACAGAGTCAATCACAGGGAAAATTATACAAGCGCGGCAGCCGATAAACGATATAACACTGAAAGCCATCAGGACAGACACTATCCAGACAATAACTCTTTTTTATTTCCCCCCGAGGGCCTGTTTGAAAGGAAATATGCAAATATCCAGGATAATTTGTTTTTCTAGTTTCTGCCAGTTGTGTTTCGAAAGCCTGTATAATGTAATATCATAAATTTTTAAACTTTTTTTTTACCAGCGAACAGATTAGACCTGTTATCCCAGAGAACCGTTTCTTCAGGTGGCCCGACCTAGTATTAATAGTATCTTATCTACTAAATTTGGGGGAGGGGGGGATCATTATGATTTATGTAAACTATTTTGGAGAGCCAACATATATTCAGCAACTTTAAAGGGAAATAAAATACACCACCCTTCCCCCCAAAGTACAATCTCAATGCGGCTGCAGGGAAGCTGGTCAGTTTACTTGCCATCAATTTGCAGTCGCTCGCTACCGCTGATTTCTCCCCGACAATGACATGTTTCTTACCTTTCTTTCTATGAAACCCGCTGTCAGAATAATCGGGCGAACCACAGGACCCTTTTCGCCTTGTGTAGTCTCATACTGTGACGTAAACAATTCAGAATGCAATGACCACGTGTGATTACGAATTCTTATTTTCTTATATTTATTATTTATAACTTAAGTAGTTTAGTATTTAATGTAATTTAATGAAAGACCTTTTGAGGGTCATTCTATTAAGGTTCTATTCTATTATATTCTATTCTATTACATGCCTGGTTCCCATGGCATATAATAACAACCCACCCCACACCCAACATCTTTAATAAGGCGCACTTCTATGATAGGAGTGGAGAAATAACCGTCTTTTTTGAAAGCTTTCCCCTGCACCAAACGATCAAATATATATAAAATAATACGAATTTGATGATAGAATCGATTACGTTCCGATAGATTACACGAGATCCAGTGGTCAAGGTCGGACAAAAAGGAACGCGTCCAGATCAGTGAAACAGAAGAGATTAGCGAGACAAAGTTCTAGCTTTTTGTCAGTTTTAAGGAGCTCTGTAAAGGTTGTGTTCACGCTATACCGAATAGCTCTTTCTCTTACCATATAACGAACCCAGGGGGTACTTTTAAACGGGGAGGCTCCGCCTGAGGTCCAACCCCTTACCCTTTATATACCATTTTTCACGAAAAAGGTACCCCTTTCGTATACCTATTATTGACAAATGGTACCCCTTTTACATACCTTGTATAGAACTTTGCATCCTTTTTAACTGCTGTAAATGCATCGTCTTTTAAATGGGAATCAGTCACAAAGATAGAACGTTTTCTCGACTTTATAAAGCCATAAAATTTATCTGTTAGCCCTTTTGGGCCCTTTCACAGACTTAAGTGACAGATTTCTCTACCTTTCCACATACTTCAACTAGTGAAATCCCTGCACTTTCATATACGTGAAGCCTGAAAAAGGAACTCCTTTCGGGCGGTGCCTCCCCGTATAGGCCATCAGAGGGAGTGCCTCCCCCCTGGATACCGGAGAGGGATTTTGTTCACACATAATGTACACAGTGAATAAAGGGTCAGGGATTTAGACCCCATTTCTTTAACCAAGTCAAGCAGCGCCACGCTGGAGCGTCACATATCGGATTGATCCTGTGCTACACTTAAATGCAGTGTGAACAGATATTCGGAGCGTAGCGGAAGTGAATAAGTGCGAGCGAAGACTGGAACCTACTGAAGGAGACAGAAGTAAATATCAAGGAGTGAGGATTGGGATTTAGTTTACCAAACCCTCTTGGTCATCGCGGCGCTCCGTCACAAATGTGGTGTTTGTGATCGACTTGTTCTAGACCTGAGCCGTTGCTGTCCATGCTAGGGAGGTTTAGCCTCGACGACGGCGACGGCAGCGAAAACCTCACTCTTGAAATGAATTCGCGTTTTTTCAAACTTTGTCGCGCTTATTCCAGTTCGCTGAAAATGTCTAATGTAGGCGAGTTTTCCTGGAGTTGATGTCTTGGGGATCCCACTCAAGTTTTGAAAGAGAAAGACAAATTCGTTGTCGCTTGTTTACGTCCTCCATAAAACGTGAAATTAGGGATTTTCACGCCGTAGTCGTGCAGTGACGGCAAAGAAATGTACAAAAAAGTGTGCTGCACGTGGAAAGTTGTTGTTTTGCTAATCAAACCTATGCTTTTTTGACGTTCTCGCTGCCGACGACGCCGTCGTTGCTAAAGCTCCTTACTACGTACTGAACAGCTTTTCGTGTCGACAAGAAGAGCTACCCGGTATAGCCGTGCAGATCTATATGGCCACCTACCACCGTACTGCCCGGAGGTCCTGGGTTACCAGGTGGACCGGGGGGTCCTTGGATACCCTGTCTTCCTCGGGGTCCTGCTGGACCCTATTGAAATAGAAAACAAGGCAAAATTGGTACATCGGGTGACGGAAAAGAAATAGGTGGTGCTTAACTTTATTATTTTGTGATTAAATTTTAATTAGAAATTGACATTTGTAGCGCAAAGAAGTTAGATTTCGTGACATTAGATTTCACATTAAAGTAGACAAAGTCCGAGTATATTTACGATATAAAATGATGTAACTGCATGCATTTTCTTAGGCTAAATATGATGAAAGAACGTGCGATTTTTTAATAGACATTTAATGTAGATACATTAGTATAGGTAACAGCATGATTTGTAGTGATATTTGGCATAAATACCACGGGTGATATTTCGAAATTGTTATAAATTTGAGACAATTTTGGAATATCACGAATGGTATTTATGCCAAATATCACGTACCCGCATAAGGTTTGTAATTTTCACAAATACCACTACTCTAAGCCAATCAAATTGCAGAAATTTCTCATGTAGTAGTGTGAGAATGGGAACTTTTACTGTACATTTGCCGGTAATGTAAAAATACTGCCTTACGCAAGGATAGTAGAAGAACCTCTCTATACTTACAATGTGTTAGTTGTGTTAAGATCGTTGAATATGTGAGAATTGTACAACGCAGTAGATTTTTGGATTGGATTAATTAATCGTGTTCTTTCATCGAAAGATACAGTAATCTTGATTTGTTTGAACCAGCAAGCGGGGTTATAAGAATTCCGCAACACTGGGTCGCATAGAACAAGAAACAAGCTATAAAGTGGGGAAGGGAGTAAAAATTGTTTCCTTTTCCTCCCCATCTTCGTTCATAGATATCTACAGACGGGCAAAGAAAATTTAAAGATTCAACTGGGTCTCACTGCAACTTGCGATTGGCTAATCCTGCTCTCGCCATAGTACATGCTAAACCAACTTCGTCCTCAGGGCTTTTCCCTTAAAAAAATGGGTGGGGCGCCCCACCCATTTTTTAAGGGAAAAGCCCTGGGGACGAGGTTGATGCTAAACCAACCAGAGGCACAACACAAATCAATCGCGACTTCCCAGCACGTGGTGTCCCGCGCTCAGAGGAGGCCCCCTACGGATTTTTCCTTCAAGATCTGAACTGGTGCGTTTTTGTTATGATTGGCCAGAGGGATTACTCTGATTATAGGTTTACATCATTAAATTTGCATATCACTGTACTCAAATTTACTTGACTTACCCTTGCTCCAATTTGTCCCCTTTTCCCTGGGGTACCATTATATCCCGGGTCACCCGGCTCTCCTCTGGCTCCGGGGTCGCCTGGTTCTCCGTAAACAGTGATATCAACCTGTTTTCATGGAAAAAGATACAACCTCTTTACAAATTTGTGAAGTCTGTCAGACCCAGAACTCACAACTGAGTGAAAGAGGTGTTGTAGTATTAAAGAGAATTTGAATTTTGTTTGGTTAATGAATGGTATATTTTGGTATATTTGATTGGAAACGAGGCTCCTTGGGCGCGCAATGTGAACCAAAAAAGGCGTTCACAGCAATCCAAAGACAACGTAGCTGATTTTTTTGCAAAAACAGAACGGAAGGAATGCAAGAATACGCAAAAATTGTATTGTTCGATGGGTGTTGTCTACTTCAAGAGTCTCCTTGAGGGATGTATGCAAAAAAAGCATGTTAATGTCATAAAAAGGGGCCGAGAACTAGGACAAAGTAGCCACATCATACTCAGCCCCATTCAGTAATTGTTATGGCATCATCATTATCATCATCATCAGGTTTGATTATTTCAATGTATATAATAAGACATGTACTTACAGTGATATCTTGTCGTCTCACTCTGTCATGCGGCGATAGCTCTTTTATGGAATTGTCTTTAGTACCTGTATAAAAGTCATTGTGTTAGTTGCAGCAATATGTAGCTGGAAAGTTCGGGAGGCCGTGGGAACAAGGGCAAAAGAAAGAGCGCTTTCCTGAAGCTGCACAGCTGGCGGTATTGTGTGATTAAAGTTTTGGCGGCGGAGCCGCGATGCAAAAAAAGGAGTGGGGACGAGGCGTTTGAAATAGAAGCTCTTAGACTCGATGTAGTTTGCGAACAGCTGACGTATTTCTGGTCGTCTCTTCTCTCCTTCCGAAAAGGAGGGAGAGAAGCGACGACCGGAAATACGTCTGCTATTCGCAGGCTAACTCGATGAGGCCTCTTTCACAGTTCAGTTTCCTTTCAGTGAGTTGAGTAGTTTTTTTACTTGTCAATTAATCTAACTTTTTCGTTGAGTTTATAACGTTTATGTTGATTGATTGTTAAACAGCTCTTGCTTCTTTCTTGTTTGGCACACTTTTCACTACTGTCGGACTAATGATTTGACACAAACCGCAATTCAAGCAGGCGTTCGCAATTTTATTATAAGCTACTATAAAAAATCACACCTCAAGCGTGTAGTAACTTTGCAAAGAAAAATAAGAGACTGCTCGCAAACTACCACGGTCAAGAATCGTAATGTCTAGGTAGAATATTCCTGCGGTCAAGAGATGAAAATACTTTGTATTTCAAGTGCGCTAATTACATCACGCCTTGAATTTCACTCGTAATTGTTGCAACAACATATTTATCTCATTTCCTATCATCAAACTCAGGGTGTTGGAACTCCCCAAGAAGATTTATCTTGGACAAGGCATGATCACAGCATGATCAACTCTCTCTTGACATTATACTGCAGTTAAAACCCCATTACTTAATGGTGATGACGCTCACAGATAGATCTTTGTCCTAATTTGTAAAGCGCATTGTATCCATTTAAACAATGTGCCCTCTGACACAAAACCAACCATATTATGTCTCAGATAAAACAACTGCCCTTATTCCTGCAATATGTATGATGATCTTTCTGCTTTGCTTGAATTATTCTGCACGCCTGCTAATCCACGTTAGCAAATTTAATTTGATCAAGTGCTGGTCATTACAGATCATAGAAAAAAATTACTTGAGAAATTGTTAACTGTAACATATTTCTGATTCCATCTCTAAACTTACCAAGGATGCCTTGACCTTCAACTGTTATCCAAGTTAGCGATGCAGTACAAAGCCACAAAAGCACAATGGCACCTTTAAATGCCATGGTCTTATGAAGGTGGATTTGAAGAAACTTTAGTTGAACTGTCGATGACGCAGGCGACAGAAAGATACGGCTCGCGTACTGCGCATAAAGAGCACGCTGGATGTCCAAGAGGCCAAATCTGTCACATTTCATGCGAGCAGCAACAAAGGAATAACTGTGCGCCGTTATCAGTAGTCGTGCGATGTAATTTGAGTCATAAATGCTTTTATACTAGGGTCAGATCCAATAGGCTTTAGGTGACGGAAAAAATCTAAAAACACTAAAACCATTGATTCGCGGCCGGGGTCGTATCCCCTCTGAAACTAATTAATAATTAATAAACACAATACGGAGGAAATTAATATTTAATGAGTGTTTGGAAACCAGATGAAACACTCCTCGTTTTTGCGTACTTTGTATCCGCTTTAATATATTCCTGTGTGCCATAACCACAGAAATGTTTTGCTCTGGGTTAAGGGTTAAGTACTATTATCCTAATATATTTTATAAGTAGAAATAACTCAGTTGCTGCTCTGATTTTACACTTTAAACATGTGCTTTAGTTGTGTGTTCAGTCACGGCTGCATGGATTCCTCGCCAGATGGCATGAGATGGGAGTGTTAGTTTCTCAGAGCTCGCCAACACTTTACTACAAAACTGACATATAACAAATCAGCCGGAACATGTTTATGACACACCCCCGGGGGGGCACTGCCATATATGGGCTATATAGGTATGTGCCGCTGTGAAGGGTATGGTTTTCAAGCACTTTACTCTAGGATAGGGTATATAAATCAGAGCGTTTGGGTTTAGAATAGGGTATCATTTTTCAGGAAATTGATCAGTTGGTTGAAGATTTTACCTAGACTAGGGAAACAACTACTCTAGGATAGGGGGGATTTGGGGAGTTTACTCTAGTATAGGGTAGCAAAACTCAGCTGAACTAGCTCTGGTATAGATTAAGGGTTCCAGGGTTCCAGCGGTACATCACCACCCAGGAATTCCTCAAGTACCCTCCCCGGGGACACACCATTTAAAACGAATCTTTACGTGAGACTGCATGTCAATTTCCATAGAAGACATAGAATGTACACAACATTTATTAAAGGAAAGAGTCGGGTAAAGTGCAATCATAAGTCAGAAAAGTTATGTCGTTGACTTCATTCACGGGAGAAACGTTTCAAAGTTAATCAGCGGGGAACAAGCCACTTCAGTCCACTAGTTACCGGCAACTCGGCAGTGGAAACGTACTTAATGAACTGATAGCCATTTTTTACCTATGAAATAAAAATATGGCCTGCAAACGCGTCAATACTGACCGTGACCGTGAACTGAACATGCTGGAGGTATTCCCCAAGGCGAAATCCCTTTTCGCAACGTTAGGCATCCATTAGACGCGAATTCCTCAAAACTTTCAAGCGTTCTGCAATCTTTAATGGCCAAATGAAAGCTTATCACTTTTTGATTGTATCAAATTTTGATACAGCCTACATTTAAGAATTTCCCCTCTCTACTTTCCAATCTCCCACTCGCAGGACCACGGTTGACAAGGGAGCGCTTAGGTGGGGGAGCGCAAGAGATGACGGGAAGGCAAAGGGGGCAAAATTAGACAATGTACCTCTCCCGCTTCCTCAACAAGCACTCTATTTCCGCAAATGAAGCCTTTACTTCAAAGCGAGGCTAAGCGGGAAGCTATTGATTGGAAAATGATTTTTATTCTCTGAGTTTCACACTGTGGAAAGGTTTTGCACTTAGCCTCGTTTTGAAAATGAGAGTTCGTTCCCAGGGCTTTTCCCCAATACATCATTTCAGTGAGGGAAAAGCCCCGGGGACGAGGTTGGGCCTATACTGAAGCCAACTGTGGAATTAGTTTTCTCAGAGGCTAGAATTAGTTTTCCCAGATGCCTGTTTTCCTCGATATTTGGTGACTGTAAGAGAATTGGTATATAAATTTTCTTGACCCGTGAAGTGCTTGGTCAGAGATTTTTGAAATGTGATTGCATTGACCGACTCTCTTGAAAGAGGTAGACGGGTATCTAAACGGCTTACGTTTTAGAGAAGGTACTAATTTCTTGAAGTCACTCAGTTCATGCACCGAGCCACATAAAGTATACAAACACTGAAAAACGTTTTTCCTGAAAACCAGCTGTTTGTTATCACGGGCCAATAGAGACCCAAATCACAAAGAACTAGTGGTTTTAGTACTCCTTTGTAATCCTTTTTTCCCACAACTATTAGTAACTATCAATCGGTCCAATAAAAAGGCCTGTAGTAAGCAAAATGTCAGTCGGTTCATCTCCGTTCTCAGATGATGTGTTACTGCCCAGCATCTGGAGTGCTCGCAGCCTCATACTTACAATCTGGGTCAGTCTCAGTACAACAGAGTACAAAAACATACTGCTTTGTGCTCACCAAATGTATTGCCGAATGTTCACCGAGTCACAGTCTTGGGAACTGTTTTAAATGGTTAATTCAATATTAAAATATTATATACGGAAATTGCTCCCTTCTTCGTAAAAAATACTGTATAACCATTGGCTGAAGTACTGTAAATTTGCCTTAGTAATATTCCTTAGCCTTGACCTTAAAGTCGGCCATATACTTGTCATGTCACGCGAGGTTTCTTCATTAGCATTTTTTCAGAGAATGTAAAATGATTTCCTTGATCATAGTCTCTCCAACGGACACTCCCGTTGGAGAGACTATGCCTTGATAAGCTGTATTCAGTCTTCTTTCCTCATCATGTCAGCCTTCACGGAAGAAAAATTGGAACAACACGTGATCAACGAGTGCGCCAAGTTAACACCCACGTGGTTTACTAAATCGATTTCTAGCCAGAAGTTTCTTGATCAGTTTATTCACGTTTATTCGTCGTTTCCATCCGTCATAAGTCGTGGTCCCAAGTGTTCTTGTGTTATTTTCGAGAAGCTGTTTGAGGTCTTTAGCGGTTAATGACCTCTTAAATCGCTGTTAAGCTACAAACAGGACATGCAAAAATGCATCGAAGTGGAAATGAACGTCCTGTAGGTGTAATCCAACGGAGAAGACTGTCGCGGTGAGCTAGCGAATAACCGACACAGTACAGCTACTCAGAAGTATTGTCACGGCTTGTCATTGATCAAAATGGCGGCTAGTATTTACGATAATAGAAGGCAAGGAACACAGAGCAAAGGAAAAAGAGATCAGAGAGATTCAGTACGTTTCGCTTTGAGTGGGCTTTCATGCATGTGTGCTGCTACGGGTAAGCTATTGTATTTCAATATTTCGTGTAGCTTACGTAAGCTTAAACTGCTTACATTTTATTTGAAATCTTCGCGTTCTTCGATTTTTGGAAGGAACAAGTTGTCTGTTTGACCAATGAATAAGGCACAGAAACGGAATTTTGGAGTGTTATAAACATTCTTGTGGTCAAATAACCTGGTGAAAATCACAATGTAGAGGAATATTGGGAAATTTTCCGGCCGATCTATAATCTCCGTCCTTAGATTTTACACACTTTGGGTTTTTCGAATTTCTGGTTCTCTCGACTGTTCTTTCCTCGTATAACTGAAACTTTTAAAACCACTCCTAGATTTTAGGGAGGGAATAATAAATTTGGCACATCAAATTAATCACGATCGACTTCCGTTCGTGACTTAATTTGCAGCCTTGGTATTGCATCATGCTATGTTAGGTCATTGTAAAGTATTGTACACTTTTACATCCAAAAATTTGGTCGATTAGCTTCATTTTCCTTTAAGCGGTAGCATTCCATACGTATATCAGAAAACTTTCTTGTTGATTCCAAAAATCGACGTAAGAAAACAATTATTCTGTGAAAATTTGGACTGTAATTTTATTAGTTAATTCAACGAGCTCCCAGGGGCCCGTGTGTCGAAAATCCCGGTAACTATCAAATATTCCAATCGCAATATAAGAATAAGAGCGCGGGTCCTGGCTAGCAAACTACTCCATTTTGTTTCATTAACTGATAGTTTTATCATAGTAGATGCAAAACTATTGAAACCTCTATCTTGCATGCTTTAGGGCCTGTTATTTATTGGGACTTTTGAGAAACGAGCCCCCTCAGGTCACATATTTGCCTGTTAAGAGCAACAATGGTCGTTTTGTTTCATATATCGCTCTCTACTGGGAGCTGGAAATGTGGAAATTTTCCCTGATCAGTGACGCAAGCATATTGATTATAAGCATATCATGGTCCTCACTACTGACGCAAGTAAAAGCATGAGCAACAAAAGGTTATGCTCTTGTAAGAATATTAAAACCTTGCATTCTTTTGACTATGCTTGTGTCTTGGCCCAAACAATTTTGACATATTGTCGTTTAAAATTGGTATTGCTTTGTTTACATTCTTTCAGTTACAAACCCTATTGATGTGATCAAGACTCGCATGCAACTGGATAATGAATTATGCTCCCAGCATGAGAGCAGAAACATTTTTCATAATCGTTATTACCGTGGTTTAGTGAGAGGTGCTATGACAATTGCACATGAAGAAGGGTTACAAGGTCTTTATAAAGGGTAGGTTACTTTATTTCTATGCTGGAGACTTTGGTTTGTTAACTTAGGGTGCTTTCCAAAAGTCAGAACTGGCTGCACCGGTCATTTTTAAAATATAATTGAAGTTTTTCTTGAAATTATCCCTTAAACACACCATTGCCAACCAAACCACTTACAAGTAGACTAACCTGGTTTGATAGTGGCGATTATTAGTGGAATTCTCTTTACAACTAAACCTGTCTGACCAGCAAAATATTAATGGAAAGTGCCTTTTTGCTTATCCTTGGGGAGGGGAGGGGATTCCAGTATGTGAGCTGTAATTTATTGTGTAGATATGTTTTTTGCCTTTGACTCTGGAGCAGGGTATCAAAATCACCCTTTATCTCTGGGAGAGGGGTACATGTATATATGTATATTTTACTTCGGTTTGACTTGTAACAGGGTTAGTTTCCCCCCATTATTCCTGATTATACTTGATCAAGCTTTGGTGTGAAACTACATTCCCCTCTTTGTCTGAGTGAGCACTTTTTTGCAATTCTTTCCTGTTTTTGTCCTCAGAATCACTCCCTCCTTGATGAGAGAAGCTTCATATAGTACTCTGAGACTAGGTTTATATGAACCACTTAAAGAATTGTTTGGAGCAAAAGATCGTGCCCACACGCCTCTGTGGAAGAAAGTCTGTTCTGGGGCAATCTCTGGGGCTATAGGGAGTGCGATAGCATGCCCCACAGATGTTGTGAAAATACGTCTTATGGCAGTACCCTCAGGAAGTCGGTGGGAATATAGACATACACTCCATGCATTTCAAGCTATTGTGTCCAGTGAGGGGATCACTGGGCTTTGGACAGGTGTAAGTGCGACTGTGAAGCGTGCGGCAATTGTATCAGCGACAGCTGTGTCCTCATATGACCATGCCAAACATACAATCTTGAATGCTCAGCTCATGGATGAAGGACCTTTGCTGCACATTGTTGCTTCGTCAATAGCTGGATTTATAACAAACTGCGTGGCTTCACCCATCGATATGGTGCGCACCCGATATATGAACCAGAAGAAGGACAATAACAGGAAACCTATACTATACAGGGGCACGTTTGATTGTATCATGAAAACAGTCAGGAAGGAAGGGCTCTTCGGTCTTTACAAAGGGTTTATACCCAACTGGACAAGAACTGGCACTCACACAGTTGTCACTTTCTTTGTTTTTGAACAACTGCGAGCTTTTGTTGGTATGGATCCAATTTAAGTAACCGCAGTGCAGCAGTGCTGGTAACCTGCACACAGACATCTTCTGGGGACAGATCCAGGGATTTGTTACAGGGGGAAGGGGGCGAAACTTGAGCAGAACGTTGAAACTGCTCTACAGCTAATTATTTTGAGTCCCTGTTAGGATAAAATTCCAACAAGTGACATGACCTTAACCCTTTAAGCCCTAAGAGTGATCGGCAGCAAATTTCTCCTTGTAATATCAATGCTTTGTAAAACAGAGTGGTCATGAGAATTAAGGACATGATCACACAAGATGAATTTGCTTGATATTTTATCAACTTCTCCCCACTGCTTCTGCAGGAAATGAATAAGGGCAACAAATAAGAATTCAAATCTTGATCCTTAGGGGTTAAAGGGTTAAACCAGTGACATAAGACTAGTGGAAGTGGTGACGAACGACATATGGGAGGGATGAATAGTGACAGGGATATACCCTACTCCTCAAAATGCAAGTTGACCCTATTTGAAATTTGGACCAGGGACATACATACCACCACTGAGAGGGCCTCAATATACAGTACAGGGCTGAGTGGTTCAAAGCTGGGTTAAGATAACCCAAGGTTAGTGCGAGATTTGAATTCAGATTTGAAAACTTAAAAAGCATTTCAGTTTTAATTCGTTTTGTCTACAAGTTGATGATTGGAAGCTCTAAAACTAACAGAGAAAATTATCCGAGATAATGCTTTTGAACACAAGAAAAAGAAACCTGGGTTAATTTTAACCCCGGGTTAAGCACTAGTCAGCGTTCGAACAACTGGGCCCTGTTTTGAATTTCTGGTGGGATCTGGACCCTGTTCCCCATTTCTGGTGGGGTCTGGATCCCATTCCCCTGGGACCTTCTCCCTGGATTTCCACAAACCAAAAGAGAGATGGCTGCATGCAGACTTGGTTCTCCAGTTGATGTGATAAAATGTTATGTATTCTTTTTAGAATGTGATCATGTTTGTCTTCTAGATTTGTCTCTTTGGTTCAAATGTTTTGTATTCAGAGACAAAAATAGAAAAAAACTAGAGACCTACACATAATATGATAGTGAGCAGTGACTCTAGATTTCAATTTCCATGAAATGGTAAACAAATGTCACTGTGTCTCCTACCAGAAAAAAAAAAACGGAAAAAAAATAAAGAAAGAAAGACGAAAATGGCCTTAATTTGACATTGTGTTGAATTGTTCAAACCAGGCAGAAAGAAATGTTTATTGGTCAACGTAATGTCATACATTCAATGTTTTTAAACAGAGTTTAGAGTTTCTAAACAGTAACGTTTTGTTACTATTTGCTGAAATATATATAATTATATGAATGTTTGTTTGAAGTGTGACTAATATGAGTCAGTTTTCCATCAGTTTTGCTTATAAACAGTTCATTTTCGTTTTGACGATTTAGCGTTTTCTTCAGTTGTTTTTATCTATCCTAAACCCCTCAACATCTTATTGAGAGGAATTGTTATGACTGGGTGTGGCCAGTTAGTAAACCCCTTTCACAAACCGTCTGCAAGCTAACAGAAAATGGGAAGCCTGTGGCTAATTTGCTACACAGCTCTCTCAGCCTTGTCAATTGTAAAAGCTGGAAAGCTGAAGGTTGTCAACTCCGAGAGTTCACGTGCACATCTCAGTGATCAATGAGAGAATAATTTCGAAATATAATTTTTGGAGTGCAGCAATATATTTTGCACGCTGTTTCTCTTTCCCAAATCTCTTATTCATGAATCGACGTCATTGTGCCGATATGCAAAACGACAGGGGCACCCAACGGCAATTTTCGGGAAAATATCTGTTCGGAAGACGATTTGAGAACTAGAATTTTCGGAACATTTGTTGTAAAATTTCTTGCTTGCCTGCCTCTCCTAGGATTTTCGAACATCTACAAAATGGTATAATTACCCATTTTAAACGGCATTTTACCCTAAAAAAGGCCACCTAGAATTTTCGGGAGCCTTTTCCTGGTTGAAATTTTCGAAAAGGTAAGTTTTGATCCCTATAATTTTCGGATCACTAGACTTTCAGCTAGGAAATCCGAACAGATGAAAAGTTTTTAGGGGATAAAAATATGCCTATATCTACCGTTTGAATACTAAAATACGTTCAACAATGCTATGTTAAGTGGATTTGAACTATATCCTCGTTGGGTGCCCCTGAAACGACCGCGTGACTGGTTGTCGAATCTGTCTAGTGCTCAACCCTTTCCTTGTCTTGCACAATTTCCTAAAATGGCCATCATCATCTGTCTTTATTTCTACCTAGTCCTCAGGCTTCACGAAGCAGATTTAAAATGACAACGCGACGGCAAGAGAACGAAAAAAAAAAAAACAACAACAACAACAAAAAACTCTCTGAGACGACTGCGCGCGACATCCAGTACCTAATTTCCAGCGCTCCTATTAATCAAGCCCGTTTTTATATTTGCGCGTCGTTGTCGCTGCTTTCGGGTTTTCATTTCTATGCCTATGTACACATAACCTCCCACGCAGACGTTCGTGGGGTTCGTAACGCGTGACGAACCCTAAGAATATTAGGGACCTCACGATCCGACAGCGGCTCGTCCATGAAAACGTCGCTTAAAAACAGACTTCGCATATTTGTATTTTTTTCGCGATTATCCCAATTCGCCCTGTTACTTAAAAGAAGGGGATTTTGGCTGGAGCTGAAGGGAAGGGAACGCGCTCAAGTTCGGACAGAGATGGTAGAATTTATCGCTTTGCCGTTCCCGTTCCCAAGTAAACTTAAAATTTGGTCATTTCACGTCGTAGTTGTGCAGTGAAGGCAAAAAAATGTACAAAAAAGCGTGTTGCACGTGAAGAGTTGTTGTTTTGCTCATTAAACCTATTGTTTTTTGACGTTCCAGTTGCCGTCATCGTCGTGGTTTCGTAACGTCCCGTAACGTAACGTAACGTAACGTAATGTCTGCGTGGGAGTCTAATGTTCACCGTGCCAAAAGAAAAAGTTATCCGCTATAGTGTGATCACCTATCGAATATGTGAGTCTCCACTTTAGAGATCTGCGCGGCGCAGCTTCGCTCCGTCACAGAAATCGCGCCAAAATCACGGTTCTTATGTGTGAACAGAAGTCCTATCCGGTATGGCTTTCGTGCAGGCGCAAAAGCCATCCGGCATAGGGTGAACAAAGCCCAACATAGCCCCAAGATTAGTAGACTAGTAGTCCCCCATTGACTATTTTCCAATTCCCCATAATACACTCTGTCTGCCCCCCAAATTTTGCATAACTTATTGTCTTAAAATGCTCTTGGGAAAATGCAATACTCCCAGGAGCATTTAAAAACAATGGTTTATGCAAAATCTGGGGGGCAAACAGAGTGTATTATGGGGAATTGGAAAATAGAGAATTTTTCCTCAGGGATAGTAGAGCGAGCGAAACGCGAGCGCGCGTGAAAATCACCTCGCGTGTCGCCTTTTCTCGCGTGGGGTGATTTTCACGCGCGCTCGCGTTTCGCTCGCTCTACTATCCCTGAGGAAAAATGTGGGACTACTCGTAGTCTATAAGATTAGCAAAACAACAACTTTGTCGTTTCAACTTTGTATTCTGCACGACTACAACGTGATGTCTAATTTCACGCCTTATCGACAACATGAACATGCGTCGACGAATTTCTCGTCCTGTTTTTAAGCTTGGATATTTTTCTTAAGAATTCAACTCCTGGGGCCTGTTTCTCGAAAGTCCCGATAATTAACGGGCCCGGTAAGCTGTCTCCGTTTACATTTAAAAGCGAGGTTTCAATAGTTTTGCATCTAACATGATAAAACTATCAGTTAATGAAACAAAATGGAGTAGCTTGCTAGCCAGGACCCGCGCTCTTATTTTTTATATTTCGATCTGAATATTTGATTTCGGACCCGAAAAGTTACCGGGACTTTCGAGAAACGGGCCCCAGAAGAGTTACTATACAAGGTGAATGAGATGGGATAATCGCGGTAAAGTTAAAAGAAGGTGAAGTCACTTTTTAAAGTGACGTTTTCGCCGGCGGCGACGGAAACCAAAACGGCAAAAAATTAGCCTGAGTATCAGGCGTTTCTGGGGAAAAGGGGAAAGATGGAAGACTTCCCCCCTCCCTCATCCCCCATCTAAAATCTCCCCTCCCCTAGCCCCTTAGGAAGGCCTGATACTCAGGATAGCAAAAGATTGAAGCAATAGGTTTAATTCTAGCAAGACAACAACTTTGCACGTGCATCACACTTTTGTATATTTCTTTGCATCACTGCGCGACTCCGACGTGAAATTTCCTATTTTCACGTTTTATGGAGGACGCAAACAAGCGGCGACGAATTTTTCTCTCTCTCTCTAAACGTGAGTGCGGTCCTCAAGAAACCAACTCCCGGGAAATTCGCCTACATTTGACTTTTTCAGCGAAAAGGAATAAACGCGACGAAGTTTGAAAAAAACGCGAATTTATTTTAAAAGTGACGTTTTCGCTGCCGTCGCCGTTATCGATTGGAAAGCTCCCAGCTCCCTATGACACGGAAAGCGCGGGCGTTGACTGGAAAAGAACACGGGGTGCGTGCAGTAGGGTGTTGCACGTAATTCCCAAGACATCATGGGCGCTGCGTAAGAGCAAAAAAAGGACTCCATTTGTAAACGGATTATTTGTCTAAATTGATTTTAAAAACTGCCGCTGTGAAACCCCTTTGTTCCATCTCCGGTGTTCGCTTCAGATTTCGATTCGTAATTATTCGGCCTATTATTTTTTTTTCGTTGTCGTCGTTTTCCTACTACGCATTTTTTGTTGTTTTAGCAATTAATTGCTTTTGGGGTAATTACAAAATCAAAGGCTTGCTAATATCGTCATTTTAGATCGACGGTAATGAAAATTTATGTGGGCAAGTTTTCCTTGGAATCGAAATCAATTTCTGTTTTGCTCTGTTTTTATTATTTTTACTAGCTTTTTAAACTAAGTAAATAGCTTAAGCGTTTGAAGAACAGAGACACATCTTTTCGTTCCGAATTCTAAAAAGGTATTGTCAAGGGTGCACGCCAGTCTTATCATTGTCTTAATGGTAAATGGATATAAATCAAAAATTTGTCGCTTGTTATGATAATCAAGTGGAAAGCTTTTCTGACTCTCAGAATATCAGTTTAGTAAATATAGCACACTCGAAAAATATTCCTGTTGTTTTGACAAGCTGACAATCGCTTAACAGTAACTTCCTCGATACAAAGAATTTTGCTTTCCGTCGGCGGCGGTTCCTTTTTTAAACTGTTAAGGGTGACTATTTTTTAAATAGGGTTCAAGCTATTCTCGTTGTTCATCTTTTTTATATGTTAATCAGTCGTTATTGATATTTGAAAATTTGGACTCTGAGCAAGTGAAAATGCAGCTGTTTGAAATTGCAATTTGATTAGATCAAAAGTAAATTTAAAAATGGGTCATCGTTATAATTTAAATAAAGACGGCTTGAACAATCGTACGGAGTAAATCCGCTCTTATTATTATTTTATTTTCCAATCCAATAAAAAACTGGTTCAGTTACAATTGAGAATAATATCATAACAAATCTCGTATGTTAGAATTAAGGAACTTCGGTGTCATATAGTCCTAGACATTTAACGAAATCTTTTAAATCGCTTGCTCCCAAAAGCGCTCAAGCAAACAAAAATGTATTTTTTTATCAACAAAAACTACACTAAGTCTTCGACGTGAGGCGTATTGACAAAGAACGACGAAAATCAACGGAAAAACGTTAAGTTTTCACCTCTTTTATGCACGTTAAAAGAGCTGAAAATGAAACTGAATTAGACACAGAATCAGATTTCAATCTCAATACGTATTGATTCCATGTATGTAAAACTTGCATTAGATAATGTTGTATTTGTCTAAACATAGGTTTCTTTCTGAACGGTTATATTGATGTCGTTTTAGTTCAATAATACTAAGTTGGCGGTTTCCGTTGATTTTCCTCCTACTGACTTGTCTTTTGTATAAGTCGGAAATGATTTGTCATCTTGTAGGTCCACTGTTCTAATAGAATTGATCTAATTCTAACTTGCAACACGGATTTATTAAATTACCCTTCTTGATATTTATTTGCAGTCTCTGGTGTTACCCGGTTTTTCTCATGCATAGTTAACGTTTTCCGTTCATTTTCGATTCTCTTCCGCGTGTTCTTTAATTTCATATCCTGAGCAGGAGTACGCCCGCAAGCGAGCAACCTCAGATCTAAAATTTTGCCCAAGACGAAGATCAGATGCTCTCTCGCACTCGATTTGAGGAAAGCTTTGCCTATCAACCCTCTTGGCAGCGCCAGCATTAAAGTTTGCTGGCATTGTTGGGAGAGAAAATGCTCTCCTGCGTCTGTTCGGTATCGAAAACTTCTTTGTCACTTCCCCAGTGGATGTCGAAGACCGACGGATGACATCCTTAAACGCAGATGATCGCAAACAATATAAGGTTGGATTGATGGCACAATTAAGGTAGCCACTCCAATATGCAATTCTTCCCAGTAACCACGGTAGTTGTGATGCGTTGTCGAATACGACCGCCAGGGCAATGAGTAGAAAAAACGGCAACCAGCAGATGACGAATGTACCAAACATCAGACAGAGAGTCACCGCAAGTTTTCTGGTCAAAGTACCTATTCTCGGCCCTTCTGTCGAGTTGCGGTTCAGTCTCTCTTCGTGCGCACGTACTTTGCAATATATTCGCGTGTAGCCAAACGACATAACAGAAACTGGTATAATAAATGCGACCAAGGCGAGAAACGTCAATTTTAATTTATCTCCCAAGCTGTTAGGAAACGTCAGTCCGCAATGTGCCGTGGTTGGGTTAAAAACAATATAGCTCCAACTCTCAAACGGGCCTAGGGAAAGCAGCGAAAATAAAAAGCAAAGAGTCCACAAGCCCACCAAATGAAACTTTGCGTTTCTCGGCGTGATATGCAACCATGAGCAAAACGGGGGTTTTACAACGGAGAAATAATTCTGGGAGGTGATTAAGGACAATGTGAGAATTGAAATGCAGAAAAAGAAGTTGTTTAGAAAGCCATTTATAATACACCAGTGTTTTCCCAGCGCAAATCTTCTTCGAATGCTGTTGAGGACAGGAAATGGCGTGCATAACGTGAGAGCACCAATATTTGCTACAGCTAAGTTAGCGAGAAAAACAAACGTTGGATTTCTCAAGTTTTTGTTTCTGTAAACAACGCTGCATATATATAAGTTCCCAGCAACGCCAAAAAGAATAATGAACCCAAGAATTACAGTCTGAATGATTGCTTCTTCGCGTCCGTAAATCAACAAAATATCGGCACTTCCTTGACTAGTATTTGACGGGGAATTCACTGACATCTTGCGAGTTTCTAGTTTCGACACGGCTGGTAAGGAGCTGCCAAAAACAATTCCTCAGCAGTAGTTCTATATGTGTTCTTCTTTTGGCATCTGTTGTTGTTTCCGCTTCAAATGTTTTGCGTCTTTTTCTGTATTATTAATGCTCCCCTTGACAATATTGTGTCAGTCAAATTGAACCGACACAGTGCAATTTCTGTCTACAGCAGCTGAGTCCAACAAGACTAGACTTAAGTAGATCATTATGTCAATCATGATTACAACTATCTTTATCACTTTCCTTTCTTCATTTTGACGACATGCTTAAAGGCCATACTATCAGACGGTGATGAGGTATCGCTGTTCCCAACTTTTCCAACCAAGAACCCAAACGATCGACTACTTTTTTCCCGCCGTCAATATTACGTCAAAATTTTGTAAATTTTAGGCGATCTCTTATTAAATCACCTACCTCAAGCCACAAATAACCGCTGTGAAAAGAACATTTAGATTGTTTTCGAGCTAGCAACCGTTATCCCAGAAACTCGACAATTAAACAAATTTATTCGGTTTTCCGTATAAGTGTGAAAAGTTAGTGTGCGGTAACAATGGTCTCAGACCAGTCGGCTCCTGTTTCAGACGAACTCGAACATTGTACTAAGGTGTAAATGTTCGGCGAAAGGCAGCTTATTGGCTGAATTTCGAGTAGAGAAACATAAAAAGATATTCTTTTTTACATGTGAAGCAGCTAAGGAAACTTTATCTTTTATGGCAACTTTTGTAGTTGTCTGGCAATATAAACAGTCATTTTCTCAAGGCAAATTTAACCTTGGCAAATGAACCTTTCCTAAAACAGAACTTATAGCGCTGTGGCCTTAAAAAAGTCACAAACCTGAAAACTTAACCCTTAAGCCCTAAGCGAGTGATCAGCGTCAAATTTCTCCATGTAATATCACTGCTTTATAAAACAGAGTGGTCATGAGAATTAAGGACATGATCACACAAGATGAATCTAATTGATGCTTCAACAAATTCTCCCCACTAGTTGTATTGAAAACGCATAGGGATAACAAATGAGAATTTGAATTTTGATGTTAGGATCTAACAGGTTAAAAAGCTAAGCCATATAAGCTTGGAAAGGACGTTAGCAAAGACTCGTCTTGTATGCTCGTGTAAATGGTGCAAGTAGCTTCTTGTTTATTTTCGTCGAAATGGTATTCTTAGCGCTCTCATTAACGCCGTTAACGAGCGCAGCCTCGAAAGAGAAAAGGAACGGCTACTTCATTTAATTGTGTCTACACAGGGAACCCAAAAAGACGGAGGACTTTTGAGATGCTAAAGTCTTGCGCCTGAATCGACTTTTCTCTTTGTAACTGTCTTTGTATTATTTTTTTTTTCTTCTTTTTTTTTTGCAACAGGGAAAAGTTTAATAAATCTACAATTCGTTCGTGAGGGCTATAGTAAAACAGGTGAAAAAGAAGACGGAATCTGCCAGCTGATCTGCTTCCATCGCTTTTAATTTTGACAGTTTTTTTACCATTTTTTTTTAATATAACGAGGTTTTAGTTCGGCATTTATTTCGCGCTCATTTAGGTAAATATTTAGCAAATGACCTGTTATAAAACAAGACAAACAAGAATTGAACGTGAAACAGAGCATTTAGTTAAAACCAACGCAGGAGTATTTTAGTTTTCGATAACAGTCGCTGTAGTTACTAAGTAATCTAAAACAAATGCAGATGTATACTTTTCAAACTCGAATTCATCTGATAAGCCACCGCATTTTTCGCGCTAGGAATGTATCAGTCTTCAATGGCAATTTGTTTACTTTTACTATTTTTCTTTTACAGAATATTTACTATTCAAATTTTTGTTTTATGAGAAATTTGTTCAAGAAAATGTCTGCGAGGTCACGTACTTAACTCTAGCTGCCTCTCAGTTCTGTTTTTACTAGCGTATTTAGAGCCAGCTTTATTTGTTCAAAGGCTGTCATCTTTCTCTACACGGGAACAAGACCTTATGGCTTTATATTTTTATGTTGCATTATATCCTCCCTTCAAAGTTTTTAAATATCGTAATTTTTACAAATGCTCTAGCCTAGCCTGTTCCAGGCGTTGGGATAGCGGAGTGCGGTGCGAAGGAAGTTTTTCTGCTCACATGTATCTCTTTGCGCTGTTCCCACGATCTGAACGCCTGGATCTGAAATATCACTCGAACGGAAGGGAGTGGATAACTGAGAAAATACAGGCTCTTTTCTTTCTTTCTTTCTTTCCGTGAAAAGGAGGCCGAGAAGAAGCGCATGCTCGCTACAAACGTGACATCGAGGTCAGTAAGTTCAAAATGGCGGCCAAATTCTCAAGATTTCACGAAAACCGTTCATATCAGGTAGCTGTAATGTTGCACTTTTATGAGTATATTCGCAGCAGAAAATCTCGAGCAAAAAACGAATTAGAGCTCTGGGTGTACTTTTGTTATGAGTCTTCTTTTTTATGCTGTTACAGACGGGAAATGCAGACGTTTCCCAAATTTTTGACGACGATGAACCTACTGTGGAGAAGGCAACTTTGGACGCTCATATCGCTGAGGTATTTTGAATAGATCTGATTACTTTGGTTTTTAAGCTTAAATATTATTCCAGTTTTATTCTCAAGTCGGAAAATGGGGAGCAACTACAGAATGCAGGCCCATCTCCTAAGGTCTTAAAGAGAAAAGTGGCTCGGTGCCAGGCTCTCTTGTCAAGACAATTGTTTTTAGAACGAGATAGATAAGCTTAAGCTTATATGCCTAGGGAGTGAGTCCTGTATTCTATAATTATGCCGAAGTGAGCTTAGAAACGTAAGCTTAAGCTCTCCCCCAAACAAGATGAAAATTATTCAGTAAGGATGCTTTCTAACGTTCACATTGAATGAATAATACCCTATGAGCAGACTCTACATTTTTGCTGTGTGAGCTGGCGTGCGAAAAGTAGCCTCTGCCGACAACCGTTCAATTTTCTATCGTGCATGCATGAATTTCTCGTCACGTGACTACCAAGCAAAATTAATCGTCAGGTCTGTTGTCAAATGGCATGAGTTTCGTGGGACTAAAAAATTGTGACAACTCTGATCTGCTATGCAAGGTTCCCGCAATACTCATGCAATGCTCTAAACCAGTCGAGAACAGGAAAAAGCCTGTTTTTTTAATTTATTTGTCCAGATTACTGGACGGATTTGAATGGTTGTTGGCAGAGACTACTTTTCACACTACATCTCACACAGCGAGAATGTAGCCTCTGCTTGCAAAGTACACGAATAATAGAGCTGGCAATCTTTTTTCCCAAGCTTTTGCTTTTTGCTTAATTCCTGAAACAGCTACTTTTTATGTGTGTTATTTATTGAGTTTCATAATCTGAGACAAAGGGTGAAACTAAAATCAGTGTGGTTTGAATTTCAAAGAAAATGTGAGTCACAAGATTCACCATGGTTGCCATCATCATAAAAAAAGTCAGGTGAAATTGAAAGTTTTTATGGTCAGGGAAAGTCTGGGAAAATCTCTATTCTTGTCAAAGTCATTGAAAATCATCATCATCACCAAATTTTGGTGGTCACTGAATTTTTTTTACATCAAGAGGCAAACTTAGAGGTGGAAGGGGGTGAATCCCTCATGAAAAGGGGCAGGGAGTCGACTCATGACAGAAAATTAGAATTAAACTGTAAGAAGAGAAAAAGGGTTTTTGCATGATGCTTGATTAGACCCAAATTTAGCACATCGTGCGTGAAGTACAAAGTTTAACGTGATCCATGAAATCAGTTACTGTATGCCTGTGAAGCTTGATTTATCATGTAAGATATGTAAGACACATGAATTATTTGTCACATTACATGAAAATCTATAGTATCAGACAAAATGGATTGAACAGCGCTGTCGGTTGCATTCTGTGCATTACGTTTTTGTCCTGGTCAGTAACATCTGTTTTTTAGCGCCCTTTAAGATCACCCTACCAACATTCTAATTAGAGAAGAAGCTGCAATCGTCAAATCAAATTGTGGTGTCTGAGTTGTGATGGCTATGGTTTTGGTTTGTAGCCTGTTAGATTAACAGGCGGGTGATGACTATATTCGTGACTCATGAAATATAAAGCATGTGATATGTGAAAATTGTCAAAATTTGCACATGAAACAGAACCATGACCTCCCCCCAGCTTGCTGCCCTCTGAATAGCCTACATTGTATGTCATACTAAGATGTGCAACTTGCACCCCTAAACCAGATGACCAGTTTCCCAAAACCTTTCTCAGTGGATCCCCTTCAGACTCCAGTTGTTTAAATGGTGGATAATGGTATCCTCTGGATAAATCCCTATCCAGTGGATAACACAATATTCATTGATTTCCCTAATACTCAGCCAGTGGATATAGAGGATATTACATGGCTACGCGGAGATACGAAATTTTTCTTTGAGTGTTGAAAAATATTTCACGAGTGAATGCAGTGAACGAGTGAAATATTTTTTTCACCACGAGAAGAGAAATTTCGTATCTCCAAGCAGGCATGTAATGTTCTATTTAATATATAAATACCAATGAGCTACCAAACCATTTCGCTTTAATAGTTTTTTGGTGTGAAAGGCGTGATATATTATGTAGCCATAGCAACAATGATATTTTCACATCTGAAGATAACATGTTATTTTCACATGTGAAGATATCGAGTTTTCGCCCGAAAGCTCACCTGGCATTTCATTGGTGTTTTTATAATACAGTGATTTATCTGGTGGATAGCTCTATCCCACGTTTGAACAACTGGGGCCAGTATGGCAACTCAGACTGTACCATAAGACATAATTAAATAGTCAATCCTAAAGACTGTTCTTGGGTGTTTTGCTTTGATTTTGGCTAGTACTGCCCGAATTGTATCATCCTCCACTTGTATAGGAAAATATTGGATACCAGATGGCTCTCAAACTGGGCTGGACTACTGGATCAGGATTGGGGAGGAAGAAGCAAGGTATCATATCATCATTCTTGCACCATTCTAACTCAGCAGCCATTATCATTTAGAAGGTGCACCTTTCAGTTCAACCTGGACATTCATGCAAAATATCATGTTGCTTTGATCGGAAAATATGAATGGAAATTTTGGCCCAATACCCACTACCGGCCTGCCAGCAGAGGCCCGTCAGTCTTCCTAGGAAGATCGTAGGACCTCTGCGTGCAGGGTAACTACCTACCTGTACTCTCTTTAAAAGTATTTACATGTTAAATTGTGCCAGAGCTTTTCCTAAGGGATTGAAGCTTACAGTAAGGGCCTGATGAAAGTGGAAGAAAAAAGACAATCTTGCTGTGTCATTTTCTAGTCTAAGAAACAATATTTTAGGTAGTTTTGCTAGTCTTTTAACCTTGATAGTAATGAAATATGGGAACATGTGGTTTAATGCACTTGACTTAACGATTAATACATTATTTATTTCAAGAGTAGAAGTTATAGTGCATTTTTTGCATTATTAGTGCTACAAAGGTCTTGCTTGTTTCAGCAGGAAATTTGCAGTATTAACCACTGTGTTGTTCTTTTAGGTCGTACAGAGCCAATCCCTTTAGTCAGGAAGGAAGATTCTCTCTGTCTTGGTCGTCTCACTATGGAGGTATGTTTGTAACATAATATTATTTAGTTATTTTAGTGGGTGTTAAGAAAGAGTAAAAGGCCTTTTTCCTTGAAAGGTTTTCCCCTTTCAGTGGTATCACTTGCACCTTTAAAACAGTCGACTTGAGAGATGAAGGTTCCACAGCATGGTCCGGTAAACCAGATTCATCCTATTTGAGAATTACAATCACAAGAATTATCACCTCAAGAAATGTCCGGCTCAAAGGACCATATAAAGAAAGAGTAGAAGGCCTTTAGGTCGCCTTAATGATTTACTCCATTGGAATGAACAGCAAAACTTTTTACAGCTCAGGTAAAGCACATAGATTTTTTCCTTTGATCTCATAATTTAGTGCAGTCTCACAAATTGAAAGACATGCGAGGTGTGCATACAACTAAAGTGGGACATACCTTATGTGATACAACATTCCAAATCCATTCTCTCATTTTCCGAAACGTTTCTGTGGTGGTTGTAGTTTGAGCAGGCAGATGAAGCAACTCGCAATAGAAAGGTGATGGAGATAGAGAAAGAAGACACTGATGAACTACAACAAAAATATCAGGTTAGTTGTTTTCTGAACACACAGCTTTTGCTAACTTAACATGTCAGCACACTATTGCCTCTCATGAAGACTGAATATGGCAAGTTACTGGGCACTTAGGCTTTGTCTGCCCTATATCCAATTAGCCCAACAGCTTTTTTTTCCACCATGAAAAGCTATTTGGTATGGTATGAACAGCAATAGCACAGAACTAGAACAAGTCATTCACAAACGTCAAACTTCAGACTGGAGCAGTTTAATGCACCAAGTCCCAATCCTCATTTTCTGAATTTTACTTATGTCTGAACGGGTTCCAGTCATTGCTCCTACTTATTTATTTCCGCTACAGTCTGAATACCAGTCGACATAAAGTGTAGCAGAAACCTTTCCAATATGTGACGATCTACTTCCAAGATCTGCGTGGTGCAACTTTGCTCTGGTACATAAAAATCGCTCTGAAATTACTTTTCTTATGGGCGATGAGAAGCCCGGCTATCTGGTGTACTTTTCATGTCGGCCCAAGAGCTATCTCATGTCGTGGGAATGCCTCAGTGTGGTGAACAAGGGTTACAGTATGAGGACTCTTAGTTTTAAAACCCTTTCCAGTGTTCTTACTAGGCTTTAGCCTTTTGGGATTCCCACACACAAAAAAAGAATTATAAAATGGCCCATTGGAGCCAAGAGAATGCGCTCCTAGTGATAAGCCAAACAGAATGCACTGAAGTTCATAGTTGAGCAATCTTTTAAAGGACGAAGGAAATACTCCGGCTTTTGATAGAGCAGCGAAGAGACAAATCATTAATTTTCTCCTGACAATAATATTCATACATCATCGAGAGTAAAGGTTATAAGAATTGCTAAAATGATCTCCAAACGGAAAAGGCTTTGATCTTTTATCAAATTCTCTCTACTAATTCTTTAACAAAATGTATGGAGATCAGTCTGGAGAATTTTCATGTGGAAACTAAAGAACACTGTCTTTCTCAACTACTTTCTCAACATTTCCATACAATGTAAGTAGGTTCAGTACATGTATGATCGTATCGGTGAACGTAGTCGTGAATAGGACTGTTGTTGACAAAGACTGACATTTCAGCAACCTGTGTGGTAGTCATCTTCAGAATCAAAGTGAGTTGTATCACGTCAGTTGATGATATTAAACTCTGGTTATTATGCTGATTAGTCAATTAAGTCGAGATGTTATTGGTCGTCTGTCAGTAATGTAATGTATGGAGATCTACTTGTGAAATGACTCCTGGGTTCAAACCTTTCACATTGTCTTTCTTAAGTGGGTGTGGTATCATGGTTCATACAATCTTGAAAAGGTTTTGAATTTTACCAGTCGTCTTGAAAAGTCCTTGAATTCAATTTAGGTCCTTGAAAAGTACTTGATTCCTTCAGTAGGTCTTGAAAAGTATTTGAAATTCACAACCTTGTCTACGCCAGAGACCTTTTTCTGTAAACTTGGATTATTTTGCAGAGGGAAACTTGGCTCATCCTCGTGTAAGAACCTGTAAAACTCACCATTAACGTAAAACCATTTTTGTACATGAACAATATTAATTTTTATTTCTGTCTCTTTATTTCAAATGCTATTTCCGTACCTCAGATGCAGTTGCAAGTCATACCCAGTCATTTTGTAAAGTCTTGTTGCAGAAAGTATTTTAAAATAATGTGATCAACGATAGTCAAAGAAATAAAAATTGTAAATGACTCGATGATGTCTTTTAGCCAATACGGTGAATAAATCTTAGTTCATGAAAAGTCCTTGAAATTTGTTTGTCTGAAGTTGTACAAGCCATGAGTATTCTTGAGGAAGATGTGGCCCATCCTCAGATTCATTCCAGCTTCCTAAAAACACCAGTTAAACATCTTGACTTCACAACTGTGTTTTCTTACTCTCATGCCTCTCAGCCAATCAGAGCATGCATGCTATCTTAGCTATTTCATAAAAATGAATGAGAATTTATTTTATTCTTAGAATGAGCAAGAAAAGGAAAAAGCCATCGAGGAGAGTTTACGGGATTTGAAAGAGATGTTCTACTGTGAACTTTGTGACAAACAGTATTTTAAATACAAGGAATATGATAACCACATCAACTCTTATGACCACGCACATCGGCAGGTACAGAATAGTCTGGTAAAAATATTCTCTTCCCAATAAGCTTTTGTACAGTGTAAAGTTTGCTCACATTTTTGTGAGCATTTAAGTGGAATTTTCTTGGAAAATTAAAGAAGTTTTTAAGAGAGAATGATCACCTACATGTAAAGTCAAAATTACAAAAGCAAATTCAAATGGCTCCCTAATAAAGCCATTTAGAGGATTACCTTTTGCTGTACTAAAAACCTTTAACTTTTACAAGTTGTTATACCACTTGTCATGAATGTTTTTGTTAGCATTAAATTTAAATAATGGCAAAATAGCCTCTGAGCATTTCAGTGACTTTATTGGGGGAATCTGTACATTATAGTGGCTAAATGCAGCATTAAGGTGGAGTATTTTAGGGGGGGGAGAACTAAATACATGAAGTACAGGAAAATTCTGTGGGAAGAGACAACCTCTTCATCATGCTGTCAGTTGAATGTTTCTGACAAATTCAGCTTTATGTCACTTAACTGTACTGAGACTAATTTTGAAAGGCCTTTTTTCAATACATTTATTTTGATTTGATCCACATAATGACTTAGCTGCTTTTAGAACTACTAATAAAGTGCATTTTCCATGGCAAGATAAATCCTTCTGTTTATATGAAGTTTATACATTTTGCAGAGACTCAGGGAATTGAGGCAAAGAGAGTCAACTAGAAATATATGTAAGTTTTTTTGTACTTACCGGTTATATAGAATTAAACTTTTATATTTGTATAACGAGATTAATGTAACCATGAAAAAGTGTGAAATATTACTGTAATGCAGTTTTTTACTTTTACCGTTACCCCAGAACAAGAGCAGTTATGGTATTCTGGTCATGCACATGCACATGCAAATGCACATGCTAAATGCACATGCTAAAGGGCCGGCATGCCCAATCAATGAAACTCGATAATCGATAAAATCAATAGTAATTTAAATCGATGAAAATGGAAGGTCAAAAAAGTTTCAGCCGTTTTCATTGTTTATTTGTTTATTTGGGGTGGGGTGCGAGTGCACCCTTCCCACACCCCTCCCTACAGGCCTGTACTCCTGCCCCGCTAGTGGCAATGTAATGAGCTTGTAATCAAGTTTGTTATGATTTGCTAGTTGTTTGATTGTTATCCAATTTGGTGGCCATTTTGTGCTGGTGGACGGCCGATTTTGAGCAAGTCCCCGACACACTCCTTTATGACTGGTGTAGTTATAATAATAATAAAATTGTGCATTCAGGAACCCAAAAAGGTTGACCTTGTCCTTTATAAACAGATTAGTTCTATATACAGGTAGACTTTAAGGGTTCCCATTAAGTGCTGGCAGGCTAAAAACCTGGGCCGGGTTGTTCGAAGATGGGTTAAGATAACCCAGGGTTAGTGCGAAAGTTGAACTCAGATATGAGAGCTTAAAAAACAAATTCAGTTTAATTCTCTTTGCCTACAATTTGATGATTGGATACTCTAAAAAAATATAGAAAATTATCTGAGAGAAGCCTGGGTTAAAATTTAACCTTGAGTTAGCGCTAACAGGCGTTCAAACAACTGGGCCCTGGCTACTTGGAGATTTGAGCTGTCTACTTTTTGGTGAAATAGGGTAAAGTGAGAAAGCCTGAAATTGACCATGAAATTCAATTGGCAAGCTGCCTACTTTCACATTCTTGCTGTCTATGTTAAAACATATCGAGAACTCTGAACTTTACAGAAAATATAAGGCAAATTTTGCTAAATTATCCGGTGACCGCAATGTACAGGATGACCGCTATATACAGGGCTGTTATGTACAGGTTTGACTCTAACCACATTGTAGCTTATGCCAGGAATGATGAGGTTTTGTAATGTACCATGTTATTTCAGTGTATTTTTTACTTCCATGTTAACTTTATTGTAGATGCAAAAAAGAAGAAGGAACAGAAACAGATGGAAAAAGAGATGCAAAGGCTACATCTTCTTGCTGGAACTGGATCTTTTTCTAAGTAAGTTAAGCAGGGTGCAAAGAAAATCATTTTTACAGCTTGCCATTTGAGCAAGCTGAAGCTAGCATTTACTAGCCCAGACGTCATTTCAACTAGCCCCAAAAACTTTTTGAAGGTAATACAAGGGTAAGCCTCACTATAAGTACTAGCAGAATTGATTTCACAGTTCTTCTGTTACTTGAATTCCTCAAAAGACATCACTTGCCCTTGGGGCTAGTTAAAAACAGAATTCACTAGCCCGATAGCAAAATCCACTAGCCCTGGGCTATCGGACACTTCTTTCTTTGTACGCTGTTAAGGCTTATTTCTTAAAAAAGAAATTGACAGTCTCTGACTGCATGTGGCTGCTGTTTTATTACTGTAGAATATTATAGTAAAAAATCAAATCTTGAACAAAAGAAAGAGGTAGATAAAATAATAGAAAAAGGCCAAAAGGGAAAGCTAGGGTTTAATCACCCTTTAATCTACATAAAAATGTATTTTTACTGTCAACAGATCCAATGCAGGATTCAATATAGCATTTAAAACTTCATCAAATACGACAAGTGGCAGTTCTGGATTCAAGCCAATCACAGTACAGCAAGGCTTTAAAGCTGTCCCACCCCCACCCCCTGACAATCTACCTCCTCTGCCCAGTGAGCCAGCCCCACCCCTCCCTAATGAGCCGGCCCCTCCCCTACCACCACCCCCACCAGGAGATAATCAAGGAAAGAAACCATTCAGTTTCAAGATGGGTGCATCTTCTGGCAATGAAAGTGAAGCAGAAACATCTGGAACAGCCACGCCCCCAAAACAGGGTTTTTCTTTTAACATTGGAAAGAAGAAAGGTCCGGGCATGATGCAGTTTGGAATGAAGTCTAAACCTGTTAAAAGCACTGCTTCTGCATTTGCAGAATCAAGCAGTGAAGATGAGGAAGAGGAAGAAGAACAAGAAGACCAGCGAGTTTCATTCGAGAGTGAGCAGCTGACATCTACTCCAACACAACAGCAAGACACGCTTGAGAAGGTAATTGAGTACGCAGATACTTTGAGGATCAAGGCAGCTCTGCGTCCAAAATTGTTAATCAGATTCGTTAAGGGGACAGAGCAGGGAGGAATTCTTCCTGGGACTATACAGACTGAGCCTACAAATAAAAAGACTGAAGGTGGAAATGTTAAGAAAAGATCATTCAAGGAGAAGAAAGAGCTAAGACACAGTGTGGAAAGAGGTGAGTCAGGTGATTCTGATGCGGAAGAAAGGGGCGATGTCAAGAAAAGGACTTTTACAGAGGGGAGAGATGTCAGGCTAAATTTAGACAGGTATGATTCAGCTGATTATGAAAGGAAAAGTTATGGCGATAACAAGAAGAGGTCGTTTAAAGAGAGAACAGGAAGAAGACGTAGCATGGATAGGGAAGAATCCAGCAGCAGTAGTGGAAGCGAAGCAGAAACCACCAGGAGTGTGGATAAAAAGCTAAAATCATTTGAAGAGAAACAAGAATCAAAACAGAGAAAGGAAAAATATTACTCTGGGAGAAAGGAGCGGGATTCAGCAGACAGAAGAAAGGAGAGCTATTACAAGGAAAAATCAAAAGATTATAAAGACAGGAAAGCTATGGGTGATAAGGGAGGTGATAGGTATAAACAGTCAAAAGGTTACGACAATAGCAAAGGGTCCAGAAGGAATGACTCTAGAAAGAGAGATAATGAAAAATATGATTATAAAGAGTCAAAAGAGGAGGGATCTACTTATAACAAGAGATCATCTGGCAAGAGAAATGACTCTTACGAGGGAAAAAAGAGAATTTAAGTAGAAATGGCATGGGCCAAAGATGGAGAACCTGAGTATGTTTTGAGTTTTCTGTAGCGTGTGGCACAAAGCTGTTTGCATTAAGTCAACAATTTTGGTCTCCTGACAAGGCAATGACTATCCATGCATTTATGTCTGGTAATGTGCAGATGGTCTGGGGATTTTGTTCTATCCTGAACATCCCAGATCTTATTGATAATGTCAGAAAATCACACACTTCATATTATGATGTAAGTGGTGATCAGTTTTCCGCAATACAGTCAAAACTCTATGTGTGACCACCTTTTGTAAGCAGCCACGTATTCAAAACACCAAAATTTTCCCAGGCAAATCACTATAATTATTTAGAACTTCTTGTAAAGAGCCATCTTTCCAAAGCGACTGCCTCGGCTTTTTTGGATGAGCATTTTAGAATTTTCCATTGTTTTTATCCTCCTGTAAGGGACCACTCAGGACATGGCTTGATATGTGTAGTTGCCGTATGTGCGTCGCTACTCAGACAGGGTGTTGAATTCTTTGCTTATAAGCCCCTGCTCCGCAGGCTAACTGCCCATTGAAACACAAAATTAATATGGCTGCCATGATGTGTTGTTAAAATGCCCTGTTATGTGTAAACAGTAGTTGCCTTTTCCCCACCTCTGATGAAATTGGAAGCGGTTCAATGATCACAACGATGACTCTTTTTCTGTGTGTTTGTTTTAATTTAAGCAAGCAAACATTCAAGTTTCTATCTTGAATGCCCAAGTGATTAAATTGCATACAGTAAAACCCTCCAGTGGCACCAAATAAGTGCATAATAGGGCATGAATTTTTCTAGTATTTACAACTATAAACACCTATACGTAATAAATTGGCATCTTATTATACTTGTTTGTCATGTTCAGCTATTTTATGTTTTCAGAACAACATCATTTGACTACAACTAACCAAAATTTACTTTCTGTTGCTTTCTTATTCAAGTTTAGTAATCCAAGTGAAATAAAAAACAGCAAAGCCTTTAATTTGCATAAGAAAACAACTTTGGAATTTTTAGTCAATTAATGTCCACATCATTAAAGTGGTCAGACTACCAAGACAAAAAAATCAATAATTCTGTGGAAAACACAATTCTGGCAGATTTTACTTTGTACACCTAATGTGTCACCAATGCTTGTTTCTAGGTAATAAATAGTAAAAAGAGTAACAAAATTCCATTTTTTTGTGAAAATAACATTATTAGTAATGAACAAACACATCCATCATAATGGTCCTCTCTCTTAACCCCTTAAGCTCCAATATCCACATACAAATTCTCCAAACTGATATCCATACATTTCCTTACAGAATTTGTTGAGATAATTTGATAAAAATCAAAGATTTTTCTCTTTGAGATCATTTTATCAATCCTCGTAGACTTTGCTCTTGACAATGTATGGATATAGTTAGGAGAAAATTGATTTTGGTCACTATTGGGACTTAGGGTTAATAGGCTCCTCTAGAGCTTGTCCATAAATTCTTCAGTCATTTTCTTACACTCTCTTTAGATGCAGACACAACTCTAAGATGGAAACTTACATGTTTTTTCAGTAGTGACCAATGGTAATTCATCTTAGAGAGAGTTGAAAGTATCAATATTAATTTTATAATACCCATTTTAATTTTTTAAATTATTATTATTATTATTGGCCAACATGTGCAAGTTCTGCACCCGAGAATTCATTTTTGGTCTTAATGGGCAGAAATTTGAAAATTCTCTCTGAATATTAGCTTGCTGGGAGCAGACGCTTTTTTCAGCTAGTTTTACCTGCCACGAAAATAGCGGGTAAAAAAAGAGCCGAAAAAAGTGTCTGCTCCCCTAAGTCTAACTGAGTATCTAATCCTTTCCTGAAAGTACTGTAAGCCAGCTTCTTACTTCTTCCTGAAGAAATCTGAGTTTCAGACCTCGCAGCAATTGGCCAAATAATATTTTTATCATTTAAAATGGCTGGCACAAAATCAATTTCGCAGGAGTTCTTAAAGTATTTTACAAGTAAATGTACATTATAGTTGTTTTCATCCTTCTGTTTTCAGCTACTATTCATCAATAGACTCAGGTATTTCATTTCCATCTATAACCAGGGAGTGTATAATTCCATCTTTCTTTTTTCCTGAACTGATGGCTTTTATGTAGCAGTTGTGGCTTCCCCACTGGAAATGTGTTTCTGTTCCGTCATCCACAAATTCACCCTGACGATAAAAAAAAAATTAACATGCTCACATCAACTGTTACTTCTTTCACTACCAAAGTAGTTTGACCAAAATCGGACAAAGAAAAACCGAAGGTACTGCTATAAATGTGATGTTTCATTCGAATGGATGCACCATAGGATCTCATTCACACACTCGTAAGCTAAAACTACCTTACAAGACTCCATCATTCGCTGTAGGAGTAATAACAGGATATTTTTAAACATCAACAGGTTGCTCAATCGATCCTCTATTTCTACAAGTTGCATGCTGTTTATTATTTTGCATCTTGAGAGATGTTTATGTGGCCCTGTTAATAGAGTAAAATTCCCGACAAACGACATGGACGTGAAACAGCCACATAAGACTAGATGAAATGGCGACAAATGGCATGAAGATGGGTTAAATAACAACAGGGACATGGCCCACTCCTCAAAACACGAAACGACTATGTTTGGAATTCAGACTAGGGACATATGTACCCACCCAACCCCCCCACCCCACCCCCAAGAGATGCTGCAGAGACATAGGGTGCAGGTGTAACAAAATCACTGCATATTTATTAAACAAGAAAAGGACACCAGCCATGAAACACAATCCTACTCTGCTAATAATGTTTTTAATAACACTTCTTGTCACTTGTTAGTACAAAATGTTTCCTCTGTACACCACACAGAAAATGGAAAAAACATTAATTGGGGCAAAGTTTCCAACAAGATCAAATCAATCCAATTTAGGTTTCACTCAAAATTTTGATAACTTCTAAGCTAACTAACCCTGGAAACAAGAATTCTGGAAATGGAAAGGTAAGGTCCAGCCGTTCAAGGTGGACCACTTTTTCCCCAAAAATTTCACCCGAACTGATTCTTTCTATCTATATAGAGTGTTTTCACTCATGTGGCCAGCATCTATGCAAATTCATTGAGACAAAAGAAAGCGTTTGCATAAGAAAAGAGTTAAACTCTCAGAGGATTGGTTTGGGACACCAATATCGCCACCATAACGTCATGTGAAAACACTCTATAGTTTGACTGAAATTGCTGGAAATGTTAGCATGATGGCAAGCACTCCAAGAAATGTGCGCAGAAAAGTAAGGAGAAATTATATGTGATTATATGCTAAAGGTAAGGAAATAACAATTAGACTTACAGCAGTTTCTACAACACCTCCATTCACCCACACTTCCATCGTGTCCTTCTCTAGAGAGAGAATCAAACAATACACTTTTCAAAACATTTGCATGTAATTAAGAAGGATCCATTAGGAAGTTGAGTAATTTTAATTTTCAGTGGACAGAAACCTTGTACCAGAATAATTTGAAACATATTACATTCAATTTTACACGTTTCAAAGACTATAAATGTAATTAGTTATGTGATAACTCCAAAGAAAGATTTCTTATAGGAGACTGACTGAGAAAACAAGCTTAAAAAGGTTAAAATTTCACAACATGAAAATATCTTATTTTCGAGGGCTCCTATTAGAAATTGTCTTTGGTGTAATTACAGATAACTAATTACATCTATAGCCCTTGAATAGTGTGAAAACGAATGTGATATGGCTTAAAATATTCTGGTACAAGGTTTTTGTCCACTGCCAATTAAAATCACTTAATTTCCTGATGGATTCCATCTTAATATTGTGAGTGTGTTGTTGTGGTAGAGGGAGATTTGTTTTTTTTTTTTCTGAAAAACCGTCTTTGGCTCAAGTTTTACTTCCCTCTAAGGATGCAAACAGGCTCTTAGGGAAACATGGCGTGAAGAAGGCAAGAGAATCTTGTGGTAGACTATGGACTTTCTTTGATCACAACCAATCCATATACTAGAAGCTGGTGTCACGGTCTGAAAATGATGCTGAATAGAGTTCTAAAGTGATGACTTCATACAAATTAAATTTGTGAAATTATGGGATTTGTTGGGATATTTTCAAAGAACAACATATGAAAGGCCTACCTGCCAAAAACTAGCATTGTGGGGCAAATTGTCTTGGAGATACTAGTCCCATTTTGCTCTGATGACTCTATACAAATCCTTCTAAATTTGACTCAGTTCCTAATGTTATGAACTGAGTAAAATTCAGAAGGATTTGCATGGATTTATTAGACCATAACTGGGCTAATATCGCAAAGATAATTTCTTTGCCCTGGAATGCTAATTTTTGGCAAGTAAGCCTTTTGGATGTTGTTCTTTCACAATACCCCGAGAAATCCCATAATTTCACAAATTTAATTTTTAATGACGTCACACTTTAGGACTCTATGTTGACAGCGTCAAGAAGAATATAGATCTCAGTTGATGGTACCCCTAACAAAGGCAACATTCTTGAACCCTATGCCCCACCAAAGAGCCTTTTCACACTACAGGCCACCTCCTTTCATTATATGCCCCCATACACAACTCTTATACTAACTGTATTATTATTATAGTGTAGATTGTTCACAGTCCCCTAATTTTTGGAAGATCGTCAGGTTGAGCACTTACCATTATGGGTGGCCATCTTGGTTAAACAGGCACCAAGGGAGCTTCAGGGTTTATAGCAGTTTTGGGGGAAAGAAACAAGGGTAAAAAAAAATTTTTCTTGCCTCCTTCCAAAACCTCCCCCAAGGTAGAGTTGATACTCCTTCCCAGCCTCGAATCAGTACATTTGTACAGTAACTGTAAGTGCTTTACTTAATGGCCTTAGGGAAATTGGGGACTGTCAACAGGGTGACAATGGCATTTTCACAAGCCATCAATATATATTTTTAACAACATTTTAGTTTACCTTTTCCAGTGAAAAGGAACCTCCATTCCATGTCTGTGTGCTTATTTAGTCACCAGAATGTCAAAAAATACCATTCACTAGTATCTACGTTTTTACTGACTGGTTTGTGGGACTTAGCTATATGATGGTCTAAATAAACATTGAATCTAAAAATAAACTGGTCTCTGAAAATTTCTTGTTGTGAGTCATGGATAATCATGGAAGTTATGGCAAAAACCATTAAAAATCCTCCCAAGTCAAACACTATGTCTACACAGTGTAAATGGCAGAGGGAACACAAATTTCAATTCAAAATTCTTAGAGTGAGGGAAATTGGTATAGATCTAGAGAATTATTGAAAAATCAGAGGAAAATAACTACAGAAATTTGACAGGGGCAAAGTCAGTTTTTGTTTTTCAGGAAGTTTGAGAGATCAAAGGTTCCATATATTGCTCTGCAGCTGCCAATGTTTGTCACCGTACTTGAGGGCTGCGCTGACACTTTTTCATTTCAACCAGTAAAGTTGTTTTATTGTGTCATAATTTGTGTCAAATTTTGAATTTTGACACTGAAAATAAGAGTACTGGCTTATTCTCTTCCAATCGCAACGATAATAATCAAACACCTGCCATTAGGTGTGTAAATTCGGAAAAAAAGCGTTAAAAACTTAAATTAATCATGCCTTTTGAGCCTGTAATTTGCGAAAGGTGGGAATACAGCACTTTAAGATCAATTCAAGGTTTATCTTTCTAAACCTCAACTGCAGGGCAACATTTGACAGGCGTTAAAAGTATAATGATAATAACAAAAACATTAATAAATAAATCATTTTAAACTCACCCAGCACCATTCGTGTTTCGAACCCATCTAAAAGAAATGTCCATACTTTGGCTGTTTTCTTGCGATTTTCTACAAATTTCTTGAGGGGTTTTCCATCAATTTCAAGGGTGTATTCATACTGAAAACCGCTAACCGCTTCGATATGTATCGTTGCTCTTTTCCCACCGACGTTAAAACTTTCCTTTCCCACAAGTCTAAACATCCAGTTGTGTCGAATGACTTCTACATTGTCAACTACAATAACTCGCTTTCCAGTTGTCGTCCCATGTTCAAATTGAATTCTGTGTTTACCATCCGACAGAGCGATATCCCAAGTTGCTACAACATCGCGGAATCTATCATCGGTCATTTTCGCGGTCGATTAAACCACCTTGGTGAGCGATTAGATTTCCAAAAAGCGGCGGTTTCAACCTTAAACTCAAACAGTTAAGACGCAGCTTGCGTTACGTTTTAAGGGCTATTCCAGGTGCATGTACCTTAACCTTTTGGCAACACAGATGGAAAGATGATTTCAGCTCGATTTTTCTTCCGCTGCTGCCTCGTTTCCAAAATCGTGAGAACGAGGCTCCCTAACACGCTGTGTTCCTTGTCAGCGGCTTCTGTTAGAAGCCGCGAATTTGTTCTGTTTGCGTAAGGAGATTTGCTACTTTTCCGACTAATTTCCCTCGTGGCTTTATTTTTTTACACGGATAAAGATTACAAAATGAACTCCGCTAAAGGAAAGGTAATTGACTGCTTCGTACACGTCATTGTTCTTTTTTAATCTTCCTTAAGGCTCAAAGGTCATACCAAATGCTGAATACGTTTGAGTTGATCTTCGGTAGAAAGCCGGCATTTTTCACCTTATTCCGAAGACGTTTTCTCTGGTTGTACTGACTATAATCTTGGAAAATTTCAGCTTAAAGATTTCCATGAAGATGTCAGGAGAGAGGTTTGTGTTGAACTCACAGTTTTGTGGCGTGGAGTGTTGTTGTTAGCTTTTCTAAAATGGTCAAATATTGATGACATATACCGTTTAGCGTTAGCTTGCTGTTAAACTTTTATATTAATATAAGCTTGAGCTTACCTGCATCGATTTTTCCGTGTTTTTTTACTTAGGCCGAAGATTCAGTTAAAAATTTCTTTCCCGACAGAGTTTTTGAGCTGGACAAACTTCTGAAGGTAACCTTTTAAGCCTTTTACCTTAAACTTGTTAAAGGTCACCACGTGTTGAGGAAATAATTTTATCAAACGTTAAGTTAAAGCATTATTAAGTTTAGCTTTGTAAGTTTGGTTATCAAATACTGCTGTTTACTGCACTATTAGCTGCCACTTATAAATACCCTGTCTTCAAGCTAGAAGGTCTTATTTGAGGTTATTTTATTACCATTGTAATAAATATTCATTAATTTCTATATATTCTTACTGTACTCATGATCATCTAACGTTACTTAACTTACATACAATAACTATTGTGGTTGAGGTCAAAGGAAATGACTTAGCAATAACTGGCCACTGGGCTAATATATAAAATTCTGGCCAGAAATGAGCACTTTTTTCCAAGGAGGCTTCCTTGTTAATAAGGTTTCCCTTTATTGACTGGTTTAAAAGAGCAACAATTATAATAATGAAGTAAACATACAATAGACCTCTGCGAACACTCAATAACAATGACAACAATCTACCATTCCCCAACCCCCAATGGGAATGGCTTAGGACATTATGTAAAGTCTTACATGAAGTACATACTATCAAAATTTGCAATCATGGTTTTGATGCCAGAAATAATCTTTGTCATTTTTACTACTACAACCAGAATCCTTAAAGGCTGGTTTTCACTAGCGACGGAGTCGGAGTCGGAGTCATAAGCGGAGTCGTAAGAGCGCTTATGACCTAGTGAAAATCAAAAATCGGAGTCGTAAGCGACGGAGTCATAAGCGCGATGGAATTGGAGTCAGAAGAATCAGAACGTTTCCATTTTCTTCCGACTCCGCTTACGACTCCGTCCCTTACGTTCCACTTATGATCTAGTGAAAACCAGATTGTCGGAGTCGGAAGCAGAAGCGGAAGGATTAACCAATCACAATGCAGGTTCCCACGCTTTGTGATTGGTTTGGTTCTTCTGCTTCTGCTTCCGACTCCGACAATCTGGTTTTCACTAGATCAGAAGCAGAATGTAAGCGACGGAATCGTAAGCGGAATCGGAACGCTGTTTTCACTAGATCATAAGCTCTACGCTTCTGATTACGACTCCGACTCCGACTTCGTCGCTAGTGAAAACCAGCCTTAAGGGTTTTGCTTTCTTGTGCAAATTAGGGTTTTTGTTATTTAATCCACGCAGGGATCACCAAATTTAAATATGAAAGGAAAAACGTAAAGGATACTGGTCGTATTAGTAAAATGACGCCATCGTGCAAATGGCCTATTAGGAGGGGGTTTGGAAAAAACAGTAGTGTCCTTGCAGGTGTTCCTATGTCCTCCTTCTCATGCTCTCTTGTGTGCCGGAATTCCCCTTCCCCTTCCCCTTCCCCTTTTAACTCCTTCAACACAGGCTAATGCCATCCTTGTTTCTCAAATATCAATAATGACATTTTATGTTAATTTTTAGTCTGACATGTTCAGTAAAGATTCTATGGATAGAGTGCATAAAGGTGTCACCATGCCTGTCCACAAGAATGACACACACAACGACGTGGAGGTAATTAACAATCAACCCTTTGATTCTTCCTGTAGAAGGTAAAAGGTAAAGGTGCACACAAACCAAAGGTCCCAAACGGCTGGAGCTTATCTCAGTTTCCTTACCATGAAGCATGCTTAGGAGTATTGCTACTCCACCCTAGATGGGATGTTAGTCCATCGTGGGGCTACCCCCAAGCAGTATGTCGCCAGTACTTATTTATATATCTGGGTGAAGAAAGACAATGTGGAGTAAAGTTCCTTGTCTACATGTAGTTATTTAGATAATAAAAAAAGGCTTTTTCCAATAGTTTTTGTTGAAAAACCATCTCCTTTGTGCATACTGTTAAAGGATTTGCCTAATCTGGCCGGATAGTTTGGATTAAAAGTGAAATTCACCTTACATCGAGAATGGTCTGGCCTGTCAGTGATGACAAATTGAAAGCGCCCATAGTCTTCACAGCCTTCTCTATACATTTCGAATGGTACCAACAAAGAGAATAACTGGTTTTGAAATTTATTATGACCTTTGTGTTTATTGGCCAGTCACATAATACAAAGTCATAAAAATAGTAATAATCATTTATCATTCTGATATCATGGGTGTCAAATTACTCCTTAATTCTGGTGCGAAATTTCACCATTAATTTACAATTTCACATGTGAAATTACATATTCCATATGTGTCAGTGCCAAGATGGTGGCAAAGTTTTTTAAATGTTATGAATGAAGGTGTCGGGGCAGTAAAAGATTCTTTAGAAAACCTAAACGTATAAAAGAGCACATAGTGGACAAAAGCAAGTGTGAAATTATTCCCTAGTTTCACTTGTCACCATTTGATTACACATACAAATCACACCTTGCTCTGAATTAATGGTACTGCTAACCGCCACCTGGTTAGCTCAGTTAGGAGAGTGCCGGTCTGCTGAGCAGGAGGTCACGAGTTCAAACCCCGGCCAGACCAACACTCAGGGTCTTTAAATAACTGAGAAGAAAGTGCTGCCTTTGTTATGACATCTGCAAACGGTTAAACTTTTTAGTCTTCTCAGATAAGGACGAAAAACCGTAGGTCCTGTCTCACAGCACTTTCAATGATCTGTTCTTGTGGGACGTAAAAGAACCCACACCACTGTTCAACAAGAGTAGCGGGTGTAGACCATGGTGGTTTAGGGTGTGTGTGGTAGGGATGGCACCTCTCATGGGACCTATGAGTCCTGTTCGTGCCCATTCCCTCTGGGCAGGCCTGTGTCCAGAAAAGCTAGTAAAAAAAAATAACCAAACAAGTTCAATGTTTGTTTTAGACCACACATAAAAAGAGAAAGCTGTCTGAAGGCCATGAATCAAAACACTTGCAAGGTATGTAAGTATATTTTGTGTAAGTCCAACACCTAAACAGGGACTTTAGCTACCTGTGTACCAATACCCATGTGCATATTGAAAATAACATACACAATGAATAATATTATTGAAAACAAGATAGAAAAACAAAGCCAAAGAAGTAAACAGAAGGAAACTGAATGATCACTGAATTAAAAAAAAAATGCAATTGCCTGTGTAACTCCTCTTCAATAGAGTAACAAAGTGATAACCTCACAAAAACGGAGTCTGTGAAATTATGGGATTGGTTGGCATACCCAGAAAAAACATAATGAAAAATGCCCCCTGCTAAAAATCAGCCTGTTAGTGCAAATTATTGGGGAAAATATAACCTCCATTATGCCTTGATGACTTTATATCCATTCTTCTAAAAAAGGTTAAGTTTTAAGGTTTGTTTACAGTGAAAAGTGCACTTTCCAGCTAGTTTATGGGCACTCCACTCAAATAATTAGAGACAAATAATCTAAACAGAACATAACAGGATTAAAAACATCAACTGGCAGGAGGCAACCAGTTGGCTATTTTCAATTGTGGCCAAGAATTTGAACTCAGGATGACCGAGAACAAATCCAGCAAGGGACCAGAGCTGGACTCGAACCCAGGAGTCTAACAAGCTGACCATTCAGCCATGCTGCCTCCTATCAGATCATTATACATTTCTGGGAAACTTCCCACCTACCCTTCCCTAAGCCAACATTAACACTTACCTCTCACTTAGGGCAAATTTTGGCTTAGGGGAGGGGTAGGTGAACAGATTCCCAGAAAGATATTGTGATCCCTCCTATCCAGGCCCGTTTTAGAACAATTTATATGGAGTTGTTAATCATTAATCATTGTTAGTTTACATTTATGTAGAGTTTAAAATTTGCTCGAACTTAACTAGGTTTTATTAAATTACCAGCGTATATATGAGGAACTTTCCAGTAGTGTAACACTAACTGTTGATGGTGTCCTCTCCTATTTAGGCCATCAAACTCATATCCCTTGTAACAAGGTGAGTCTTGGTGAGGGGACATGAAAATGTTTTGAAGTGTATGATTCACCTCTAGATTCTCTGTGTGGTATTAATGTAAAGTACGTAATGTGCAAGTTTGTGAGGTGGCTGCCATGATCCTCCAATATTTTAATGTTGAACTCTATTTGGTCAGATACTACATTACAGTGTTTTTTGTGTGCATTCTTACACTATACTATCTATTACATGTGTCTGTACTTTGTACAAGTAGTTGTTTTTATAGTTTTTGGACCTAAAAATGGGATTAAAATAATGGCATTTTTAAAATGTGCAGGGATCTTTTGAACTGAAACATTAAAGTTTTGCTTACAATTTGCTTGCCATATTGTCAGTTAGGTACCCTTTTTTCCATCTGTCTGCACAAACATCATGTGAAATGTTCATAAAATTTCTGGTGTTTCTCTTTTTATGGGATATCCCCAGTAAAATGTGCATTCTTTTATGCAAAGAATGGACACCTACCTATATGAGATGGATATTTCCCATAATTGCAACAAAAGAGTTAGGGATACTGAGGAGCTGACAAAACATGACAAAGCATGTAGCATAACTGGGCATGTAATAGATTCTTGTTATTTAAAACAGTATTATTATTTTTTTAGTATATTCTGCAAGTAATTGAAGTCCTCAAACCCAAAATACAGACGTTGATGGAGAAATGCAACACGGTAAGTTTGTTTCTAGAGTATTTTTCAACCCTGTAAAGTAATCCAAGTTTAATGATAAGTATCGGATTTCCTTTGGATAACCCCGGTTTCACTCCAAATGGTGGCCATTGTCAAACATTTACAAAATTCCCGGATTCCCTTTTTTGGTGAGTGTGCATAATTATTGCATAAATTATTAGTCATAGTTTCTCAACTCCTTAACAGTGTCTCCCCACCACTGTTGTAGAACATCAATAGGAAAGATGAATAAGGATATTGAACTTTAGGTGAAGACTGACCTGTTTTAAGGTAATGTTTCGCGGGACGAATTTGCAACGACGATTTTATGCACAACACAGTGTTACAACATTGTTGCAACATTGTTTCGAAAGGCTGCAACATCGTTCCAACATTTGAACCCTGTGTTGTGCTAAAAATCGTCATAGCGGATCGTCTTGCATAAGATCACCTTTAGGAAGGTTACCAATTTGTGGAGTTGTGTAATAAAAGAGAGCTAACTACTGGGGGGGGGGGGGCAGTGAGGAAAATTCATATGTTGATACCGGTACTTACCATGAGGGGTGTTTGTTGTTAGGTGAAGATGTGGATTCAGTTATTAATCCCCAGAATAGAGGATGGAAACAACTTTGGTGTCTCTATCCAGGTAATTTTTCTTCTGTCAATACAAATGCAGCTTAATGCCAGATAACATGTACATTTTTTGCACCAATCAAGGTTAATTACCAAAAAGAGTTTGATGCCATAAACTGATGTGATACAACTCACTTTGACTCTGAAGATGACTAGCGCACAGGTTGTTGAAACGTCAGTCACTGTCAACAACAACAGTCCTATTCAGGACTTTGTGCACCCAAACGATCATACTCAACCTACTTATTTAATTTATGCCTAATTAGTTCCACTGCTTTTGAGTTCAGTGAACCCCAGTAACTCGAACCTTCTAGGGAAATTCCAAAAAAGTGGAAGTTATCTGGAGCTGGAAGCAAATAACCGAAAATAAGGAAATGGGATGGGGAAGCAGTGCAAGTACCATGCAAAGTTTACTTCAGGGGCAACAAGAGATTTATAAAATAATGATATTTTGAAAAAGGAATAAAGCAGCAAAGCTTGATCACTATACAGGGCTGGACATTGTATTTAAATTGGACTGAAAAGAAAGGTATAACAGACAAAGAATACAGGATTGACACAGATGTTTTTAAATAAATTCAGTGTATTGGACATAGATGTTTTTTTTTTTTTCCGATTTGCCACGCGCTTAAAACATGGTTTGAGAGATCAAGGGTAAAATTATATGGAAATAGGGTTCACACAGTCTTGAAAAGTCCTTGAATATTAGGGGAAGTCCTTGAAAAGTCCTTAAATTTCTGTGCAAGTCCTTGAAAAGTCCTTGAACTTTCTTTACCTGTGAATGTAGTAGCCTGGACAGAGTTTTGATGCTTTTTGGTTGTCCAAGACAGAATATAAATCATAGCTCAGAGAATCTAATATAGTCCTTGAAAAGTCCTTGAAAATGGTTGCAATTTTTTGTACGAACCCTGGGAAATGATCTGAGGGGAAACAAAAATTACTTCGAGTTAGCGTGGGTGCAAGTTATTGGGAGTCAACTGTACAACAAAGGTTGCATCTGCCATCTTTTTAAGTCTCAGCCACATACCATTATGCTGGTGCTCACATTGCCAGGAGTAACTGTGAATTTTTCAATTCTCATAGTTACATTTCTCTTTTCTCTCCCTAATGTAGGAGGAAACTCTCAGTGAAGTACAGAGAATTGAGGGAGAAGCAGCAACATTCTTGGACCAGATTTCAAGGTACACTATTACACCTTCATGCGTGACAACCTGTTGTTAGTGAACACCGATTCAGAATAACAACTGAACATGTTTTTCAGCCAAAGCACTATAAATACAGCCTCTCAGAAAAGATCGCCTTTTATAATTGTTATTGCTGTGACCACTATTGAGAAGAACATGTAAAAACCTCTTATTAGCCGAGTTTTCAATCCATGCTGTAAATTACAGAACGCTTTTTTTCCATTGTTTTATGGGCCAATCGTGAAGTGTGTGGGCCACAAATTGATGTCCATAATTAACAGTACGGACCAAAAAAAACGTGGCCAATAAAATGTTTATTAAATGGCTTCCTGTTTGGGGGAACAGAAAAAAGTGCTGGACAAGTGATTTAACAGTTATTTGACAGGCGTCAGAAAGCAAAATTTTTAATTGGCTCAAGGAAACAATAGCACATTACAAAGGCTTTTTGCAGTGTAAGAAGCCTCTCAAAAAAAGATAAATGAAGCCCGCAGCTTATTTTCCGGAATGTTTTGGTAGATGGTGATGAAGTTGTATTGAATATGGCACTTTTGATATTTATTCAACTGCTCAAAACGTACAATTACCATTCATTTGCAGATATTACATCACAAGAGGAAAGATAGTTTCCAAGATCATAAAATACCCTCAGCTGGTAAGTGCTGAACTTTGTTCAAGTGTAGTGATGTTGTATGATGATGATGATGATGATATTTGTTCTTATGGTTATTGGTAATTATTATTGTTATTATTACAGTAGTATTATTTTGATTGTGCGCATTGAGCACTCTATGAGTGTTGACATTTGGAACTTTTAGTTATTCTGTCGTGAATAAAACACTGAAATTCATTTAATAATTAAAAATTCCTGGATCAGTTTGAGCGTCATGTGAAGAATTATGGAGATTGAGGAGGGTGTTATCCACCGAGGCCTATTACGCCTGGGTGGATGACACCCTCCCCTCTGTGGGTCTAACAAAGGTCGTCATAACTACGAACTAGTTGCTTACGAGAAAGATCGGAAGGAGAGCTTTGACTGTATTTATACGACAAGGGATTACAAAAATATATATATATATATGCATATGATAACTCTACGTGAATATGGGGAGATTCGATATAACCCTATTCTGCTACACTACACTGAAAACGGCTGTTTAGCAGACTAATACAACCCCACTATCTACAATACTGACAGCTATTTTCGTAGGATGACTACCGGCAAGCTGTTATGGAGTTAGACGAAAAAGAGTTCACTAGTCTACGCCTCTGTTGCTGCGAACTTCGAAATCATTATGTAAGCGAACCTATTAATGCTGCAGTGTTACTTGATTTAGGGCGTGTTCGATTGACTGTATTCCGGAATAGGAATAAATCGGATAAACTCTAGAAATCACTTGTTTTGGCATTCAGTGCATTGCAATAGCCAGTCCAAACATTGTGGTACAAGAGATTTGTTACAAAGCTTTGGCGTATTCTTATTCCGTAGTACGATCACTCAAGCGCACCCTTAATTGCATTTCGGGCGACAAGAGGAGCCCGCCCGCAATCCTAATCTCCGGGTTGTTACGCATGCGTCGCATGTATGTCGCCAGAATTCGTTTGGACTTCCACTAAGAATGAATGGAAGGCACAGAACGCAATTTGATCACGCGCGTTTGGACCTTCCATCACTCGTAATCTGATCACGCGTGATTTGACGATATGTCACGCGAAACTTACGCAAAGCACAGCGATGGAGCAAAGCGTTTTGACCTTCGATCGTTGTCGCCCGCACTCCGTAGTCTTTGGTTATTACTAGTATACCCTCAATAAACATCTTATTAAACGTAAAATGCAGTCTGCGTATTGCCCAACTACGCAGGCATTTCAGTAGCTTTTTCCATAAGTGCCTGCTGATGATGGAATAGGCAGCTGTGCATGTGACCAGGTAAAGGGGGCGTTAAGAATCTTATGGATAAAACTTCAACAAATGGAGTGAGAGCCCCTATCGGCAGCAGGTAGATAGGTAGACCACTGCTAACAGCTTTTATTGAAACCCCGCTGTTTAGAAAAAAAGTTGTGATGGTTGTGTAGTTACAGACCTTTAGATTCGAGGACGACTGCTAGGACGAGTTTTGAATTCAAGAGTTTTTTGCGTATTCTTGAAAAATAGACACCCGGAAAGCTTCATTCAGTGGTACTTCGATCTAACGAAGGGCCAAGGGACTGTCAAAATCTGTTCGCTATAACGAGGTTTCGTTTTATCGAGGTTCTTTTTCATATATTTTACTATTACTGGGGCAAAAAAATTTCGTTCGTTACACCGAGAACTTTGTTATATAGAGGTTCGTTAAATCGAGGTTTCACTGTTTTACGTTTTTCACCAGAAGAAAATAACGCGGTTATTGAAGTAGGATACCAAGGTAATCTCTCTCCTGATCGCAAAATGATAAAACTTCTGAGACTCCTAACATTTGATGAATTTGTTTCCGTCACTGCGACATTCTCGCTAAATCCCGTAGTATCTCGTTTTCCCGCGAAAAATGCCGCTTTTTCACGCGCGGGCACTACTTAGTATTGAGAAAATCTCGTTCTCGTAGTCGTGCTTGTTTTAGATTCTGAGGGCCTGTTTACATGGAGGTGGGGACCCCGGGTAGGTGAGGTAACCCGCTTAGGTGGGGTAACCGGTTTGTCCATATAATCTCTCATTTTTAATTTGATCACGTTTACATAATAGATGGGGTGACCCGCCGCATGTTACCTCACCTATCTGGGGTCCCCCACTTCCATGTAAATAGGCCCTTAAGGTCTCTAGTATTAAATGTACTCCCTTTGTTTTTAACAGCTCTCTCTCCATGATACCATCACAAAGAACTTGGATAAAATCAAGAAACCTCGCACAAACAACGCAGATTCACTTTACTGAATAGCATTGAGAAAGCGGCATTGACTGTCTTATTATTTCTGTGGTACTTGCAACTAATAAACTGTGAAACTTTTATTCGAGAAAGTTTACGATGAAGTCTTTGTTTAAACATTTTTACCTGACCAGTGATATAAACAGAGCCTATTATTTTATTTTAGATAGTCTTGAGCGTGTATTTTAGACTTGCCCTCTTAGGCAAGTTACTGTAACGTAGACAAAATGTGTTATTTATCTTAACAAATTAGTGTCAAATTCCCTCTTAGCTAAGTCTTCAAAAGTCCGTTTATTTTGTAAATAAATACAGTGGAACTCTGATAACGTTTGTTATGATGAGGGCATGTTGTACTATAAGGTCTGTTCCATTTTACAATAACTGGAGTGATCACTGCCCTAAGGCCTCTTCACCCCTAACATTGCTCGGTAAGTTTCTGTTTGCTTTTGTCATTTTCCGTTAAAGCTATTTTAGAACGGATCTGCCTTGGACGGCCCCCAAAATTTGAAGCTGCATATTATTTTAGCACCAACCGGATGCCCTAAAAATAATCGCATGAAATTGTTGATTTTCTGATTTGCAATTTTCGGGCAGATACGAGTGATGTATTTAATATCTGTAAATCCTTCAAATAAAGTTCACGGAATCAGTAAAATTCTTGCTTCTTTTCTACTTTCTTCGTTGTTTAGAGTTATCAGTTTGCTGACTTTGATGTCAGTGAAAAAGGATTTTTGACCGGATATTTATCAAACCCCGCATCTACACGCTTGCAAGCAGACTTGTTCTTATTTAGTTTTCTCTGTAAAAAGAACTTAAGATTTAACGTCAGTTTTATCGACTTTAAAGGCATGTAATAATCACATTTATATAGGTGAGCTTTTGAGCGAAAACATATTGTCACGCGTGAAAATAACATTATCTTCACTCACGAAGAGATCAACGTTGCTTGGAATAACATGCTTATCGCGCCTTTCGCATCAGAAAATATTTAAGTGAAATGGTTTGGTATTACATTGAATTTTATAAAATAAATAGAACATTGCATGGCCGCTTGGAGATGCGAAATTTCCGTTCTCGTGTGGAGCTTACTCGAGGAGAAATTTTGTAACTCGGCTCTTAGCCGCTATGAAATATCAGTTAGATCTGAATCTGAAACAGAGTTTGAGGATAAGTTTTCGTCCTCATGCACCGTTTTACTGCTCCCCTCTAGATTTAGTTTTAGTTTCCTGTTCGGCAAATCTACCCTTTGTGCCAAATAATAAGCACCAGTTTGAATAGCTGTTTTGGCGTTTTACAGGCGAGCGAAGGCGAACGTGAAGCGAGCGAGGAGCGCGAAACACCTCTTTCCTGTCGCGTGTGTCTCTCGCTCCTCCACGTCCGCTTCGAGCGTCGCTCGCCCGAAAAACAAAAAAAACATAGCGCCTGTTCAGCTGGCTACACGATTTAAATATGAACTCGTAAATTCTTCAAAAGACAAACAAAATCGCAGGAGCCCTTAAGTGATTATTTATTCCCAACTCCACGTTAAAAATCGTTTCACTGAAAATAATAATCGTGAATCGTGAGTAACACAGTTTTCAGGAAAAAAAGCAAGGTTGCAAAGAAAGAAAATGCAGGGAAAACTAGGAAACAGGATGCAAACATTTTACTCCTTTTTTTACAGTGAATAACCTTTTTCTGTTCTGTTCATTAAAACTTGTATTTCCCTTAGCCAAGAGAGGGTGACCTTTCTTACCTTAGCTTATAGATTCAAGTTTTTTCATATCTATGATTGAAACTAGAATCCAGCGGCATTAGTGAAATGACGAAGGTATCAATTCCCTCGAGATTAAACAAATCGGAATCTACGCTACGCTAAGCGGTCGTCCGATTTTGTTAATCACTCGCATGATTACGGACCGAATTGGACTCCACTCACGTGACCGTACACCGAGCGACCGTCCGTCTACTCCACAGGTATAACAATGTAACATAACTCATTCAACAGGTATGGCAACCCAAATGGCGGGCAAAGGTTGTGTTACTATGCTCCAAACAGGCAAACACCCCAGGCTACGTACCAAAATTAGGGAGCTAGGCAACCGGAAGTTGACTTTTTGAACTCTTCGGCCGTGATTTTGAACAAATTCTTGGGCAAATCATCTCTTTAAGAGTAAACAGACGTAGCATACAAATTTGATAGCGCTAAGGCGTATCGCTAAGGCGTTTCCTCAGGGAAAAAATGGGGGACTACTCGTGGTCCAGGGCCAGGGTCTAAGGAGGTCTAAGGCGTATTAAAAGAAAAATATGCCCACTTCCGGTTGACGTGCTTGAGGTCCAGGCCTTCCGCGCAACTGACAACGCGACCAACATGGCGGACAGAGAAAAGGAAGAGAGAGATAGTTTTCTACGGTCAATTTGTAAGTATAAGTATTGCAGCACTAGCTTTAATTACAGCTTAAAATAGTGTTAGCATTGCTGAGTAAGAAGTGGTTAATTGAACTCCTTTTATTTTGAGATTTCTGGGATATCGATGTAAATTATTGCATGTCATTGACATCACGATCATGCATGTAAGCTTATAACTATCCCGGCAGGACGCGAGCGTTGTCGACTGTTCAATTTGACGGCGTATTGCTTGTTTGTAACGTATTTTTAGATCAGAAATATAAATTTCAAATAACGAGGGATAGTAACATTTTTCTCCTTGAAGTGCCTCCTTCGCTTTGCCTTTCAATTTTAAGCTTAGATCGTGGTTTATAAATTCAAATTTTGCGGTGAGTGATCAAGCAGACTGGTGCCGAGTGCCTTTTTTTTTTGCTTTTCAAAAGGTGTAAAAGATTGAAGTGCTACAAATTGTTGTCTTTGTTGATGTTAATTGATGTTGATATTATCTTACCAAAACGCACTTTGCATTGTTGTTTTCTCTCCTTTCTGCCATGTGGTAAGTGCAGTTGAAAAGTGACTGTGATTCCCTTGTTCCCTTGGAGGGATGGGTAACTCCCAATAAAAGGGAGGTGGAAGCTTGTTGGATAAAAAGAATAAAACCCTTTAAGCAGATCAATCGGGGTACTAGGACATACTGTCAAATTAGAGCTATAGTGATTTAAATCGCAATCAAGATATTGACATCAAAATAATACTTTCTCTTTGCACATGACCCTAATCAACCCTGTATGGTTTAAAATATTGGCTTTTCCCGTCTAAACACCATAAGTAAACCAAAATGTGCAATTTAAACCACTAAGTGAGATGACCAGCATCCTTGTCCCTTTCATATGTGAGTTCCTCTCCTTGGGCCTTGATCAATTTTCCTTGGGGAGAGGAATCTGTGAAAGTTTGGACAGAGATGTGTACCCTGTGAGGAGAAGTTTCTTCCTCGCAAGGCTTCTAGCATTTATGTGTAGTTAGTTGGTTTGTGCTCCTAGTTCTGTCGCAGCATAAACAAACCAACTACACGACTGACAAGCCATGTGAATGACTCTGTAAATGCTAAAAGCCATGCAAAAAAGAAACCTCTGCTTGCAGGGTAAGGGATGTGTTACTGGGACCCTGGAATCCTTAGCCTATACGAGACTACCCACATCTACAATTTTGCCATCCTACTTCTAGACCTACAGTTACCAAAAATCCCTACCCTATCTCAGGCTAGCTATAAATCAGATACTCCAGTCGTTAAACCACCAGTCAATTTCTCATAAATTATAACCTATTCTAGACCAGATACATTGGGTGCAGATACCTTTATAGCTCTTGACAGTACTCCCCCCTTACCAAGATTGTTACATGAGCTCCTCTTAGGAGGGTTACTTATGTCCCTAGTCTGAATTTCAAAACCTATTGTTTTATGTACTGAGAAGGAAACCATGTTGCTATTGTAGTTGCTTTTTTCTCTGTCACTGTTGCAGTTTTAGCTCATATTTGTGTCGCTTGTCGCCATTTTTGCTTTCCTATGTGGCTGTTTCAAGGCCATGTTGCTTGCCAGAATTTAACCCTAACAGTTACTCATAAATGTCCCGCAGTAGTTTTTCTCACTGGAATGTTAATAAAATTTGTTGTTTCCACTCTCCCTGCTATGTGAAAAATGTTCTCATAGTTTCCTTTTCCAACAGTCAATTTGACTATCATGAGACAAACAGTACACTGATTTTATTTGTATTATGCAGTAAATAGAGGTCCTAATAAGAGGCAGATCAAACCTGCAGAAAACAACTCCCTCCTTCAGTTAGCTTTAGGAGAGGATAGCGAGGACAGTGAAGAGGATGAAGATTTTCAGCTGAATGATGAAGATGATGACGATGAGGGTATGTCAAAATAAATGAAGAGAAGATCATTGCAGTTGAAAACTGTAAATGACCTAATAGATGGCCCCTCTCTCTTTTGAATAACCTGCAAAAACATCAGTTTCTCCTCACTCATCACTTTGGGGACGTTTCACACAGAGGAACATCTGCGACTCGGTGGCAGAAATTCCATATTAATGACACAATCAATGCTGGTAGTCATGGGGTTCGAAATATAAATTTGTCCAATGTTTTGTGTCTTCTGGTTGATTTTGGTAAATTGTTGTGTTCGTCTGCCTACAAGCTCCATTAAAATTCAAATGCTTCTTCTAGAGAAGACTATATTCCACAAATATTGACTGTTTTGTTAGAGGTTCTTTGCGTTTAAATTTGACCTTTGTGGCCTTTTGTCTTTTGTCTGTCATTCGTGAACAATAGCTAAAACAAAGTAACTACTCCGTCGACCAATCAGTGCTTCTGACTGGATTCCGGACAGATTTTACATCATCAATATGGAATTTCTGTTGCTGAGTCGCAGACGTTCCTCCACATGAAACGTCCACAGCGGCGAAGAGCGAGGAGAAAAGGATGTTTCGCAGGCTATCTTTTGCACACCTCCTATCTATTAAACGCCCCTGCTCGGACCCCTAAAATTAAACAGACACCCAGGGCATTTATTAGGTCATTTGTGGAATTTAATATTTATGCAGTTGCAAAAAGAAAGCCTGAAAAAATTCATGACTGTTAATATGGCTAGAGCTTTTGAACTCGGAAAATGAAAGCAGTGGGCTAGAAGATTTATAGGGTTATCCTAAAATCTTTACATTGTAAAAAGATGAGACTGCAAGCAGTCTTATTTCTTCTTATCAAGGTATTTTTGAATTTTTGAATTTAACTATGTTGCTTTGCAACATGCTCACTGGGATTTGCTGCGATATAAACTCAATGGATGTGCATCGCATTAGTTACATTAGCCACGGCTAACAGAAATAACTTTATTGTAAACTTTGATTATAGCTACAAAAGAGTTTTAGAAGATTTCAAGACCAGATGGTCTAAATGAGAGATGATGATGGTCTGAATCCTAGCAAGCCTGAGATTCTGAGACTCAAATTCAGAACAAGTTCGGAATTATGTTATGTATTTTGGTCTCTAAGCAGAGAAGAAAATAATATTAATTTTTTTTAAATAAACTACTGATTCAGGAGGATCTGGCTCAGATCAGGAAGAAGACGATGATAAAACAGAGAACAGAGATAAGGGTCAACTCAAAAAGCATAAAGTAGAAGTGAGTGATGATGATGATGATGATGATGATGAGGATGAAGGTGATGATGATGATGATGATGAGGATGTTCAAAGTGAAGAAGCACCTTCTCAAACATTCACTGTTGGAGACCTGATAAAGGCTATGAAGACCAAGAAAAAGATTCCAGTTAGTCAGCCAAGTTCTGTGGTAAATAATGTTTTCCATTTTGTGTCATTGCTTATAGTTAGTGGGCTTAAAATGTGGTTCATTGTTGCCTCTTGGTGGGGCATTCAATACCTGTGTGCATGTACAATTGTAGCCTGTGAGCAAGCTTATTATGACTCGCCAAGCAAGCCACAAGAGAACATGCGAGCGGGCAGAGTGAGTGGCGATGTCGCGAGTGGCTGAGGAAAAGGAGGCCCCTTGATTCGCATCTCCTTTCGTGTGCAGCTCAGATTTACCTGAATTTTGTGGCTCTGTGACCTTGTAAAATATCAGAAGACCTGTCTATCAGTCATGAGCTGTAAGGCTGTGTACTAAGAAAAATTGAATGGAGCCCAGTGCTTTGAACCTATGAAATCAAGGGTGCCCAGCATATGATTTTTACACATGTATGAAAATTTCCTAGCTGCCCAAGAGTGATAGCAAGGTACCAGGGGTCACTTGGTGCTTTTTAAGCACAGCCCTACTCATAAGACAAAGGTTAGCAAAAGTAAATAGTAGAGGTGAGAAATGGTGCCAATACCTAGAAATTTTTGGGTGTACGGAAAATTTAATGCAATCTCTCTCTTTAATTTCTTTTGTGTATGTGTTTCGTTCCATTCTGGAGTCTTTTGCTGAAAAGTCTCAGACATTAGCTGTCCCAGACTTTTCAGAGAAGTTTTCAGAGAACCTGAGCATCACAGCATCTATATACACCACCCCTATTCGCAGGACATTGACTGAAAGTGAAGTTGACATAGAGCTCTTTATATGTAGGCCTCAAGTGAAGTGTCTGCTTCATCAAAGAAAGTTGACATCCTAATTTGTGGAATCTGCTTAGATGATGTGAGGTAAGAATGCCATGACAGTGAGTGGGGGATGTGATCCTTAATGTTATGTGATAAGTTTAATCAGCTGAAAAAGGGCCCCCAAATAAGATTTGGACCTGACTGAGACTTAATAGTACCAGTCAAGACCTTTGCAATGATCAGCCGCATTGCTCAGTTGAGCTTTGTATTCTATACCTGATGGTGGAGATTAAGACTATATTCACACAATACTGGATACATGAAGCTTTCGTGCCGAAGGGAAAGCTATCTATGAATGGCATCAGAAAAAATTGTTCATACACATTGAACATCATGCCAGAGTGGCTGTCTGGGAGGCATGGTGAACTAAATCCCAGTCCTCAGTCTTTAACCGTTTAAGCCCTAACAGTGATCAGCATCAAATTTCCCCTTGTAATATCAATGCTTTGTAAAACAGAGTGGTCATAAGAATCACGGACATGATCACACAAGATGAATTTACTTGATATTTTATCAACTTCTCCCTACTTCTTTTGTAGGAAATGAATAGGGGTACATTTGTAACAAATGAGAATTCCAATTTTGATCCTAGGATTTAAAAGGTTAATGTTTCTTCCATCTCAGTGGATTCTAGTCCTCCCTCCTACTTTCACTTCTGCAACGGCCTGTTTAATACTTGTTCACACTGCACTAATCTATATCCAATATGTGACACCCCACTTTCAAGAATGGCGCAATGCTTCACTCCATTCCAGAAACTGCGTTGTAATCAATGGTCTTATTTGTAAACAGAAGCCCTATCTGGTATAAAGTTTTTCACGCTGGCACAAAAGCTATTCAGTGTAGTGTGAATGTTGCAGTTAATTTTTTATCTCAGGTAATTTTTGTTTTTCTTTTGTTTTTGGTTATGGTAATGTCTGCTAATAAAGTTGAAACAAAAGAAAAATAATAATTACCTGAGATAAAAAATTAACTACAACATGAACATAGCCTAAATGGAAATGAATATAATCACTTGTTAAGTTTGATTATATTTATTCAAATTTATTATGCCCATATTCAGCCTCAAGTTTTAGACAAGAAATATTCATACATTTTGTATGGTGCTGAGTTGGGTCAAGTCTTCATCAAGTAGATTAAATGCTTTGATACTTCTAATCTAAAACTTGAGGGCACTTGACTGTTATACTAACATTTACCCTAGGCCAAAAATGTAAATGCCACAAGTTTTATGTTACATCAGTGTAATATCTCTCAGTCAAAAATGGCTTCCAATTTTTAAGTATTTTGTTTTTACTTTATAGTGATGAAGGAGATGAAATAGTAGAGTGTGACAATTGTGGTATTACTGTCCATGAAGGTAAATGAGATCTTCTTTCTCATGTGCATGTTTTTGGTTGTGTTTAAGGGCTGACTACCTACAGTAGTCTTCAATCAACTCGCACATTCCTCTGTATTTTGCTTAAACTGAAGTTTTATATAATTTTCCAGGTTGCTATGGTATTAACGATGAAGATAGTGATTCTGGGAAGAGTAACGATACTGATTCACCTACAGAACTCTGGTTTTGTGATGCCTGCAAAGTAGGATTACTGCCAGTAAGTTTATTTTCCCCCGGCGGAACATACATGTAACTTCCTGACCATCTGCTGGGAGTCAGAGGATGTTCTTGGGTCTTAAGGGATTTTTTACCGCTTACACAAATTTTCTGAAAAATCCAGTCAGAAAGTAAATGGAACACAACTTTCTGGGTCATTCCAGTGGAAAATTTCTGGGAGCAACAGAACATCTGAAAAGGTAGTCCTGTTTTTCCAAATGGCATGTCCCAAAGAGAAATTCATGTTCCATTCTCTTCAGAGCTATATTTGATACCAGTTTCAGGCCTTTGTGGCCATTCTTCAGTAAACAGTGCTAATTTTTACAAATGAATAATTGTAAAGTAAACACGATTCTGAGACAACATTAACCAGTCCTGAATGTTACTTACCTTTTGCCCAAACCATGAACTGAACAGTTTGCGCATGTAAATGGTAAACAACAAGTGATTGTTATTTCAGTCTAGAGGAGCGGGGTGAATAGGCGAACGGATCGGCGGATTTTGAAAATATTTTTACCTGGATTTCGGATTCAAAGCGAGATTTTAACAGATTTCCGGATCCTGCAATTGCAGTGGATTGCGGATTCATCTATTTTTTGGGTCCGGATTTTGGACTTTTCATGTAATTTGAATATTTTTGCCCACCCGGATTTTGGATTCAGGCAGATTCAGGGCGAAAATGGAAGGGCGGATTTGGTTAATAAATCATAACAGATCAGCAGATTTGCATACTCCTATTCACCCCCCCCCCACCCCCTAGAGTGAGTTTTTGGTGTTGGCATGCAGAGATGGGATTTTTTATTCTTCTGGTTGATTTGCGAGTTCTTGCTGACTTCCAATACTATTGTACTGTGGGAAGTGCATTCCTGAAGTGAAAGTTCATAAAATAATAATATTTGGAGCTTGAATAAAAAACTTGAATTCCAGCTGGTCCTTAAAACAAGTAGCTTAAACATTTTTCTTGCCCCAGAAATGTTGCATGCTTGTATCAGGTCATGATTTAGTTTGAAATAAAGATGAATTGCCTGGACTATTGCTCATTAGGCAAGTGAGTCGGAAAAATTACTTGCATTGCAGGAAAATCTTCTCAGCCTGGATGGCTGGAGGGGGTATTTCCAGGCCCTGATGTCACAAAAAAAGGATCATTATACGTTTCTGGGAACCTGCCCACCTACGCCTCCCCTAAGCCAACATTTTGCTGATCCCAAAAAACCATTGGACATCACGCAGATGTGTGGCCTCCTACAAAACATTTTTAGGGATTTGTCACGGGTTCCTGCCCCACTAATGCTTGTTGGGCAGGAAAGTGTGACATACCATTAAGAGCATCTGTGTAGGAGGCCAGGAGATGTGTTTTAAGTCAATTAAATTCAGGTCAAAACTTTTTAACATGGAGGGCTTCTCAATTTCCTTTGTCTCATAGGCCTAATTCGTGAATGATTATGGCTGGGAAAAATTGAGAATCAACCTCAAGGTTGAAAAATTTTAACAAGAATTATTTTTGACCAATAATCATGGAGATTTTTTTGTTTTTGCTTTCTTTTCAAGGACTGTGAGTTGTGTCCAAATCTTGGTGGAATATTCAAGGAAACAGATACAGGCCAGTGAGTGAAGAAAAGAAAAATAATGTTAAGACATTAAAAGTACTGTAATTCAATTTTATATCTCAAATGTATGACCATATTTGAGATAGAAACATTCACTCAAAGAACAGGATGCCTAAGTTTTAAACTAGAGACCACATCAGTGGCGGATCCAGGCCGTCAGATAAGAGGGAGGCCTGGTCATCAAGACCCTGACATAAGGAGGGGAGGTCTCCAAAAATAATTTTTTTCGGCCCTTTGGGCCTCAGTTTGGTCTAAAAATAAGGGGGGGGAGGGGATCCACCACTGCTCACTACAGTTTTAGTAAGCTGCCATAATGGTGGAATCAATTTAGGTTTCTTTTACACTACTCTCCTACCCCTCCCCTAAGCCAGCATTTTGCCCTAAATTGAGAAGTAAGTGTTAATGTTGGCTTTGGGGAGGGATAGGTGGGGAGTTTCCCAGAAACCTTAATTGATCTTACCCTTTAATAGGAAAATAAGACAAGTTTTAGCATGACAAGTGACAATTTGATGTGCATACAGCTTCACTCTCTGTTACATCTTATTAAACAGGTAATTTCAAAATGCTTCCAATATGTTTGTTATCCACCAGGTGGGTCCATCTTCTATGTGCTCTGTACACTCCCGATGTAGCATTTGTTAAACCAGAGAAGCTGCAGTGTGTCACTTTATCAGAGGTCCCGCCCTACAAGTGGGGAGCAAAGGTATGGGCCTGTCCCCAAGAGTTACACTCGCTTCTTATATATACTGTAGCTTAAATAATAAAATGCAAATTACCCGTCTTTGGTATGTCACTAAGATTTTAAGTTGCCAGGTAAGTATAACAAGTAGGGAGGGAATCAGACAGCTAGGGGTTTCTTTTGGTTCTATTTTTCTTCCATTTTTTTATGAAAGTAGTTGGGGGCCACGGTCATGGTAGCAGGGGGAAATCCCTGGCCCTGCCTCTTAATGACAGCCCTGCACTTTATCAGAGGTGCTAAACGTGTGCCTTTCTTGTCTTCTTAGGATTGTAATCTCTGTGAAGATGAGCGATTTTGTCGCACTGGCGTTTGCATTGAATGTGATGCTGGAATGTGCAGGACATACTTTCATGTTACTTGGTGAGTTAAAGTAAGAAGAATGGGAAATATTTCACACATGAGATTTTATGTTATTTTATATATTATTTTGCCACACACAAAAAACAGTAAATAGCATTAAAATTATAACAAATGTTTGATAAGATTAAATAAAAAGTAGCAAACAGCTGGAAATTATATGTTACATGTATCTATAGACAACCACATCTTTGCTAAAGGATGGGTGTCGTCTCTTTTGACCTATCTCAGCCTTAACGTGCCTATTCTCAAGTACTGGGCAAATAACTTTTATAGCCTACTGGACCAATAGGCAAGGCTACAGGCAAGTCATCTTCTAACAAAATCATTAGAGCGATTTTCGTATGACCTTGAAAAATGGTTTCGGTAAGTGTTCGTTATTTGCTTCATCAGCCAATGGATGAACAGATCAGAACATGGACTCTTCGTTTTCCCGCAAAAAAATCCATAATATGGAGAAGGCATTGTTCGATTGACCAATCGTGTTGCAGTATGAGGTCAAAGCGAAGTATCGATTGATTTCTAGAAAGTTCTTCGGGCATGAAGTTTTTTCAGCCGAGCGTTCGCTTCACCAACCAAAAGCCAAGCACGTTTGTATCCGTTCGACAAACCAATCAAATCGCTTTATTTTCGTTCGTTTGTTGTCATACGAAAATCGCTCTAACTGTCTAAGACCAGCAAGAAGGGGTCCTGGAAAAGCAAAATGAGAGAGCTGCTTGCCCAAAGGACAAGCTGGAATTCAAGTTTTTTTGAGCCCTGATTTTGTCACATATTTTTCACCATCTTAATCACGTGGCCAAACATCAAACTCAACTATTCCTGTCTTTTTATGTTATTAACATTGATTATCGCTTCATATTTAGTGCTCAGATGTATGGACTACTGTCAGAGGTTCCAGAAGAATGTGATGAGGTATGCTGCAACACTGAGAGACTGAAATGTAACCCTTTACATTAACTTTGGTGATGTTAACCTGACAATGTTCTTTGGTTGGCTTTCCTTGCAGGATGTTGCTGATCCGTTGTTTGCGCACTGTAGACTTCATGCAGTGAAAAGGACATCAGATAGCAAGGTGAGAAAAAACACCAAATACTTGACCATATTTGCAAAATTGCCAGTATAATACATTTGAGAATGCTATAATTTCAAAAAAAAAAACTTAATTTCAAAAACTTATAAGGCGCAAATATCTATATAAATATATTCAAATGCGATATAATGAAGTAATGGATGAAGAAATATGCCGTATGACAGAAACCTTTCTCTTAATGAACACCTTTAAAAGACAGACAACTTCCTTAAACAGAAATCTAAGGTTTGTCCCTGTTTTTGTTCTTTGAATGAGACACACACCTCCCTAAAATGCCTGCTGTTCGTCTGTCATTTCTTTGATTCTCTACAAGATGGACACCTCCCTAAACTGAAAACCAAGAGTTGCTCCCTACCGTTCTTCAGCCATTTTCTTTGACTCTCTATAAGGCCAATGCGTCTCTTAAACGGACACCTAGAGTTGGTCCCTGCCGTTCTTCAGTCATTTTTTTTGACTCTCCATAAGACAGGAAACTCCCTAAACCGGACACTTAGAGTTGGTCCCTGAAGTTCTTCAGTCATTTTCTTTGACTCTCCATAAGACAGGAAACTCCCTAAACCGGACACTTAGAGTTGGTCCCTGACGTTCTTCAGTCATTTTCTTTGACTCTCCATAAGACAGGAAACTCCCTAAACCGGACACTTAGAGTTGGTACCTGACGTTCTTCAGTCATTTTCTTTGACTCTCCATAAGACAGGCAACTCCCTAAACCGGACACTTAGAGTTGGTCCCTACCGTTCTTCAGTCATTTTCTTTGACTCTCCATAAGACAGGAAACTCCCTAAACCGGACACTTAGAGTTGGTCCCTGACGTTCTTCAGTCATTTTCTTTGACTCTCCATAAGACAGGAAACTCCCTAAACCGGACACTTAGAGTTGGTACCTGACGTTCTTCAGTCATTTTCTTTGACTCTCCATAAGACAGGCAACTCCCTAAACCGGACACTTAGAGTTGGTCCCTACCGTTCTTCAGTCATTTTCTTTGACTCTCCATAAGACAGGAAACTCCCTAAACCGGACACTTAGAGTTGGTCCCTGACGTTCTTCAGTCATTTTCTTTGACTCTCCATAAGACAGGCAACTCCCTAAACCGGACACTTAGAGTTGGTCCCTACCGTTCTTCAGTCATTTTCTTTGACTCTCCATAAGACAGGAAACTCCCTAAACCGGACACTTAGAGTTGGTCCCTGACGTTCTTCAGTCATTTTCTTTGACTCTCCATAAGACAGGAAACTCCCTAAACCGGACACTTAGAGTTGGTCCCTACCGTTCTTCAGTCATTTTCTTTGACTCTCCATAAGACAGGAAACTCCCTAAACCGGACACTTAGAGTTGGTACCTGACGTTCTTCAGTCATTTTCTTTGACTCTCCATAAGACAGGAAACTCCCTAAACCGGACACTTAGAGTTGGTCCCTACCGTTCTTCAGTCATTTTCTTTGACTCTCCATAAGACAGGAAACTCCCTAAACCGGACACTTAGAGTTGGTACCTGACGTTCTTCAGTCATTTTCTTTGACTCTCCATAAGACAGGCAACTCCCTAAACCGGACACTTAGAGTTGGTCCCTACCGTTCTTCAGTCATTTTCTTTGACTCTCCATAAGACAGGAAACTCCCTAAACCGGACACTTAGAGTTGGTACCTGACGTTCTTCAGTCATTTTCTTTGACTCTCCATAAGACAGGCAACTCCCTAAACCGGACACTTAGAGTTGGTCCCTACCGTTCTTCAGTCATTTTCTTTGACTCTCCATAAGACAGGAAACTCCCTAAACCGGACACTTAGAGTTGGTCCCTGAAGTTCTTCAGTCATTTTCTTTGACTCTCCATAAGACAGGAAACTCCCTAAACCGGACACTTAGAGTTGGTACCTGACGTTCTTCAGTCATTTTCTTTGACTCTCCATAAGACAGGAAACTCCCTAAACCGGACACTTAGAGTTGGTCCCTACCGTTCTTCAGTCATTTTCTTTGACTCTCCATAAGACAGGAAACTCCCTAAACCGGACACTTAGAGTTGGTCCCTGAAGTTCTTCAGTCATTTTCTTTGACTCTCCATAAGACAGGAAACTCCCTAAACCGGACACTTAGAGTTGGTACCTGACGTTCTTCAGTCATTTTCTTTGACTCTCCATAAGACAGGAAACTCCCTAAACCGGACACTTAGAGTTGGTCCCTACCGTTCTTCAGTCATTTTCTTTGACTCTCCATAAGACAGGCAACTCCCTAAACCGGACACTTAGAGTTGGTACCTGACGTTCTTCAGTCATTTTCTTTGACTCTCCATAAGACAGGAAACTCCCTAAACCGGACACTTAGAGTTGGTACCTGACGTTCTTCAGTCATTTTCTTTGACTCTCCATAAGACAGGCAACTCCCTAAACCGGACACTTAGAGTTGGTACCTGACGTTCTTCAGTCATTTTCTTTGACTCTCCATAAGACAGGAAACTCCCTAAACCGGACACTTAGAGTTGGTCCCTACCGTTCTTCAGTCATTTTCTTTGACTCTCCATAAGACAGGAAACTCCCTAAACCGGACACTTAGAGTTGGTCCCTACCGTTCTTCAGTCATTTTCTTTGACTCTCCATAAGACAGGAAACTCCCTAAACCGGACACTTAGAGTTGGTCCCTGACGTTCTTCAGTCATTTTCTTTGACTCTCCATAAGACAGGAAACTCCCTAAACCGGACACTTAGAGTTGGTCCCTACCGTTCTTCAGTCATTTTCTTTGACTCTCCATAAGACAGGCAACTCCCTAAACCGGACACTTAGAGTTGGTCCCTACCGTTCTTCAGTCATTTTCTTTGACTCTCCATAAGACAGGCAACTCCCTAAACCGGACACTTAGAGTTGGTACCTGACGTTCTTCAGTCATTTTCTTTGACTCTCCATAAGACAGGCAACTCCCTAAACCGGACACTTAGAGTTGGTACCTGACGTTCTTCAGTCATTTTCTTTGACTCTCCATAAGACAGGCAACTCCCTAAACCGGACACTTAGAGTTGGTACCTGACGTTCTTCAGTCATTTTCTTTGACTCTCCATAAGACAGGAAACTCCCTAAACCGGACACTTAGAGTTGGTACCTGACGTTCTTCAGTCATTTTCTTTGACTCTCCATAAGACAGGAAACTCCCTAAACCGGACACTTAGAGTTGGTACCTGACGTTCTTCAGTCATTTTCTTTGACTCTCCATAAGACAGGAAACTCCCTAAACCGGACACTTAGAGTTGGTCCCTACCGTTCTTCAGTCATTTTCTTTGACTCTCCATAAGACAGGAAACTCCCTAAACCGGACACTTAGAGTTGGTCCCTGCGCTTCTTCACTCGTTTTCTCAAACTCTCTATAAGGCGGAAACAAAGACTTTGTGCCTGCCGTTCTTCATTCATTTCTCTTTGGCTCTCTATAATGCGGACACCATCCTTAAACGGACACCTAGCGATAGTCCCTGCCGTTCTTCAGTAATTTTCTTTGACCGTCTTTGAGGCGGACACTTTTCCGTGATATAAAGAATGTTGGTAGTTTAGGGTTTAAAAATTTGAACTTTGCACAAAAACATCAACTTTTTGTTCGTTTGTTTTCTTTTTCGTTTTTCACGGATCATGTACTTGCAGTGAGAAATTCTGCAATGGATAGAAGCAACAGATTTTGTTTAGTGTATTTTTTTTTTAGTTTCTCTCACTATACCTTTTTCGTGTTCATTGTTTGACCAAATTTCACTTGCACAATGTGTTACAACTAATTAAGTTGTTCTGATTAACAGAATATTTTTATAATTTGTTGCCTCTGTGTGTTATATATTTTTTCCCTTAGAGACGCACATGGCTAGCCTACCAGTCGCGGTACAAAAAAGCTGCTGAAAGACGATCAGCTGAAGACAAGGTATAGATAAACGTCTTCTCTGGGGTAGCCTGCGTAGCAAGCGTTTCCGCGCGAGTTTGTCGAGGACGTTGGAGAGAGAGCGATAAAAAAGAATGAAGGCAAAGGAGAGAAAACGAAGAAAACGAAGCGCTCTCTCTTTTCTTTGCATTTGGATTTCTCTCCCATTTTTGTATTGAAAATAGAGCCCGCTAAAATCTTTTGCACAGAAGTTAAAGCCACAATTTTAAAATATTCAAGTGTCATGAATACTAGGGGCGTATATTTCACGGCAATTTTACCATGAAACTTGCCATTTAGTGTTCAATAAACAAACAGTGTCCCTACTTGAATTGAACCACTCAGAAATGAACATGATGAATCTCTCTACCCTCCAAAATTTCTAGAATCATGAATTTGAACACCCCAAAATCTATCACTAATATCTCCTTCATTTTGAGTTCCGAGTACCCGCAGGGGATTAACAATGCATCTCCCCGGGACGTAGTCACTGATGACTATGTGGCTGTTGATGAGCGTTATTTTACCCTTGAAACTCCATGCCATCGGATCGCAACGAAATTCGTCTCCACAGCATGGTGAATACTCATTTTCAGTCATCGGTCAATCATTTGTGATCCCATTCCCGTCCAACGCGAAACTGGAGGGAAGGTCAAATAACGGAGAAGTTTGAATGGTTACCATTTTTCATGGTTCTTTCGGCCTCCTTTATATACTTGCAGGAAAGGGTAAAGTACTGTTTGGAAGCTGTCCGCTCAGACTTTCAAGCAAAAAGAATGAAGAACACACCAAAATACTATAGTAAGTATGATCGAATTGTTTAGTAAATGTTAGTTTTCAGGTTTTCTTGTCAGCGCGCAAAATACTGCACGTGACAAGAAACCTTACAGTGCTCTATTGTGGGTAGGATATACACTAAAATAATGTCTGCATTATATTCTGCACCTTAGATGTTCGACGCGTGAATCCGATTCGCACTTTCTCCGTCTTATGCGACTGAGCTGGTCGAATTTATTAGTTGGGTCGACCCGGATTAAAATCGTCGAATTTAATTGATTCAAACGTCCAACTTGTCATGCCTCGAATCAAATGATTCGATTCAGCGCATGAAAAATACGTTTAAACCGGGCCTAATTTTCCGTATTTGTTTTGCCAGCTCCTTCGGAGAAGATTCCTCGCCTTTTGAATACCTGTCCTGGAGGTAAGGAGTATGAAAATTATAATTAACGTAGTCACGTGAAATTATTCTCCTAAAAAGGTGAACATTGCGCGCGTGCGGCGGGATGCTTCGGGGTGGGCTACAGGCAGACACACCTTCAGCCATACACCCTCGGCCTATGGCCCAAGCTACGAGCGGCGACCGTAACCGTAAACGGCGAACCGCAATGTTAAGTCTGGTAGAGTGTTCATAGTCCCCTGTTTTTCCGTGAGATCGTCGTGATCATGCGCCTACCCTTACAGGCGGCCATCTTGGTTTCCAATGTAACTAATAAAGTCTGAGGGTGAGTATCAAATCTACTTAGGGGTAGGGGACGGTTTCGAAGGAGGCTATTTTTCTTGTCTTACCCCCCACCTGCGATTTACATTTGAAACCAAGGTGGCCGCCCGTAGCGGTAAGGTCCGAGGTGACAGTGAACTGTCTAAGTCTAAGAAAGAACTGTGCTCGCGAGCGAGACACGCGTGTCTCTCTCTCTCTCGCGTGCCTCGTTCTTTTCCGCGCCCATTACTTCCAAACGCCTGCTGCGCAAGCTAAGTCTTTGGTTGCCAGGGTGTACAGACGTAAAATTCTGCAAATCGCCATCGTGTGACATTTTCTACGGTTTCTTTTTTCATGTCTTTAGGCTTTGTATGACATTTTTTTCCTTCATTTATCTATACCTGAAGCTTTGAAAACCGGGTTAGCAAAAAATCAGCTCATTCTACTACTTGGCAATTTAAACAATAAAAAATCATTCAAAGGTTGATTGAAAACCTTTCTCTGACGCCAGGCAGTACGTTAGTGGCCCCTAATGGCATTTCACCGAGTCCAAATTTAAAATGACGCAAATTTTAGAACATTTATTCAGTAATCTGACTCCCTTAACTTTCAACCCGGCGTCATTCAGGTCTACAGTAACTTGCCTGAGAGGGCAAGTCTAAAATGCATGTTCAAGACTATCTAAAATAAAATAATATGCTCCGTTTATATTACTGGTCAGGTAAAAATGCTCAATCAAAGACTTTCTCGTAAACTTTCCAAAATAAGAGTTTCACAGTTTATGATTAGTTGCAAGTACCACAGAAATAATAAAAACAGGCTAAGACAGAGGAAGTTGTGATAAATTACAAAATGTTTGCTAACCCGGTTTTCATAAATTCATGTAGATCTGTACATTGAACAACCGAGTCCTTACAAACGAAATCGCAAGCTGTTTTCTTTTTCACTGTTCTCTTCCTTTGACCACTTGTTTTGTGTTGATTGCTCTAGAAAACTGATAGTCATTCTCTGAATGGTGTTTGCGATAGTCATTTTGTCTTAACTTTCTTTTTCATCCTGACTTCGATTCTATCAAATGTTTTATTCCACAGCATGCCGGCAGCTTTTCAAGAAAGCCCAGCTCCTAGGTTACACCACAGGACAGGTAATCTTTTTATATCAGCTTGCACAGGGTCGGTACTTTGCTTAGTACATTAGCGTGCCCGGGGGTTTCTATAGAAAATGCTCGATTCCAAAGTTTTAGGTGTTTTTATTTTAAGTCGACGATTATTTTTAAAGCGCTCAAAGATGAAAAATGGTTTCAAATCGCGCGACCAAAATTCCACGTTAGTTGACCGATGACCTAAATAGCCTAATTTTGTTTGAATGGAATGTCATTCATTCAAAGCAAGTATGGCGGAGAGTAAAAAAGAGAAGCGTCGTGGAGGACGATATTGCTTTGCTAGAACTCAATTTCCACTTCCTTTCTTGCCTTCCCTACCCAGTTTAATCGGCATCAAAGTTAGCTAGACTTTGTTCATGTTTTTCTTATGCTCTTAAGCAAGCCTTTCCTCCCCCTCCCCCGAAGTGAGTTTTGTGCCTTTGCTCCAGTTTCCGGTACGAAACAACAAAGCAGCTAGCTTTGTTTGGGGAGGGGGTGAGGAGGTTAGGATGGAGAACAACAATTTTATCGTTGACTGTTCCACTTGATAAGTCATTGTAGGTATAGTTTAACCAGATTTTTGGTTATTTTAAGATGGGGGTAAATAGCTTTCTTCCAACCTTCCTTTTCTCAGACTCAGAGTATTGTAAACGTTCGGCGGAAATGGTTTGTCCAACCTGCTCTTACAAGCGAATTTGTTCATTATTATCACGGTAAGTATAATGTTAACATTTTTTCTCATAGTTTATTTATAATAAAGGGTGCGTCTTATAGAGAGTCCAAGAAAATGACTGAAGCACAGCAGGGAACAACCTCTTGGTGTCCGGTTTAGGGAGGTGTCTATCTTGTAGAGGGTCAAAGAAAATGAGTGAAGAATGGCAGGGACCATCTCTAGGTGTCCGGTTTAGGGAGGTGTCCGTCATATAGAGAGTTTCAAAGAAAATGACTGAACAACGGCAGGAACCAACTGTTGGTGTCTTGTTTAGGGAGGTGTCCATCTTTCAGAGGTGGCCTTTAAAGAAACGTTCACTGTGTTTCTGTATCAGATCGAAGTGCTCGATTGAAAGAGATGCAGGAACGCCAAGAAGAACTTGAGTCAAACAACAAAAGGTTACAACAAGAGGAACAGGACTTGAGAGAGAAATATCACGAGGTTTGAATTCTCACATGTATGTAGCTCGCTACAACCTCGGACAAAAACTGTTGAAGCCTATTACAAAATACCTATTTTTTGCACTCGTCCTGACCAAAAAGCTTACCATCGCAAAATGAAAAACCGTTCCCCCCTCCCCTATTCCAATTTTGTTTGCGGTAACACCAGAAATGCCCACGTGAGCTTTTAGACCAAACCAACTTTGAACAGGGGGTGGGGAGAGGGAGACTTTGTTCCCCTTAGAAATGATCGTAGTATGGCGCGAAATTACAAAATACATGGAAATACCTAAAGAGTTTTGTCCGGGGTTGTAGAATACGTGGTAGGCATTCAAAAATAATGGGGAGTTGGAAAATTTGGTGCGCGAGGAAGTCAAGGGCGCATGCCTCGAGAGGCGGTCCTCGTAGTACACGTTACAAATAGCCCCTCATAAACGTGTGGTTTGTGGGGTCACCCTATACAGTAGATACACATTTGATCTCTCTCTATATATATTTAACAATTATTGGATGAGGCTGAGTATGATCTGAAGAATTATGGATATCGAGCATACCCTCCCAGGTCTACATAATTCTTCAAATGATGCGAAAGCCGAATTCAACAATTGTTTATTATTCATTCAAAATAATTCCTACTTTACAAACAAGCTAAAACATGCTTACCTCCATCGATCAACTTCAATTGCCTGTTTATCGGCAAGTTTAGGAGAAAAAGGGTTCTTTAGGACTGCAAATATTCTTCAAATAGCAGATGTCGTCCGTCGAGTTGTCTTCTTGCTGGTTTTGCTATGTTTTTAGCCAGTAGTTCGCCCATTTCTTCCTCTTGAAACGAGTGAAATGTTCCGCCATTTTGTACTCACTACAACCCAACCTCGTCTCCAGGTCTTCTCGGTTAACGGTTTAGTTTTCTGGCAATTATGCTGCACAACTGACGTGATTGTTCACATATCCCAAAATTCTTCCAAATTTGGTCGACATTAGCTGGTTATGATGAATTATCCGTGGGATTTTGGCCAATCAGAAACGGAGAAATATTTTGAATGGATAATAATGTACGTTATTTACCCACGTCAAGTCTTGGCCCTATTTCGTAATATATTACAGGGCTGGGTTGCTCAAAGAAGGGTTAAGATAACCCAGGGTTAGTGCAAAATTTGAATTTAGATATCGAAGCTTAAAAAGCAAAATCAGTGTTATTATTTTTGTCTACAGTTTAATGATTGGATGGCCTAAAAAGAATAGAGAAAATAACCCGGGAAAATGCTTTTGAACAAACGAAAAGGAAACCCTGGTTAAACTTCAACCCTGGGTTAGCGCTATTCGGCCTTCGAACAACTGGACCCAGAGCTTTAGATTCTGAGACGAGGACGACAACGAGTACGTGATTTTCTCAATACTGAGTATTGCTCTCGCGTGAACCAGCGTCATTTTGGCGGGAAAACCTGATAGCCGTCGTCATTCTACTTGGAGTTTTTGCCATCGGGAGAGGGCTTAACCTCCTTCAGTATAAACAACCGTACGAACTTTTTTGGTGATAAAAAGCAAAATAAAGCTTTCCGGAGTGTCTTTTTTTTACAACACGCCCAAAACCTTTAAGTTAAATCTCGTACTCGTACTCGTTCTCGATTAGAGAGCTTAAGCTACTACGACGACTAAGGTAGTGAAAACGTCACTAACTAAATAAATTCGCGTTTGTTCAAACTCTATCGCATTAATTTACAGCCTTGGTCAAGTTGTGAAATGTAGGCGAATTTCCTTTGAGTTGAATTCTTAAGTACTCTATACTGCCAAGTTTTAAACAAGAAAGATTTGTCGTCTTGTGTTCACGTCCTCCATAAACCCTCTCATTAAAAGGTTTCACTTCGAAGTCGTGCTGTGGATGTTAAAGAAATGTACCAAAAAACGTGCTGCAAGTGCATAGCTGTTGTTCTTCTCGTTTCACCAATGTATTTTGACGTTCTTGTTGCCGTTGTCGTTATGGTTGCCTTGTTAAAAGCAAGACCGACTTTGCCTTATCAAAATATTTCCAGCAGCTTTCACTTCTATGACTGCCTTACAGTACGACAACTGTAACCGGGGCCACTTAGACAAAGTTGACCAATCGGATTACAGAAAAATAACAATACATTCCAAGCAGGTCGGTTGTTGGCCAATCAGCAACTCGTAAAAAAAGCAACAAGAGACGAAGCACAAAATTTAATATTGATAGCAAGCGTTTTTCAGGAAAGCAAAATGTTTCACCAGACAATGTTTTTCTATTCGAAACTTTGCATCCAACACCCAGGAGAACTATTTCTTTGGCACAAGCTGTTATTTTGTTATGTACCAGAAATTTCTTCGCTCCTGTTGCCGCGCTTTGTAATAACATGCGACCGCAAGTCTAAAATATAACTACCGTTTACGATTTTCGCCTCCGTCACTCACTCTAACGGACCTCTCGGGAAACACGTGCTTTCTTCAGCGGGTTTAAAAGGTCCTGTCTGTAGGTTGTAATTGGTTGATTTCGATCCATGTCGTTAATTTTGTTTCGTGGTAATTATGATTGACAACTAACTTTCTAGGAATAAATTGTTTTTTTCCTGTAATCCGACTGGTCAACTTTGTCTGGGTGGCCCCGGTTATAGTAGTCGCACTTTAAGGTTCTATCCAAATAAGAGCAATGTTGTACAGCAAAACAAACGTTTCATGTCACTCCCGGGATCGATGGTATAAACTGAGCTACTGATAAGCAGTATTAAAACGAGAAGGGAACTGGAGCCGACATGTGTCCTACAATTGTTTCTGCGATGGTTACTGGGCACGCGCCAGTAACAGTCCCAGAAGTCTTTGCGAAAGTTTACTCGGCCCAGTTCCCGTCACGTTTTTAACGTGGCGAATAACCAACACTATAGAATGCGAGGTCCTACTATCCTTTGAAATTTTCTGTTTTATTTGTGTTTATCATTTCTATCAGTTGACTGAAACTATTCAGCTATTGGCAGAAGACATCCTTGAAAGGAGACAAGAAACGACACGGCTTCACCGCTGCTTGTGTAAGCTGGCGGGCAAGGTAATTAGCGTCTTCTTTCGTCTTTATGAATTACAGTCAACTCTCTGCAAGGAAGACATCTTTAGGACCGGCACTAAGTGTCTGTCTTCAGATGATGTTACACGAGACGATTCGCAACGACGATTTGTAGCTCAACACAGCGTTGCAACATTGTTGCGACATTGTTTCGAATGGTTACAACAGTGTCCCAACATTGCAACGCTGTGTTGCGCTAAAAATCGTCGTTGCGAATCGTCCCGTGTAACATCACCTTTAGAAAGATGTCTGTCCAATAGAGAGTAAAATAAAGAGAGTAAGGAAAGGGAGAGACAACCTTGGCAGTCCATTTTACAGAGGTGTCCGTCTTACAGAGATGTCTGTCCTATAGAGGTGTCCCTCTTACAGAGGTGTCCGTCTTATAGAGGTGTCCGTCTTATAGAGGTGTCCATCTTACAGAGGTGTCCGTCTTATGGAGGTGTCCGTTTTACGGAGGTGTTCGTCTTATGGAGGTGTCCGTTTTACGGAGGTGTTCATTAAGAGAGAGTTGACTGTATCAGTAAAGAAGATCTACACTATGTTTTATGAAATTTCTAAACGAAAAGTTGCCCTGATACAAGAACTCCCTTCTCTGCTGAGGCCTCAGCCTGTGTGCGGTGGGAGGAGGGGACGGGGTTCTCAGGCTACAGAGTCCTCTACTGGTATTCCAAAAAGATATGGTAAGCGCGCGGAGGTCGATGGGAAGAAGGAAAGGCTGAGCGGAGACCTATTTCTTTCTCTTTTCCCTTCTCATTGGCCCCAGGTCCTAGTGGCGCAAAGAGGCCTCTGTAAAGGATATAGGCTCAAGATGAAGGTGTCACTTTTACAGCATGCGTATGCACGTTACTTGAGTCAAGAGTCAAGGTTCACAAATTATGCGCTCTGGAGACCGTTTTCGAAAAGCTTTCAAAAGTGCCGTGGACGCCAGGCCAAAGCGGAGGAAAAAGGTGCGTTTTTGAATTTATGCGGGGTAAGTGTGCACAGGGTCTTGGCGAAAACTGTTCGTGCGTAGGGGAAAACCGTCCTACTGCTTGCTTCTTTCTTAAGTTTTTTTAAGACTCGAACAACTAAATTTCATTAGTTAGTTAGTTTCTTTTTTTTTTGAAGGCTTTCAGAACTTAGTTTCCTGTCCTATTACACAACGTATCAATGAAAACGTCTCCTGTACGGCTCGCAAAAGTGCCTTTGTTCATCCAAGAAAAGGCTTTTTTTGTTTTTTGTTTTTTGCTTTGCAGGAGTTAACTCAGCCGTCCGTATTGGAATCCAAAAAAACGAAGACTGCAGCTTCACAAACAAGGATGAAGCCTTTAAAACTCCACATGTAAGTGACGCTATATTGGATTTGATTGCTTGTAGATCACGAAAAGTCGGCGTGACTCCTTTGCTGTGATATACAGTAAAAACCCGCGACTAAGAACTTTTTAGGCTAAAATTTGAAACTACTTCTTATTTTCTAAAATCTTTAAATAAAATTCTGTACACCAGGGCAAATAAGTTACCGGTAAGTCAACACAGTTCAGAATCCTTTTTGGAGATGTAGGTGCCTTATCACTCCAACTGCAATACTAATTTAGCATGCAAATCTTGTATAGCAATAAGCTGGAGACCTTTAAATACTCTTGGCTACAATATAATTTGTTCTTAAGAAAATAAGAACCCAAATATTTACGAACCTAAATAGCCTAAATTTGTGCTTATTACCATTTATGTCATTATGCAGGTTCTTAGTCGCGGGTTTTTACTGTACCCCGACTTTTTAATGTAACATTTCTCATTGTCCTTGGTAGTTATAGAAACTGACGCCCTAAGGCCTTATAACCGTTTTTAAACGGTTATAAGTCTCAAGAGACTTCGCGCTCAGTTTTCATTTTGCGCAGAATTTTCAAGATTTGCGCTTGGCTTTTGAAAAAACATACCCGACTCTAATCTTTAATTTAACACTTGTTCCCTGCATTCACTGTTTTTGTGGTCGAGTCTAGAAGTCACTATATGCTTCTGATTGGCCTGTATTTCCGACCCCCCCCCTTCCTCTCCCAGAACCCTTCTCTATTGCGCATGACAACGCTGAGTCAAGAGCGTGAGCTCTGGGTTCGATATTGATTAGCTGGAAAATAGATCATTTCCACGATGGCGTCATTTTACTACTTCTACCAGAAACCTTCAGGGTTTTGCTTTTTTGTGCAAATTAAGGGTTTTTGTTATTTAAACCTCACTAGGTTAACCAAATTCAAATACAGTCGACTCCCGATAACACGAACCCTCGCTAAGTCGAACCAAAATCGATTTCCTTGGATTTCTTTCATACATATATCGTAATTTTACCCTCGGTAACTCGAGCCCTCGATAACTCGAACCTCCCGCTCACTCGAAGTTATTTTTGCTTCCCTTCAGATGACCTCTACATAATTTTACCCTCGATAACTGGAACCATGTCAAGTCGATCAAAAAAGAAAAAAAGTGTGTACTACAGTCCGAAATATTGAATTTAATATTTCAAAACAGCTGTGTATTCTTTGTCTTCACTTTTTGGTCAGTTCAGTTCGATTACAGTGTCCAGCCCTGTGTATTTTAATTGAAGTTCTGTTTTCTTAATTCCAAGTGTGCATGATACTTGTATTCTTTCCCCTTGCCATTTTCTTATTTTCTCATTTTTGGTTACTTGCTTCGAACTCCCGATAACTCCACGAAAAGCGTTTTCCGTTGGCTCGAGTAAATGATCTGTTTAAAAAGGAAAAGGAAGTTATAACATAACCTGAATGTTTTGTCACGTTTTTCCCCGGCAGGTGCAACACATGCAAAACAACCGAGAATCAACATCAACTGGTGCAGTGTGACACGTGCCACTACCACTATCACCTGGCATGCGTCGATCCACCTCTAACGCGCATGCCCAAGCGATCGGCCAAGTGTCTTTGGTGAGTAAAGAATTGTCTCCCATCTTTAATTTTTTTTTTTGGACAGATGACGATCGGGGAGAGTAGAAATAGCAATCCATGGGTTGTCGCTAAAGCGAAAAAAGGAAAAAAGGGGAGAGGGAGAGGAGGAAAAAAGTATCATCTCTCTTTCTCTTAGCCTTGCCCCAGTTCTCCTCTTTTTTGCAATTCAAAATCTTCTTGACGTTGGCTGGTAGCGTAGAGGCCTTCATTAACGCGCGGATAATTAAAAGATTTGCTAGAGTCGCCGCGAGAGAAAATACAAAGTTTAAAACACAGAAAGCAAAGAAGAAACTTCTTCTGAGGCGAACAATGAGAGAATTGGTAACAAAAAATCCAGGATTCGAGTGCCGTACTGTTCAGCCATGGTTTAACTTGCTAGATTATATACATGAAGTTTTTCTTTTCGATGAAATATCTATATTGATTACGCTTCCGTTTATTAGCTACCTTTCATATATGCCATCTGCTGTGCGGACACGTCATATAGCCGGTTCTTTAACTAAAGCCTTAGACTCAATGTTTTATAGGTAGAGTGCAAACAGAAATTCAGTCTTATCGTTGATATAAATTTTAAGGGTTGAAATACTGAGTTAAATTGTAGAAAACAAGGCCAATTCAGAAAACAACGGGAACGCCGGTTTTGCGACATTATTATTGAAAACAAAAAAATTAAGCACCGCAATATATAGTCCGTTTTCATCAAGTTCCAATTACCTCTCTGTCCTTAATTGAAATGTGAGCTGTTCCCTGCTAAGTAGAACTTCTTCTTTAATTGACAACGCTCGGTGTCAGCTTGAAAGGGCGAGTTATTTTCTCGTTAATAATTCATCCGACAAGCAAATGATGTACACGTAAAATAATGATGGATTTTATTTAATTCTATACTTTTATTTAAACTTATAAGGAATCTGACGTAAGTTTTCAGTCAGCATCTTTTTGGTAGTTCAGGGTGTCGTCGACGAGGCGTTTGAGTCTTCAAAGTCGAAAAGGTTTCTGAAAAAGGACCGAAACCTAATATTTCGGGCTCTTCTCGTCCTCCTTCTTCTTTCTTTGAGATAAGCCTCAATTGGGGACTCACGACAATGTAATCTGAAACTCTTCTCAAATGCCAACGAGTATTTGTGTTCTTCTCTAAAGAGCCTTAACATGGCAACTTTCACTTTAGGCTTACGCCGTAGGATGCGTCTTATCTCGTACCCAGATTTTCCACGGTCAAGCGAAATAGAGACCTTGTATTTTAAATCGAGACATACGTACAGTTGTAAGCAACTTTTTTGTCTGGCGATTGCCAAGATGGAAATCGTTTCCATCTCAAAAATTCGCCATTTTGTCACATTTTTACTTTTTCTTTGGTAGTAATCGGTACATATACAGTTTTTTAAGTAAGTGCCCTAAAGGTTTCTTGTTGTTTCACAATTCAGAGAGAGCACTATTGTATTGTAACATGAACGTTCGTCACGTTCTTATGTCTCCGAAATCCTGATGGTCGCTGGTATCGCTGAGTTCTTCGTTAAGGCACGGATTACTAAGAGATTTCCTAGAGTCGCCACGAGGGAAAATACAAAGTTTAAAACACAGAAACCAAGGAAGAAACTTCTCCCGTAGGAAACCAGTTTAACGAAATAATCCAGAAGTCGAGTGCAGGCCTGTTCAGCCATAGTTTTGTAAATATACAATATGTATGTATTTGTCGTGGTTAAAACTGATATCTACATTAATTACCCCTCGTTTTATTAGCTTTTTTTCACATCGGCCACCTGCGGTAGTGCCTAATAAAGCCGGTTCATTAACTAAAGCCTTAGACTAAATGTTATAGGTAGAGTGCAAACAGAAATTCAGTGTTATTGTTGGTATAGATTTTTAAGGGTTGAAACACCGAATCAAATTGTATAAAACAAGGCGAACCCAGAAAACAATGCAAGGGGAAGGTTTTGCAACACTAGTATTGAAAACAGGACAATTAAACACCGCAATATATAGTCCTTTCCATAAAGTTCCAATTACCTCTCTGTTCATAATTGATCAGTGAGCTGGTTCCTGCTGAGAAGAACCGTTTGTTTAATTGCAAATGCTCGGAATAGAAAATAGAACTTCAGTTCATTCTAAAACGTTGAAAGGGTGAGTTTTCGCTCTAAATTTAACTGTCCAGCGAAGTTTTGAAACATAATAAAATGGAGATGGATTTTGTTTAGTTCTATTTTTTATTTAAAATTTTAAGCATTTTGATGCAATGCTTCAGTTTCAAAACGTTTGGCACCTGTTTTAGTCGTAGTTAGTAAAGTGACGTCTAGTCAGCGAGGCTTTTTAGTCTTGCAAGCCGATGAGGTTTTTATAAATGGACTGGAGCCTAACATTTTGGACGGTTTTCGTCTTCCTTCTTCTTTCCGTGAGATTTGTCTCAAATGTAGACTTGCGACGGTTTTTCTGAATGGACCAGCGCACAGCGAATGACCTTGCTTATTTGTAAACTCTTTTCGAATGCCAATGAGTATATGCGTTTGTCTCTAAAGAGCCTCAACAAGCCGTAGGAATGCGTCTTATCGCGTATCCATATCTCCCACGCCCAAGCGAAAGAAAGACTTCACTTTTTTTAATGGAAACATGCATACAGTGGTAAACAACTACTTTAGCTGTCGATTCTTCAGATGGAAATCGATTACAGCCTAAAAAATGGCCATTTTGTCACATTGTTACTTATTCTTTGCGAGTAATCGGTACAATCACGCTTGTAAACGCTAAGGTTCTTGAGCCATAGCAAACACAGTTTTGTCCATAAAAAGAGGAAAATCCTCTTAAATTTTTCTCTTTTAGAAGTTAGTTGACGATGAAAAAGGGAACTGAGTTTCATTAAGTAGGTGCCCTAAAGGTGTCTTCTTTTTTCGCAATTGGGAGAGACCAGATCGTGTTTTAAAGAATTCAATTCTAGGTACGTAGTTATTACAAAAATCGCCTTCCATCCCAATGTTTAAAATGCTGAATTGAAATTCACTTTTATATGTTAGTCTTTTTCCACTGTAAGTCCATTACATTTCGTGGAAGTCGTAGACGGAATTTAGTTCAAAGGTGTCTGTTTTCAGGTTCTCTATTGAGAGACCAATTCCAATTGTAGCGACCAATCTTCTCCTGTTTACACCTTTCCTTGGTCTTTGGGCAGAGCAAGTCCATTCGCCACTTTTAAAACGATTAGGGCCGAAATATTTCCCGCAATTTTTTCTTGGGACTGTTACTCAGGTGGGGACGCGCCGATCAGCGCGGTCATTTTTGGTTATTTTTTCCCTTCTCCCTAGTAATAGTCCCAGGAGTCTTGCTAGAATTGCTCGTTCTCTCCAAATTTCGTCTCGTAGAACTTCGCATCCTCACGTCATATTCTCGTCCAAACGAAGTATTTTCTTCATTGTGCTTTTTACAATTTGGCGAATCTCTCGGTATCGCCAGCAATAAACAATTGGATTAAATGATGAATTCAGGTAAATTAAGAATGGCGACGCAGATTTGGCTATGAGAAACGAAGTTTCAGAAGTGTCAGTCAAGTACAATATTATAGAAGGCAAATAAGGAAGATAACAAACTAGAAAAACAAAATAGACAAAAAGAGTATTATAAGCGGACTTCCTTTGTCTGAGTGCCTCCCTTGTTTGTGCATTTTGAAGCTGATTTTGACTGTATATCTGATTCTGGTGATATTTGACGATTTTGTAAATACGAACATATGCCACTGTTGTCAGAACATACCCTACCAGTAAAATAACTGCAGCTACCATTTCATTGCTTTTCGGAAGGAAAATGTACATCAAGGCAGTGATAGAACTTGTTAACCATATAGATATCAATACTATAGTGACACGTTTGGACGTGACAAGCTCTTGATATCGCAGATGGAGCGAAACGGCGAGAAGTCTGTCGAGTGCAATGGTCGAGAGAGTTAGGAAAGATGCAGCGCAGAGAAAAAAGAACAGATAAGAGTCCAAAATTAAAACTGTTGGACAGAGTGACGTTAAGTTGTAATCTTCTTTTGATGCTGTCTTCAGTATCGCGGCATAAATAATGCCGGCCATTAGCTGCGACACCAATCCCACCCCAAGATCAGAGAAAGCCAGACTAAGGAACAGCCTCTTCTCGTTGGCTGTTATTGATGAAGCTTTCAATAAGGCGCGAATTAGTAAAAGATTTCCGAGACTTGTCACGAGAGAAAACGCGAAGTGTGAAACACAGAGAGAAAAGAAAAAAGTTTCTCTGTAACGGGCAAGTTGAAGAAAACCCTCCAACGTTTGATTGCAGTACTGTTCAGCCATTTTTTATCTTGCCGGTTGTTTTTCAAGCATTTTACCTTAATTACCCCTCCTTTGTTCGTTTTTTAAAATACCCGACTAGTTTGACGGTGGATGTTAATGTAAACGGTTTAATATGCCTCAAGCGCAGTGTGTATTGTTTGTAGAGTACAGGGTCGTATGGTCGTTTATTGACATACTTAATGAAAACACAACGTTTAAACTGTGCAATACATGGTTCGTTTCCACCAAGTTCCAATTACCTCTTTGTTTATAACTGAGATGCGAGTAGTTTCAAGCTGGGAAAGATGTGCTTGTTTAATCTAAAACGGCTGGTTTAACAATAGAAGGTTAAATCATTCTAAAAGTTGAAACGGCGAGTTTTTTCTCTCAATTTAACGGACCAGCCAGCCTTTGAAACATAATAAAGTAGTGATGGATGTTTTAAGTTCTATTCCTTTTGAACTCGTGGGTACGCGCGAGCGTACCACGAGTTATTGCAGGGACAAGGATATGCAAATGAGTCACTCACTCACTCGTAGTAGACGCACTTCGTAATTAATCGGGTCCGAAGTCGAGAGCGCAAAGATCTATCGTTTCCAAAGAAGCACGCGCCCGGTTAAGTTCGGTGGCATCAAATTCCTCGCTGAGAACGTGCATCGTGCTCTACAGCACGGTTGGAGGATAGTTAAGACACGCAAGAAACTTTCAGATTAGTACGATTCAAGAGCCTTTGACTCGTCCAGGCGTTAAACTTGACGAGAAGATGAGCATTTGCTCTTCGACTCCTTTAACTTCGACGCTGGCTTGATCTCCTACCTTGTAGTAATGTGGTAGGTTATGTGTATGAATGAATGTATGGTAAATAAAGGCACCTCTTCTTTTTCTTCTTAAGGACTCCCCAAGATCACGGGGGGAAATGGATGTGATTTTGAGGCATTAGCTTTAAAATGACAGCGGAAATCGAGATAAGAAAACATAAGCTTATGTTTGGCGTCCTACTTCGCGAAGGAGTTGTGTCGGCTTTGTATCGCATATGTTCTTTCATTGCTTTGAATTGCCATGAAATGCGTTTACATTGTTTTTTACTGTCAGTAGCTTGGTTTCAATTAGCCTTAATTTCATCCGATTGCTTCGAGTCTTTTTTTCAGTTGGTTAAGTATGGCTCGATCGTTTGCAAGCGGAAGTTCCATGGAAAAGGCATTAAATTTCAGACTTTTCACCACATTACGTGACCATCCTCAATGGGGTAGTGGCTACGTGATGTCGGGTCAACCCGAAGGTACTGAGTTCAAATTCTGCTAAGGATCTCCTTTTTTCCATCTTCCTTTTTTTTTTTTTTCTTTTTTGTTTTGTTTTGTTTGCTTATTTGTTTTGCTGTTTTTTTTTTCTTGGTTTTTAAATATATGCCTAAATAACTGTAAATAAAGTGCAATAAACAGCAAGAAAAGTATTGTGTTTCCAGAACAAGGATAGTATATTCATTATTTGAATTTCTATCATTTCCTAAAATTTACTGTGGGAAAACCAGAGGTGATAACTAATTGATTATTTTCTAAACAACGTACCCACGAGTTGACGATAGTCTTTCTTTGATTAAAATTTTAAGCCATCCGACTACCTTGTCATTGCTTTTTGGAAGGAGAATGTGGTTAAACAAAGGAGCAAGGAGGGAAGTTCTCCTGTAGCGAGTAATTTTTCACAAAAAATTCAACGCTTGAGTGCAGCACTGTTCAGCCATGGTTTAACTTACCAGTAAATTTACATGAACTTTTCGTCCAAAAACTATCCACAATAATTATTCCCTCGACCGTATGTTAGCTTCCTTTCAAAATAGCCATCTGCTGTGATGCTTCGTGTTAATATGGACTTTAAGATGCCACGACGGCGACGACAACGAAAACTTCAAAAAAGTAATAGTTTGAATTAGGAAAACAACAACTGTGCACGTGCATCACGCTTTTTTGCACATTTCTTTGCCGTCACTGCATGACTACGACGGGAAAGTTCCTAATTTCACCGTTTTGTGGAGGACGTAAACAAGCGACGGCTAAATTTTCTTTCTCTTTCTGAACTTGAATATGGTTCTTAGGAATTCGGCTCACAAAGAGTTCGCTTGCATTTGACAAAGTAAATGAGTTGGACTAATCGCGATAGAGATTGTAAGAACGCGAATTCACTTTTCAAGCGACGTTTTCGTGGCCGTCGCCGTCGCCGTCGCCGTCGTGGTATCTTAAACTCCCTAATGTCGATGGTTGGTTAACTTGCTAAGCCTTAGACTTAGTGTTTAAAGGGAAGAGTTCAACCAGGAATTTTTATTGTTGGTACAATAAATTTTAGCGGTTATGAACCTAAATCTTTTGCAGACAAACCCAGGAAATAAGGGGAAGGTTTTGCGACAAGTCAAAACAATTAAACACGGGGATAGATGGAAAAAAAATTAAACCCCACCGCAATAGAATATGGTCTCTTGTCATCAAGGTATTATTACCGCTCTGTTCATTATTGAGATGTGTTCAGTTTTCGGCTTTTATTTGAGGGTATACCAGTACAAACTCTTTAATTGTCGGCTCATCATCAAGCTCGTCCATGACTGGGAGAAAGGTGATTCAGTTGAGAGCAGCGTAGTTAACAACTGTCTCACGCAGAGAGAGAGCTCAGAGTAGTGTTCCACCCATTTGTCCATTTGCTCTTTGGGGTCTGTAATGGACCCAAAGCTTTCTTGATGCCATGTTACATGCCTCTGATATTGCCCAAGACTGTGGTTAGCTGTATGTCGTTGCAAAGTTTAAGCCAATAATCATTGGCACAACGTCTGGCAGGCTCTGAGTTAAACTGCGTGCAGCGGGGAGTGCTGTCAGCATTTTCTCACATGGGTTCTTTGTGTATTTCAAGTGGGTTTGTTGTTTGGCTCAATGAGGGGCTCCATGATCGGTAGGCTGGCGTCGAACCAGCTGTGACTAGGCCTGTCCATTCCGCCGAGAGCCGACATGGCCGAAGAGTGGATGGCCTCCCTCAAGAGGTCCCACCTGGAGGTGGCATCCTGACCCTGGAATTTGCGCTGACGCTGAGTCAGAAGTGCTTGCAGTGTTTATGCCGGGATGGCCTGGTTTCTTTGTGCGGTGGAGTTGCACACCAGGACGTGATCAGTATTGCAGTCGACGCTGTGGTAACTGCGAGTGGAGAGAACGTTGAGCAGACTGCGTGGTCTGGTGCTAAGTAGATCAAGCTGATGCCATCTGTGGGACCGAGGAGGTTTCCATAAAACATAATGTTGCGGCTTACCTTCAAAGAAGGTGTAGGTTATATTGCGCAAGGAGCAGAGTTCCAAAAGTCTTTGTCCATTTTGTCCATTTTTCCGGAGCCGTGATGTCCTAGACAAGAGGGCCAGGCTTGGTGATCAGATCCAACTCTGGTATTGAAATCGCCAATGAGCAGTAGCTCGGGCCAGTAGCTCCTCAGTTTTAGCGCTTGTGGCGCCGAAGGGCTTGCAGTTGATTGGTCACATCATCAAATAGTTACATCTAACCTTTCTCACGAAACCATTAAAATTGAAACCATTGTCACTGTTTATTCGATCACTCTGTTTTCTCCATCAAAAAGACCATTTTCAAGTTCTGAGAGATTTTTCTTTGTACTTTTTACTATCATACAACCTTTTGTTCTTGTAAACAAGTGTGTAACGTAATACTTGGCGTTTTATAGGACTTTAAAAAGGTCGAACTAATTTCCTTCTTTTATTTCTTGCGAAATAGTTTCTTTATTGTGCTCTGCACAATTTCCCGAATCTCTCGATATCGCCAGCAGTATACGTAAGGATTTAACGAGGAATTCAGAAACAGCAAGAATATTGAGGCCCATTTTGGTACGAAAAAGGAGATATTCGATCTGTTTAGCAAGTACAATATTGCGGAGGGTAGATATGGAAGATAACAAGCTAAATAAACTGCATAGAAAAATAACGCATTGTAGGCAGACTTCTTTTGTCGGATTACCTCCACTGTTTCGGCAATTTGCAGTTGATTTTGACTGTTGATCTGATTCTGATGAGATTTTGCAATTTTGTAAACGCGAACGTAAGCCACTGTTGTCAAAATATGTCCTGCAAATGAAATAACACCAGATACCGTTTCACTGCCTTTGGGCAGGAAAACGTATATGAAGGCAGTGATGCAACTCGTCAACCAAAGAAACACCAATATAGTGATCACACGTTTGGAAGTGACAAGCTCCTGATATCGCAGATGGAGCGAAACAGCGAGAAGTCTATCTACTGCGATAGCAGTAACAGTTAGGAAAGATGCAGCGCCGAGAAGAAACAAAAGATAATAATACACTGTTAGAACCGTTGGGCAAAATGAGGTAAAGGTGTTTTCTTCACTTGATGCCATTTTCAATACGACGGCGCTGATAACCCCGGACATGAGTTACGGAAACAACCCCACGGCAAGATCAGAGAAAGCCAGACTCAAAAACAGCTTCTTGACGGTGGCTGGTATCGATGAGGCATTAAACAAGGCCCGGATCACTAAAAGATTTCCAAGAGTGGCCACAACTGAAAACGCCAGGTGTAAAACACAAAAGGCCAGCATAGAATCTCTCTTTTGGAGAACGAATTGCTCAAATTCATGTAGCTTTGCAGTACAGAACTGCTCGGTCATGGTTAAACCTGCCAGATGATTTATTGCGTGTCGCTTTAGTTTAAAAGTCTCAATCAGACTTATCGGTTATAGGCTAATTTTGTTAAAAAAACTGGAGATAACAGGCTTGATTGGTCAGCAAATCGTCAAACATTTAGACTGCGAGCAGTCTCTTATTTTTCTTTACAAAGTTACTGCACTTGAACGGTGAAGCTGCGATAAACGAGGGCGAAAACCCGCGAGATTTCCAAGAGTGGCCACAACTGAAAACGCCAGGTGTAAAACACAAAAGGGCCAGCATAGAATCTCTCTTTTGGAGAACGAATTGCTCAAATTCATGTAGCTTTGCAGTACAGAACTGATCGGTCATAGTTAAACCTGCCTTGCGTGTCGCTTTAGTTTAAAAGTCCCAATCAAACTCATCGGTTATAGGCTAATTTTGTTAAACAGCTGGAGACGCCAGGTGTAAAACACAAAAGGCCAGCGTATAATCTCTCTTTTGGAGAACGAATTGCTCAAATTCATGTAGCTTTGCAGTACAGAACTGCTCGGTCATGATTAAACCTGCCAGATGATTTATTGTGTGTGGCTTTAGTTTAAAAGTCTCAATCAGACTCATCGGTTATAGGCTAATTTTGTTAAACAGCTGGAGACAAAAGGCTTGATTGGTCAGTAAATCGTCAAACATTTTAAAATGCTTTCAATCAATCAATCAATCAATCAATCAACTTTATTGGTACATCCAATTAAAATGGGTTTTCACATACCAATTACAATAAAATCTAATATGAACAATAGAAATCTAAAATAAACATTTGAAAGTGATAAAACATTACCATATTATTTTAAAAATATAAAATATGCATGATTACACCTATTGAAAGTCAATGGCTTAAAAACTCGTCAAGTGCACGTCCTTTAATCGCATTCTTAAAAACATTAAATGACTCTGTTTGCTAAACTTTCTGGAAGGTCATTCCAGAGCTGAACAGCCCTATATGAGAAAGATCGCTGACCTGTTGCTGATAAGATGGTATAAGAAGTTCATCTTTATTCCTAGTATTTCTAGTATGCACCTGGCTTCTTGTCGAAAACCTATTACACAAGGATGGTGGGGCTAATCTATTTATACATTTGAAAGCCATTAAAATGTCTCTAACCTCCAGTTGCTTAGCAACCGGCGACCAGTGGAGTTCCTTCAACATCGGCGTGATGTGCTCATACTTTCTTGCGCCAGTCACAATCCGTGCCGCAAAATTCTGAACTTTTTGAAGCCTGGCAATGTTCTTTTTTGTTGTACTAGACCACATGGACGAACAATAGAAAAACTTGCTGAACACTAATGAATTTATTATGGTTATGAGCGTAGACCTATCAAACAAATATTTCACACGATTGATTTGGCACAGGCTACCTGTACACTTAGATACAACCCCGGTCACATGTTCGTCAAAACTACGGCGCGAGTCCACAATGACCCCCAAATCTTTTGCAGAACGAGACGGCAGAATCTCTTTACCGAGTAGCGTAACTCCAAAACCCTCCGGCACACGAGCTAACATCTGCGGGGTTCCAAGAAGCAATAACTTAGTCTTATCTGGATTAATCAGCAAGCTGTGTGTGGAACACCAGGCGGCAATCCGTTGCAAATCTTCAGACAAATGTTCCACAACCATGGCTGTCTCCTGGACAGGAAACGAGAGATAGAGCTGGGAATCATCCACGTAACTCTTTAGTAAGCACAGGATAGGGGCAGCTGGAAGATCGTTGATGTATATATTAAAAAGGGCTGGCCCCAAGATCGACCCTTGAGGTACACCATAAGCTACCTGGCGTGGATCTGACACCTCACAACCAATCCTCACCCGCTGATTCCTGTCCGTCAGATAGCTTCTAAACCATCCCATAGCCTGTATAGACACACCCAGTTCTCGAAGTTTACGTAATAGGATCCCAAGCTCGATACTGTCAAAGGCCTTTGACAAGTCCAACAGAACCAACGCTGCGACTTGTTTTCGATCCATTGCTTCGAGAATCATATCGGACATGAAAATATGGAGTGTTTCTGTCGAGTGCTTCTTCTTGTTTCCATTTTGATGTTCAGTTAAAGAGTTCTGACGTGTTGTGCTCTCCGTTAACTGATTAAGAGCTGCTCGTTCGCAGATCTTAGACAGAGCTGGCAACAGTGATACTGGCCGGTTGTTATTAGCAACCTCATGATCCCCTTCCTTTAATATCGGTATTACCACGGACTCTTTCCAAGCAAATGGAAAAACTGATGTTAAAAGCGATTTATTTATAAGCTCTTTCAAGACTGGAAGTATAACTGGTAGGGCATCCTTGATCACACTCATGTGTAACTTATCCATTCCTGGTGCCCTGTTTGAAGGAAAAGACAAGATGATCTGGTGTACTTCAAAGGTAGTAACTGCGCGGAATCGGAATTCCTCTAGTTGGAATAAGGTCTTGGCTGGGCTTATACGCTGGAAAAACGTTAACTGAAGCAAGACTCTTAGATTCAGCTGCAGCCCTTGCCCCCACAGAAGTAAAGAACTCATTGAACTCGTTCGCCAGTTCCGTCATATCCCTTGAGTACACCGGTCTCGATTTCTCTTTTGACGGGAAAGGCGAAATGGTTTTCCTTCTTATTCAAAATTGCTTTCATCCACCGGCAAATATGTGCAGCCATAGAAGACCTATTTAGGCCTATTTTGGGTTAAATAGGCGTAAATGCGTTGTTTAATGAGTGTTCTTTCAAGGTTTTAAAACAATTCGACGCTTGTCTTCAACAACTGACAGCGCCACTAACCCATGAAGGCCCGTTCTGGTCAAAATTGCATGATTAATTTTTCCCTCTTGATGAATTAATTTGATGAGTACCTGCTATTAATATTTTGTCTGTTTGTAATTATTTTTACCTATGCCTGTAATTATTTTCGTGTTCTTTTTAACATTTCCATGCGTCACAATTATTTTTTCCTCACCAGGAATTAATTTTTTTATGTGCCGTCTTTATTATTATGCTTCTTTAAAATTATTTTTGTCCATTACGCAAATTATTTTACGGTTGCGGATTAGTTTTTTGTGTGCTGTAATTATGTTTTTTGGATAATTAATTGATTTTGTTGTACGCTTCTCATAATATAATGATAATTTAATTTTTTCCATTCGAGAATTATTTTTTTGTTAGTCATAATTATTTTTTCGTAGTTTTGGCAAATGTCCCATAAGCCTCTGCGGTAATGCACCTAAAACATGGCGGCTCGTACTCGTCGGTCACGTGGAGTGGTGTTACGAGAGAGGAATGAACGTGGGTTCGCGCTTTTCTTACAGAATCTAAAAAGCGTTCTTAATCTGTTGGCTCTAGTGCTGATGAGTTAGAGAAAGACGTTCTGATTCAAACGAGGAGTCGATTAGTGGTTGCACAAATGCTACTGGTATTCCGTCAAATGCGATTCAAGTTCCTGTGTAGCACCTGAAGAATTCTTTAACCCACATAATTGATTTGCTTTCAAGTCGGATAGAATGCCGCAACAATGTAGACTTCTATGACTCACTAGATATATCTTATTTTGCACCGCTGGATCTTTCACAGACAGGACGAGGTCGTTAACGCTATGAAATAACTAAAGACCAACTTGAACAATTACGATCGCTTTATTTTTCTTGGGAAGCAATTGCTCGCATTCTTCACGTTAGTCTTTCAACCCTTCAGCGGCGACGATGCAACGCACTCGCCCAGCTTGGCGCGCAAAAACAAAACTGACAATGACTCTAGACTGCTCAAGAATAGCGAAGGAAATCGTGATGATGAGTGGTATTTTTGTAGAGAGCAGGAGGCAGACATTGCTTATTTCTTTCAAGAGACAAGAATAATAAAGATCAGAAAAATAATTGAAGAAAACTGGTCGACTATTGTCCGAAACAGGGCGATCACAATCAACGAACCTTGAAAGACAGAAACAAACAAAGTGGATCGAAATGCACCAATTACAAGTAAACATTTGTTTCCTAAGAGGTCCGCTAAGATGATTGACGAAACAGAAAAACCCAACATTCTTTCGAAGTCTGCAAAACACGCAGCCCGATACAACGAATTTGGCTATAAGATCTCCATAAACGTGCACTTCATCCGAATGAACAGCACTGTTTCGCGGTGCATAATTTTTCAAGCCTTAGCGTATTTGTTTGTTATTACAGGCAGTGTTCAGAGTGTGACCCCAGCGATGATGATGACGAAATGGAAGTCGATACTGAGGACACCACACCCATTTCTCAAGGCCGCCAAAGACGGGTCATCAAAGAACCTACTAAATTCACTCCTGACAAGGGAGAGGTAAGTCAGCTTGCATCAGGAATACATGTTGCAAACTACTTTTATCTGTCTACTGACTCAAGCCTGGCACAATCGGAGGCAACCGATGGAGACATCTGACTTTGGAGCTTGTAGGTGGAGCCACGTGACCATTTGAGTGGAAGCTACTCGACAGTTCTTTCCTGTGGAATTGGTTATTAAGTTGTGCAAGGCGATAAATTCTACTATCTCTGTCTGATCTCGGGCGCAGTCCCCTCTCTTCAGTTCCAACCTAAATTCCCTTCTTTTGAGTAACTCGGGTGACTTGGGATAGTCGCGAAAATGGTAGAAAGGATGTGTGGTCTATTTTTCAGGGCCGTCTTCACGGACGTCTCCGTTATCGGTTCGTAAGGTCCCTAATATATCATGTAAGGAGGACACGTACTGATGTTCTCTCTTCCACGACATTCCGTTACTACTCTTGGCGAGTTTCAGAGGAGTATACCTTCGGAACTTTTAATCCGTTTTGCGTTTCCTTTCAGTCAAAAAAGCGCAAGCTGAAAAAGTCATCTAAGCGAAAAACGCCCGCAACAGAAGGTGGAGAAGGAGAGGGTGAAACCACTACATCGGACAGTAAAGTAAGTGAGGGCTCTCTGGTTCATGTAGCCCTGTGCCTCTTCAGGACCTCTATTGTCACTACTCCCCATATCCTACAGCTTTTATTGCTCTAATGAGTTGTGGCATTGCCGACCCCAGGATGTTTTTTTGTCGTGAAATCACTCATTGTTCCGGCAGGAAAAAAGCGTTATTGTCCAAGCGTGTAGTCAAGATGGCTAGATATTGGCCAATAAAAACGCAGTAAAAACGCAAAAAAGAACGAGGCCAGTACCATGAATACCCAGCCACCTTCATCGAACAAGGTCAATATTCCAAGGACTTATTATATGCCAAAAAGAGAACTTATTAGGGACTTTAAGATCCAACAACGCGACGGCAACGAGAACGTCGCTTAAAATGTGAATTTGCGTTCTTTCAGTATTTATCGTAATTATTCCTTCACACTTACTTTTGTCAAATGTAGGCGAACCCTCCTGGATTTGAATTCCTAGGGACCATATCTAAGTTCAGAAAGAGAAATAAAATTTCGTGGTTGCTTGTTTATGTACTTTATAAAACGTGAAAATAGGAATTTTCACGTCGTAGTCGTGTAAAAACGGGCAAAGAAATATACAAAAAGCGTGATGCACGTGCAAAGTTGTTGTTTTGCTCATAAAACCTACTGTTTTTTTTGACATTCTCGTTGCCGTCCGGGTCGTTGGATCTTAAAGTCCCTATTATTGCGGGACCAACACCGAGCGTGCAGGATGGGCTTCATCTTTCCCGCTCGCATTGTTACTATCAGTCAGGAAATGGTTAGGGAAAATTATTCTTCAAGGTCAGGCAAGAGTCAGAGAATTTCTCTTTGAGTAAGGGAAAATTTAAGTCTTTGAAAGAAGTCAAGAAAAATTGAAATTTTAAGAGTACACATTTATTTTATCAATTCATGGACACACCACGTGACTTGCTGAAAGCATAAATCAATCGTGGGGAGGATTGCTGTGAGGGGTGGGGGGAGGGGGGGGGGGGTTGAGTCCGTCAAAGACTAATTTCTGAATTCATTTGGTCTGAGAAACTTGCATTTGTCAGGGAAAAGTCTGGGAATTTCAGAAACCTCTGGCTGTGGCATCAATGGCTCGGATAGCCAATGAGAAGACAGGATTCGCTTCATCTTTCACGCGCGCGGACTCAGCCATTTCTACCCCTATACACTTCTGTTCCTTTAGAAGTACAATGTTTGATGCAACTACGTGTTCATCTTAAACAGGTTCCTCAGAAAAATTATGCATGTGTTTGTGGCCGTTTACTAATCAAGATCTGTGGTTGATTTTCGCAGAAGCCAAAATTGGAAGAAAGCTCTGCGCCTGCAGCGAAAAGAGGAAGGCGCCCTGGGCGAAGAAGCATAGAACCACCTGAAAAGAAGAAGAAGCCTGAAGACTCTCGCACTGAGTGTTGTGTTTGCAAACAGAGCGGCACCAATTCTAATCTTGTGAGGTATGCTGGGAAGTTCACCATTGTCACCGAGACTATAATGCCCCTTGTTTACCCCCCACCCCCCACCCCCCGGAATTTGGCATAACCATTGTCTCCGATTTATCTTGGGACGACTGCAAGACCCAAGAGAAATTATGGTGCATTATGGTCTTGGTGAAGGTGGTGAAGATTTCAACGTTTCTTACGTCAACGCAGAGCGCAAAAGAGTTATACAGACCTTTCCCCCACCCTGAAATTTTCTCTTCTTTGTTTTTTTGCTTTTATATTTCGTTGATGTTGTGATATTTTTAAGCTTATGTCAACTTTAATGGTGACATTTTCTACACCCCCCCTCCCAATTTCCTCTGCTTTTAAAATCAAATATGGCGGCTTCTGCAGATTTAAATAGCCTGATCAGTGCCAGGCCTGATGACATTGTTTATTTATTTATTTACTCACTTATTTATTCTTTACTACTTTTTACAGATGCGACCAGTGCAAGCTTTGTTATCATTTCCATTGCCTTGATCCTCCGATAAAAGTAAGTTCAGTTTTAAAGGGGCCGTGTCACGAGGATATCGCTTTTTTAGGTCAATTCTGTGCTGAAGTCATTACTTTGTGCCTTTAACTACACACAAAGTGCTTTTATAGAGATATGAATAAGATATCAATCAAATTTTCTCAGCGAGTACAAACCATCTGCCCACCAATCCCTTCTCTAAGCCAACATTAACACTTACTTCTCACTTAGGGCAAAATGTTGGCTTAGGGAAGGGGTAGGTGGGCAGATTCCTAGAAATGTATAATGATCCAGCATTTTTTGTTGGTTTCTGCAGGTATAGCAAAAAAAAGATGGCCCACTTTTTAAAAACTTTTAATCCATGTCAATCCTTTCCATCCGTAGCAATAGTGAATAGCTAGGAAACGGCCTAAATATAAGCTTGAATAACAAAACTAAACCATAATTTTTGAAATTATTTTGATGCAAGGACCGTTTTTTGCTTTTTTACGAGATATCAAATAGCGTACTAGTTTTACAAAGCCTGAATACCACGAGCCCTGTGATTGGTCGTTGTCTATGAAATATTAGAGTGCAGACATACAGATGACGTCACGGGGAAAATGTTTTTCTTTATTTTGTCCAACAAGTTGCTCGGTTTTGAAAGTTGTTGCGAGATTATTTCGAATTTAGCAAGTAAAGTCCTCGAAAAAAGTTTATCACGAGCTTTTTACAAGAAAAAGGAAAAACCCGAGACGAAAAGTATTCTTGGCGACTTGAAATGGCCGCAACTGGAAGAAATCTTCTAGGCTGCATGTTGCCGTGCGTCTGTTCATTAATAGCTCCCGGAGTAACACGTTACCATAAAGCTGCAACCTTTACTTTGTCGTGACTGTCATACTACGTTCCTCGTACAAAATTGTTAGTACAAAGTTGAAGTGTACTTCTAACTTTTGAACCTGTGAATTAAATCCTTTAGTTTGACCATTTAAATGAAACCCAGTCAGCTGTCCTATCACATGATAGTGTTGTGCAAAACAAAATTTGGAGTTATCGTTATTTTTTCTCTACTGTCTTGTAGGAAGGAAAGAGCTTCTTTTCATTAAGACTTATCTGTTTTCAAAATGTAATGCCGTTCGTTCTGAATATCACAAAGTCGTCCAGAATAGCCCAAAGGGACCTTGGCCTAAAACTCCAGCTTAGTACATAAACTTAAAGGTAAACAAAGTTCTTTTTTATTTTTATTTTGTAGGCCAACCCCAAGACGCGAGGGTACCTGTGGTTCTGCACAGAATGTGACGAATCGGTAAGTGATTGAGAACTTTGGATAACACGAGGAGGAATATGTCGTACGATAACTGTGAGGGGAGGTACTCCCTAATATTTGCCTTATAGGTATGTGCCGCTCCAAAGGGTTGGGGTTTTACGCCGTTTTGGTCGGAAAACGGTTATAGACTTTGCTTATTTTGGTCTGAATTCGGGTATGGTTTTCGTGGGAATCACGTGAACGTATATGTCGTTTCAATTCCAAACGAATAAGAAAAAAAAAGTAACATTCGAATTCGAGTTAGATTTTAAGAAATCTTTTTCTTGGCGCTCTAATCAACGTATAGTCAACTCTCGCCTTGCGGACACTTCGATATAACGGACACTACGATAATACCCACAGCAGCTAAATCCCAGGCAAAAATAAATTTCAGTCGTTTGACTGAAATAAACTCCCGCTATTTCGGACTCTCACTTATGAGAACACCAAGTGGAGGTCCTTACAGTGTCTGAGTTGGCTTTAATGATAACATAATTTCTGCCTACGCCAGGTCTGAAAACGGGTGTGGAAAATGTCACTTTTGGGGTGTGAAATTGGGTCAGGATTTGGAGAACCGGGCGGCACACCCTCACCACGAATTCCCAGGAATACCCCTCCGGAGGTACGATATCAAACTGCTGCTTCTAAGCCCTTGGCTTACACCCCTCCTCCGCAAGTGGTTCTAGGAGGGGGCCGGGGGGGGGGCTAAAAATTTACTGAGAAGTTCTTTGTTGTGGTGCTGTTTATTGGTTGAAGCCCTTTAGCGTTACTATTTAACTACCACCACTACTATACAGAAAGTCTTAACACTTTGGCATGTCGATTTTATTTGTTAGGAAGAGGATAGCGACGAAGATGTAGATGTAGAAGAGATGAGTACAACTGACGCTAAAACAGAAAAATATGACAAAGAAACAAAGCAGAAAAACAGTGAAAAGAATGAAAAGAAAGGGGATGAAGGGAAAGACGAAGGAGACAAAAGTGTAAAGAAAGACAAGAAAAAGAAAGAGGAAGGAGTTGAAGATCAGAACAAAGCGTTAGAAAAAGACATGCAAGCAAATGTAAATAAAGCCATTAAAGAGAAAGAAAAAGGAAAGGGAGAATTTGAGAAAGCTGACCAATCCAAGAAGGTAGACGGAGGTAAAAAGAAAGTAGACTCGAGAGAAACAGAAGATGTAGAAAGATCAAGTAAAGAGCCAAAAAAACAAGATGAAACGAAAGTAGAGGAGGAAAAATTGAAACTAGGCAAAGATGTAAAAAAGTCAGATAAAGACAAGGGGAAAGGCGACGGAAGTGCAAAGAAAGCAGACGTAGAACGAGAAGAGGTAACAAGGGCAGAGAAACAACAACAAGGAGATGTGAAGAGAGGAGATAAAGAGGAAGAGAGACAAGGAAAAGGAAACAGAGCAGATAAGAAGGAAGAGAAAGCATGTGATACGGCAAAGGAAGAAAAAGAGAAACAACAGGAGGCAAAGCAGGCAGGAAATGAGAAGGGGAAAGCAGATTCAAAGAAAGCAGATGCGAAGGAAGAAAAACATGTTGAGAAAGTAATGGAGGAGAAACGAGAAAACGCAGCAAGGGCACAAAAAACAAAAGAAAATGCTAAAAAAGCTGATAAGGAGAAAGGGAAGGAGGATGTTAAGAAAGTAGATAAAGAGAAAGAAGAATGTGAAAATGTTAAGGGAGCAGACAGGGACAAAGAGAAACCACAAGATGTAACAACAAAGGCAGAAAAGGAGAAGGAAAGAAATGCGAAGAAAGCAGACAATGTAAAAAAAGAGCAAGGAGTGAACACAGCAAAAGTAGAAAATAAGAAGTCAGAAGATGCACCAAAGGCAGCGAGGGATAAACGTGAAAAAGATGTAACGAAAACAGATAAAGAGGAGAAACTAAAGAAAGATACAAAGAAGACAGTGGGAGACAAAGAGAAACAACAAGAAGACGACGATGGCGATGATGAAAATGCCTCATTAGCAAGTTTGGTGCGGAAGGGAAAGAAAGCTAAGGCGTAAAGGATCGTGATTGATTTTGGACAAGTGATTTTATTGTTTTGTTACATTTTTTAAGAAATATATGTCATATATATATTACTTCAAGCTACCCTATTCGCCACTTATAAATGAGGAGGGAACAGGAGCCGAACTGTGCCCCGCAATTAGATCGTTACTGGTAAAGCGCCGGTCAGTTATCAGAGAGGTTAAGGATCACGTTTACGTCAGACGGCAAACGCGAATTTGTACCACGTGACCAAGTTTCCCCTTTACCTGTCCTTTACTGTACATTGTTTCTGCACATAAATTAGTAGTTTCACGCAATTTTTTATCCATGAGAATTGTTTTGAGCTCTTTTTATCTGCTCATTTGCTATTTTGAGAAGTTCTCAGCTTGAATCTGACGTCTGCCGTTTGCCGTATACGTGAAGCTTAAATTCTCTATAGAGAGAAGTGTGACGTCACGTTACCATGGTAGCAAAATTTCTGGATCACAACAATAGGGAGTTTAAGCAACGACGACGGCGACGGCAACAAGAACAGTTAAAAGCAATAAGTTTATATTATCGAAACAACAACTTTACACGTGTACATTTCTTGGCCGTCGTTGCAAGACTGCGACGTGAAACTTCCTAATTTCACGCGCTTGCGTTATGGAGTAGGTAAACACAACACAAAAATTTTCTTTTTCTTTTTCTAAACTTTAATACGGTCCTTTCGGATTCAGCCCCAGAAAATTTCGCTTGTTGTCATCCAGAAATTTTGCTACCATGGGAACATGACGTAACGACTTCTCCTCTCTATTGGCCACGTTTTTCCCCAAGTCCCTAATAAGTGTCCCAGAAGGCTTTGCGAAGGTTAACTCGACCCAGTCTCCTTCTAAAGCGCGTTTTACATCACATCTCTTGATTCAGGAATTCTCACAGTTCAAAGTGCTGAGGGAATTTCTTGCTGCAAAATGTTGACTGAGCAAAACGATCAACTTCCTTTCCCCGCATCTCTTGCTGACCGGAGTATTTAACTCGAAGATTCAGATTTATCATCGAACAAAGCACGGTATATTGAAAGAGAGACCGCCGACGATTATTTTATATTGTACTTAGCCTTCAGAGCGCCGTGAACTGTTGTTAATTGAAAAATTGAAATTAATTCTTAGTAATTTATGAGCTAGTCTGTGCTCGATTTCCGTCTTTGTTTCGTTTCCTACCCTTTTAATGAAATATAAACAAATAAATAAGTAAATAGATCATGAGATCCACATAGTAGATCTTTGTCATTTTCTTTTTTACCTGTATTTGATTGTTTTCAGCAATTAAAAAATGATTGATTATCCATTAAACTCAACGCGATTTTTATATGCTCTTTAGTATGAATTTTAATAATTAGAAACTGACCTACTAGGCGTGCACCGCACTTTTTATAGAGGGGATGTAGACCCGTAACCCGGGTTACTCAACAAAGTTTTATACGGGGAAGCTCCGGCCCGACGTCCAGCCCCGTACACTTATCTACTATTTTTCACAGAGGAGGTACGCTTTCCTTATACCTTATATTGACAAAAGGTACCTAGTTAACACACGTTGATGGTTTAGTTACTGTGTATGTTACTGGTGGTCAGTTTAAAACTTTGCATCCCTTTTAACTGGTGTAAATACACTGTCTTTTAAATAAGAATAAATGAAGAACTGTCTTGCAACATTGCTGCAAAATGAGTTGACTACAATGTTGCGCGTTTACCACCCACGAATCAACCTGTCCTGCGGCAAATTAGGTAGTTGCAGGTTGCGAGAAGTTGTTCAAAAATTAGAGAAGAGTGAAGAGTGTTGTTCTGTACATGTTGGTAAACGTTGCGCGTTTTACCGACCCGAACGTGACGTAACTCCCGAGATGGCATAACTCCAGCGCAATTTTATCCAAACAGAAGTCTGTATTCACGCATCAAAAGCCACAACCTGATTTGTTACAAAACAGGTTTGAACGTGGGTGGTAAAACGTGCGATGCGAACATTGCTTTTCGACTCGTTTTACAGCAACGTTGTTATTGTTTGTTTTTTTAACCCTTTTACCGCACCATAAAGAAGATGTTACACGGGACGATTCGCAACGGCGATTTTTAGCGCATGCAACCATTCAAAACAATATCACAACAATGTTGTAACGATGTATTGCGCTAAAATCGTCGTTGCGAATTGTCCCGTGTAACATCAGCTTACGTTTCTTTAACAACACCTTCTCAACTGGAATTTTCGCGTTGTTTGTTTGCACAAGACTGCCAAGAAATGTACCAAAAAGTGTAATGCACGTACAGAGTTGTTGTTTTTCACAGTAGAGTCGTTGTCATCGCCGTTGGCAGTTATAAAGTCCCTAATCTTGACACCGTTCGCAGGGTTTTTACTTTTTTTCCCCTAAAACCCTTTCTATCCCAAAACATATTAATAATTCATAAAGAAAAAACAAAAGAAATTAATGTTTAATGAGTGTCTATATATCTGATAAAGACACGGCTAAAACTTAAGTCCAATTTTTTAAACCAAAATAACCCCAAATCTAAATTTTAGTGCAAGAATGAGTTGATCTTCATCAGGTCGAGAGTTTTTAAACCTGATGATACACTCCTGCTCGTTTTTTAAATAGCGCATGAAAAGCAAAGCTAATACAATCTTCACTGCCAAAACGCACATTGCACCTTGACATTTCCGACGAAAATATAGTTTAGACAAATTTAACGAAGAGTATGTGTCAGATAAGCTTATTGTCAGCGTTGTTTCAATGCATTTATTTTTGAGGGTTTTTTTACCTTGAAAAAGGCTAGCCGTATTAAAACCGCACAGGAACTCATGAAGAAGACTTTATAGAAGCTACATGAACAAGAAAAGTTGTATTTTTCCCGGGGAAATCTCACTCGGGTAACCCGACTCACTTTGCTGCTTAAAACCAGCGTGTCTCCAGATAAATACCAGAAAATCGCCCCATGTAAGGGAATCCAAGACAGTCTCTGGATTCGTCTCCGTGGATTCCTGATTCCTGATTCCAGGTACCGAATTCCCGCTTCTTTGTCATTGGAACAATCGTTAGTGGGATTCGGAATCCTTGAGCTGTATTCCGGAATCCAAAGCCTAGGATTTCAGATTCCACAAGCAAAAATTTCCCAGATTCCTTGGACGTAGACTTTCAAAACAGTCCTTCGTCGGATTTCATATGGCGCGGGACCTCTCGCGACCTCGTCGCTCGCGGTCGGCCGCTTCGCGGCCAAAAAAGGCTCACTCCCCTCGCCAAGAGGTAGAGGTCGACTTGTAGCAAGTCTACTTTGGACGAAGAAAACGAACAAAAGAAGCATAGATTACGTTGTGGATACACTAGCCATTTTACTCTTGTGTAAATGACTCTTTTTTAGCCTTAGGCAAGCAAGTTTTTGTTTGTAACCGATTTTCGCAAAGTGAAATTATCCGTGGACACGTCTTTGTTGTGCAGGGCGTGGCCGGCTCTGACCGGGAAGTCTGGGGGCTATCTATCATAATGCTTTCTCCCAGGCTCCTATTACTCGCGGCCAACATGGCGGATCCCTGAACGAAGATTGGCAAAAGTTTCAAACTTTTAAAGAACTTTATTCCGGACCCAAGTCTACCCGTTAAAAGGGGAACATACAATTGAAAAAAATGCATTTAGAACCGCGAAAGAGTATGAAACTTCAAAAGTTTCAGGCGGGTGGAGGAACGACGCAGCATTCTCAAAATTTGTTTACCAGTCGGCATTTGTTCATGTTCATCTTTAATAGTTCCAGAGAGACAACTACCTACCTGGGCGTACGTGCGAGGTTAAGGTAAGAGAACTAAAATTACATAGAATAACTAGCAAAGGAAAAGGCCAAATGAATGCATATTGTCCAACTAAATGCACTTCGCTTGACAAAATCATGTGCCTATGGTCTGTGCTTTGGTCTTGACTCATAACACCCCGGGCGTGAGAGGTAAGTGCATGGTACTCCCATAAGTTTCGGATAGGTGTGTGTCGTCCAGGGTCCTAAACCCTGACGCTACGCTATTTGAGGCCCAAACTCGAAAAATGACAACCCATACAAGGGAAAACAAATGTTAAGATACTATTTCTCATACTATGGCAGCACTCCAAGCTCAATTTTTTTGTGCTATGGGTTCTTTTACGTCCCACAAGAACCAGATTAGTGAAAGTGCTGTGAGACGAGTCCTACAGTTTTTCTTCCTTATCCAAGAAGACTAGAAAGGCTAACCGTTTACAGATGTCATTTCAAAAGCAGCAATTTCTCTGGTCTTGCCAGGGTTTGAACTCACAACCTAGCTAACCAGGTGATCAAAAATGATACCCAGTTTAAGGATCCTCACCCTTAAAAACCATACCCTGGCAGGAGGCTTATACCTGTCTACCCCATATTTGGAAGCACCACCCCCTCCCCCCAGGCTCAAAATACTTACCATAACCACTTACCACTCACCAGTAATTAATTTGTGTTTAGTTACCTGAAAGGTTTTTGAAGAGCCCTCTTTATGACTGTTTATTCTTTCTCCATTAAATGTCCATTTTATAAAGGTTAAGACAGGATCACAAAGAAAGCAAAGATCTCTTAATTTTTTTCAACACAACTTAGGAATGCAAATATAGCACAAGTAAGTTTACTTTATTCCTTCACTAAACAATACCCATGTGTTTGCTATAACCTGTTTATTTCTTTTAATTAATTCTGTCCCGAAAATTTCGTCTAATTCCTCACCACAACAAACAAAAGTGATCCACAGTAGCAGCTGTTACTTATTGTAAACAAACAACATGTTAAGAGTGCCCCGCCCTAACCTGCGAACCCAGATGAATGTCCAGTGTTTGGGCAGCAAGAAGCAACAATCACAAATACTTCACTAAAAGTAACAGTGATAACTTTTCTAGTGAAAAATGGTAAAATGAAGCTTTGCGGGAAGTCTATATTATGAGAATATACGCGAAAAAACTTTAAGTCAAATCTCTCATTTGTAGTCGTCCTCATTCTTGAATCTAAAGTTCTCTAATTTGAGATCTCACTTCAAGTTTGAAGTTTATTGTTTTGCCACAATACAAATGAATTACTTAAATATAAGAAGCTAACCGCGAGGAAGCCCAAGGAATAGGCTTCCTCAAATAATTATTATTACAAAGTATCAGCGGAAGTATACATGTCAAATAAATGGCAGAGCTACTTAACACTAAACATTATAACATATTAGATATTTGTATTAAGCTTAGGTTAACAAATGCAAAGCGAAAAGTGGAAAAAATTAAATGGAGAGGCAAAGAAAATATGTGTTGGTATGGAAATGCTTTTAGTTTACGGAAAAAGGACGCAATGCTTGTTGCATTTTCAATTTCAACACTAAGAGAGTTAAAGAACTTAGGACCTTGGAAACAGATAGACAACTTTCTTAAATCAGTCCTGCAATGGAGTAACTAAAAGACCCCCGATCTTCTTGTGTTATAAGAATGCACATCTGACTGTGGGAGATATGGGCAGAAAATTAGGTGTTTCGTTGCCCCTTTACAAACTGGATACTCCAATTTAGCCGAATGTACCCGATATGATCTTCCCATTGTTTTTGAACTCTATTTTATTTGTTTTCAATAATGGTTCAAACCCTTGAGAACAGAATTTTCACCCTTATGCATGCTAGATGTATATATGGTACATGCTACAATTTACATGCATGCGCTTCATTTAGCGTCTAATAACAATAATGTATTGCAACGGTTTTCTCAACACTGAAGAAGGGTTATACAACCACCCTTCTTTAAATACATTTATGACTTTTTTTGATAATTTGTAAGAATATCATTCTAAAAGCTGTATATGTTGTGGTTCAATTTTATCCTTAGTTCAAATTTTCTTTTCTTTTGTTTCAAACTCATTATCATGTTATTATTAAACATTACCATACCCAAAAACAAAAGAAAAGAAAATTTGAACCAAGGATAAAATTGAACCACAACATATATACATTGAACTGTCTTCGGTTCTCGATGGATCAGATTGAATTGATACGCATCCTGATACGCATACAATTTTCGTGCTTCAGCTGGAACTAAGGAATTTGCTAGCAGGGTTTGTGTTTTAAAGTTTTAGATGTTTAGAATATTTATAACTTTTGTCATTGAATCATAATTTCAGGTTAAGGCATTTTTAATTATTATATCTCAGCTCATTCATATTCATGGCAATTAGTAATTTAAATTTTTAAAACTTTGTATTTTAATTTCTACCTTAATTGTACCCGTGGGATATCTGTAGTAGCTATATAGCTAAGCATATTTACCACGTAAAGTAAAGTGCCTAGGTCTATCTCTATCCTGAAAATGTTATGGTCTGCGAGAAAGATGGTGTTTTCTTGCTGACCTGTATTTAATTTCTATTTAATGCTGATGTCGACTGGCTGCCTGGCTCCGCTAGCCCCGGGGAGGGGGGTACTTTAGGAATTTCTGGGTGGGGATGTGCCGCTGGGACCCTGGAACCCTTAACCTATACCAGAGCTAGTTCAGCTGAATTTTGCTAGCCTATACTAGAGTAAACTCCCCAAACCCCCCCCCCCCCCCTATCCTAGAGTAGCTGTTTCCCTAGTCTTGATAAAATCTTCAACCAACTGATCAGTTTCCTGAAAAATGATACCCTATTCTAGACCCAAAGGCTCTGATTTATATACCCTATCCTAGAGTAAACTGCTTGAAAACCATACCCTTCACAGCGGCACATACCTATATAGCCCATATATGGCAGTACCCCCCGGGCGCTAGCCCCTATGGTTCTTTCAGGCAGCCAATACTCTAATGTTTCCTTTTAACATTAATTTTGTTCTTGTGTGTCTGGCGTCAATCAGTAGAATATAATTCTTTTTTTTGTTGTTGGCGAAGTTCTAAGACCATTTCGTGGGAGAACTAATCTACTTGGCCTTTTAACCCTTTTAAACCATAATACGGTATCCAAATTCAAATTCTCCTCTGTTGTCCCCATACGTTTGCTATAGTAATAGTGGGAAGAAGTTACTGAAGAATCAGTTAGATTCATCTTGTGTGATCGTGTCCTTTATTCTCGCCACCACTCTGTTTTCTAAAGCATTGATGTTATAATTACATGATGAAATTTCTTGCTGATCACTTTTAGGGCTTAAAGGGCTAGATAGTCTTTATTTAAAAACGATGAGTGTTAAAGCTACATGAGCTTATGGGGTTGTTTGCAGCTAACTAATGACAATGAGAAACTACAAACTAATGGCATTTACGAAAAGCAAATAAGAATATAAAGTAGAAATATTTACAAATGTGAGGAAGTCAAGTATTATATACAAAATTATCTTTTATAAGACTACAAGAGTAGATGCGGACGTTATCTTAAAGCTAAATTTATTGAAGATATCTAAAGATTTAAGCTTTAGCCTGAGGCCACGACATGGAATATCATATGCCAGTCACTGCGTTCCATAGGACTGAGCCTCTACATGCGACGTTGTCCTGTGGATTTCTTTGTTCTTAGTGCATTCTTTTGTCCGCTACTAAAGACTCCGAAACCGCAGGCATCTGTGAGTCGTGGAGTATCCTTCTCGTCCCTTGTCTACGCAACATGCCCCATGTCCACAACTTGTAGACTGGAGTAAAGTGTTGGTTAGCCTGAAACCGATCGCTAAGCACAGTTTGGTCATCACGTGACAAAATCGTCATAACTTTGTTCATTGATAAATTAGTTGAAGTAAAAACGTTGACAAGTTTACTGGCCAGGTCTTGACTTTCAGTTAATACTATCTACACTTTAACTAACACTTTAACTACACTTTACTAACATACACTTTGCCTGATATATGTGTTGACAAATACCGACAAGTTATCTGTTGGTTTTACTGGTACGTTCCATTCCGTGACTTTGTTCTTCTGAAATAACGTTAATACGCATTTTGCTTGTTTCATTTTATGTTGATATTTCAAAATGTTTGAAAACTAAACTCAAGTTGAGAAGGCTTGAATCGCGAAATTTAATGCCCTTTTTCATATTTGCCTAATGAAATCGCGAAAATAGAACCCCGCGAAATACTGTCTTGCTAAAATCGCGAAATTAAGTACCATTAAGGTATTCTGAACTTGAGGTCTTTTGTTATGTCATGTTCTCGTCCATGGAAAATAATTTTTTCACTGTGTTTTTAACATTTTCGCGAATCTCTCGGTACCGCCAGCAATAAAGGAAGGGATTTAATGATGAATTCAGGCAAATCAAGAATATCGACACACTTTGAGCTACGATGAACGAAATTTCAGAAGTATTTGTCAAATACAAGATTGTAGAAGGCAAAAAAGGAAGATAACAAGCTAGAAAAACAAGATAGACAAATAAAGCGTTATAGGCGGACTTCTTTTGTCGGATTTCCTCCCTTTTTTGTTCAACTTGAAGCTGATTTTGACTGTATATCTGATTCTGGTGATATTTGACAACTTTGTAAATACGAACATAAGCCACTGTTGTCAGAACATATCCTATCAGTGAAATAACCGCAGCTGACATTTCATTGCTTTCCGGAAGGAGAATGTATATGAAGGCAGTGATACAACTTATTAACCATAAAGATATCAACACTATGGTAACACGTTTGGGTGTGATAAGCTCCTGATATCGCAGGTGGAGAGAAATGGCGAAAAGTCTGTCAATAGCAATAGTAGTGACAGTTAGGAAAGATGTAGTGCCGAGAAGGAACAAAACATAGCTATAAACATTTAAAACTACTGGACAGAATGGCGTCAAGTTGTAGTCTCCTTTTGATGCCATATTCAACATCACAGCAGAGATGATACCCGCCATTAGCTGCACCAACAATCCTACAGCAAGATCAGAAATAGCCAGATTTAGGAACAGCTTCTTGACGATGATTGGTATCGATGAGGCCTTTACAAGGGCACGAATAAGTAACATATTCCCAAGCGTCGCCACTAAGGAAAACACGAAGTTTAAAAGACAGAAAACCAGCATGAAAGCTTTTTGAAAGTTTACAAGTTGTACAAAATCACCAAGCTTCGCAATGCAGAATTGTTCATTCATGGTTAACCTACCAGATGGCATGTCTTTTTAAATAGTAGTCTAAACCACACCAGTCGTTTATTGCTCACTCTATTGTGACAATACTTATCAACATTTTGCATATTAACGCGTATATTTTATATTTCCTTTTTTCGTCGACTTGACGTTTAACGTAATAACGTAGACACATGTTTAGCTATAGTTCTACCAAAACTTTGTTTTTTGATGTAATTTATTAGAGTTTATAAGAGCTAGAAAATCATTATCATTTTCATCATATCGGTGATAAAGGGGCAAATTTGTATTGATTTATTCAATAGATACCACAAATGCAAAACAAACCTGCTACATAAATGCTCCCCATACATCAAGAACCAATTATCTCCCTACATTTCTATCATTGAAAATGATCAGTTTCCAACCCAGCGTGAACTGTTGTTTATATTAAAAAAGAGCTGTTTGGTCTCCAAATTAAAAATTATTTTCACCCCCTTGCAAAATTGCATAAGCCTAACATATGCCATGGTTGTCATAACATATTCTACAATGGAAATTACTGCGACTGCCTTTTTCTCGCTTTTCGGAAGAAGAATGTCGAAGTATAAAACAAAGAAAGCAAGGAAGGAAGTTCTCCTGTAGCGAGGAAATTTTGACAAAAAATTCACCGGTTGAGTGCACCACTGTTCAGCCAAGTAAATTTACATGAACCTTTCGTTCGATGGATATGTACATTAATTACTCTCTGCCTTTATTAGCTTCTGTTAAAACAGCCATCTACTGTGACGTTTCGTGTTAATGTCGATGGTTAGTTAACCTATTAAGCCTTAGACTCAATGTTTAGAGAGTAAAATTCAACCTGGAATTTGTATTGTTGGTATAAATTTTAAGGCTTGTGAGACTAAATCATTTCATTTCCACTTTAAAAATTCGAAACTTTTCGCTGTCAAATTGGCCCTAACCCTTCTCAACACGATTCGGCCTTTTAACGCGGAATTCATTCTATGCCTTATCAGTATTAAGTATATTTGTTAAGTCACGCGACCTGTTTTATTTAACTGACGGTTTCCGATAACACATGGACATGACTCAAAGGGGCATTCTAAAGCCCTTACTAGGAGCCATAAAAAAACGATAAAATAAGGCGAATACAGGTTGACTAAGTATTCACCGTTTTCAGTTAAACATTTTGGCCCGTTACAAGGCGAAGGTGAGTCACGGGACTGAGGCTTTAAGCGTCATGAGCTCAGGATATGAGCGCTATATAAATAAATAAATAAATAAATAAGTTATTGTTAAAGTTGAAAAGCTCATCAAATGAATGTAAACGTGGAAAGGACCCGGGGGAAAGGAACCTGCTTGCCAGGGTTTCACAAAGATGAGAGGAATCTTTCTCCCTGGAATCAAAACCCACTGAATTCGTGGTTGACTCAAGCCTTTTAAAATACACATGAGTTCGCATTACGCTCTTAAATAAAACTACTTCATTGGCACTTATATATAATGTCGCGGGTCTTCAATTTCTCGTTTTTCGCGATTGTGATGTGAGCTACTCCCTGCGGAGAGGAACCATGCAGTTGCTTAATTGGAAAGGATCAGTAGAAATATAGAACGTTAAATCATTGTACAACGTTGAAAGAGCGAGTATTTTCTGTTTATTGATCCGATCAGCAAATGATTTACACATGTGAAATAATAGTGGATTTTTGTTTTAAGCAATCTTTGAGTTTAAAAAATTTAGCACTTGTTCCTTAGCTCAAGGTGTCGTCAGCGATACTTTTGAGTTTTCAAAGCTGGTGATGTCTTTAAAAAAGGACTGGAAAGTAATTAGCCTCAACTAGAGACTCACGACGGTGTTATGTAGTCTGAATGGACTAGCGCACAGCGAGCTCAATAACCTTACTCGTTTGTAAGCTCTTCCTCACTAAATGCAGGAAAAAAATTTCGCTCTCCATTGCCCAGATTAAAGTGAATCGCATCTTGAAAGTGACCCGTTCGTCACGTTCTGGTGTCTCTGACATAAGTTAGTGGAATTTAAAATGCTTTTTCTCGGCTAAGATCTGAGACCATTTAGTGCAAGAACTAATCTACTTGGTCACATAATAATCCTTTAAATTGTAATATCAAAATTCAAATTCTCATTTGTTGTTCCCTTACGTTTCCTCATGATAATAGTAGTGGGGAGAAGTTGTTAAAGAATCTGTGTGATCATGTCCTCAATTTTCATGACCGCTCCGTTTTCTAAAGCAGAGATGTTACAGGGAGAAATTTGATGCTGATCACACTTAGGGCTTAAAAGGGTTAAGCACAGTTAGGCCATCACATGACAAAATCCTCATAGTAAAAAGTGCAAGGGGTGACAGGACTCACATCTTCAAGGACGTGAAACCCTTGAAAATCTTTTACATATTGCTTCAATGAGGACAATAACAAGAACAATCTTTATTTGGCCTCACTCTTGCTTAACACTTAATTACGACAATGAAAATATTAAAAGTAAAATTAGAGTACTGGCTACCTGGAATACTACAGGGGCTAGCGGAACCAGAGAGGAGAACTCTTTCACTGATTTTACGCTTTAAACTTGTGCAGCAGGTGGGCTAAAATGCTGGTTAAGTTGATATAGCTTTTATATAGCGGACCAAAGAAAGGCTTGGTGCATTTTATACTCAGCAGAGGAAAATGTGTAAGTTCAGCACCTTATGCAACAGACAATTAATTTATTCAGTTCTTGTGCATTTCTGTTGAATTTTTTGTCCGTTTTATAAGATATTTCTGCTTAAAATCGCTTTAAGTTAGTAATGATCATTTTCCATAGCTGCTGTTATCTTAAGTATCCGCTTTTAATATCTCCGCTCAGTTGAGGTTTACGCGACCTCAGAGCACAATGTTTAGCTGTGCACAACGTGCGTCATTAACAACTGAAGCATCGAACCGATTGTATAAATCGATGATACTACGAAATTTGGAATACTGTTGTGCTGTTTTTCATGGCTGTGGTAAAGGAAATGAAAAAGAATTGGAACGCCTGCGGAGACGTGCTGCTAGGATAGTGTTAAAGACGGCGCATTTGTCCACTTAAGATATGGCTTCCGGTCTTGGTTGGGACCCTCTTAAGACGAGAAAAGAGAAACATATCGTCAAACTTGCCAAGAATTGTCTTGATGGACAAGTTCCAAGTTATTTCTCAGATTATTTTCGACGGTGAACTTATGATATTCATGACTATGACACTAGGTCTAAGGATAGGTTATCTATTGATTAAGTCAATCTCCAATTTTTATAAGGGGGCTACCCTTTTAATAGTCTCACTCGCAGCCGTTTTTAGTATCGTCACGAGGAGCGTTGCGTGACGATACTAAAAACGGCTGCGAGGGAGACTAACCTTTTAAATGATTGTATGTAGTTTTGTTCATAAGGAGGCTGCCTTTTTTTATTGATTATATTCATGTAATGTATCTCAGTTTCGTATATAATTAAATTTTTATCTATTTATTCATCTATTTTTATACAGGACCCATACTGATAGCAGTTTTTAGACCTGAAATGGTCATCCTGTTTAAACATGTTATTATTGCCCCCGCAGGGATTTCGCCCAGAGGCGAAATCCCGAGGAGGCACCCTAGTAACTCGCGCGTATATTAAGGACAGTACTTACAGTTCAAATATACAGTCAGTATACTAAAAAAAATCTCGATTTGCTCGAACTGGGGCCGCGAGGAGTCGGTAGGTAATGATGACGTTTCTATTGTTTGCGCCCGCAATTACGAAATGGTTAGGATGACGTAAAGACAGAAAATCCCGAAGGGACCACTCAGGTAGATTTTGTGACATTTATTGTGCAGTCATACTTCGATACTCTTTTGCGTTACGCAGTGACATTCTGTGGAGCAGTTGCTTTGAAAGTTATGGACCAAAAGACACTCGTTAAGCGCAGGGGAGGTTATAAGGTGCGTTTAACTGTGTATATATAACCTTGGAGAGTTTGCCAGACACAAATTCACAAATCTTTGATTTGTATCGGAAACCTTGCCAGACACTCTTTCTCTCTCTTTGACCGCAATAAGACTCAGCCCCAAACAAGCAAGACGAGTGAACAACGGCTAGCTTATCACTAGCAGATTGATGGACATTTACAGAAATTCGTCGACAATTAAATCCTATGCTGACTTATTCCCTGCTCACAGATGTCCCTCCGTTATAAAGTTCCAAATAAGACTAGAATGCGCTAGCGTGAATCGATCAAACGTCCTTTTAATTTTTAAGGCCTACTTTCCGGCAAATAAAATGAACTGAATGTAAAAAGGGAAAGAGAAATAGCAAAAAATTCAACTTCTAATTAAATCTTTTCTTATGGTTTAGAATAAACTATTCTCGAAACTGAGAATGTTTTGATCAAAGCTGTGTAAATCGAGCTGAAACTGTGCATGAAACCTTGCGTTTCCTGTATTTATCTCACCTATTGTATGGAATATGTGTGAAGATCTTCATTATGAATCGGTATATTTCAAAGAGCTACACAACCAGCAAGAATACTATTGACCGATAATATACAGAACGGGGGCAGTTGTAGTGTCAACTATTACTAGTTATTAATATTATTATTATAACTGAGATGCGAGTAGTTTCAAGCTGGGAGAGATGTGCTTGTTTAATCTAGAACTGCTGGTTTAACAATAGAAGGTTAAATCATTCTAAAAAGTTGAAACAGGTGTTAAATTTTTCAAACTGAAAGCTTGCGTCAGATGGTTTTAAAGTTTAAAAAATAATGGAACTGAAAAAATCCGTCATTACTCTATTATGTTTCAAAAATTTGGCTATTCGGTTAAATGAAGACAAAAAACTCAGAAGGCACTGAAAAAAGAAAAAAAAACTTTCAGTTGAAACTACGCAGAGCCTTGGATCGTTTCTCATGTCGTATTCTCGTCCATGCGAAATATTTTCGTTATTGTGTTTTTTACAATTTCGCCAATCTCTCGATACCGCCAGCAATAAACAAGAGGATTTAATGATGAATTCAGGCAAATCAAGAACAGCGAGGTAAATTGACCTATGAGGACTGAAATTTCAGAAGTGTTTGTCACATACAATATTGTGCTAGGCAAAAAAGGAAGATAACAAACTAGAAAAACAGCATAGACAAATAAAGCATTATAAGCCGACTTCCTTTGTCGAAGTGCCTCCCTTGTTTGCGCAGTTTGAAGACGATTCAGAGTATATATCTGGTTCTGATGATATTTTACGACTTTGTAAATACGAACATATGCCACGGTTGTCAGAATACTGCCTACGAGGGCAATTCCCACGGCTACCATTTCAATGCCTTTTGGAAGAGAAATGTATATAAAGGCGAGGATGCAACTTATTATCCATACAGACACTAACACTACTATAACACGTTTGGAAGTGACAAGCTCCTGGTATCGCAGATGGAGCGAAACAGCGAGAAGTCTATCAAATGCAATGACAGTAACATTCAGAAAAGATGCATTGGCGAGAAGATACGTGAAATAAGAATGCACGTTTAAAACTGCTGGGCAGAAGGTGGCTAAATTGTCTCCACTCGATGCCATCTTAATTATCAAGGCACTGATAATAGCCTTCATTAGCTGTGAACACAGTCCAACTGCAAGATCAGAGAAAGCCAGACTTAGGAACAGCTTCTTGACGGTGGCAGGTATCGTAGAAGCCTTCGTTAACGCACGGATAACTAAAAGATTTTCAAGAGTAGCCACGAGAGAGAATACAAAGTTTAAAACACAGAAAGCAAAGAAGAAACTTCTCCTTTGGCTAACAAGTTGTACCAAAAAATCCAGCATTCGAGCGCAGTACTGTTCATCCATGTTTTAAATTGTAATATTATATAGATTTCCTTTCGATAAACTATATACGTTGATATACCCCTCGGTTGATTAGCTACCTTTCATAACAGCCATCTGCTGTGACACGTTATATAGCCGTTTCGTTTTGCAGAACCTTAGACTTAATGTTTATAAGTAGAGTGGAAACAGAAATTCTTATTGTTGGTGTAAATTTTAATAGGGTTTAAACACCAATTCGATTGTAGACAAAGCCACCCAGGAAAGATCGGAAAGGTTTTGCGAGCTAAGTTTTGAAAGCAAAGCAATTGGTTGTGTTTACACAAGGCTGTTAAGTAAGACTTAAGAGCTGCCAAGTTTTACTTAACGAAAATGCGTGTGTGAAGGCCTAAGTAAAATTTCAAGTAACTTTACTTTGCATCTCATTAAAGTCGGAAAGTTGAAACGATTCAAGAAATTTTCAAGTGACTTCAAAACCATCCTTAAAACTGACTTAGCCAAATTGCGGTATCTTTGCTTTGAGAAAGGCGAAGCATGTCAATCAATCTTAATTATGTTGCGTAGGAAAATAGGTTTAAGTAAAACCGAAGTAAAAAAGAAAGGTTGTGTGTGAAGCTTTCTTTTACTTGAAGAATTTAAAATTTACTTGTCTCGAAATATTTCTTAGCTTATTTAGGCTCTAGTGTAAAGACCACTCTAAATAGAGAGGAGAAGTGTGACGTCGTGTTACCATAGTAACAAAATTTTTGGATCACAACAATAGGGAGCTTAAGCAACGACGACGGCGACGGCAACAAGAACGGCGAAAAAGCAATAAGTTTAGATAGCAAAACAACAACTTTGCACGTGCATCACGCTTTTTTGTGCATTTCTTAGTCGTCGTAGCACGAGTACGACGTGAAACTTCCTAATTTCACGCGTCCGCTTTATAAACTAGGTGAAAACAACACAATTTTTTTTTCTTTTTCTAAACTTAAATACGGTCTTTTCGGATTTAACCGCAGACATTTTAGCCGACATTTGACAAATTAATTGAAACTGAACAAGATCGATGAAGTCTGAAACAGTTTTAAGTGACGTTTTTCGGTTTGTTGTCATCCATAAAAGAGGAAAATCCTCACACTGGGACGGGCTTGTCTCTTTTAGAGGTTAGTTTACGATAAAAACGGTAGCTGAGTTTCAGGCATGGTTTCACTTGTAAAGACTATAAACATGAATTTTTCCTTTCGATGAAATATCTGCATTAATTACCTTCTCGGTTAATTAGTTATCTTTCGTAACAGTCATCTGCTGTCACACGTTATATAGATGGTTCTGATTAACTAAAGACTAAGACTTAATGTTTATAGGCAGAGTGCAAACAAAACTTCAGTGTTATTGTTGGAATGAATTTTTAGGGTTGAAACATCGAATGATTGTAGACAAGATCAATCGGGGGAAGGGGAAAACAAGGGGAAGGTTTTGTGACGTAAGTATTGCAAGCAAAACAATTAAACACCGTAATACATTGTATATAGGCCTTTTCCATTAATTTCCAATTACGTCTCTGTCCATAATAGAGATGTGAGGAACCGCTTGTTTAATTGAAAACGATCGGTATAAAGAGAGAACATTAAATAATGTAAAAAGTTGAAAGGGGGCGCTTTTTGTCGTAATTGATCCAACCAGCAAATGATTTACACATTACAAAATAATGATGGATTTTGTTCAATTCTACTCTTATTTAAACTTTTAAGCAATCGGACGCAAGCTTTTAGTTTGAAAAATTTAGCAACTGTTCCTTAGTTGAAGGTGAACTCTTAACCATTCCGTATTGTTAGCCGTCATTATATGCACCCTTGATCGTTTGGAGGATCGAAAATGGTGCGGGTTGATTGGCTTTTATCCAGCAAATCAGGGTGCTGTAGTTTCGATCCGTCTTTTCTGAAAGCTTTAGACACTAGGTTGTGTTTTTATAAAGGTTAGAATTTGGAAAAAATAAGAGTCTTGCGTTGCTTTTTTGTAAAGTATACAAACATATCGTTTAAATGTATATCATGTATGATTGTTCCTCAAAGTGGCAGGGGATTATGAGTGAGTAACTGTAACGGATGACAGGCTTCACATATATGTCGGCTTGGAAACGTTGAGAACGTTGAGAAGTTTATTAGCCAGTTCGCGTTTCACAATTTATCAACACCAGTTCCAGTTTCTAACAGAATATTCTGTTTCGTTTTACATTTCTCATTTTCTTTGCACCAAAATAAGTCCATTGGTGTCCTTACCATATTTCGTTTTGCAGACCTCGCAAAAGACACTGGAAAGACTTTCAGTTCAAACTATCCGAAGCTTTAAATCGTTTCTCATGTCACGTTCTCGTTCATGTGAAATAATTTCTTCACTGTGCTTTTTACACTTTGGCGAATTTCTCGGTACCGCCAGCAATAAACAAGAGGATTTAATGATGAATTCAGGCAGATCAAGAATAACGATGCGTAATTAGCGACAATAAACGAAATTTCAGAAGTATTTGTCATGTACAGTATTGTTGAAGGCAAAAGAGGAAGATAACAAGCTAGAAAAACAAGATAGACAAATATAGCATTATAGGCGGACTTCCTTTGTCGGAGTGCCTCCCTTGTTTGGGCATTTTGAAGCTGATTTTGCCTGTATATCTGATTTTGATGATATTTGACGACTTTGTAAATACGAACATATGCTACGGTGGTCAAAACATACCCTATCATTAAAATAACTGCAGCTACTATTTCATTGCTCGTCGGAAGGAAAACGAATATGAAGGCGGTGATACAACTTATTAACCACAAAGACACCAATGCTATATTAACACGTTTGGGTGTGATAAGCTCCTGATATCGCAGATGGAGCGAAACAGCGAGAAGTCTATCAAATGCGATAAAAATAACATTCAGAAGAGATGCACTGCCGAGAAGATACAAAAAGTAACTTTTCACACCCAAAACTGTTGGACAGAAGAAGGCGGTGTTGTTTCCACTTGATGCCAATATCGAGGCGCTGATAATAGCGGTCATAAGCTGCGAACACAGTCCAACTGCAAGATCAGAGAAAGCCAGACTTAGGAACAGCTTTTTGACAGTAGCCGGTATCTTTGAGGCTTTCATTAAGGCGCGAATAACTAACAGATTTTCAAGAGTCGCCACGACAGAAAATACAAAGTCTAAAACACACAAAGCAAGGAGGGAAGATCTTCTGTGATGAACAACTTGAACCAAGGAATGAAGCGCACGAGTGCAGAACTGTTCAGCCATGGTTTAACCTGTCAAATTGTATAGACGAATTTTTCCTTTTTGCTGAAATGTCTACATTAATTACCCCCTCGGTTAATTAGCTACCTTTCATAAAAGCTATCTGCTGTGTCACGTTATATAGCCGGTTCATTAACTTAAGCTTTAGACTCAATGTTTATAGTTAGAGTGCGTACCGAAATTCCTATTGTTGGTATAAAATTTTAAGGCTTAAAACACCGAATCGAATTGTAAACAAGGCCAACTCAGAAAACAAGGGAAAGGTTTTACGACATTAGTATTGAAAACAAAAATTAAACACCGTAATATATAGTCCTTTGCCATTAAGTTCCAATTACCTCTCTGTCCATATTTGAGACGTGAGCTACTCCCTGCTAAGAGGAAACAGCTGCTTAATTGGAAACGATCAGTATAAAAATAAAACGTTAAATTATTGTAAAACGTTGAAAGAGCGAGTATTTTCTGTTTATTGATTCGACCAGCAAATGATTTACACATATGAAATAATGGTGGATTTTTGTTTTTAACCAATTTTTCACTTTGAAAAAAAAAGCACTTGTTCCTTATTTCAAGGTGTCGTGAGCTAGGCTTTTGAGTCTTCAAAGCTGGTGATGTTTTTAAAAAAGGACTGGAAACTAATTAGCCTCAACTGGGGACTCACAACGGTGTTATGTAGTCTGAATGGACTAGCGCACAACGAGCTCAATAACCTTACTCGTTTGTAAACTCTTCTCCACTAAATGCACAAAAATCAGGATTCCAGTTTATAAATATGGAACTGAAAGTGACACGTTCGTCAAGTTCTTGTGTCTCTGACATAAGTTAGTGGAATTTAAAATGCTTTTTCTTGGCGAAGATCTGAGACCATTTAGTGCAAGAACTAATCTACTTGGTCACATAATCGTCCCTTAAATTGTAATATTAAAATTCAAATTCTCATTTGTTGTTCCCATACGTTTCCTCAGGATAATAGTAGTTGAGAGAAGCTGTCAAAGAATCTGTGTGATTATGTCCCTAATTCTCATAACAACCTTGTTTTCTACAGCAGGAATATTACTAGGAGAAATTTGATGCTGATCATTCTTAGTGCCTAAAGGGTTAAGCACAGTTAGGCCATCACATGACAAAATCCTCATAGTAAAAATTGTAAGGGGTGACAGGCCGCACATCTTCACCGACGTGAGACCTTTGAAAACCTTTTACATATTGCTGGAATGAGGACAACAACACGCTAAATAAACTACTGCCGGGAGCCAAATAAACTATTGTAGGCGGACTTCCTTTGTCGGTGTGCCTCTCTTGTTTGGGCATTATGAAGGGAGGGAAAATACAAAGTTTAAACCTAGATACCAAGGAAGAAACTTCTCCTGTAGGAAACTAGTTTAATCCAATAATCCAGAAATCGATTGCAGTTCTTTTCAGCCATAGTTTGACTTATCACATTACATACATGTATCTGTCTTGGATAAAACTGATATCTACATTAATTACCCCCTCGGTTTATTTGCTACTTTTCACATCGGCCATCTGCTGTAGCGCGTAATAAAGCCGGTTCATTAACTAAATCCTTAGACTTAATGTTGTACGTAGGGTGTAAACAGAAACTTAATGTCATTGTTCAAGAGTGAAACAAGGAATTAAACAGTATAAAACAAGGCCAACCCAGAAAACAGTGGAAGGGGAAGGTTTTGGAATACTAGTATTGAAAACAAAACAATTATTACACACCGCAATGTATAGTCCTTCCATCAAGTTCCAATTACCTCTTTGTCCATAATTGACATGTGTGCTGTTGCCTGCTGAGAAGAACTGTTTGTTTTTAAACTTGTAAATGCTCGGTATAGAAAATAGAACTTTAATTCATTCTAAAACGTTGAAAGGGCGAGTTTTTCCTCTAAATTTAACCGTCCAGCGAAATTTTTGAAACATAGTAAAATACAGATGGATTTTGTTTAGTTCTATGCTTTTAAACTTTTGACACAAGGTTTCAGTTTTAAAAAGTTTCGCGCCCATTTCGTAGTTGACGGTGATGCCCGCTCAGCGAGTCTTTTTAGTTTTCCAAGCAGGTGAGGTTTTTATAAATGGACTGGAGCCTAACATTTTCATTTGGATTGTTTTCGTCTTCCTTTGTGTTTTGTTGACATTTCTCTCAAATGTAGACTCGCGACGGTTTTTCTGATAGGAATAGCGCACAGCGAACCCAAATGACCTTGCTTATTTGTAAACTCTTTTCGAATGCCAACGAGCATATGTGTTCGTCTCTAAAGAGTGTTAAGATTGCAACTTTCGCTGTAGATCACAGCTTGAACAATGGCCATTTTGTCACATCGTTACTTATTCTTTGGCAGTAATCGGTACAGTCATTGTTTTAAGGATATTTCTTGAAAACGATAAGGTTCTTGCACCGTAGCTAACATTGTACATTAAAAGGGAAAATGCTTTTACGTTTCTCTCTGTAAGAAGTGTTTTGACGATGAAAAATAGAGCTAAGTTTCATTACTTAAATGCTGCAAAGGCGTCTTCTTGTCTCGCAATTCATAGAGACCAGATCCAATTTCGCAGAGACCAATCTTAGGAAGATATTTATTATAACAAATCGCCTTTCAGCCCAATGTTTAAAATGCTGAATTGAAATTCACATTATTTGTTTTCTTGGTCTTTTTGCGCTGCAAGTCTATTGGTTTTCTTGCTAAATTCCATTTCGTAGAAATTGTAGAAGGAATTAAGATCAAAGGTGTCTTTTTGTTTCTCTTTCCAGCGAGACCATTTCCGATGTCGAATAGACCAATCTCCCTTTTACACGTTTCTTTGAACTCAGCAAGTCCATTACATTTTCCCAGTTAATTTCGTTTCATAAAACTTCGCATTACATTTTTAGTTAAAACTATCCTGAGCTTAAGGTCTTTTCTTATGTCATATTCTCGTTCATGCAAATTTTTTTCAATTTGGCGAATGTCACGGTACCGCCGGCCATAAACAGTAGGGTTTAATGATGAATTCAGGCGAATTAAGAAAAAGGACGCAATTTGAGCTATGAGAAATTAAATTTCAGAGGGGTTTGTCTTGTATAGTTAGTATTGTACAAAGAAAAAATGGAAAATAAACTATTGTAGGCGGACTTCCTTTGTCGGTGTACCTCCCTTGTTTGGGCATTTTAAAGCTGATTTTGACTGTAAATCTAATTCTGATGATATTTGACAACTTTGTAAATTCGAACATATGTCATGGTCGTTATAAGGTATCCTGTAAGACAAATAACTGCAGCTACCATTTGAATTTCGTTTGGAAAGAAAATAGATAGGATTTTAGGAACGCAACTTATTATCCATACAGACACCACTGTTGTAACACGTTTGGGTGTGACAAGCTCATGATATCACAAATGGAGCGAAAGAGCAAGAAGCCTTTCGCCTGCAATGACAGTAACATTCAGGAAAGATGCAGCGATGAGAAGATAACCAAAACAAGAATACACGCGTAAAACTGTTGGGCAAAGGGAGGCCAAGTTGTCTCCCCTTGACGCCATCTTCCACACCACCGCATAGATAATTGCCTTCATTAGCTGCAGTGACAATCCCAGCACTGCAAGATCAGAGAAAGCCAGACTTAGGAACAGTTTCTTAACGTTGGCTGGTATCGTTGAGGCTTTTATTAAAGCGCGGATAACTAAACGATTTCCAAGAGTCGCCACGAGGGAAAATGTAAAGTGTGAAACACAGAAAGCAAGGATGGAAGACTTGCTGTGATGAACAAGTTTTAACCGGGAATCTAGCCTTTGAGTACAGTACTGTTCAGTCATGGTTTAACTTGTCAAACTATAAATATTAATTTTTCCATTCGATGAAATATCTACATTAATTACCTTCTTGGTTAATTAGCTACCTTTCGTAACAGCTGTGACCCGTTATATAGATGGTTCTGATTATTAAACTAAAGACTAAGACTCAGTGTTTCTAGGTAGAGTGCAAACAAAAATTCAGTCGTATTGTTGGAATGAATTTTAAGGGATGAAACATCGAACAGATGACAAGATCAATCGGGGGAAGGGGAAAACAAGGGGAAGGTTTTGTGACGTAAGTATTGCAGACAAAACATTTAAACACCGTAATACATTGTATATTGTTTTTCCATTAATTTCAAATTACGTTTCTGTCCATAATTGAGATATGAGCTGCTACCTGTTGAGAAGGACCGCTAGTTTTATTGAAAACGATCGGTGGATTTCTACATCAATGGATCTGTAGGTTGGAACGCTAATTCATACAGACTGCATCGTCGCCAGTCCCCAATTGGGGCTAATCTGAAAAGAAAGTTGACGGAAGACAGGAAAAAACAAAGAAGAAACTTCTTTTTTGGCTAACAAGTTGTACCAAAACGTCCAGCATTCGAGCGTAGTACTGTTCATCCATGTTCTAAATTGTAATATTAAAGAGATAAATTTTTCCTTCCGATAAACTATATACACTAATATCCCCCTCTGTTAATTACCTACCTTTCATAACAGCCACCTGCTGTGACACGTTATATAGCCGGTTTGTTTTGCCGAACCTTAGACTCAATGTGTATAAGTAGAGTGCAAACAGAAATTGTTATTGTTGGTATAAATTTTAATAGGTTCAAACACCAATTCGATTGTAGACAAAGTCACCCAGGAAAGATCGGAAAGGTTTTGCGAGCTAAGTTTTGAAAGCAAAGCAATAGAGAGGAGAAGTGTGACGTCACCGTGTTACCATGGTAGCAAAATTTTTGGATCACAACAATAGCGAACTTAAGCGACGACGACGACGGAGATGGCAACAAGAACGGCGAAAACGCAATAAGGTTAGATAGCAAAACAACAACTTTGCACGTGCACCACGCTTTTTTGTACATTTCTTAGCCGTCGTAGCATGACTACGACGTGAAACTTCCTAATTTCACGCGTCTGCTTTATAAACTAGGTGAAAATAACGCGATTTTTTTTCTTTTTCTAAACTTAAATACGGCCTTACGGCCGAATGTGACTGTAGTTTATTAGAGGATAGTATTTAGAAGCTCGATATTTAAAATACCATAACATTTACTTTGTTTACCAATCAATTGACTGGCTTCTTTGTGCTACTACTTAATATGTGCAGTTAAATATAAGTTTACTAGCAAGACCGCGGTTTGGAATCCTACGATTCTCATCAGTTGCTAAGTGTTTGGATGGTTGAGGTGAACTCTGAACCATTCCGTATTGTTAGCCGTGATTTGGTAGGCGTTTATATATGCCCCTGGATCGTTTGGAGGATCGAAAATGGTGCGGTTTGATCGGCTCCTTGCCAGCCAATCAGGTTGCTGTAGTTTCGATCCATCTTTTCTGAAAGCTTTAGACATTAGGTTGCGTTTTTATTAAGGTTAAAATTTGGAAAAAATAAGAGTCTTGCCTTGCTTTTTTGTAAAGTATACAAACATATCGTTTAAATGTATATCACGTATGATTGTTCCTCAAAGTGGCAGTGGATTATGAGTGAGTAGCTGTAACGGATGACAGACGTCACATATATGTCGGTGTGGAACCGTTGAGAACGTTGAGAACTTTATTAGCCAGTTCTCGTTTCACAATTTATCAACGCCAGTTCCAATGTCTAACAGAATATTCTGTTTCGTTTTACATTTCTCATTTTCTTTGCACCAAAATAAGTCCATTGGTTTCCTTACCATATTTCGTTTTGAAGACCTCGCAAAAGACACAGGAAAGACTTTCAGTTCAAACTATCAGAAGCTTTAAATCGTTTCTCATGTCACGTTCTCGTTCATGTGAAATAATTTCTTCACTGTGCTTTTTACACTTTGGCGAATTTCTCGGTACTGCCAGTAATAAACAAGAGGATTTAATGATGAATTGAGGAACATCAAGAATAACGATGAGTAATAAGCTATGAAAAACGAAATTGCAGAAGTATATGTCATGTACAGTGTTGTTGAAGGCAAAAAAGGAAGATAACAAGCTAGAAAAACAAGATAGACAAATATAGCATTATAGGCAGACTTCTTTTGTCGGAGTACCTCCCTTGTTTGGGCATTTTGAAGCTGATTTTGGCTGTATATCTGATTCTGATGATATTTGACGACTTTGTAAATACGAGTATATGCTACGGTGGTCAAAACATACCCTATCATTAAAATAACTGCGCCTACTATTTCATTGCTCGTCGGAAGGAAAACGAATATGAAGGCGGTGATACACCTTATTAACCACAAAGACACCAATGCTATATTAACACGTTTAGGTGTGATAAGCTCCTGATATCGCAGATGGAGCGAAAGAGCGAGAAGTCTATCAAATGCGATGACAATAACATTCAGAAAAGATGCAGAGGCGAGAAGATGTATAAAGTAATTTTTCACACCCAAAACTGTTGGACAGAAGAAGGCTGTGTTGTTTCCACTTGATGCCATCTTCAATATCGAGGCGCTGATAATAGCGGTCATAAGCTGCGAACACAGTCCGACTGCAAGATCAGAGAAAGCCAGACTTAGGAGCAGCTTTTTCACAGTAGCTGGTATCGTTGAGGCTTTCATTAAGGCGCGAATAACTAACAGATTTTGAAGAGTCGCCTCGACGGAAAATACAAAGTTTAAAACACAAAAAGAAAGGAAGGAAGATCTGTGATGAACAAGATGAACCAAGGAATGAAGCAACCGAGTGCAGAACTGTTCAGCCATGGTTTAACCCGTCAAATTATATAGATGAATTTTACGGTTTGGTAAAATATCTACATTGATTACCCCCTCGGTTCATTAGCTACCTTCCATAACAGCCATCTGCCGTGACACGTTATATAGCCGGTTCATTAACTAAAGCTTTAGACTCAATGTTTGTAGTTAGAGAGCATACCGAAATTCCTATTGTTGGTACAAAATTTTGAGGTTTAAAACACCGAATCGAATTGTAAACAAGGCCAACTCAGAAAACAAGGGAAAGGTTTTACGACATTATTATTGAAAACAAAAAATTAAACACCGTAATATATAGTCCTTTGCCATTAAGTTCCAATTACCTCTCTGTCCATATTTGAGATGTGAGCTACTCCGCTAAGAGGAAACAGTTGCTTAATTGGAAACGATCAGTATAAACATAGAACGTGAAATCATTGTAAAACGTTGAAAGAGCGAGTATTTTCTGTTTATTGATCCGATCAGAAAATGATTTACACATATGAAATAATGGTGGATTTTTGTTTTTAACCAATTTTTCACTTTGAAAAAATTAGCACTTGTTCCTTAGTTCAAGGTGTCGTGAGCTAGGCTTTTGAGTCTTCAAAGCTGGTGATGTTTTTAAAAAAGGACTGGAAACTAATTAGCCTCAAATGGGGACTCACAACGGTGTTATGTAGTCTGAATGGACTAGCGCAGAGCGAGCCCAATAACCTTACTCGTTTGTAAGCTCTTCCCCACTAAATGCACAAAAATCAGGATTCCAGTGTATAAATATGGAACTGAAAGGGACACGTTCGTCACTTTCTTGTGTCTCTGACATAAGTTATTAGAATTTAAAATGGTTTTTCTTGGCGAAGATCTGAGACCATTTAGTGCAAGAACTTATCTAGTTGGTCACATAATAGTCCCTTAAATTGTAATATTAAAATTCAAATTCTCAATTGTTGTTCCCATACGTTTCCTCATGATAATAGTAGTCGAGAGAAGCTGTCAAAGAATCTGTGTGATTATGTCCCTAATTCTCATAACAACCTTGTTTTCTACGGCAGGGATATTACTAGGAGAAATTTGATGCTGATCACTCTTAGGGCCTAAAGGGTTAAGCACAGTTAGGCCATCACATGACAAAATCCTCATAGTAAAAACTGTAAAGGGTGACGGGCCACACATCTTCACTGACGTGAAACCTTTGAAAAGCTTTTACATATTGCTCGAATGAGGACAACAACACGCTGAAAAACTACTGCCGGGAGACAAATAAACTATTGTAGGCGGACTTCCTTTGTCGGTGTGCCTCTCTTGTTTGGGCATTATGAAGGGAGGGAAAATACAAAGTTTAAAACCTAGATACCAAGGAAGAAACTTCTCCTGTAGGAAACTAGTTTAATCCAATAATCCAGAAATCGATTGCAGTTCTTTTCAGTCATAGTTTGACTTGTCACATTGCATACATGTATTTGTCTTGGATAAAACTGATATCTACATTAATTACCCCCTCGGTTTATTAGCTACTTTTCACATGGGCCATCTGCTGTAGCGCCTAATAAAGCCGGTTCATTAACTAAATCCTTAGACTTGATGTTATAGGTAGAGTGTAAACAAAAATTTAATGTCATTGTTCAAGGGTTGAAACAACGAATTAAATTGTATAAAACAAGGCCAACCCAGAAAGCAATGGAAGGGGAAGGTTTTGCAACACTAGTATTAAAAACAAAACAATTATTACACACCGCAATATTTAGTCCTTCCATCAAGTTCCAATTTCCTCTTTGTCCATAATTGACATGTGTGCTGTTACCTGCTGAGAAGAACCGTTTGTTTTTAAAATTGCAAATGCTCGGTATAGAAAATAGAATTTTAATTCATTCTAAAACGTTGAAGGGGAGCGAAATTTTTGCAACATAGTAAAATACAGATGGATTTTGTTTAGTTCTATTCTTTTATTTAAACTTTTGACACAAGGTTTCAGTTTTGAAAAGTTTAGCGCCCATTTCGTAGTTGACGGTGATGCCCGCTCAGCGAGGCTTTTTAGTTTTCCAACCAGGTGAGGTTTTTATAAATGGACTGGAGCCTAACATTTTTATTTGGATTGTTTCGTCTTCCTTTGTCTTTTTTTGACATATCTCTCAAATGATAGGAATAGCGCACAGCGAATCCAAATGACCTTGCTTATTTGTAAACTCTTTTCGAATGCCAACGAGCGTATGTGTTCGTCTCTGAAGAGTGTTAAGATTGCAACTTCCGCTGTAGGCGTACGTCGTAGGACGCGTCTTATTTCGTACCCAGATTTCCCACGGCCAAGCGAAAGAGAGACTTCACTTTTTTTAATGGAGACATGCATACAGTTGTAAACAACTACTTTGACTGGCGATTGTTGGGATTGAAATCGATTACACCTTGAGAATTGACCATTTTGTCACATTGTTACTTATTCTTTGGCAGTTATCGGTACAGTCACGGTTGTAAGGATATTTCTTGAAAACGATAAGGTTCTTTCGCCATAGCGTTAAAGGGGAAAAATGCTTTTAAGTTTCTCTCTGTAAAAAGTTATTTGTCGATGAAAAACACAGCCGAGTTTCATTACATAAATGCTCTAAAGGCGTCTTCTTGTCTCGCAATTCACAGAGACCAGATCCAATTTCGAAGAGACCAAGTTTAGGTAGGTAGTTAATACAACAAATCGCCTTGCAAACCAATGTTTAAAATGCTACATTGAAATTCACTTTATATGTTTTCATGGTCCTTTTGCGCTGCAAGTCTATTGGCTTTCTTGCTTAATTCCATTTCGTAGAAGTTGTGGAAGGAATTAAGATCAGAGGTGTCTTTTTGTTTCTCTTTCCAGCGAGACCAATTCCGATATCGAATAGGCCAGTCTTTCCCTTTCACACGTTTCCTTAGTCTTTGTAGCATAGCAAGTCCGTTGCATTTTCTTACTTCTTTTCTTAAAAAACTTTGCATTATATTTTTAGTTAAAACTATCCCGAGGTTAAGGTCTTTTCTTATGTCATATTCTCGTTCATGCAAATTATTTTCTTCACTGTGTTTTTTACAATTTCGCGAATCTCTCGGTGCCGCCAGCAATAAACAATTGGACTTAATGATGAATTCAGGCAAATTAAGAACACGGAGGCATATCTGGCTACGAGAAACGAAATTTCAGAAGTATTTGTCTCCAACAGTTTTGTATAAGGAAAAGAAGGAAAATAACAAGTAGAAAAAACTACTGAGACAAATAAACTATTGTAGGCGGACTTCCTTTGTCCGTGTGCCTCTCTTGTTTGGACATTTTGAAGCTAATTTTGACTGTAAATTTGATTCTGATGATATTTGACAACGTTGTAAATTCGAACACATGACATGGTCGCTACAACATATCCTATAAGGCAAATAACCACAGCTACCATCTCAATTTCGTTTGGAAAGAAAATAAATAGGAAGGCGAGGACGAAACTTATTATCCACACAGATACTAACAGTATTGTAACATCAACGTTCGTCACGTTCTTATGTCTCCGAAATCAGATAGTGGAATTTGAAATGCTTTTTCTTGGCGAAGGTCAAAGACTATTTTGTGCAAGAACTAATCTACTTGGTCACATATTAACCCTTTAATTCTCATTTGTTGTCCCTACAGGTTTGCTATAATAGTAGTTTGGAGAAGTTGTTAAAGAATCTGTGTCATCATGTCCCTAATTCTCATAACAACCCTGTATATTACTAGCAGAAATTTGATGCTGATCATTCTTAGGCCTTAAAGGATTAAGCACAGTTAGGCCATCACATGACAAAATCCTTATAGTAAAAACTGTAAGGGGTGACAGACCGCACATCTTCACCGGCGTGAAACCTATGAAAACCTTTTACATATTGCTTCAATGAGGACAATAACAACAACAGTCTTTATTTGGTCTCACTCTTGCTTAACACTTAATTACGACAATGAAAATATTAAAAGTAAAATTAGAGTACTGGCTGCCTGGAATAACTATAGGGGCTAGCGGAGCCAGAGAGGAGAAATCTTTCAGGGATTTTACACTTTAAAAGCTCTACGATAGGTGGGCTGTTATGCCTGTTAAGTTGATACAGCTTTTATAAAGCCGACCAAAGAAAGGCTCAGTGCATTCTATATATACGCAGCAGAGAAAAAATGCAACAGACAATTTATTCAGTTTGTGTGCTTTCTGTTGAATTTTTTTGTCCGTTTTATAAGATATGTCTGCCTAAAATCGCGTGAAAGTAATTACGATCATTTTCCATAGCTTCTGTCATCTTAAGTATCCGCTTTTAATATCTCCGAACAGTTGAGGTTTACGCGACTTCACAGCACGATGTTTAGCTGGGCACAGCATACATTCTTTAAATATGTCCAAATCAGACTCTGGGTATTTATCGCACCTTTGCTGGAAGCATTATTTAAATACGTTATAATGCTGTGTCCTTTGAATGTCGTTTTTTTACTCAATCGCTTTGTGAATTTGACTGTAGTTTATTGGAGGACAGTATTTAAAAGCTCGATATTTAAAATACCATAGCATTTACTTTGTTTACCGATCAACTGACTGGCTTCTTTGTGCTACTACATAATATATGAGTTAAATATAAGTTTACTAGCAAAACCGCGGTTTGGAATCTTACGATTCGCATCAGTTGCTATGTAGTTGGATGGTTGAGGTGAACTGTGAACCATTCCGTATTGTTAGCTGTGATTTGGTAGGCGTTTATACATGCACCCTGGATCGTTTGGAGGATCGAAAATGGTGCGGTTTGATTGGCTCTTTGGCAGCCAATCAGGTTGCTGTAGATTCGATCCATCTTTTCTGAAACCTTTAGACAGTAGGTTGCGTTTTTATTAAGGCTAAAATTTGGAAAAAATAAGAGTCTTGCCTTGCTTTTATGTAAAGTATATGAACATATCGTTTAAATGTATATCATGTATGATTGTTCCTCGAAGTGGCAAGGGATTATGAGTGAGTAACTGCAACGGATGACAGACTTCACATATATGCCGGCGTGGAACCGTTGGGAATGTTGAGAAGTTTATTAGCCAGATCTCGTTTCACAATTTATCAACACCAGTTCCAGTTTCTAACAGAATATTCTGTTTCGTTTTACATTTCTTATTTTCTTTGCACCAAAATAAGTCCATTGGTTTCCTTACCATATTTCGTTTTGCAGACCTCGCAAAAGACACTGGAAAGACTTTCAGTTCAAACCATCCGAAGCTTTAAATCGTTTCTCATGTCACGTTCTCGTTCATGTGAAATAATTTCTTCACTGTGCTTTTTACACTTAGGCGAATTTCTCTGTACCGCCAGCAATAAACAAGAGGATTTAATGATGAATTGAGGAAGATCAAGAATAACGATGCGTAATAAGCTACGATAAACGATATTTCGGAAGTATTTGTCATATACAGTATTGCTGAAGGAAAAAGAGGAAGATAACAAGCTAGAAAAACAAGATAGACAAATATAGCATTACAGGCGGACTTCCTTTGTCGGAGTGCCTCCCTTGTTTGGGCATTTTGAAGCTGATTTTGGCTGTATATCTGATTCTGATGATATTTGACGACTTTGTAAATACGAACGTATGCTACGGTGGTCAAAACATACCCTATCATTAAAATAGCTGCGGTTACTACTTCATTGCGTGTTGGAAGGAAAACGAATATGAAGGCGATGATACAACTTATTAACCACAAAGACACCAATGCTATATTAACACGTTTGGGTGTGATAAGCTCCTGATATCGCAGATGGAGCGAAACAGCGAGAAGTCTATCAAATGCGATGACAATAACATCCAGAAAAGATGCAGTGGCGAGAAGATACCTAAAGTATCTGTTCACACTCAAAACTGTTGGACAGAAGAAGGCTGTGTTGTTTCCACTTGATGCCATCTTCAATATCGAGGCGGAGATAATAGCGGTCATAAGCTGCGAACACAATCCAACAGCAAGATCAGAGAAAGCCAGACTTAAGAACAGCTTTTTCACAGTAGCTGGTATCGTTGAGGCCTTCATTAAAGCGCGAATAACTAACAGATTTTCAAGAGTCGCCACGACAGAAAATACAAAGTTTAAAACACAAAAAGCAAAGAGGGAAGATCTTCTGTGATGAACAATTTGAACCAAGAAATCAAGCGGACGAGTGCAGACCTGTTCAGCCATGGTTTAACCTGTCAAATTGTATAGATGAATTTTTCCTTTTTGGTAAAATATCTACATTGATTACCCCCTCGGTTAATTACCTGCCTTTCATAAAAGCTATCTGCTGTACATGTGTCACGTTATATAGCCGGTTCATTAACTAAAGCTTTAGACTCAATGTTTATAGTTAGAGTGCGTACCGAAATTCCTATTGTTGGTACAAAATTTTAAGGTTTAGAACACCGAATCGAATTATAAACAAGGCCAACTCAGAAAACAAGGGAAAGGTTTTACGACATTAGTATTCAAAACAAAACAATTAAACACCGTAATGTATAGTCCTTTGCCATTAAGTTCCAATTACCTCTCTGTCCATATTTGAGATGTGAGCTACTCCCTGCTAAGAGGAAACAGTTGCTTCAGTAATTGGAAACGATCAGTATAAAAATAGAACGCAAAATTATTCTAAAACGTTGAAAGAGCGAGTATTTTCTGTTTATTGATCCGACCAGCAAATGATTTACACATATGAAATAATGGTGGATTTTTGTTTTAAGCAATCTTTGAGTTTAAAAAATTTAGCACTTGTTCCTTAGTTCAAGGTGTCGTCAGAGAGGCTTTTGAGTCTTCAAAGCCAGTAGTGTTTCTAAAAAAGGACTGGAAACTAATTAACTGATTGCCCAGAATAAAATGATACGCATCTTGAAAGTGACACGTTCGTCATGTTCTTGTGTCTCCGACATCAGTCAGTGGAATTTAAATTGCTTTTTCTTGGCGAAGATCTAAGACCATTTTGTGCAAGAATTACACTTGTCACATATTAGCCCTTTAAATTGTAATGTCTATTCAAATTCTCATTTGTTGTCCCTAAACATTTCCTATAATAGTAGTTGGGGGAAGTTGTTAAAGAATCTGTGTGATCATGTCCATAATTCTCATGACCACTCCGTTTGCTAAAGTATAGGTATTACAAGGAGAACTTTTACGCTGATCAATCTTACGGCTCAAAGGGCTAAGTACAGTTAGACCATCACATGACAATATCCTCATAACTTTGTTCCTGTGATAAATTTGTGAAAGTTATAACGGTGAGCACTTTACTAGTCATGTGTCATTTCCCAATTTCTCAACACCATTTCCATTTTGTAATAGACTATTCTTTTTTGTTTTACATTTTTCATTTTCTTTTGGCCTAAAGCAAGTCCGTTAGTTTTCTTACTAAATTTCGTTTTCCAGACTTCGCAAAGACACTGAAAAAGACTTTCAGTTCAAACTAGCGAGAGCTTTATTTCCTTCCTTATCACATGTTCTCGTTCATGTGAAATATTTGCTTTACTGTGCTTTTTACACTTTGTCGAATCTCTGGGTACCGCCAACAATAAACAAAAGGATTCAATGATGAATTCAGGTAAATCAAGAATATAAACGCAAAATGAGCTACGAGAAATGAAATTTCAGAGTGACTTATCGAATACAATATGGTGGAAGGCAAAAAGGGAAAATAACAGGCCAAGAAAACTACAGAGACAAATAAACTATTATAGGCGGACTTCCTTTGTCGGTGTGCCTCTCTTGTTTGGGCATTTTTAAGCTGATTTTGACCGTATATCTGATTCTGATGATATCTGACAACTTTGTAAATACGAACATACGCCACGGTAGTTACACCATATCCTATAAGGGAAATAATAGCAGTTACCAGTTCAATTTCTTTTGGAAATAAAATATGTATTTGTCGTGGATAAAACTGATATCTACATTAATTACCCCGTCGGTTTATTAGCTACTTTTCATATCGGCCATCTGCTGTAGCGCGTAATAAAGCTAGTTTATTAACTAAAGCCTCAGAATTAATTTTATAGGTCGAGTGTAAACAGAAATCCAGTGTTATGGTTGGTATAAATTTGAAGGGTTGAAACACCGAATCAAATTGTATAAAACAAGGGCAACCCAGAAAACAATGCAAGGGGAAGGTTTTGCAACACTAGTATTAAAAACAAAACAATTATTACACACCGCAATGTATAGTCCTTTCCATAAAGTTCCAATTACCTCTCTGTCCATAATTGACATGTGAGCTGTTGCCTGCTGAGAAGAACCGTTTGTTTAATTGCAAATGCTCGGTATAGAAAATAGAAGTTTAATTTATTCTAAAACGTTGTAAGGGTGAGTTTTTCCTCTAAATTTAACTGTCCAGCGAAATTTTTGAAACATGATAAAATACAGATGGATTTTGTTTGGTTCTATTTTTTTTTAAATTTTAAGCATTTTGACGCAATGCTTCAGTTTTAAAACGATTAGCACCTGTTTCAGTAGTAGTTATTAAAGTGACGTCTAGTCAGCGAGGCTTTTTAGTCTTGGAAGCCGATGAGGTTTTTATAAATGGACTGGAGCCCAACATTATGGACTGTTTTCGTCTTCCTTCGTCTTTCTTTGAGATTTGTCTCAAATGTAGACTTGTGAATGACCTTGCTTATTTGTAAACTCTTTTCGAATGCCAACGAGTATATGTGTTCGTCTCTAAAGAGCCTCAACATTGCAACTTCCGCTGTAGCTTACGACAAACAGTAGGACGCGTCTTATCTCGTATCCAGATCTCCCACGGCCAAGCGGAAGAGAGACTTCATTTTTTTAATGGAGACATACAGTCTGTCTGTAAGCTACTACTTTGGCTGTCGATTGCTCGGATGGAAATCGATTACAGCTTGGAAAATGGCCATTTTGTCACATTGTTACTTATTCTTTGCAAGTAATCGGTAAAATCACGCTTGTAAACGCTAAGGTTCTTGAGCCGTAGCAAACACAGTTTTGTCCATAAACTCCTAAATTTGTCTCTTTAAAAAGTTAGTTGACCATGAAAAAGGGAACTGAGTTTCATTAAGTAGGTGCCCTAAAGGTGTCTTCTTTTTTCGCAATTGGGAGAGACCAGATCGTGTTTTAAAGAATTCAATCTTAGGTAGGCAGTTATTACAAAAACCGCCTTCCATCCCAATGTTTAAAATGCTGAATTGAAATTCACTTTTATATGTTAGTCTTTTTCCACTGTAAGTCCATTACATTTCGTGGAAGTCGTAGACGGAATTTAGTTCAAAGGTGTCTGTTTTCAGGGTCTCTATTGAGAGACCAATTGCAATTGTAGCGACCAATCTTCTCCTGTTTACACCTTTCCTTGGTCTTTGGGCACAGCAAGTCCATTCGCCACTTTTAAAACGATTAGGGCCGAAATATTTCCCGCAATTTTTTCTTGGGACTGTTACTCAGGTGGGGACGCGTCGATCAGCGCGTTCATTTTTGGTTATTTTTTCCCTTCTCCCTAGTAATAGTCCCAGAAGTCTTTGCGAAAGTTAACTCGCCCCAGTTTCCTTCTAGAATTGCTCGTTCTCTCCAAATTTCGTCTCGTAGAACTTCGCATCCTCACGTCATATTCTCGTCTAAACGAAGTATTTTCTTCATTGTGCTTTTTACAATTTGGCGAATCTCTCGGTACCGCCAGCAATAAACAATGGGATTAAATGATGAATTCAGGTAAATTAAGAATGACGACGCAGATTTGGCTATGAGAAACGAAGTTTCAGAAGTATTAATCAAGTACAATATTACAGAGGGTAAAAAAGGAAGACAACAAACTAGAAAAACAAAATAGACAAATAAAGCATTATAAGCGGACTTCCTTTGTCTGAGTGCCTCCCTTGTTGGTGCATTTTGAAGCTGATTTTGACCGTATATCTGATTCTGATGATATCTGACAACTTTGTAAATACGAACATACGCAAGGGTTGTCAGAACATATCCTATAACGGAAATAACCGCAGCCAGTGGAAAGCCTTTCAGAAGGCAAATATATAGGAAGGCAGAGACGCAACTTGTTAACCATAAAGACACCAACACTATTGTAACACGTGTGGGCGTGACAAGCTCCTGATATCGCAGATGGAGCGAAACAGCGAGAAGTCTATCAAATGCAATGACAATAACATTCAGGAAAGATGCAACGGCGAGGAGATGCATAAAATATAATAACACAATCAAAACTGTTGGACAAAAGAAGGCTACGTCGTCTTCACTTGATGCCATCTTCAACATCACGGCACTGATAATAGCAGTCATTAGCTGCGAACACAATCCAACTGCAAGATCAGAGAAAGCCAGACTTAGGAACAGCTTCTTGACGGTAGCTGGTATCGTTGAGTTCTTCATTAAGGCGCGGATGACAAAAAGATTTCCTAGAGTCGCCACGAGGGAAAATACAAAGTTTAAAACACAGAAACCAAGGAAGAAACTTCTCCTGTGGGAAACCAGTTTAATCCAACCATCCAGAAATAGAGTGCAGGTCTGTTCAGCCATAGTTTTACTTGTCACAATGTGCATGTATTTCTCGTGGTTTAAACTGATATCTACCTTAATTACCCCCTCCTTTTATTAGCTTTTTTTCACATTGTCCACCTGCTGTAGCGCGTCATGTAGCCGGCTCATTAACTAAAGCCCTAGACTTAATGTTATAGGTAGAGTGCAAACAGAAATTTAGTGTTATTGTTGGTATAGATTTTTAAGGGTTGAAACACCGAATCAAATGGTACAAAACAAGGTCAACCCAGAAAACAGTGCACGGGGAAGGTTTTGCAACACTAGCATTGAAAGCAAAAGAATTAAACACCGCAATATATAGTCCTTTCCATAAAGTTCCAATTTCCTCTCTGTCCATAATTGACATGTGAGGTGTTGCCTGCTTAGAAGAACCGTTTGTTTAATTGCAAATGCTGGGTTTAGAAAATAGAACTTAAATTTATTCTAAAACGTTGAAAGGGCGAGTCATTCCTCTAAATTTAACCGTCCTGCGAAATTTTGAAACTTGATAAAATACAGATGGATTTTGTTTAGTTCTATTTTTTATTTAAAATTTTAAAATGCTTCAGTTTTAAAACGTTTAGAACCTGTTTCAGTAGTAGTTAATAAGATGACGTCCAGTCAG